GGGGGGGAGGCATTGCGCGCATGGCTTCGTCCTGACGTGTCTCTGCTGTTTTCCTTTTTCCTGTCGAGTAACCCGGGCTGCATTGCATTCAGTCACCCGCACCTTGTCCATGTGAGAGGAGAAGCCCTAGTGGTGATCTGGGTTGCTAGAGGTCAGTCCAACCAGTCTCTGGATGTTTTCCTCGCTCGATCAGCATAAACAAGAAGTCGGACGATTTCCCGCGACGCCGCATGCGAGGTACGTACAAAAGAGCATGCCAAGCACGGCGATCGTGATACCAAACATCCCAACTCGGCGGGGAACCCTGCTTCCCGCCCCGGAAAACTTCGTCAGGAAACAGAAGGTGGCCACGGGACGGAAAATAAGCAGAAATGTAGACGACCCGAAAAACGGTTCGTGAACTTGCCCTAGTGGATATGCATCCCTGCTATAGGGGGAGTCGCCACGAGTGGGGATTGGATTGGCTGGGACCTTGCAGCTGGGCGCTTATGCTTGTAGATTGACGGCGAGAACAAGGCAGGGAAAAGCGAAATCTCTCGCACGAATATTACCGCATCGAGCATGGTGTCACTTGCGAACCAGGTCCAGCAAAAACGTCATGTCATTGGCATATGGATTTCAAGTCTCTGCATACGTATCCAGGAAGAGCAAGAAAATGGGGGGACGGGAAGCAGAAAGAAAGAGAAAACCGCCCTAGCGTAGTATACATTCGGAAAGAGCAGCCTGTGAGATGAAAAGTAAAGAAAAAGGCCCGTTTCCGTCGGAAGGACCCCTAGTCATCGTGACGGGGCCCCGCTTCTTCGACCGGAGACCGAGCTGGCCGCGAGGTTACCTTGAATGTGAATCTTTTTCGCAGACCTGAGATTTTTAATGCAGTGGAGGAAAGAGAACCGACCAAACCCATTACCATCCTGCGGACCTGAAAGAGAGCTGATGAACGCGTGGCAATGGTCAATACTGACGACGTCGAGTGCAGCCGCAAGTCTGATGTCGTCAATTCGCTAACTGAAGGGCGCTGAAGCCGACCGGTGACATGTGAATCTCGGCGGAAGCGTGTGCAGCCGGGCAAAGCACTGCCAAGCAGAAGATCGACAGCTTAGCCATTCCTCGCGTACGGGTGGAATCCCCTGTGCGATCCCCGACCACCGCCGCGGTAGTTTGCGCCCGGCTTACCAGCGTTCTTGGGGCCGGTGGGAGCGTTTGCGGGCGCGTTGCTGGGTTGGACCGGCGGCGTCGTGGCCTGGCCGCGAGCAACACCTCCTCCCCTCTGCGTGCTGAATCCGCCTCTGCCGCTGAAGCCACCACGGGCAGCACCAGCCTGCGGGCCGTTCGCCGGCATGTTGGGCTGCGGCACATCGTCGTACATGCCCTCCCAGCTGGTTGGCCCCCCTTGGTTGTAGCCGCCGCCTTGGCCGTACGCGCCTACCTGCATGCGGCGCGCCTGTTGCTGCTCATATTTTTGTTGCTCGAATGCAAGTTGTTCTTGCGCGTTGAAACCCGGACGGTTAGCTGCAGCCATCATGCTAGCGGCAGCGGCAGCGGCAGGCCCACCTTGGAAACCAGGAGAACCCATCGCGCCAGGACCCATCTGGCCTTGCGGCATCGGTTGCTGCATCATCGGATTCATGCCGTTCTGCATCGGGGTGCCCGGAGGGACGGGGCTGCCGGTCGGGGACATGGTGCCGTTGCCTCTCATCTGTTGCATAGCCATCATCTGCTGCATCATCTGTGGGTTCATCTGTCCACCGGGACCGCCCATCATGGGGTTCATCTGCTGTCCGCCCTGCATGGTAGCCGCCATTTGTTGCTGCATCATGGCGAAATACTGTTGCATGCGCTGCCAGTACTGCGCCATCATGGCCGGACTCATGCCGTTGGGCATACCCTGGGGGCCCTGCTGCTGATTTTGCTGGTTGTCGAAACCACCGCCATCACGGTTACCAAACTTGTCGCCACGGCGGCCAAACTTTCCACCTCTGTCGTCGTCGTTGTCCTTCAAGTTACCACGGGGCTGGGCGCGCTTAACCTCAATGGGCTTGCCGAGGATGGCTAGCGGACCCTGAAGACAGGCATCGACGGCGGCTTCACCGTCGAAGGTGACGAACCCGAAACCACGGGGTCGGCCCGTGTCCTTGTCCATCATGAGCGTGGCATCGATAACGCGGCCGAACTCTTCGAAGAAGGTCTTGAAGTCTTGCTCGGTAGCCTCCTGGCTGACACCTCCGACGAAGATCTTGGCCGTCTTTTCCTGCTCCTCGCGAGGAATCGCACGCTTCGGGTCAATCTGTAGCAACCTTGTCACTTTAGCAGTCCTTTGATTCCTCGGATCGTGCAATACTCACAATTTTGCCGTCAAGATAGTGCTCCTTTACCATGACAATGTTGACAGTCTTGGGGTCCTTGAAGGTAAGGAAACCAAAGCCGCGCGACCGGCCAGTGGCACCATCACGCATAACAGTGCATTCAGCGACTTCACCAAACTGTGAGAAGTAATCACGCAGCGATTCTGCAGGGCCAAGTGTCAGCACGACTGGGATCCTCCTCGCTTGGACCAGTAACCACTGCGTAAAGCACAGGGTGTCGTATCCAGACTACTCACGATCCGTTGTCTCCCAGTTCAGTCCACCAATGAACATTTTACTATGGAATAGGTCAGTCTGTCGGCCACTGAACAGTGCAACAAAGCAGTGATGCTCAATAAGCAAAGAAATGAGGGCAGTGGTGCGGAGAGCGGAGAGCGGCGAGCGGATCGAGTCGGTCTTCGAAGTTCTCCTAGGATGTCTTTCCCTGCAAGTGTCAAGCGTCGCGAACATAGGCCTGACGAGGAAGCTTGTGATTCAAGCCTTGGGACTGCGGTTGAAGTGGAAATCGGATGGTCGCCGGCAAATTCTGGATATGCAAGTCGTCGTATTTACGGGATTCTCGTTGACTGCCGGACGGATGCCGATTCGCTTGCCTGCAAGCAATGTTTTCGCCATAGCTCTTTGCTGATTGATACTGTCCAGCTGGGCTGAACTCGACGCCGCCACCACGGCCTATCGTCGCAAGAGCACACTGATGTTCGGCAGGAAGCGTCTGTGTTTTGCTACGAACCGAGTGCTAGGCGCCGGTAGCTTCAGACCCCGGCGACGGAGAGTGACGCTCCAGTCCCATCTACCTGCTCGAAGCTATCCTCGCTGGCTCTATGGAGATTATCTCGACAAGAAGCTACGCTCCTAAAGGTAGCAGATTGGGCTGATTTGCGGCTGACGACGAGCATAAACTGGTGATCGAAGCTGTTGTATGCCAGTTTCCGGCGTTCCTCAATAACGCGCTTGTTATCTCTCCCGTGATTCATCCCAGGGATGCTGATGCAAGACAAGCCAAACAGGCGTGCCTCTGCGCGCGAATTGAGCGAGGAGGCCAAGCGTGGCCGATGCCACTGTGATTTCCGCCAGAGACCGTCCCATCCCCGTTCCAATCATCGGGGGGTTTTTTTTTCTCGCTCATAGCCAGCTCTTCATTCCGAGGGGCGCAGAGTCTGGCGCATCGCATTTGCCACAACTGGAAAGTGGACTTTGTCCCGAAATTTCCACGCCCGAATCCATCATTACGTGGCCACGCTATATTCCATGCGTACTTCGCAGCCGGACAGCGTAGAGTCCACGGCTCACACGGCGCAGGGCTTGATACAAAACGCCCACAAGACTTCGAAATCCGGAAGACCGACTCGTTCCGCTTACCTCGCTTGATGTGGTGACATGTGGAAAAAGCACGGACGCTGGGATGAGCAAAATAATCGACTTACCCGTCTTCTTTGATACCAATGCCGCTCGGTTGCTCATGGCCACCGGCATGCTCGTGGTGCCCAGCCTGGTGGTCGCCGCCATTCATGCTCACATCACCATCGCCTGCACCTGCAGCCCCGCCATTGTGAGTGAAGCCTTGGTGCTGTTCAATTGTCGGAATGGCCACCTGTGCAGGCTCCGGCATGGACGGTGCAGGCTGGGCAGCAGGAGCGGAGGAATGTGCGGGCTTGGAGGGGGCCTCGTCGTTCTCGTAGCTGAAATGGGAGCGTCAGACAGAGATTTCGCGTAGAAAAGCCGGCGGAAAACATACAGATCGGCGAAGAGATCCTCGTCGAGCTCCTCGGGCTCGGCCATGTTGGGCGAAATGGCGACGGAGTGACGAAGGTGATAGAGTGGGAGGGGGCCGAGGCCAGCGCGCAGCTAGTTCCGCACCGGCAGAGCGAAAGCAGGCACTGCGCGTGACGCGATCGAAGGCGTGTTTGCTCGGCCGGGGTGGATCGGGCGAGATGGCACTCGAGCAAACAGCAGGGTCAGCAGGCTCGATGGTCGGAGGCGCTGGAGCTACGGGCGCGTGGGCAACGAGTCGTCGGTGGAGGATGGTTGTGGCAGAGGGACAGCGCGGAGGTTGGAAGAGGAGGTGGGCGATTAGGGCAGGAACGGCGTTTCCACGGGCGGCGGGTCTTAGGGCTTGGCGAGCTGGTGGGCGGCGGCAACTCGAGGCCCCGGCGCGCCTGGAGAGCAGCAGAGCAGTAACAGCTCCGGTCCCAGATTCCTGCGTGACCTCCGTCACCTCACCCATCTCGCCCCAAATGGCCGGCAAGAAGCAGCAGCAGGTACTCGCCTCTCGTCTCCCCGCCCATTCCATTCCCCAGCCGTGCTGACCCGCGCGACGCAAGGAAATGGTCCAGGTCGGTTCGTAACAGCTGCCACCCATCCCCGCGCCCTCTGCAGCCGCCTCACTGGCTAACTCCGTCGCCCTCGATCCTTGACAGACCGTTCTGGGTACTTCGTCCCTCTCCTGCAAATCGACCCCGCTAACACAGAACACAGCTCTGCCTCCCCTTTCTGGCGGAACAGCTCCGGTGCTGCTAAGAGCTATGACAGCAAGAAAGTAGTCGGCGCGTCATACTCCCACACCGACATCCTGCGTTTCGATTCGCTGTAATCCGCCCCGCCCTTGCGATCCGTCACCTGGAGACTCATGCTCAGTGCCAGTTCCCTTTCGAGCTCCTCTCGCCCGCGATCGCCAAACCCAAAGCCGTACGGTCATGAGAGCCCGCCCACCAGCCACGCCGGCCCCACAATGCATCCCAACCAGAAGCCATTCTCATACCTTCAATCCAACAACGACACGGATGCCGACGAAGATGAGGATGACGACGAGGAGCCCGAGATCACATTTGATGACGATGAGGACGAATTCGGTTTACCGAGCATCGCCAGCATGCGAAGAAAGGGCAAACGGAAACCCCTCAACAAAGGAAAAGATCCCGGAGGCACCGGCAGCTCTCTCACCAGTCCGCTGGGATCTGACTTCGGGTCGGCACACTGGAGGATGAACAGCGGCGACATTGCCGAGGAGCGCAGCGGGAATACAATTCCACTGTACCCCACTGCAAAGCCCACTGTAGGGAAGATCCTGCGGCCTCAGTACAAAGACATCCTCCGCGACCCGGCAAATGCACTGCATCTGATAGCGCATCCTCCGCTGCCACCGGGTGCACCGCAGAAGGAGATAGAAGAACACTCGGCGCGAATTGGTCGCATCAACAAGTTCAAGCGTATCCTGCAGTCCAGTACCATTGCACTACCGGAGCTACGCTCAACAGCTTGGTCTGGAATTCCGGTCGAGGTGCGCTCGATGACCTGGCAGCTGTTGCTTGGATACCTCCCTGCAAGCAGCGAACGCCGCATCACTACACTGGAAAGAAAGAGGAAGGAATACCTGGAAGCCGTAAGGCAGGCCTTTGAGAAATCAACTGCAGCCAGCGAGATCGGGATGACGCCATCTGTGGCGTCGAGCAAAGGGCGTGGCCGAGGCTTGGATGAAGCTATCTGGCACCAGATCAGCATCGACGTACCCCGCACCAACCCACATCTCGAGCTCTACAGCTACGAAGCAACTCAAAGATCTCTCGAACGTATCCTCTATGTCTGGGCCATCAGGCATCCAGCCAGCGGCTACGTTCAGGGGATCAATGACCTGGTGACACCGTTCTGGCAAGTGTTTCTGGGCGCATATATCACGGACCCAGACATAGAGTCGGGAATGGATCCAGGCCAATTGCCCAAAACGGTGTTGGATGCTGTTGAAGCGGACTCTTTCTGGTGTCTTACAAAGCTGCTGGACGGCATTCAAGATAACTACATCTTCGCGCAACCCGGCATTCAAAGACAAGTCGCCAGCCTTCGTGATCTCACAACCAGGATTGACAAGACATTGGCGACGCATCTCGAGAGGGAAGGGGTTGAGTTCATCCAATTCAGTTTCCGCTGGATGAATTGTCTCCTTATGCGCGAAATTAGTGTAAAGAATACTATCAGGATGTGGGATACATACTTGGTAGGTTTGGTTCATCACGCTTTACCCCTGTTGCTGGATTACACTTTACTGACATGGAACCCTCACAGGCCGAAGAACGGGGCTTCTCCGACTTCCACCTCTACGTGTGCGCTGCCTTTCTAGTCAAGTGGTCCGACCAACTCGTTAAAATGGACTTCCAGGAGGTCATGATGTTCCTCCAAAGCTTGCCTACTCGAAATTGGACCGAGAAAGATATTGAACTTCTTCTCAGCGAGGCTTTCATCTGGCAAAGCCTGTTTAGAGGGAGTAGCGCGCACTTGAAAGGACAGAGTACGAAAGTTGGGAACGGTATGGTTGGGATGGGTCCTGGTTGATGTGGCAATCTGTATGGGCAGCAAGGTCTATCAACCTGAACTTGTTCAAGCAGAAGCTGTGCGATATGGCGCGCGGGTGCAGGGAGATGTGTTTTTGGATGAGGCAGGCCCCATTGGCACTTTTTTGACCATTCTTTTTTGATACCTCACGGAAAAAAAATCAAGAGACGCAGAGAAAATTTAGTAATATTGTAATTGTAAGTCTTGTCGATTGAGAATCATGGCTCGTAGCACGTTTGCTAGTATAGCGCGTTCAAATAACACGCGAAGTAAGGCTAATGGGTTATAGATGAGAGAAGGCGACAAAGAACCGCAATGCCACGACCTACACACAATACTGCCAAGAAATGCACTCGTTGTCATTGAACAGTAGATCTGAACACGGTAAAGATCGGGAATCGAATGCATTGCGACCAACTCGCCGGACAGCGTCGCATTCTGTTCTGATCTAGCATCACCACCAGCCAATGAAGTAAACCTACCTCCGAATTGGGTGTCTGGGTCGCAAATATCCGCACGGGTATCGGCGGCCACTATACGCGTACATGGAAGAGCCATTTATACTGCGCCGAGCCTTAAGCAACGGTCGCTGATGCCGCTCAAAGGACTGGACAGTGAGCCATCTCTTCTTGCTCAGGTTCTGGTCCACAATGTTTCCAAACACATTGCCTTGGAAGCATACCACATCTAATATCTCTAGGGTTCTTGTACCATCAGCGCCGCGCTGTTCTGTTTTCTTCGGAAAGAGACCACCACCTGCTGCTTCTCCCGAACTTCCATCAAGTAAGCCCTCAGCACCTCCAAACATCTAACCGCATACTTCCTCCTCGTCCTCACTACGCGCAGCTCCTCCATCCCCTCCTTCCATTCCCTCTCCCTCGACTCCTTCTCCTCCTCCAACCTCTCGTAAGCATCGATCGTGTCGCTGGTATTCTTCCACACAACACAACTCCCCGGCGGCGTCATGCTCGAGCCGTGATCGCCCAGCATCCTGAAGCCCTGTCGCATGGCGTACCGCCTGACGTTGCCGCCACAAAGCTCCTCTATACTATTGAGAACGGCTACTGCGCACTCGGTGGCGGCTTTCTTGCGTTTGACGAGCTCGGTGAGCGTCCTTTCGGACTCGTCGAGCTGGCCTATGAGGATGGCTTTGGCTTGCAGTTCGCGTTGGGCGGCGCGGAGCGCGGGCGTGTTGGCGTTGAGGGGGGCGAGTGCGGCGGCGGCGCTTCTGGTCGTGACGGGCATGGCGGGGATTGAGGTTGTTTTTTTGGTGGGCTGGTGCTGCGCGGCCCGGGTGCGGTCTAGTCTGGAAGATGTAGTGTTCTGCGGATTTTGGTGGGTGATGCAAGAACGAGACCGAGATGCTCACCGACAGTGGGCGTTTGCACCGGGTGCATTAGTGTGCAGTATTTGCAGGTGTTTGCATCGAAGACACAGATCGCTTGACATTAGAATAATGGGATAATAAGACCGACGGGTTCCGGTCGAAAATGGATAGTGTCTGAAAAATATACGATGGGATAGTCTGACTGTGGCCCGCTGTAACAGGTTGCGGCACTGGGCTGGGGAGGTGAACGGGTGGTATATTGAACTACCCGAAGAGAAAGCGCCATATACCCTCCTTGACCATCGCACTTGCCAACACCGCCATTTCGAATCGACTCTGGCAGTCCCGTGCCTGGCGAAAGTTAGTGGTAAGAGTCGCGCTCTGTTTTGACCAACTTCGTATTCCGAAGTGAGTTTCACTGCCGATTGCTCACTCACTTCTGTATTGATGTGAGAGTGTCCTGCGGTACTATACGGTCAGTAGCTCAACTGCCATTTCGTACGGAAGTGAAAAGTGCTTTCTATGAGTTATGATTAGACCATCGTCTAAGCTTTAATGCAGGCCACAACGCATCTCCAACTCCGGCAATTTTCGGATGGAATGAGAAAGCGCTGCGTAGAAGAACAAGTCCTAAAAGTAATTATCTTGCAAGGTATCTTGTGAAAGCTGCTGCGAGCTTGCTTTTCAACAAAACCGCAAGTGGTTCCGAAGTGTTCGTCTGGACAGCCCATCGGATCGCCGGGTATTCCTCTTGTCGCGTTGTCGTCACAATAAACTCCACCCCATGCACAAATCCACCCGACGTTTCCCCGCACTGGTCAAGAATTTCTGGCCCTCCCGCCCTTCATTCTCCCTCTACCACCTCTCTCACACACCCAATATCCCAATTCCCTTTTCCCCTCCAATTCAAAAGAAAGAGAGAGAGAAAGAAAGAAAGAAAAGAAAGGGAGCAAGCAGCCGCAATGATGGAGGGCATGGAAATCGACACCGACCTGACCACGCACTCGATCCTCCTCGCCGCGACCAACCACGACGTCCCCGCGCTGCGCGACCTGCTGCGCAACACGTCCGCCAACGTGCAGGACGAAGACACGGGCTTCACGCCCCTCCACGCCGCCGTCGCCGCCTTCGAGCCCGAGAAAGAAGAAGGAGAAGGAGAAGAAGAAGAGCAGAATGGCGGCGAAGGGCAGACCACCAACGGCCACGCCGCGGCGGCAGAGACGAAGCCGCCGCAGCCCAGCGCCGAAGAACTGGACAAGGCGGTCCGCACGATCAAGGTCTTGATGGCGAATGGCGCCATCTGGAACGATTTGGACGTCAACGGCGAGACGCCCGGCTGCATCGCCGCGCGCCTGGGGCTGAAGGAGCTCTACGAGTTGTTCGTGGATGCTGGCGTGCGGGCGGAGCTGTTGCTGAGCCGCCTGGATGAGTACCAGATCCTGGGCGGCAGCGGCGGGGAGTCTGACGAGGACGAGGAGGATGACGAGGAGGGTGAGGGCGAGGAGATCGAGGTGGTGGAGGGTGAGGGCGTGGAGGGGTACGAGCTCGTGCAGGAAGAGGGCGGCAAGGGCGAGGACCTGAGCGCGTCGGGCGTTGTGGTCGAGGCTGTGGAGGAGGATGGGGGCGAGAAAGAGGGTGAGGAGGGTGGTCCGGCGAATCCGGACGTCAAAAGTGCAGAGTACCTGGCGTCGGAGCTGACGTTCGAGGGGGATCGGTTGCTCGACGCGGACAAGAACGGCGTGATGATGGCGTGGGAGACGTCGATCATGCAGCGCAGCGCAGATCTGCTGCTGCCGAAGGAAGGGCTGCGCGTGCTCAACGTCGGTCACGGTATGGGCATCATCGACAGGATCATCCAGGAGAAGAAGCCAACCGAGCATCATATTATCGAGGCACACCCGGCCGTGGTGAGGCGCATGAAGGAGGAGGGCTGGACGGAGAAGAAGGGAGTTTCCGTGCACGAAGGCAAGTGGCAGGACGTGGTAGAGGACCTCGTTGCCCAGAACATCACCTTCGATGCCATCTACTTCGATACGTTCGCCGAGGATTACAAGGCGCTCCGCGAGTTCTTCAGCGAGTATGTCATTGGATTGCTTGATTCAGAGGGCAGATTCGGCTTCTTCAACGGTCTTGGTGCGGACAGAAAGATCTGCTACGATGTCTACACGAAGGTAAGCGAATTAACTACATACACTGCCATTACCCATATTTGTACTCAACTAATCATGTCCTGCTCTTGTAGGTCGTTGAGCTGGACCTCTTCGAAGCCGGCTTCGACACTGAGTTTGAGGAGATCCCCATCCCAGACCTCGACGCGAACGGCGAGTGGGAGGGCGTCAGGCGGAAGTACTGGGTGCTTGACACCTACAGACTTCCTACCTGCAAGTTCATCGGTTGAACTGTCACTACCTCTCCAATCGTTCCGGCGCAGGCGATCTGCCCCATCCAGAAGATGAAACTACCCGAGAACCAAGATATCTGCCGCTGATTTGCCTCCCTATGATCACCACTTGTCAAGCAGCTCGTTGCTGGGTATGGCCTCCTCATCCAACACCTTCATCGCATTGTCGTCGATAATCGGCAGCTGCTCCAGTCCCTTCTGTTTCATATTCTTGGGAACGACGTTGGGGTCGAGCAAGCCGATCTGCACCAGGACGCTCGCTTGGTCCCAATATACCTTCTCGTGCACAAGCTTTCCGCCGCGGATGTTCACGACGCTGACCATGGCAACCTGCACGGGCTTGTTGGTGGGCGGCACGCCGGGCAGGATCCACGGCATCTCGTGCGTGTGCCGGAAGGTGACGACCATCTCGTCGACGACGCGGTCGACGCCGGTGGTGCGCGAGATGAGGCGGATGTTCATCGAGGGCGGGATGTTGGGGAGGAAGAAGTCGCGGTAGAAGCGCATGAGCTCGCCGCGGCCGATGCCGCCGGTGGCGGTCGGAACGTGGTTGACGTAGGGCTGGGGGATCATGGTGGCCATGGTCTTGGCTGCGTCTTTGTTCTGATACTTGTCTGCAAGCACGCAAGAGAGAATTCATCAGCCCGTCCGTGTCCAGTGAAAAGAAACGATTCTACAGATGCAACTGATACTGAATGCGTGCGTGCGAGCTGCTTGAATACTGGAGCACTAATTCCCCGTAGCAGCAGCAGCAGCAGCAGCAGCACGACCCCCAGCGCTCGAAATACATGCGAGGAAAGCAAAGGCCGCTTACGCTGCAAGTGCTCCTCCCACACGCTCTCCAAATCCACGTCGAGCTTGAGTCCCTTGCGCACCGTCCCCAGCGTCCTGCTCCACGCCAGGCCGGCCGCGACGGGCTCGTACTCGGCCAGATCCATCTCGGCGAACCCGGGCTCGGTGCCGCGATACCAATACGTCTTCATGGTGGCGCCGCCGACGGTCTGCGACCCGGCGAGGTGCATGAGGAGCGGCAGCTGGGTGGGGTACTTGAAGTTGGGCGAGGGCAGGGTGTCCGGGTAGTAGACGACCATGGCGCTCAGGCGCGGCATGGGCTTTTGGGCGAGCTGCAGGCAGATGGCGGCCGCGGCGCCGAAGGCGACGATGGCGTAGTATTCGCCTAGCTCGAGCGAGTCGGCGATGGACGTGATGGAGGCGGCGAAGGCGGCCCGGCCGTTGGGCGCGAGCGGGTGGAAGGTCACGTCGAAGCGCTCGTCGCGGAAATGGCGCAGCATTGCTGGGTCGAACTCGGAGTCTTCGCCGCAGACGTGGAGCTGTGGCGGCTTCTTGTTGAAGGAAAGGAAGCCGGCTGTGGAGCCGTTCATGGTGGCGGTGGGTTTGTTGTGCGGGTGCGCGGTCGTGGGCTGGTGTCGTCGGCGGAGGCGCGGAGAGAGGCCTGGGGATTTGACGTAGAGACGCGGAGCTGGACCTGCGGGTGAGCTTGTGTCTTGGAGGTGTGGGCTCTCGGTGAGCGGGCAATGGCCTGGGTGAGCTGGCAATTGTGGTGTTGCGATGGAGAGGCGCGCAGCCGTATGCGGTGGGTATGAAGAGGTAGAAGCTTCAAGAGGCAGAAATCACGCTGACGTCGCCCTTGGTCGTGTTCCAACACCTGTGCCTGTCGTGCCCTTGTTCGCTGCCGCAGCCATCCCAGTTTTTGCGGGCATATTCCCTTATCGATTGCTGGCCGGCAGGGGTCGTGTGTGTCGCGTTTGCTAGTGACGTAACGTCGGGAGATGGGCGTTGACTGGAACGAACGCGAGTGGCTGGCTCTGGCTGGCTCTGGCTGGCTCTGGCTGGCTCTGGCTGCGGTTTCGTCAGCCCCGCCTTGCACGATGCAGCACGACTCCAAAACATGCCGCCGGTAATATATCAAATCCATGCTTGTCTGTGAGATGCATGTATTTGTTTTTCAGCGGCTCTGTATCTGAGCCCCGCGACGTTGAATTGTAAGCCACAGCGGCTGGCGCCGGCCGCGCTAAGCCTTGAGGATCTGCGCCGCCGTCGCGGAGCTTGAAATAAAACCCGCCAGACACTGTCGCCATCACTTGCGTCCCCATCGTCAGACAAGCGATGGCTGATCATATCTCTAACCCAACCGCATACACTTGACAGCGGGAATCCGCGACGGCCGCTTGCAAAGGTCGAGAGTTTGCCATGGCCGAGAAAGAGCACGAGTCCCATTCGAATGGCACAATCCGTTTCGAGGCGCCCGACGCCGCTTCGACGCTCGAAGGAACGGGCGTGCTCGTCACAGGCGGGGCAACAGGAGTGGGCGCAGCCATGGTCACGGCGCTGGCCAATGCCGGGTGAGCCCACGGCGGCCTTCAAGCACAAACGGAATGGACCTAATAATATCCAACATACAGCGCATACGTGACCATTGCCGATAGCGTCGCGAACGAAGGCCAACGCCTGATGCTGGACTTGGTCAACCAGAACAAACAGTAAGCCCACCCTCAACACCATCATCATCCTCCTCTGCCACTATTCTCACCACGAGCCTTGCATTCCTTTTTCGCCGCGAACAGCGTCCAATACCTCCACACACCCCTTTCATCCTTCCGCTCGCAGACGGAAACCTTCGCCCACGCCTCCGCCTTCTCCCCAACCGGCGCCCTCTCCCTCGTCATCATCAACACCCTCCCCCCCGATTCGTCCCCTTCTTTCGCGCCCGCCGACTCGCTGTTCGACTGGCTCGCCAACCCCCCTTCGGTCCCGGGCTTCCCGCCCACTTTGGGGCCTCCGCCGACCGCTCCGCTCGACCTCAGCGTGACCGCCGTGCTGTACTCGGTGCATCTGGCGTTCCATCATTTCAAGGCTGCTGCTGCTGCTGCTGATGGTGCGGGTGCGAAGGCGGGGAGAGAGGAAGGCGGCAGCAGTGCTTCGGCGCGCGTGAATGCGGAGAGGCATATCCTTTTTCTAGCGCCCCGGGCGTACGTCGATGAGGGTGGGTTGGGGCCGGGTGTGCTAGCATCCGGTGCCGCGGCGGCCGGGCTGAGAGCTGTGTTCAAGGACTTGAGGGGCGTGGTGCAAAGGGGCGTGCCAGGCTTGGATGGGTCAGGCGTGAGGGTTAATTTGGTGGCGGTCGGGGAGACGGTAAAGAGTGATGGTATCAACGGCGGCGGAGCTAAGGTGGAAGGCAGAATGAGTGCGGCGAAGAAGGTCAAGGTCGATGGAGTGCTGCTGGAAGAGGAAGATGAGGAGAAGTATGTGGCGTGTGTGGATGCGGTCATGCGAGTGGTGTATGATGGCAATCTACAAGGTGAGCCTCACGATGGGGACTGGGAGTGGTGTTGTAGGCGAGAATGCTAATGATAGTCTCTAGGCTGTGCTCTGGCCGTCTCAAATGAGAGTGTGCAGGGCGTGAATATCTAATTAACATGACTAAGAGGGAAAGCTACCATGTGGATGAGCTGATTTGGGTGCTTTCGAGAATAGACTATCGTTTCAAGCGACATGAGGCACATTCTTATGTGAGCGAAGGCATAATGCAGCATCATCAACCACGCAAAGAATGCGCTCAATGTACTGAACACGAGATGTCAATTTTTCCTGACGAATTGGTCTACAATTGAAAATCAAGTTGATGAGCTAGATGAGACGGGGTGCTACGGCAGAGGAGCTCGGACTGAGTGCACGGGCCATCCATTACCGCTGGAGGAACGCGTCCACGGCACGCGTCGCGTATCCCGACAGGCCGTGTCGCAGTCGCCGCCACGCCCGTCCACTCGCCCACTCGCCCATTGACGCCGCAGAACTCATTCGCTGCGCTCTTCGGCAATCAACATGGCCTCCCGTCCAGAGCTCAAGGTCGAAGACGAGACAGGCTTCATCAGGTTCTTCCGTAACCTGCCCGCCAAGAGCGAGGACACCGTCCGCATTTTCGACCGCGGTGACTTCTACACTGCCCATGGCGACGATGCCATCTTCATTGCCCGCACTGTATGCCGCTATACACGACAACCAAAGCTACATGCTGATGCGTAAACAGGTTTATAGGACCACATCCGTCCTGCGCCAGCTTGGCCGCGAGCCCGGTCTCGAATCTGTCACTCTCTCCATCACCGTCTTCCGCAACTTCCTCCGCGAAGCCCTGTTCCGCCTAAGCAAGCGCATTGAGATATGGGAGTCCACCGGTCGTTCGAATTGGAAGGTCACTAAGCAGGCCTCGCCCGGAAATTTGCAGGACGTTGAGGAGGACCTTGGAGGCCAGCTTGACTCCGCTCCAATAATCCTCTCTGTCAAAATTACCGCAAAGGCATCCGAGGCGCGCCACGTCGGTGTGTGCTTTGCTGATGCAAGCGTGCGCGAGCTTGGTGTCAGCGAATTCCTCGATAACGACCTCTACTCCAACTTCGAATCTCTTCTCATCCAGCTGGGCGCGAGAGAGTGCTTGGTACAAGCGGACAGCTCGCGTAAAGACGTCGAGTTGGCCAAGTTAAGGACAATAGCCGACAACTGTGGTTGCGCTGTCTCCGAAAGAAGCTCCGCCGACTTTGGCACCAAGGACATTGATCAGGACCTCTCCCGTTTGCTGCGCGATGAACGCGCCGCAGGTACCCTACCGCAGACCGATCTGAAGCTGGCCATGGGCGCTGCGGCGGCACTGATCAGGTACCTGGGAGTCATGTCCGACCAGACCAACTTTGGCCAGTATCAACTATACCAGCACGATCTTTCACAATTCATGAAGCTTGACGCTGCAGCATTGAAGGCACTCAATCTGATGCCAGGTCCTCGCGATGGCTCCAAGTCTATGAGCTTGTACGGTCTACTGAACCACTGCAAGACACCACTCGGTAGTCGGCTCCTCGCTCAATGGCTCAAGCAGCCTCTTATGGACGTGAGGGAAATCGAGCGCCGACAGCAGCTCGTTGAAGCTTTTGTCATGGATACCGAGCTCCGTCAAATCATGCAGGAGGAACACCTGCGGTCGATCCCTGACCTTTACCGCCTGGCAAAGAAGTTCCAGCGGAAGATGGCAAATCTCGAGGACGTCGTTCGCGCATATCAAGTAGCCATTCGCCTTCCAGGCTTCCTGGGTACCCTTGAAGGTGTCATGGATGAACAATACAAGGATCCCTTGGATGCGGAATACACTGCAAAGCTGAATGTAGGCTTCCCAAAAATCTTCCCAAATGCGTTTGTTAACGTCGCTCCAGGAATGTTCCAACAGTCTGTCCAAACTTCAGGAGATGGTCGAAACCACCGTCGATCTGCAGGCATTGGACAACCACGAATTCATCATCAAACCTGAATTTGACGAGGATCTTCGGAGTATCAGCAGACGCTTGGAGAAGATCAGAAAGAGTATGAACGATGAACATTCGCAAGTAGGCGATGACCTTGATCAAGACACCGTCAAGAAGCTATTCTTGGAGAACCACAAGGTTCACGGATGGTGCTTCCGCTTGACTCGTAACGTAAGTTGACAAGGCGCATTTTGGCGCCTCATCACTAACAACATCTTAGGAAGCCGGTTGCATTCGGAACAAAAGGCAATACAAGGAATGCTCGACGCAAAAGAATGGCGTCTACTTCACCACCGACAAGATGGCAGAGTTGAGAAGAGAGTTCGACCAGCTTTCAGAAAACTACAACCGCACACAACGAGGCCTCGTGAATGAGGTGGTCAATGTGGCCGGTAAGATTCACTCACTTTAGAAAACACGATAACCTTGCTGATACTCTCTAGCGTCGTACTGCCCGGTGATAGAGAGACTTGCCGGTATCCTGGCTCATCTAGACGTTATTGTCAGCTTCGCTCATGTATCCGTCCACGCCCCCACGGCCTATGTCCGTCCCAAGATGAACCGGCGTGGAACTGGCAACACAATCTTAAAGGAGGCTCGGCACCCGTGCATGGAAATGCAAGATGACATCTCCTTCATCACGAACGACGTTTCTCTCGTCCGTGGAGAGTCCGAATTCCTCATCATCACCGGCCCTAACATGGGTGGTAAGTCGACATACATCCGCCAAATCGGCGTCATCGCCCTGCTCGCTCAGGTCGGCTGCTTCGTGCCTTGCAGCGAAGCCGAGCTCTCCATCTTCGACAGCATCCTCGCGCGCGTAGGCGCCAGCGACAGCACTCTCAAGGGCGTGTCCACCTTCATGGCGGAGATGCTCGAGACGGCCAACATCCTGAAGAGCGCGACGCGCGAGAGCCTGATCATCATCGACGAGCTCGGCCGCGGCACCAGCACGTACGACGGCTTCGGCCTGGCCTGGGCCATCTCCGAACACATCGTGCGCGAGATCGGCGCCTTCGCCGCGTTCGCGACGCACTTCCACGAGCTCACCGCGCTCGTCGACACGTACCCGCAGGTGCAGAACCTGCACGTCGTCGCCCACATCGGCGAGCGCCAGCAGCAGCAGCAGCAGGACACGGCCATGGCGGATGCCGACGACGACGATGCCGCCGCCGCCACGGAAAAGCGCAGGGAGGTCACCCTGCTGTACAAGGTGGAGCCGGGCGTGTGCGACCAGTCGTTCGGCATCCACGTGGCGGAGCTGGTCCGCTTCCCGCAAAAGGTGGTCAACATGGCGAAGCGCAAGGCGGACGAGCTCGAGGACTTCTCCGGCAAGCACGAGGATGACGCGGGCGCGGCGGGCGAGGCGAGCAAGGCCGAGGTGGAGGAGGGCAGCAGGATGCTGAAGGAGGTGCTGCTGAGGTGGAAGGAGGCGTGCAGGGCGGAGGGGCTGACGGGGAAGGAGGAGCGGGTGGCGAAGATGAGGGAGTTGGTCAGGGCGAACGAGGAGCTGATGCGGAATCCGTTCTTCAAGCGGGTGAGGGCGCTGTGAATGACGAGGCGACTCGGGCTAGGTGCTACGAACGTTTGTGTGTTGTTTGCTATGGTGGAGATGACGGGGTTTGGCTCGGCTGTGGCTTTGAGTATGTATGGCGTTTGGGAAGGATACGTGGGAAAAGGTCTGGGTTCCGTTCTTCGCTGTTGTGTAGCTGAAGGTTTCCCATAGCTGAATAGGGGGAATCGAAAATTTATTACCCAATGTAGAACGGTTGCAATCCGCCAGGAATGATATTGCTCTGCGAATCAAAGTGAATGTTTCGTGCGTCCATTCAACTCAGTGGAAAGACTTAAGCACTTCGCGTGTTATCCTCGTCAATTGGAACGAAATTTTGCAACCAACGCTTGATTTTATTCCATTGGTTTTGCCCAAGATCGTGTATAATGTGCATAGAAGCTAGAATTAGTTTTTACCCCTAGTAAGGGAACCATCTAAGAATCCTCCGTCTTTGTCTTCTTCTCCCCAGCAGCGTCCTCGGGAGCCTCAGACTTCCGCTTAGTGCCGACTGGTACAGACGCACTAGTGGCTGCAGGCTTCTTCCGCTTAACAAGTCCGGAAATGTCACTTGCGGCCTCGATCTTCTTTTTCTGCTCTGCCTGCTCCTCAGCCGGCGCCTGACCAAGCAGCTCGCCCAAAATTCCCGCCAGGGGATTGGAAGGATCGGCGCCTGCAGGGTTCGTTGGAGCAGAGAGGGAGATGGCAGGGCCACGGAGTTCAGTGAGCTGGCTTTAGAGTTAGCGTTCATTCGGAGAGGGCAGGACGCTCAGAAGCTTGCATACCCTGTTTTCCATGTCTTCGATCATCTCTTTCACGTCGGTAATCTGTGCCTTTGCGTCTTCGGCCTTATCGGCGGCAACGGAGGACAGAGCCTCCTCCTCATTACTCACGCGCAGGCGACAAGATTCGATAGCTATCTCCATCTCCTTAGCGGCCTCTTCGCGCATGGCTTCATCGACCTTGGCTTCTTCGGGGTTGACCTTGCCACCTGTCGATATGTTAGAACGCTTGTTCACAATGTCGGAAGGTGTTCGTGGCGTACCAGATGCCTCAGCCTGAGCCTGAGCCTCGCGGACCTTAGTCATAGACTGGAACTCGAGGGCAAGCGAAAGTTTGTAATGGGCTTCCGCAATGAGAGATGACTCCTTAGGCAGATACTTGTCCTTTAAAGCGAGAGCAGCGCGGAAGTCCGAGACGGCATCAACAAAATTCTCGTTCTCCAGACCAATCTCTGCCTGCAGATCGTGCGTGTCCGCTAGTTTCTCCATCACCTTGCGCTCTTCAGGATCGAGCTCTGTCACGGGTGCTTTTCCCTTGCCCTTGCCTCCCTCGGACGTATCCCGCACCGAATTCTGTAGCGCCTCGAGCTGACGCGACAGCAGAACGCGCGCGACATCGAGGATCTCGTAGGCAGTTGCGAGGTCATCTTCGGGATTATCAGCCTCCTCTTCCTCACCCTCCTCGTCGTCCTCCGACTCGGTATCCCAGTTTTCGTCCCCGACGATCTGGAAAAAGGGCTTGCTGTCCACGGTGGGCTCCGTCTCAGGCTTCATGCCGTCCTTCTCTTCGACGGCAGCCTCGACAACCTCTTCGGCCAGCTTCTCCTCCTTGTCCGGCAAAGTCTCAGCTGCAGCCTTGCTCTTGTCGTCCTTCTTCTGCTTCTTCGCAGGCTTCTCCTCGCTCGCGACGCGCCCGCCGAGCACATCGCTCTTCGCAATGGCAACCTTGTAGAGGCAGCGGCCGTAGCGGAAGAGAAGGTCGGCGTTTTCGGGCGCCATTTCGCCGTTCAGTTGCTCCTGCACCTGCGCAGCTTCCGAGTAGATGTCGGCAGCCCCATTGTAGTTCTTGAGCGAGTACTGCAGGTTTGCGGCCGCGAGTAGCTCCTCCAGCGTGCTGGGGCTGGATTCTTCGGGGATTGCCTCGGTGGACATGGCGACTGTAGGGTCGCAGCGGATTTTGAGGGCGATCGATGTTATTGGATAAGTGTGGTGGGTGAGGGGTCAATTAGTGGTGTTGGCGCAACTTGAAGCTGGAGGGCGCGAGAGCTGCGGGCGCTGCGGGCGCGGAAATGTTGCGCCGCGTTGTGACGCGCTTTCGCGACGCGTCTCCCCGGAGCATCTCTCAACGCCGCGCCCGCACCACCACATGTCTTCACCACTACTTCGCCCATAATGGCCTCAATCAGCCGCCGCGCCGTCGATCCTGCATCGGATCCCGTTCCGTCATCTTCGCCGGCTTTTGCCACCCCGCCGGTCAATCCTGCGCGCCCACTGCGCACCGCACCTGTTCCTGCACCGCCTGCGCTTAAGCCGACTGTTCTCCCGATACTACTTCCGCCTCCAACTCTGAGACCTCTCGCGTTCAGGACATTCACGAAGAAACACAATCTTACTTTAACATCTTCCGCTCTTGCCGCCCTCGCGACGTTCATTGGAAGACATTGTGGCTCAGGATGGCGAGAAGAAGGTCTTGCCGAGCGTGTGTTGGAGGAGGTCGCCAGATCATGGAAAAAGAGTGGCGGCCAGGTAATTGTTGATGGCGATGGTCCTCTTCTCAAGAGCATATTGAAGACACTAGAGGGATGCATGAGCGGTGGGCGCGTGGTTCAGGTCAAGGGTCCATCCTTGACCAGGGATGCCAGCTTCAAGTTTGGAGACGGTAGCGGGTCGAACGGCCACCATCCGCTCTTGGAGAAGCAGGACAGCTTTGGCATGAGCGGCTTGAACGTCGCCGACGAAGAAGATGATGATGGTAGCAGGGATCCTAGGGACTGGGTGAAGGTCATCGGCGGCTTCGACCAGCCGAAGATGGTGTATAACATCGCCAAGAAGCATTTCGACAGGTACGGACAACACAACGTTTGTTGAGTGCAGTATGTGCTGACTATGGGTAGGTCGACAACAAAGCCGACCCTGTTCCCAAACGCAGCAGTGAAGACAGAAATGTTTCGTCAGAGATACCACATAATTCACCAGAGGCTGCTCCGAAATGAGTCCTTCCAAACACCAACTTTTGCAAGTCGGTCTGCAATACAGCGCACTGCTTCCATTACGACTTCTCAAACTAATAAGATTACTCCCATCTCCAACCTGCTGGGCCGGCACGGATCCACCCACCTCCTACTAGCCCTTCTCACCATCTCGCCTACGGGCACTCTCGCATTATCAGACCTCACGGGAAGCATTGCATTGGATGTGACTCACGCAAGGCCTATTCCAGAGGACGGAGCATGGTTCGCTCCTGGCATGATCGTCCTTGTCGATGGAACGTATGAGGAGGACTACGGTAACCCACATTCTGGATCAGCATCTGCACTGGGCGCTACCGGCGGCATTGGAGGGACGATCGGCGGAAAATTTGTCGGTTTCTCCATTGGCCACCCGCCTCCAGAGAAGCGCTCATTGACACTGGGGACTCCGGACTCCAGCACGGCCGCCGATCCAAGTGGCGGCGTGGTCAGCCCCGCTTTCGGATGGACAGACTTCCTTGGGACAGGATCTGAAAGAGCGACGGGAGCCAGAATGCGGAGAATAGAGAATAGACTGCTGACTGCCGACTCTTCCACCCATCGCCAGACGAAGATCGCCATTGCTGCAGACCTCAACCTCGATAACCCACAGTCTTTCACCGCTCTTCGGACCCTTCTCTCTACATACTCTGCCCTTCCGATACCCGAGTTTCCGCTTGCAATTGTCCTCATGGGCAATTTTGTCAGCTCTGCCACAATGGCCGGCGTGCCGAACCAAGGAAGCATTGAGTACAAAGAGCACTTCAATGCTCTTGCTTCTGTGCTTTCCGATTTCCCGCAGCTAGTCGCAAGAACAACACTTGTCTTCGTCCCGGGCGACAATGATGCCTGGCCATCGGCTTTCTCCGCCGGGGCAGCGGTCCCACTGCCTAGAAAAGGCATCCCAGAGATCTTCACAAGCAGAATCCGGCGGGTCGTTCAAGAAGCGAACCGAGAGGTGGGGGGTGCGGGGAAACGGAAGGAGGGGGAGGCAATTTGGACAACGAATCCCAGTCGGCTCACATGGTTTGGCGTCCAGGGGGAGATGGTTCTCTTCAGGGACGACGTTACGGGCCGGCTTCGGCGCAGCGCCATCCGGTTCAAGAAGCCCGACTCCGAAGAGGATGAAGATGACGAAATGGATGTAGAAGAGCACCGAGACAACAGCCGAGAAGCAACTGTCGCGTCAGTCGTGGAGCAGCCTGACGACGGGATCGGCGGGGCAGCCATGGATGTCGACAAGCAACCGCAGGCTAGACGTCAGGAACAAGCGCTGGACCCTGACACCCTGACGGCTCGGGCACTAACGCGTACGCTACTGGACCAGTCCCATCTGTCGCCATTCCCTCTGCATGTGCGGCCTGTGCATTGGGACTACGCGCATGTTCTCGGGCTGTACCCGCTGCCGACAGCGGTGGTGGTGGCAGATAAGGATGCCCCGGCTTTTGCTCTGAAGTACCAGGGTTGCGCGGTCATGAACCCGGGGAGGATTGTGGACGGTAAGAGAGGTGACAGGGCAAGATGGGTTGAGTTTGACGTGAAAGAAGGACGAGGTGTGGTGAGGGTTGAGGGTTAGACAGAGCCCCCGACTTTACGACTCGATTGTAATGACGCATTCCTTTGCGCCAATGCTGCCGACACAATTCCGAACTGAGCCTTGTTGAAGCCGCGAATTTGCGGTCAGTCACGAATATCCATTCTTTTGACTCATTTGTCGTTATCGTCCCCAGATTGACCGGACGGCTGGTGCAGGCGAGGGTCCGCAAAACAGCTGCATGCGATCAAGCACGCCGATCATCAGTGGATCTGCCCGAGCACCGTGAGTCCGTGACCATGCAGTGGAGAAAATCGTCGGTGTCAAGGCCACCCTCGGGGAAATTGAATCGTCCGAGATGCAACTGACAGCGACTGAGGCTCGGCGGCATAAACGAAACCAGGTCGTTGGACTGCCGTTCAAAGTACAACTCGGCAGGAAAGTGACGGCGATGCTACCGCGGGGCGGAGCGGCAACGGAGAGCATGCCGCCATCGGCAATTAATCATTATCGATATAAGAGTCTTTGCAAGGATTTCCCGCTCCCGCCCTCACACCACCGCGTCCCGCACGCTACTGCGGCTCGAACAACAGAAATTTTTCCAATCGCGCCTCGTCGGCGGGCTCCTATGCCGTCCCCAGCCCTACCCGTTCGGCTCCCGCCCGGCTGCCCCCGACCAGCTGACGGATGGGGCAAGTTGATCACGACCGATCTCGAGCCGCCGTTACCTCGCGCTGTGCCATCACCGTCAGCCTCTTGCCACCGTCCGCCGCCGCGGAGAATGTGCACGTAGTATTTTACGCCGCGGCGGCCACTAGTGGCGGCGGCGCCGTCGACGCGTCGCCCGCCACAGCTCGGGCCGGAGCTCGATTCGGCAGCGCCAATGCGGTCGGATCTCGTGAGGCGCGGCGAAGCTTTCGACAAGCCCGCCATGCTCGGCAACCCCGTACGCAATTGCATCACGCATATCAGAGACGGGCAGGTGGGCGGCGGGCAGCACCAGCGGAGCGGTGCGCTGAATATGTGCTCGCACTGGCCGGAAACAAGCGCCTGCGTCGGTTGGAGACGCCAATCCCCGGGACGTTTGTCGGAGCCGTGCGAGCGTCTCCTCCGTTTTGGGCCTCGCGACCCACCCGTCTTACATGAGAAAAACCATCAACGCTCTGGCCACAACCGACTGCCGACGGCTGACACGGCTTAATTTTCGCGACAACGGGCTCCAGTCGGTCTAGTCACCAGCAGGTTTTTACTCTTAGGCCCGTGTGCTCGCCATGTAGCTTTAACTTGCCGTTAGCTGTCAAGCTCGCTCACCTCCAACTTTCAATTCTCTCCTGCCTCGCGACCTCCTGCCGTTAGCGGTTTCCATTACCACACCACTCACGCGTCTTCTGCTTCCACCAGGCATCTTGCCTACGCACTGCCCGCTACTGGCTAGTCGACCTCACCATGGAGCGCCAGGACGAGAAGGCGATCGATGCCATCCAGCCCAGCACCGAGCCCAAGAAGACCAATCATGGCGCCACCAAGGAGCTTCCCGGCAGCGAGGGTTCCTCATTGGACCTGGAGAAGCAGCTCGAGGCCCAGGAGAACCTAAAGAGGAACCTGAAGAGCCGTCACTTGCAGATGATTGCCATTGGTGAGCCTTGCTCCTGATCCTTGCGTCCATCCTCCACATTGCTGAGACCTCTCCACACAGGTGGCACCATCGGCACCGGTCTTTTCATTGGTAGCGGAGAGGCCATCGCGAACGCCGGTCCGGCCGGAGCTCTCATCGCGTATGCATTCGTCGGTTCTATCGTCTATTCCGTCATGATTTGTCTGGCCGAGATGGCTACGTACATCCCGGTTTCGGGTGCCTTCTGCCAGTATGCCGCGCGGTTCGTGGATCCCAGTCTTGGTTTTGCCATGGGCTGGATTTACTGGTTCTCGTGGGCCATCACGTACGGTCTTGAACTTACCGCAGCTGGTCTCATCATCCAGTACTGGGATGACAGCATCTCCGTGGCCGTCTTCATTGCCATTTTCTGGGTCGTCATCACTGCCATCAACTTCCTGCCCGTCAAGTTCTACGGAGAACTTGAGTTCTGGTTTGCGGGAATCAAGGTGCTAACCGTCATTGGCTGTATGTGGTCCATGCGCGAACTCTCGGGTTGCTTTTACTGACCAGTCAATAGTCGTTATTTTTGCCATCTGTGTTGATGCTGGCGTTGGCAAGAATGGCTACATGGGATTCCACACCTGGAGCAGCCCCGGTGCGTTCGCTCCCTACCTGCTGGAGTCCAAGGGCGCAACGGCCAAGTTCGTCGGTTTCTGGGCCGTTCTTATCCAGGCTGGCTTCACCTACCAGGGTACCGAGCTGGTGGGCATCGGCGCCGGAGAGACGGCGAACCCGCGCAAGACCGTGCCCGAAGCCATTCGCAACACCTTCTGGATGATCTTGCTGTTCTTCCTCGCCATCATCTTCTTCGTCGGTCTCCTCGTGCCCTACGACAACCAGCAGCTGGCGCTTGGGGGCGATGATGCTTCTTCTTCACCCCTGGTCATTGCTGCCCAGCTTGCCGGCATCCCCGTGATTCCGGGCCTCATCAACGGCGTCCTGCTTACCGTCGTCCTGTCAGCCGCCAACGCAAACGTGTACTCGGGTTCCCGCATGATCATCGGTCTCGCGGACGCGGGCTGTGCGCCCAAGTTCTTCGCCAAGACGACCAAGCACGGTGTTCCGTACTGGAGCGTCGCCTTCACCGCAGCCTTTGGCCTCCTCGCCTTCATGAACGTATCCAGCAGCGGCGGCGAGGTGTTTGACTGGTTCATGAACATCTCGGGCGTGGCGGGTTTCATCTCGTGGGGCTGCATCAACGGCTGCCAGATCGCCTTCATGCGCATCCTCCGGCTCCGCGGCATCGGGCGCGAGTCGCTGCCGTACACGGGCTGGGCCCAGCCCTGGCTCGCGTACTACGGCCTCTTCTTCAACATCCTCATCATCCTCACGCAGGGCTTCACGGCCTTCATCCCGTGGGACGTCAGCAGCTTCTTCGTCGCGTACCTCAGCTTGATCATCTTCGCGGTGCTGTACTTCGGCCACAAGATCGTGTTCAAGACCAAGTTCGTCAACCCGCTCGAGGCCGACATCGACACGGGCCGGCTGCCGGCCGAGACGGAGGTGTGGGAGGAGAGCAACGACAACTTCTTCGCTAAGCTCAAGTGCAAGATTAGGGGTTAGTGGTCGCGTTGCTTGCACCTGAAAGATGGTGGGAAGCGAGCGAGTCAAGAGGGATGTTTTCTTTTATTTCTAATGTCAAAAACTATATGAATGGGCGGATCTAATGTGGGTGTATTACACGGGTCTTGGGAAGAGCAAAAGAGAAGAACCAAAAAGTCGGTTTTCAGCGCGCATGGTCGGCGACTCCGGGGTTTCTCTCTTTCCTTTTTTTTTTTTTTTTTGCACATTCACTGTACAATATTCTGTGTCGACATGACAGCGGCAGCAACAAAAAAGACGGACGGCGCTCTTCTTTTTTTTCATACGCAATGGCAAAACAAAAGTCATGATTCAAAACTCGCGGCTTCTCTTGCAGTACTGCTGGTCGGGATCGGATACTAGTCGTGATGTGCACAATAATTGCATTCCCGAGTCTCCACCATGCATGTTAATCCAGCCCCGTCCTCGCTCCGATGTCATAGATGTCACGTTTCGTGAGCCTCATCACTCCGCCGCCGTGTCTCTCACGCACATGGTTGCGAATGTCCGCCGGGCTGCGGCCTTCAGTGGTCATCGACCTGATGGTGTCGATCACGCTGGCGGGTATGGCGGTGCTCTCCTCGGCAGGCATCGTCGTGGTACGCGGAGCAGAAGATGTTGTTGCGATGGTACGACGTCGTGCAGCAATATTAACAATATGATTGCTGGCGTTCTCGAGGCGCGGAGCCTGATCGCCGTTTCCGTCCTCGAAGATCTCACCGTCCTCGAGGGGTGAGAACGAGGTGGTGGTTGTGGTGGTTTCGGTTGGTGGTGCGGTCATGTCGATGGTAGATGTGGTGCCTTGAGTGGTGTTTGTTGGGCCATTGGCGGCGCCGGCAGCCGCTGCTCTTCCTCTCCGACCGGCTGTGGAGATATGTCGTTGTTAGTATCGCGGATTCTAGAGGTTTCGGTATTTAGCTCGGGGTTCGTACGGCGCTTGGCTCCTCGCTTTCTCCTCGGACGTGTTTTCTTTCTCTCGGGGCCGTCAGGAGGAGGGGGAGGCGGCCGAAGAAGAGGAGAGGGACCGAGGAGAGACATGGTGAAAGAAATAGTAGTGGTGGTCACAGACTGGAACACGAATGGTGCGGTTGTGGGCAGGAAAGATAGCACAGCAGCAACATCAAGGGAGGCTGCTTCTAAAGGCAGGAGCAGTATGCTCCTTCCCGTACTTTTTAATTTGTCTTGCGGCATGGGAAAGTACGAAGCATCCATTAGGATATCGACGGGACCATTCAGGTCGATACTTTCAATTTGTTCGATGGATCGGAGCCGTACACGAACCAAAGTGGTGGTTGTTGCGAGCTGGGGCATTTATTCAACGGCACAACGGGCGATCCTTACACGATATATCGTGTAAATTACACGATATTCGTGCTTCAGATTTTGCGACGTTTGAAGTTGGCTTCGGTGCGCGCTATACTTAACCAGGTGCCCTGCAGCGGCTGAAAACAGGGTCGCAGCTCACTGATTGGCCGACGCCGACGACAGCTCCTAACCTTTCTTTTCCAAAACTTCTGAGCTCTGCCGACCGCGACCGACTCACCCTCGGCCGTGCAAGACCGGCACCATGTTCGACACCATCTGCAACCTCCCTCTGAGCTCCGACCTTTTCGCCCAGGCCATCCACCCCACCGAGCCGCTCGTCGCCGTCGGCCTCTCCGCCGGCCACGTCCAGACCTTCCGCCTGCCGCCCGTCGCGACCGACGACGACGACAACAGCTCCGTCGAGGACGCCGCCGCCGCGAGCGAAAATGGCTTTGGCCAGATTGAGACCGCCTGGCGCACCCGCCGCCACAAGGGCAGCTGCCGCAGCCTGGCATACAGCGTCGACGGCGAGGCCCTGTACTCGGCCGGCACCGACGGCCTGGTCAAGGCCGCGAGCAGCGAGACGGGCCAGGTGCTGAGCAAGATCAACGTGCCGCGCATTGGGTACGTCCCGACTCTACCCTCTTCCCATACGGTTTTTTTTTTCTTTTCGAATTTAGCCATTGGCCGTTTTAAGCATTCTTTTTTTCTTCCTTTTTATGGTTTTCGCTGACCGCCTCGCAAAAAGCAACACCAACACGGACATCGACGCGCCCTCGCTCCTCCACGTCCTCTCCCCGCAGACGCTCCTCCTCGCGACCGACTCGTCGCCGCTGCACCTGTTCGACCTGCGCGCGGACCACAGCTTCCCGTCACTGCGGGCGGCGGCGACGCACCACCCGCACGACGACTACGTGTCGAGCCTGACGCCGCTGCCGGCGTCGGCGGCCAGCACGTCGGGCTTCAGCAAGCAGTGGGTGACGACGGGCGGCGCGACGCTGGCGGTGACGGACCTGCGGCGCGGCGTGCTGGTGCGCAGCGAGGACCAGGGCGAGGAGCTGCTGTCGTCGCTGTTCGTCGGCGGGCTCGGCCGCCGCGGCACCTCAGTCGGCGAGAAGGTGCTCGTCGGCGGCTCCGGCGGCGTCGTCACGCTGTGGGAGCGCGGCGTGTGGGACGACCAGGACGAGCGCGTCACGGTCGATCGCGGCGCCCCCGGCGCGGGGGGCGGCGAGAGCGTCGACGTGCTGGCGGCGGTGCCCGAGGGCGTGGGTGCGAGCGGGAAGGTCGTCGCCGTCGGCTTGGGGAACGGCCTCGTGCGGTTTGTACGCATCGGGTCGAATCGCGTCATTGGCGAGATCAGCCACGACGAGACGGGCGAGAGCGTCGTCGCGCTGGGCTTCGATGTCGGCGGCAGGCTCATCACGGGCGGCGGGCAGGTCGTCAAGGTGTGGCACGAGGGTTATGGGGGCTCTGGAGATGATGATGATGGGGAAGAAGACGCGACCGAGGGCGCGAAGAGGTCGATGGACAGCGACGACGATGACGACAGTGACGATGACAGCGACGCGGATAGCAGCGACGATGGTGGCGACCGGAAACGCAGGAAGAAGAGGAAGAGGTCCAAGGGCAAGGATCAGACGAATAGCAAGGCGGTCGTGACGAAGTTCTCGGGCTTGGATTAGGGAGCGCGCGCGCGCGCCAAAGGAAGGAAAGGAAAAGTTTATTTACTGACGGCGGGAGCATTGGCCGGTTGCCGTTTTCAAAGGCTACAACTGCACATAAAAAGATTATACCCCCTGTACACAGCACAACAATGGATGGCTGGAACTAATGTTGGTGTTTGAGGGCCATCTCTATCGAATGACTTGGGTTTTTGTCTGTCAAGGAAGAGGTATTTGCTGCTCAACCTTCTCAGAACGAAAACTTACGAGTACGCCGGGCCGTCTGATCTGGAGGGGGAAGACTTCCCGATTCGTGGTTGGAATCTGTTGGGACGTACACCTCAGAGAGTCCCTCTTATCCTATTCAGACCTTCCTTCTACCTTTGTTACAAGCCAGCTTGAATAATGCCGTCAGCGCGACTACGGGTTTCTCTCCGAACCAGCTACTCATGGGCTTCAACGCCAGGACGGACCCACTGTCGGCTCTGGCGGCGATCCCTGATGAAAGACAAGCCATCCGAGATGCAGCGAGGCAAGAGGCCCAAGAGGCCATCGCGTTCGCGGCTGCCAGCTAGAATGCCCGTTTCGACGGCAAGCACAAGCCCTTACGGCTCAAGGTCGGCGACAAGGTTTTCGTCAGACTCCATCAAGGCTACAAGGCCCTCGGGCACGCGAACAGGAAGTTCGGGCCCCGGTGACTTGCGTCAACACATCTGTTCTCAAAATGGCCACTGTTTTCAAAGGCGTTTATTGACAAACTTAGCCGGCGCCACCTCCATGATACAACAACTGGCGCTGTTGATAAGTGTCTGTAGATATCTAAAGCCGTGCTCGAGTGGCATACACTTACCGCTTTAAGCGTTTCTCGAGACGGATACGGAAAGAATATGATACCCTACCGATAGCCGCCAGCGACGACGCAAAACGGGGTATCAGTGACCATACTACAAATCGAAAAGAAAAGGCGACCAGCACCCTCCACACCTGCTGAAGGACTCTCGTCGGCCTTGCAGTCCGCCGGGGCGTTGTGGCAGTAAATGTAGTAACCCAATCCGCCAAAGATCACTCGACGCATCACCACCGGTCAAACCAATGGAGTCTAAACGAGGATACCCAAAAACCTTCCAGTCGCCAAGCCGTCAACCAGATGGTTTGCTCAGCCGAAAGCCCTGACGAGGTCGACATCCAGTACGACCGTAAGCCCATCCACGGACCGAATTAAAATTATTAGGGGAACTACCCTACGGTATACGCCTAGTAACCCGCATGATCTCCCGACCCAAGGCGCACCTGGCTGCAGAGAAGTGCGTGAGGATACTAGCCTGGCTGGTGGCCCTCGTAAACGGCCTCAATCCAGGTGAACTGGTGAGGGCGAGGGGCGTTGGCGGCTAAGCGCCGGCCCAAGTCCACGCCATTGGCTTTCACCAGCTGCTTCTTCTGCTCGACCGTGGAGTCGAATGCGGGCGGGGTGGGTGATGTTTTATTTGGGGTGTAAACAGAAGCGGGCGCGTGAGCGACGACGCGTCCGGCGGTGGGTGGTGGTGTGTGGGTTAGGAAGGACACGTGATCGGGAATTGGGCTGTGGGAACACTGTGCCGCCCTACGAAAGTTGGTCGGCCAAACCACCAAAACATCGCTGGTAAATGCGAGAGCAGCTTGCGCAAGTGAGGTGCAGCGATTCAGGTGAGATTTAGGCATAATTTTGGTGTAAAAACGTACTTAAGGCTCGCGAGCTGCTGCGATATACTGTCTGAGCCTATCCGAACGTGTGAAATGTATGTGAGGCTGGTACAGCCCCCTCTCGCAGCCGATGGCTAGCGCGAAGAATAGCAGAACATGGCGTAACTATGCCTTAGCTCGTTCTTAGAGAAAAAAAAAACAATACGTAGGTAATTGAAGCTATCGTCCGGACGAGAATGTCGAATTAAAAATTCTACGTACACGTCCGGAGGATGGCTTCAACTACCCATAACATGAGCAAAAAACAGATCCACGCTAGCCATCGGCTGCGCGAAGGAGCTGTAGAACGAGTTGTCCCGAAATACCCTTATCTCGATTCTAGAAGCCTAGAACGCCTCCGCCTAGGCTATCGACGTAGCAAAGGCTATAGCCTAGCGTGCCCTATAGGCCGTTCGGGACATTAACCGTAGCCAGCGTAAGGCTAAGAATAACCTATTCCGCACTAGCACGAATATCGCGGCGATAGCTACTCTTTATAGCGAGCCGATAATAGACAACAAGGTTAAGTAGATAATAGAAATTAGGATAAACCTTATTAGAAAAGGCGCGATCTCGTAGCCTTTAAAGGAACCCCGGGCCTAGATTGGCCCACTACTAAAAGGAAAGGTGGGATTAGAATACGATATCGCTATAGAATCTACCACGCGCGCTATTTATTAGGTTAGCTAGGCCGTAGCGACGTCGCCCGTTACCCCCTCCAATATTAGATTACTATTTAAGAAGCGAAGAACTTCGCAGACCCTACCGTACTAAGGCTAGGGCGCCCCCGTCCCGGGAGATAGTGACGTTAAACTATACCGACGGCATTCCGAGAGGAAGCGCCATACTTTCTTTTGTTTTCTCCTTTTTGCGGTTAGCGATTACCAGGAAGTAATGGCAGCAGCCTAAGGCTGCTACGTATCGGGGGGACGGCTTGCTTTTTGCTTTTTTTCGATCTGCTTTACTTTTCCTTGTCTTCGGCGGGCCATTCTCAGATTTTCTGGCCGCCTACTTTAACGGGTAATGGCAGTAGCGCCGTGCTACTGCGTAGCCTCTGACACCGGAGGAGAGCAGGGTGCACCATGCGACCGCCCTTCTCCCTCCGCCTTCTCTTCTCCCTCCACCTTCCCTCCGTCTTCTCTTCTCCCTTCACCATCCCTTCCCTCTCCCCCTCCCCCTCGTCCTTCTCCCTCCCCCTCCGCCTTCCCCATCCCCTCCACACAGCCTCATCCCCTCCCCCTTCCCATCCCCCCCACTCCCTCTCACCCCCACCTACCTCTCCACGACCGGCCCCCTGTAAACCCCCCTCCCCCACACCCCCCAATACGCCAAACTCCACACGCACCCCGCCCCGAAGACGACCCCGCTCCAATTCATGCCCGCCGCCTCCTCGTCCACGCCAGGCGGCCACAGCGAAAAAAAACGCACCGACGAGGCTGTAAGCCAGCGCGGCCGCGATGACAGGGATGGCGATGGCGTTGGGGCCGAGGCTGAAGGGGCCGAAGGGGAGGAAGTGGTCGGGGGTGAGGGCGTGGATGTCCGCTGTCGTGGTGGTGGTCGTGATGGCGGAAGTGGTGGCGGCGGGGGGGAAGCAAGGAGGAGGAGGAGGAGGAGTAAGAGGAGGAAGAGGACGCACTAGACGCAGGCGGTGGAGGAGGAGTGCGGCGGCGGGCACGGCGAAGGTGGCGTAGCTGGCGACGACGACAAGGGAGGTGAGGGCGTTGAAGGCGGCGGCGGACGCGATGTTGATGAGGGAGAGGAGGGAGGCGATGGCGGCGGTGGTGAGGAGCGCGGGGAGGGGGAGGGTGTTTGCGTTTGCGTTTGCGTCTGCGTTTGCGTTGGCATCGTTGTTGTTGTTGTCGTTGTTGCTGCCGCTGGCGGCGGTTGCGCTGCAGGTCGTAGTACCGGTCGACGACGTCGACGTCGTGGTGCTGCCGACGCATATTGAGCTCGACCACCAGTACGGCGCGGGTACTGTACCACTCCTCACGCGCACCACCTGCGCCAGCCACGCCGACGCGGGCAGCCCCCGCTCGCGCGCGAACGCCCACAGCATGCGGCTGGCGGAGGCGAGCACGTTGATGGTGGCGGCGACGCAAGCGAGGACGAGGACGGACGACATGGCGGTGGCGGCGGCGCGGCCCCGGTTAGTGGGCGTCGCGGCGTTGGCGAACATCTGGATGGCCGGGTAGCCCGTCGGGGTGGAGAGGATGGCCGAGGGGTCGCCGGCGCCGAGGCAGAAGGCGATGGCGATGACGGCGCCGAGGCCGAGGATGCCGTTGAGCGCGACAGAGGCGAACATGCTGCGCGGGATGGTCGTCGAGGCGTGGTGGATCTCTTCGGCGAGGTGCGAGGCCGCGTCGCAGCCTGCGGGGGGCGGGGGAGGGTCAGATATATTGGGGAGTCGAGAAGACGGGGGGGTGGGGGCATTGCGTCGCTCACCGACGAAGGAGAACATGGTGGCGGTCAAGCCGACGAAGAAGGATAGACCATCGGTCGACCAGCCCCCGCCGTTGTAGAAGGTTGCGAAGACTTCCTTGGCGCTGGCGTGCGGGGCCATGGCGATCAGCGGGATCATGAGGGCGAAGAAGCCGACGACGTGGAGGCCCAGGAACATGAGTTCGATGGCCGGGAGCAGCGGTTTGGTGATGGTGTTGAAGAACAAGGCAACGAGGATGACTGCGATATGCAGGAGCGTGCCGTGCCAGCGCTGGAACTCGTAGCCGGGGTGATTGAGCACCAGCAGACCTTGGATCAGCGTGCCTGAGAGGTAGGCGGCAGATGCTACCGTGCACTGCCAACAGATGACACAGAGCCAGCCGGTGATGTAGCTGAGGAACTTGGAGCACCAAAGAGGGGCCAGAACTGCGACCCTGCGAGCGAGAAGGGTCAGCGAGGAACTTGGGTTCAGTCCCATTGGAAGTGTGGATACCAGTTGTATTGACCTCCAGCCAGCGGGATCCTGCCAAACGTCTATCAGCTCAATCCCGGGACGGCAAGGCAGTGAGGTTTCAAACATTGAAGCCATCTCGGCCATGACCAGAACTTGAAGGATAGTTCCGATCCAAACAAAAATGTACCCATAGATGAGCCCCGCGTTGCCTCCGTTCAGAAGGCCTCCTTGGAAAACACTGAGCATCATCAGCATCTATTCGCGAAATGCAGGCTCGCAGGCAGACTGACACGAGCATCGCCTCCCATGTTATGACAAGACAGCATGTGAAGCCAACGATAGGCACGAGGCCGAAAATGCGCTGCCGAGATCCAGGTCAGTCATCAGCATAACAGACTCGGTGTCAACTACCTTCAGCTGTGCCTTTTTGCCAAACCGCGCCATGTTCTCTGCATCGCTGCTATAGACCGACTCACTGGCTGGCTCACAACTGGTTGATATGGTTTCGATTGCCATGTTCCGCATCCAATACGTTCAAGAAAATACAACGGCGCCAGAACACCGCTAGAGTGAAGATACACCGGAGAAGGATCGAAGAAAGAACGTCCATGGAGCGGATGATAAGCACGGAAAGCCATGGCGCACAGAGAAAAAAGCGACACGTTGGGAGCCACGGTTAGCCATTCTCGTGGGTCGAAGCGTTGTGCATGGTCTGACATGGCGTCGCGCATGAATTGCACGTATGCACGTTACACCAAGCTTGGAGGCAACAGGGTGCCAAAACCTTCCAATGTACAATCTGCAGCGGCTGATATCAACCTACCTCTTGCGTCGTAGCGTGGTTTCTAAAATCTCCGTGATCAGCATCTCTGCCGCTCAGGAGCCGTCTTTAGTGATATGTAAGTTGAGCCGAGAATAGTAATGCATTGGATGGCTTAGTAAAACAGGGGTGGTGCAGACTCAGTAATGGAAATGTCTCGCTTTCGTTGGCTTCAATCGCAACACCCCTCGCATGCACACGAGCCAGTCGGATAGGCTTGCAGTCGCACCGACTCTCAGGTCATATCAGAAGCGGGGTCTGTCTAGACTTTGGCCGGGCTGACGCTGTTGTGGAACGATTTTTCCTTTCGCGGGCCATTAGCCTCACTGCAGTCGTTGGTTTCCCAACTGAAAAGTCATCTACGACGTCCAATTGTTGAAACATTAATAGATTGACCCTCTAAATACACGCGAGGTGGGACTAATTCCGATCAGGTTTTCTATCCTGTGTGATAGATACCGTGTCCGGCTCATCGTTCTTCAACACAAACGGTCTGGTACCTACCTCCCCGGATGGGAGTTGAATGCGCTGCCGAGGAACTGTATCGGGTGGCATCAATGGACGAGTGAGACTTTAGAGCTTGTGCTGCTTCGGCCGAGGGTGCTGCAAGGAGACGTCAGGTGCTGTGACAAGTGTTACATTTGTTTCCTCCAGCGCTTTACATCCTTGTGCGCATTCCAACCAAGATTTGCTGGAGGTATTCGAGTTTACTCACCTAGTTCTGCCAGCTTCGCCTTCCTTGGTGCATCGGGATCGGCACCAACTGCTTCGAGCCACTTCGGGTCAACCTCCTTCAGGTTCAGGTAAGGCGACAGATCCGCGCCCGGTGTCTTGCTCTCGCGTGTGAAGCCCATTCCCAAGAATGCCCACATGTTGCGGGTATTCTGGTATTTGATCTCGTAATCCTCATAGCGCGGCTCTTGTATTGTCCGCACTAAATGCGCAGTCAGCACCCTTTCATCGCCCGTAGTCACGGCTCGACAGCTTACTGTAATGCAGAGAGGAACCGGGCCAAACAGCTAGATTAACAAGAGTGACAATCATTAGCCCAGATCCAACCGCAACCGAAAAAGTTCTGTCGAAACTCACCGTTGATGCGACCAGTATCGTTGTTCTTGTACCAGGACCGACAGCTGTCCTTCCACACGGTGTGCTTGTACCACTCCTGTGCGTGCTCGTTGAAGTGGTCCGTGACCTGCTGCTTCGGCACCAAGCTCTTGATGTGGTCCCTCTGCATCTTCTTGATGAACTTCACAGTGTAGTTGACAACCTCGCCCAGCGGACCCGCAACGCTTCCGTTCTCCACCGGCCTGCAGAGAATGAGACAGTCAGCTGCTGCTAGTGTCGTGTAACTCAGCTCTACCCCACACCTCCTCATTGACTTACCATGTCGGACCGATGTACATGAAGAAATTGGGCATGTCCGGCACCGTGATTCCAAGATAGCTCTCGGGCGCATCCTTCCACTTCTCCGCAAGATCGACACCATTCCGCCCGATGACGGGGAAGCGCGGGCGGTACGTGACGTCGAAGCCGGTGGCGCAGACGACCGTGTCGCACTTGCGCTCCACGCCATCCGCACCAACAACACCGTCCTCGGTCAGCCGCTCCACGGCCGTGAAGTGGACATCGACATTCTCCTTGGTGACGGCCTCCATGTACGGGTCGCCGGGGGTGACGCGCCTGCAGCCGATTTGGAACTTGGGCGTGAAGCCCTCGACGAGGCGCGGGTCCTTGATCCATTCCTTCATGCGAGCGCGCATCTTCTCCTGCGCCTCGGCCTGCTTCTCGCCCTTGTCGTACATGACCTCGAAAATACCGTTGACCTGGTCCTCGATTCCCTTGGACTCCTCGACCATCTTCCGCGGGTCTCGGCGAAACTTCTCCTTCGCCTCGTCGCTGTACTCAACCGTGGTGCCAGCCTGGTCCGTCAACTGGACAAACCACACGCCAGTGCGCACAAAGACGTCGAGATGCTTCACGTACGGCTGCATGCTGGGCACCGTCTGGATGGAACTGGCGCCCGACCCGACGACGGCGACCCTCTCGCCCTCCCACTCCTCCTCCCGGTAGTCGCGCGGCCAGCGCGCCGTGTGCACGACGCGGCCCTTGAACCGGTCCTGCAGGCCCGGCAGGTCCGGCCACTTGAAGTTGTTCAGGATGCCCGTCGCGTACAGCAGCACGTCGCACTCGTCGTCGAACTCGCGCAGCACGTTGCCGGCGCCGTCGCTCTGCCGCAGCCGGACGCGCCACGTGCCCGCGTCGTCCTGCCACCGCGCCTCGACGACTTCGGTGCCGAACGTCATGTACTTGCGCAGGCCGAAAACCTGGCACACCTTGTCCAGGTACTTCCAGATGTCGGGCGCGTGCGAGAAGTACCGCGGCCAGTCTGGGTTGAGTGCGAAACTGGCCATCGCATGCATATGAGCTTTGCGGGCCATTTGTCACGACGCATGGGCAGCATGACTTACTTGTAGGTGTAGGCATGGCTTGGGATGTCGCAGGCGCATCCGGGGTATCTGTTCTCCAGCCAGGTGCCGCCAATGTCCTCGTTCTTCTCGTAGATCTTGAAGTCGACGTTTTCGCAGCTCTTTTGGATGTGATACGCCAGCATGATGCCCGAGAAGCCGGCGCCAATGGTCAGCACCTTCAGCCTGCGCGTTTCCGGGTCGTCCAGGATGATGTCGGGGATGTCATAGCCCGCGGACCCGGGCGTCGAGTAGTCCCATCTCCCATCCTTGACGAAGCTCTGGGCGATTGAGTTGAGGTCTGGTGCCATGATTTACAGTGGTGGTGGCAGGAGTTGGAGGGGATGGGGTGGCAATTCATTGTGACGTCGACGGTACTTATAGATCCACCACAAGGGAAAGAGCGAAGCGCAGGCGGCCTAACCACCACACGGGGACCAGCTACTCTTCGGAAGTCAGAGACGACAACACCTTCAACTATCTCCGTGGGGTCTTCGTCATCTATGGCTTACACACCTTCCCAGGCCAGACAGTCCCCGGCTCTCCGCTCGTTTGTCTCCACTCACGAATGGTTCCTGCTCGTCATAGTCGGCAGAGAGCCTAGGCAAGACGGGCAGGCTGGGACCCAAACAGCGGCTGTAGTATTCACGCCGCGCCGCGTCAAACGTACCGGGTCCACGCCAGCGACGGAAACCCCTTGCTACCACCAAGGTCCCCGAGCCGAGGACGAACCCCGCCCTACCACGAAACGGGAAACAGAACGAATGAGTGTCCGTGGGTTTGCCCACTCCACCATCGCCGACTGGTTGGATCATGTCCGCGTTTTTACCCGTTTGGGCGCAGCCCGTTTCCGCGCCACCCTTGTCGGGCGACGTCATGCGATTGGCATGGATATTGAACGGATCCGGAGATAAGAGGAACAACTGAGTGTGGCTGCAGACAATCGGTGGCATGGGACCGGGCGGGAGGCGAAGGTACCCGGCGCTTGCCCATGTTGGGTGGGTCTTGTATGCACCTCGATGCCAATCCCGAGGTTATGGCCAAGATACTCCACACCCCTCCTCGCCTCTGTTGCGGGGGAGCTGCCGTGCGCTTGACTCTTCTTGCTCATGTGGCGCTGCTAGACCTTTGGTCTAAAGATTTCTCTGACAGCGAGATGGAAGCATGTGCGTTCTAGACATGAAGTCATTCCGGCAGTGTGCCAGATACACACTCCCCTGCATGTCAGCTTCATTGGATCCGGGAACCACATCTTTCCGTGGGCCGGGTGGAACCACCAGTTCAGAAAACCGTTCGGGGTCCCCGGCAGACGTAGCTCAGCTGCACGTCTGTTGATGAGAACCAGGTGTGCATCACCACATCTGACTGCCGAACCTCGACGCCTTACTGAAGGTACGAAGGTTGAATTACAGTCGAATCATCCTGCTGCGTCATCTGATTTCGTACTGCTCTCGCAAGGTAGCAACTGGCTGTCCTTCTTTCTCTAGAGATACGCCGGATTTTCAAGCCAAAATATCAGCAATGTCAGCGAAGAAGGACTTACTTTTGAGGCTTCATAATGCTGACTCGCCGCTCACCGTGTTGCTTATCAAGCACTCAAGATGCTGAAGTCGCCCAAGGTAGCGAGAGGCCGCGACATCTACTTGCCATATCAGTACTTCGGATTCAGATTCCATAACAACGAGAAATTGAGCGCCCGAGGAGATTGCTTAGCGTCGCCTGGCTGATGAATGTAATCTGCAATTCCCTAGTAGTCTAGGCTGACATTTGCTCTAGACTTACGTATTTCTAATCATCGAAGAAGCTACAAGTATCGTACATTGCTCGTGGAAGAACGTAAGGTGGAAATCCAAGGGCTGCAGGGGACGGGAATGAACGATGCGATGATGTCTAAACCGACGCGAAAGAAAAGAAAAAAAGGAAGAAAAGAACCATGGGGTAATACCTCCCTCCGCGGGCTGATGAGCGCACCCGCCATACCATTCCAATCCAGCGCCTGATGTGGGGGGAATATTTGTCGTTACAGCGATTTTTCGTCAGCAGAATCATACTTTCAACAGAATGAAGGTAAGGCCCTTCTATGCAGTCACTGCTCGGACCGCTTGCAGCAGCAGCCCGAACATGAATCCTCTAGAAACGTCTTCAACTTGCAGGCAATCAAACACCTTGCCGAGCGCCTCTCCACTAGCTGCCTGGCCCATTACGCTTGTGAGAGCCTGGGGCATACCGCGCTCAACGAGCAGCTTGCGAGCTTTGACGCGCAACTTCTCCTTGTCTTCGTCGCTCGTCGGTGCAGGCCAGTTCTTCCTCTCCTCGTCTGTTGGCATTGTGTTGAAGCGCAATTTTTCGATATGCGATGCAATACCAGCATCCGACGAGTTTGCCTCGAGCACCGTGTCTTGCAAAAGGACGCGGATGCTTTCGAGCTGCGGGTTTCCAGGTCGTAGCAGGAACGTCTTGGCGGCTCCAAGGAGAGTTTTCCGGATCTGCCACGCTGAAGAAAGAGTGTAAAGCTCGTTGATGATGGCGAAAAAGAGTTCTACAGCCATCTGTGTCTCGTTCTCGTTCAGCGGGGCCTTTTGCTTGGATTCAGCCTTCAGCTTCCCAGGCTCCGTCTGTGAACGCGGCAGCTTGGGCGGACTGGCCCCTCTGACTGGTTCACTAAGCATGGATTCTCTAGCCGTTGAAGCCCTAGAAAGGCGTCTAGACTCCTCGCTTCGGCTGCCGCGCTTTCGCTCTCGCTCAGGACTCGAAGGCATGCCAGGTTCGCCGTATGAATCGGAGATATCGGACGGAGGAGGAGGAAGATTGAGGATTTGATCGCCACCCATGAGCGGAGATATATCCAAACTTTCCCTCTGCGATGGTGCTCTACTCGGATTGCGGCTATGGGCTCTACTTCCTCCATGAGCTGAAGATTTCGAAGAGTTGGGCCGAGGTTTGTTTTCGGCATCCTCTGGATTGTAGCTCGGTCGACGTTCCATCTGAGCAATAGGCGCTGGCTGCTGGTCAACTACCGGTAGGCTACGAATACTGTCTTGACTGCGTCGGGAAACAGGACTCCGGATGCTCTCGGTGCTTCGTCTGCCGCTACCGCTGGTGGAGAGCATGCTCTCCGATCTCAGGTGGGAAGCGTTAGGTAGCTCTGAAACGGTGCTCTCTGCCCTCCTATGCCGATTCGCCGCTGGCGACTCGTCCGTTTTGGTGTTGCTGCTGTTGCTGGGAGGATTGACCATGCTCTTTCTCTTTGGTCCCAAGCTACCAAACACTCCAGTGACGCCACCAAAGATTGCCTTTCCACCAGCCGCAGCCTGGTTTGGGGCCTTGGATAGTGTGTCGAACATACCCTTGCCCATTTGCTCGAAGGCGGAAGGGGTAGGCCAGCTCAATCCTTTATTCGCTCCCGGAACCCCAGTATCCTTCTCAAGGAACCTTTTCAGACCTTCACTCTCGGCCAATGGCTGCCATCGAACAGCGTCGTTCAGGTACCTTTCTAGCTCGCCACGGAGCGAGTTCTTCGTGTGGCCTTTCCAAGCAGGCAGGTTTGGGTGAGACTCTGTGAATCCGACCCCAGAAACAACAGAGATACGTCGTAGGACCTCATGCAGTGTCTCAAAGTCTGCATATTTCCTTGAGATCATCCAGCCAGGGTGGGCCGATGAAGCAGGCTCAATCTGGACGAAGTAGTCGCCCACCGGTTTCGATTTGACCACGGACTTGTCTCCAGGTAATGAGTCGTCGAAAATGGAGATGTTTGCGTTGTATAGTGTCAAAGGCGGCGGTTTGCTGCTGACGCTTTGAGGGCGTCCGCCTAGCGCTGTCGGAGTGGGCGATGTGACAATCTGGTCAAAGCTGGTGAACGCCTGCTTTGGTGCTGTTGAGATGGAGTTGGGCGACTTTTCCTCGTCCGATGAAGACTTTCGGACTGGTTCGCTTGTTGGATCTCTCACCTTCGAAGATTCGTGCAGACTGGTCTTGCCAATGACCGAGTCGTGAAGAGACTGAGGACGTTCTTCGTTGTGGTCGCTCTGGGATGACGTCGGTGTAAATGCTTCCTGCGGTGTGCTGTCCGAAACTTCGTCGCTGAGTCCCGAAGTGGACTTCTTCCTACCCAGCTTTGCCTCCTCGCCACTGTCGGATGGTTTAGTTGCCTCTTCCTCTTGAATCATCTGAGTCAGCCGTTGAGCCTCCTTCATCGCTTCATCCATAGCTTCCTGGGCTTTGCTGACAACCCGACGATGAGTTGCCTTAGTCTTATTGTCCTCCGTCTGCCGTGCCTCTGCCTGCTCCTTCTTCGCTGCCATCTCTGCGATTGCCACATTGTCTTTGACTTCCTCGAGCTTGCGGCCCTTTGAACCCTGAACACCAGCATCTATCTCTTTCATGAGCTCCGGCTCGCCCTCCTCCAGCATGTAAACTATCCAACCGTTGATCCACTCGGGCTTTGACATGGTAGTCAGTGCCATCTCAAGAACAACCTTGGCAAGGATCTGCCTCAGGAATATGCGTGCCGGCTTGCAGTTATAGGTCTTGGGCTCCAGATAGTTCTCCAGAATATCCTCCGCAACAGCATCAAATTTCTTCTCCTGATGTTTTCTATCCAAAACGCTGGACAGCTTGCTTTCCGGTTTGAGCCGTAGGTAGGATTGGACCGCTTCGACAGCGGTTGTGGACGGAGAGCTTCCGATAGCATCGGACAGCTCATTCAGGAAAACAATCATGATAGCGGACGAGTTTGTAAGGTATTCGAGGAAGAAGTCTGCCGGACGCTTCCGGGCAAGATGGTTGGCAACAGAGAGAATGAAGGCGGTCAAGGTTTGGCGGCAGGCGTTTGGGAAAGCCACTTCGGTGGGCACGAGCGGGCCGTACCACCATCTGTAGAACCATCAGCAGCACTCTCAATGAAAAGCAGCCAGATGTCGCGTGACGCACTTGATATAGTCCCGCACAATGGCATCGGTCAGGTCGGTCAGGGCGGCGGCCGTCTCGGGCTGGAATGTAGAGTAGTCCAGTTGCTTGCCAGAGAAGAGCTGGATGTCAACTTCGGAATCCCGCCGGCGGGAAGATTGAGAATCCTTGTTCTGCGCGCGCACGTCCATGACCCTCTTGATGATGTCGAGGCCGAGTTCCTTGCGCCGCCGCTCTTGGGCAGCGCGGGCGGCATCGTCGGGGAAGCCACGGAGGGTGCCCTCCCACTGCGCGTGCAGGACGATGCCTCCGACGACTCCGATGAGGACCAGACCGACTCTTCCCAGCACCAGGTAGGTCGTAGCTCCCAGACCCACCAGGCAGGCCCCGAGCGTCTCATTTGTAGCGGTCGACAAGAAGTTCAGCGCGCGGTCGGTCAGCGCCTGCAGGTTGACGGGTGGCGGCGGCGGCGCATCGCCGGCTGGCGGGCTCACGGCGTCGGCGGACGGGGCATGGCTGGCGGCGTCGTCGTGTGCAGATTGCGGCGAGTCGCTAGGCGGCTGCTGAGGCGGACTGTCGGTCGAGGTGCTCATGGCTCTGGGTGCCTGGAAGGGCGCATTTGCTCTACAGAGGACTCGAGAGGACTTCGGGCTACACAAAAGATGGGAGGAAGTCTAAGGGGCTGAGGCTTGGGGCGTTTCTAATTGTGTGTACGTTCCTGAGCGAAGTAAGCTGATGCTGATCGGAGGGCGCGCACGGGGGCGCGCCCCGGGGAAGGGATCACCGCAGGGCGGCAAGGATGACGCAGCGCACGGGCCCACCTGTCCAAAAGCTTGTCGCCCGCTGATCCAAAATTTTGTGAGAAAACCCGCCCGGAAAACACTGCACGCCATGGCCGTCTGCGTCGCCTGCCAGAGCCCGCTGATCATCGAGGTCGACTACAGCGACAGCGAGGATGACGTCCAGATGGGCGGCTCCAGCAGCGCTGCCGCCAGCGCAAAGGAAACCGTTCCCGACGACGTGCATCTGAACTGTGGATGCCACTACCACTGGTAATTCCCTGTCGAGATTCCTTGCAGGTCACCGCCACAGTCGCCAATTTCAGCTAACGTGTTCCCAGGGAGTGCCTCTTGGAGGCATATTCCGTCACCGAATGTCCCGCCTGTCGAGCTAGCATCGTGTCCACGGCCCCCGACGGCGGCCAGCAGGTTCTCAGCCACATCCACAACGAGGGCGGCCAGCAGCAGAATGTTGACATCCTGCCGCTGCTCAGCGAGGAGGGTTATCTCAAGGCCTACCCGGAGGAACGCAAATGTCGCGCATTCCTCGAGTTTTGCCGCGGGGGCGACGTCGACGCGGTAATTACCATGCTGCAGGACGATGATAGCGACGACAGCGACGACGAGGACGCCATGCAAGATGGCCCCAGGATTGATATTCTGCGCTATCAAGATACCCTTGGTGACATGCAATCCGGCCTCCACGCTGCCGTGCAGGGCGGAAGCGAAGAGATCGTATGGCTGCTGCTGCTCCTAGCCTCGAAATTGGACTATTCTCAATTTCCCCAAGAGGTGTTTGACGTCGCAAAGCAGTACGGCGTGGAGAGAGAAGATCAGGCTGGCAAGGAAGACATCCGGACATTGAGGGATGCACAGGGCCGGACTGCCGAAGCTCTGGCCGCAGAGCTTGGAGGAGTCTGGGCCGGCTGGCCTGGCACCGGCAGGCTCGGTGTCTGATTGAAGGAGCCAGCAGAGGCCACCGATTTTCGATCTGAAGCACGAATTGTGCAGATCCACACCAAACCAAGAATAGCAATCAGGCGGCCGCGACAGCGTCAAGGAGCTCGCCGTGACCGGTGACAGCGCACCGACAGACGTCATGTACGCGTGGTCCTCTAAATGCGGGTGGCCCGACGCCCTAATTGGGATTCTCAGGGTCGACACCGCATAGATCAAGTACCTTGGAACATAAAACGGCCACGAAGGGAATGTTTCAACAATCTTATTTATCCTTCCGTTATTGCCAAGTGCTACGCCGAAGCAAACACATGACTTCTAAAGCTAAAAGAAAAACAGGAGGACTGGTAGTTGTTCTCCGCCGTCCGAGTGAAGTCCAGAGCATTCAAAGTTGATGACACCATGCCAGACTCAAAGAAGAAGGCGTTTGCGCTTAATCGCAAGCACAGAGATGCAAGTCAAAGATCGCTCGACTGCAATCCCGAAGATGTCAGAGTTGGCGCTCACATCTTGACATACTTCGTGTGGTTACCCGTCGCAATGACCGGCCCAGCATTGCCGTCGACAATCTTACTGATGGTCACACTTGTGAACGCCAGTGTACCCCCCACCTTATTCGCCCTACCTTCGACCTCGATCGTGTCGCCCTCCTTTGCGGACGAGACATAGGTGACATGGATGTCAGTAGACACGCCGTTCTTCTCTCGTAGGTCCCACGAGGAGACGGCCAAGCTGCCGGCCCAATCGATCAAGGTTGCCGAGACGCTTCCATGTATACCGCCTTTGGAATTGACGTGGTTCTTGGAAAGGGGAAGGCGAGCGCGGACGAGGCCCTTGGATGCGTGGGTGATCTCGATATCTGCAAGCAGAAACCCGTAGATGGCGCTGATGGGCTTGATGCGAGCCCAGCACTGCTCCACGTGAGCCTTTGTCTCCTCGTCCGTGGCCATGTTGCGCAGAAGGAAATGGGGATGTGCGGGTGGGTAAGGAGAAAAGTGTTGAGACGAGAGCTTGGCGATGTTTTCTCGTCGAACGGCTTACGTTATCCATAGCCTAGCTCTTTGTGGCCTAGCTCTTCGCGCAACGGTCCTGGCATCATGACTTCTCACTACATCATCAGGATCCAAGCCGAGAGCGTGAGAGGCTGGCTGGCAGCAATGGATTCTGAAAACAATGAACTACCCTCAGATTGATCCCAATTCAAACCTCGAACTTCCTATCCCCCAACGATTCCCTGCTTCGGCCTTCTTCGAATCCCGTGCAATTCAGTCAACTTTACAAACACTCGACGAGCATCTTCTTCATGATTTCCCTCCTACTTAGTTGGTTTGAACCAACTTTCAATGCATTCAATCCTTTTAACTCTCTTCCCTTCGATCTCCGCTGGCGGCTTCTCATTTTTCAACCCATCGTTCTCATAATCAACTCCATGAAATACATACCTTGGCTATTCTCCCACTGCTACACCACCATCTACATCCCCAACCGACACGGCCATCTTCTCCGAACCCTGATATTCCTTCCAACCACCCGCGACCCTCAAATGAACCGACTCCACACCGACCTCGCCCCTCTCCACGTCTCCATCCACGCCGGCGGCTTTATGGGCGGTATCCCTGAATACAATGCCGCCTTTGCCTCTCTCCTATCCTCCCTCACCGGTGCCGTCATCGTCCTTCCCTCCTACCGCTTCGCGCCGTTGCACCCTTTCCCCGCCGCCATTGACGACATCGACGACGTGCTCGCCTGGCTCCGCTCCAATGCCTCTCAGCGCCTCGGCGCCGACCCATCCCTCCTCACCATCAGCGGCTTCAGCGCCGGTGCGAATCTCGCTCTCGCGGCGACCCAGCAGCAGCAAGAGCAGAAGTCCGACCCCACCAACATCAAAGCGGCCGTAACCTTCTACGCCCCCATCGACCTCCGCCTCCCGCCGCACGAAAAACCCATACCCGCCGGCCTCCCCAGGGCGAATCCCATCAGCGCCATCCTGCCGCTCTCAGACGCATACGTCGCGTCGACCGGATCCGACGGACGGAACGTGGCGGACGCGCGCCTGCACCCGTTCCTGGCGGAGCTGCGGACGCTACCGGGGCGGATGCTGTTCGTGATTCCGACGCTGGACATCCTGCTGCACGAGCAGCTGGTGTTTGTGGAGAGGTTGAAGAAGGAGGCGGAAGAGGAAGGGAGGGAGAGGGTTGTGGAGAGTCTGATTGTGGAGGGGCAGTGGCACGGATGGGTTGAGTGTGGGTGACCCCCACCCGGTTTTTTTTTCTTTAAAAAAAAAAAAGGAACGGTAAGAGAGTGGTGAAGGATCTGATGATAACCGTACTGCACAGTGCCTGACTTCACGATCGATACGAAAACGAAGCACGAAGCGTTCGATACGGCGATTGGATTCATCCGTGAAACGCATCGCCGGCATGGCTGGGAATGGGCGGCGTGAGGACGAGGCGCTGTACGACAGTTTAGCACCATCACTTGCCTCAGAGATGACTCACCTACTTAGCACGTTTGCTCGATCTCTACTCGACGGATACGGGAGGCTAGTGATGATCCCAACTCCGCTAACAACTCTACAATTTACACACTTCCCACTGCTGGTTTATCCTTTGTAACGCCGCTGAGAGGCTTTCTGTAGCTCAACTCACCGACGTATATTCGTCTGTTACTTGATCATGTTAGACTTCCGAAGTCTCCTAGTCCCCGGGCTTTGAGATTTGTAAATTCATCGATACTTCGTGACTAGACATGACAAATCATTCTCTACATCAACTGCTTAAAAGGTACTGTACATATCGAAAATCCAATGAAAAGTGACATCTCACAAGGAACGCCGCGTAATGCATACCTACTTCCGGGCCCCCGAAACTCACATGGTGCGGTTTCCAGGGCCCATGATAGCTCTCACATCCCAAACCAACAGCCTCTCATCCCAGCCGCAACTCGCACACCAGCCCTCAGCGCCGAAGAGACACCAATCGACGCCCGTCACGAACTCGGTATGGCGGCCCATGCGGCCCAACTCCTGGCCGCCGCCAAAGGCCATCGGGTTCTTGGCCGCCGCCTCGGCGGGATCGGCGCCCATGGCGGTGCCGTCGGTCCACACGCGGCACGTCATGTCGTAGCTGGCGCTGAGCAGCACGTCCGACAGGTGGGGGCTCCAAGTGAGGCGGCGCACGGCGTACTCGTGGCCGGGGAGCACGGCGACGGGCCCGTTGGGCTGGCGCAGGTCGAAGGTGCGGATGGTGCGGTCGACGCCGGCGGCGGCGATGACGCCGTCGCGGTACTTGTTCCAGTCGTGCGTCAGCGCCTCGGCGGGCGGCGACGCCCCGACGGGAGACAGCGGGGCGCCGCCGATGCGCGCCTTGGGCGGCGCGTGGATGGGGATGCTGAGCGTGAGGTGGTTGCTGGCCGAGGCGGGGGTGCGCAGGTCGAAGATGCGCAGGTGCGAGTCGGATGAGACGGCGGAGAGCACGCTGGGCGAGTGCGGCGAGAATTGCGCGCTGTAGGTGCACGAGTGGGTGGGCAGCGTCGCGATCGAGGACGGCGCCTGGGGATTCCAGATCTTGATCGTGCCGTCCCAAGATGAAGACAGGAATGTGTCTTTTGTGACCAGGTTCCAGTGTACTGCGAAGACCTCTCGCGCGTGCTCTTGCCACGACTGGATGGGGAACTCAGACAGCGAGATATCGAACAGCTTGATGCTGCCGTCGCCGCAGGCCGTGAGGATCTGGTTCTCGTGCGCTTCCGACCAGGTGGTGTCGAAGAGGGAGTCTTGCGTGTCGAACCTGTGTTTTCAAGCATCGTGTTAGCTTTTGGTCGGGTCTGATAGCTGGAGACGGCGGAAGCAGCGCACCATTTCTCAGCTACAATGCCATTTGCCGTGAGGCCGAGAATATACAGCCTGCCATTGCCGACAAGGCCAAAGTTGGCGGATGCGGCGACGGCTATGCGCGAGTCGAAGAAGGGCGAATATTTGACGCTGTAGCCGTTATAGCCCTGGGTGCGGAATTCGAGCATGGTGTCGGCGGTGGCTGGGCGGGGCTATCATGAGCAGTGGGCGTCGCTTCAGCTGCAGATGTTTGTAGAGTCGTAGCGGTCGACCAGATTGCTCATGACCCCGGGCCTGAGCCAGCGAGAAGGTGCGCAAAAGGGCTCATAGAGCTGTAAAGGCGGCGGTCGAGGTGGGATGAAGCTTGACTGACGATGAGCTGCATGCGCACGGATGCAGATGCCGAGGTTCGGGCGTGACGCCATCGCCCGCCGCCGTCTTGGAGGCAACCACTTCCGAAGCAGACCTTTGATCCGCCGTCATCCACCTCCTAGATCATGTGCGCGCGCTCAAGGGTCGCGTTACCGCAACATGGACGCGTTCATCTCCAGGAAACGACGCCGCATCTCGCCGCCAGACGACGCACAAGCCGCCGCCAGCGCAATACCCGGAGAAGACGAGGATTCAACCGACTTCAAGCTTGCTCTCCTCGTATCACTGCATCCGGAAATCGGCCAATCCTTTCTTCTCGAAATTTTACTCGATGCTAACGGATCTGTGGAGAAGGCCTCTCAGGCTCTAGCGGAGAAGGGAAATGGCGATTCTCCTCGCAAAAGGCCTTTGACAGTCGGATATCAGTCTTCACTTTCTCGTTTCGCAGTCCAGCGTGGCAGCACGGCAAGCAAGAAGTTATCAGCAAAGAAGGGGAAAACTCTACACCTGTACTCACCAGAAGACATTGAGAATGCTACCCCTTGCTCTATCATCCACAACTTTCTCCCTCCTCATGAGGCAGACGCTTTGCTAAGAGATATGCTCGCCGAAGCCCCGACTTTCGGCAGAGACACCTTCAAGTTGTTCGACAGGGTGGTTGAAAGCCCACACAGCATCTGCTTTTACGTTGACAGCTGGGACGAAGCAGCCCGTCAAAGAGACGATTACATCTACAACGGCAGCCGAATCACCGTACGGAGACTTCCATCAATGCGTCTCAAACTCCAGAGCTTAAGCTGAAGTAGGACATAAGACGTACCCTTCCAGAGATGGATAAAGCAAAAGCGAAGGTCCAGACTGCAGTCAACGCCGAGATCGAACGGCGGATCGAACGATTCCAAGACGGCGCCAGACTCAAGTACCAGTCCCCCCGCGAATGGATCCCCAACGCCTCGTTCGTAAACTGCTACGACGGGGGCGCAGAAAGGCAAGACCCAACACCCAATCGCCCAGCCATCCCCACGCAACCCCTGATAAGTTTACAGGGTAGGCTACCACTCCGACCAGCTCACCTACGTCGGGCCACGCGCCGTCATCGGCTCGCTCAGCTTAGGTGTCGCGCGCGAGTTCCGCGTCCGCAGGGTCGTGGCACGCGACGACGACAACTCCCTCTCACCCGCCTCCGACGCCGTGATCCGCGCCGATACGGAGGGCCAGATCGCGATCCACCTGCCGCACAACTCGCTGCTGGTGATGCACGCGTCCATGCAGGAGGAGTGGAAGCACAGCATCGCGCCGGCGCAGGCCATCGACCCGCACCCCATCGCCGGCAACAAGCGCATAAACATCACGTACCGGCAGTACAAGGAGAGTCTGCATCCGCGGTACACGCCGCGGTGCAGGTGCAACGTACCGACCGTGCTGCGATGCGTGCAGAGGAAGAAGGAAAACAGGGGGAGGTACATGTGGATGTGCCATACGAGTTATACACCGGGTCAAGAGGGGTGTGTAATCCTTCGCCCATGACTCTTGAGGTTCGAGGTGCTGACGAGCGCGGTACAGGTGCTCTTTCTTCCAATGGGCTGAGTTCGATGATGACGGGGAACCGCCTTGGGCGAAGAACGTCGCGGGAAGAACGGCGGAGAATGCTGCAAGGGATGAAGGGCATAGAGAATAGGCCCGACCGAAATCTTTCATACAAATCACTATGGCTGCTCTGCATCACTTTTATCGAACCTTTTGGTCAGATTACACTCCAACCAACAACAGCACTTTCGTCAAGTCCATTTTCAGACTCACGCCGATTATCTCTTTCTCCCAGGAGCCAGATATGTCTCACCCGCTGCTCCTATCCCTCACGATAGCCCGAGCTCTTTGCCTCTCCGCCCGATCCAAGACCCAGGTGAAGCTCATCACCCCTTCATCCGCCTCGGCCTCGACCTCAGCCCACTCATCCTCCTCCATATTCAACACCATGGTCAACTGCGTGCACCGCTGGAACGCGTCCCTCAGGGCGTACCGGCCGCCAGCCGTGACGGCGGCCGAGACGATGCCGGCGACGTCGCGCTCCAAGCGCACGGCGCCCAGCTCGTTGACGCGGCCGTAGTACGCCCAGATGCGCTTCTCGAGCGCCTTGCTGAGATACGACACGCTGGTGGCGAGCAGGCGGTCGAAGTTGCGGTCGGTCAGGATGCGCTTGATGGGGCGGGTGAGGGCGGACCACGCGCGGTCGAAGCGGGCGCGCACGAGGTCGTCGACGGCGTTGGCCTGCTCGCCCGCCGTCGCGCCGGCGGTCGAGGGCGCGAGCGTGGGGTCCTGCGCGGCGGCCTCGTCGGCGCGCTGCTTGAGCGCCTCGAGCTCGTCCGCGGTGAAGGTGTAGTCGATGTCGCGGAAGGCCTCGGCGAGGATGGGCCGCATGCGCGGCTTCATCACCTGGTGGAAGGCGACGCTGACGCCGTCGGAGATGAGTTCGGTCGTCTTGGCCTCGAAGCTGTGCTCCATGGCTTTCAGTGAGTTCTCTACGAAGACGGCATCGTGGCCGAAGGGGAACTTGTCGACGAGGGCGCTGTGGGCGTCGCCGTTGACGGAGCCATCCGAGGTCTGGCTGCCAATGTGAGACTGGACGATGCGTTTGATGTAGTCGTTGGCGATGTCGAGGTTGTTCAGGAGAACGAAGAAGGCGATGATTTTGTCCTCGGGCGGCATACCGCCTTGGATGGCGGCCTTGGGGTAGACATCGTCCCGCATTTTGCGTTGAATCATGCCGACGAAATCGGACCCTAACACCCTGCCAATTGTTGGCACAACGTTGGAGACCACACCGCGCTGTGACGTATTGATCGAACGCTGGAGAACCTGATTGACAATGTACATCACATCGTCGACAGCCGACGTAACGAAAGGAGGGCTTGCGCCGAGTGGCTTGTTTGGATTCAACGACAGACCCGCCGGAGGCTCGTCCAACTGGAATGCCTTCTCAACTGATCGACGGAAGAAGAAAGTTGCCATGACGTTGTAGGGCTCTAGCAGGTGTCCGTTCACCTTCTTGGCGAGGTTGCTGGTGGTGAGGAAATCGGGCATGATCAAAGGAGCGCTGTCGATGCCTTCAAGGTCGGGGTCGAGGGGCTATGTTTGCTTAGTTGCAATTGAAATCTAATTACTGTATTGCATTTACTTACGGCGGTCTTTGTGGCAAGGAATCTAGTGTACAGAGACCATCTTCCAAGCATTATTGCCGTCTCCCCGAGAAGGCCATCCACCTCCTTCATGTCTACTCCTTCATCTTCACTTGCACGGCCGGTGAGCCTGTCTCTCTGAGCCGGCGAGGATGAACGGGGAGCTCCGCCACTGGGCACGGGCAAGAAGCTTTGAACGAGGAAAGAAAAGGCGTATGATTTTATGTCGGTCAATTTCCTGTCAATGTTGCGCTCGTCGCGCCATGTGTCGAGAATGATGCCACCCTGGACGTCAGCCTCCATCTGGAGGCGCTCAATCACCTTGCCCATCATGCCAGTGCCGTAATGGCGCTCGACCAGCGGCTCGTGGCCACCCACGATCTGGGCAATGTGCTCAAACAGCTTTGTCAAGGCATTCGCGTAGAAGAAACTCTCTCTGCTCGCGACGGCAGTATTCAGGTTCGTGCGGGCTCTGGACGACACGCCATGGCAGACGTAGCGACCGTAGGCATCCAAGCCGACGTCAGACCTACCGATTAGGGGAAAGAGCTTAAAGAATCGCGTGACAGCCGTGCCATCGCCCTCCTTTGCGGCCTTCTCGAACTCACGCAGGAACAGGCCACACAGCGATTCGGCGGCATTTTCCAGCGTCACTCGCGGCGGATCGGGCACCTCGGCAGTCGGCACAATCTCCTCGGCGAAGCTGCCATTGACGACGTCTTGGGGGATGTTGGACGCACGGCTGAGGTAGCTCGCGGCCGTCTCCCAGTCCTGCGGCGCGCCCATGGAGCCGTGCACGCCCAGCACGCATGCCTTGAGCTCCGCAACCTGCTCGACGACCTCCAAGGTGGCCTTTACATTCGACTGCTCATTGTCCAGGCGCTTCACGGCGGTCGAGATGCGGCTGGCGGTGGATGCGGCGTCGGAGAGCATGCCATTGCTGATGGAGCGCGTGTTGACGACCTGGGTGCCGAGATGGGCTCGCAGAAGATCGAGGCGGCCGAGCTCGCGCGAGAGATGCTCCTGCGAGGCGATCAGGTCATTGAGGCGGGCCGAGACGTGGGCTTCCTGCTGGTTCAGGTGGGCGAGCGTGGCCTGGATCTCGGCGACGGAGGCGGCCTTGTAGATGTCATGGGCGCCGCCTGGGTCGGCGTGGTCGTTCATGGTTGCTGTGGGGAAGGCGGGCTGGCCAGGTGTTGCGCTGGCGCTGGCGATGGAATAATCGCTTGGCCCAGCCCAGTGACAGGGCCCTGGCGCGTGGCCGAGTGTCCAACCCAGCCTCGCGCATCATCGAGTCGACGCGAGCAAACCAAGGCCGCCCGGCTCGCCGGCACCCTGCTTTCCTCCCTCACTCCCACTCACTGCTCCCGCCGCCTAGCACAATCTCGCCTGCGCTGCGCAGACCTCCCTCCGACCACCTCTCGCGACCCCTCAGGTGCTGCCCTCAGGTGCTGCCGTCCGCGTCTCCCGCTGCTGCGCCACGACGCCTCCTCCGCGTATCGCCGCTGCCGTGAACTCTCAAGCTCACAAGCGCCCGCCCCGCCGCAGTCAGCTTCGCTCCACGCACCGCTTGCTCAAATAGTGCCCGCCTAGCACTCCGCGCTCCGTCTCCCTCCGCCTACCCGACCGCTTGCGCGCCTCTCGTTCCTGCGCGCATCACCGCCTTCGCCCGCCGAGACCACTGCCGCCAACCAGAAAACGAGGCGCCGGAATACGAGACAAACATAAACATCCGTCGAAGCGCCTTCCCCACCCTATGCCGCCGCAAAGGTTATAGACTGTGACCCCTCTCCCGAACATTTCTCTTCACGCGCCTCGTGGCCCCATGAGCGCCTAATAATATTATCTCTATCCCGCAACCCAAATCGACCGCCGCTCACCTCCGCCATGGACTTCGCCGGAGACGCCCTGCTGACAGGGCACCAGCTCTACGCTCGCAGTGGGGTGTCTACCACAGACGCCTCGGAAAAGCCTGCAGTCTACAAGGTTGTTGGCATTATACTGGCACTGTCGTCCGGTCTATTCATTGGTGTCTCGTTCGTGGTCAAAAAGAAGGGATTATTGTCGGCAAACGAAAAGTACAGCGAGGAAGCCGGCGAGGGATATGGATACCTCAAGAATTGGATGTGGTGGACTGGCATGACCCTCATGATCATTGGTGAGGTGTGCAATTTCGTCGCCTATGCCTTCGTCGACGCAATCCTGGTCACGCCCATGGGCGCCCTGTCCGTCGTGGTCACCGCTATCCTGTCGGCGATATTTCTCAAGGAGCGCTTGAGCTTCGTGGGCAAGGTTGGCTGCTTCAACTGCATTGTCGGCTCCGTCGTCATTGTCGTCAATGCTCCGGAGCAGTCCTCGGTTTCCACAATCCAGGAGATGAAGAAGCTTGTCGTCACTCCCGGCTTCCTGTCATACACCGGTGTTGTCATACTCGTCGCCCTTTTCCTGGCCTTTTGGGCAGCGCCCAGATATGCCAAGAAGACCATGATGATATACATCAGCATTTGCAGCATGATCGGGGGGCTGAGCGTTGTTGCTACTCAGGGGTTGGGATCTGCCATTCTTGCGCAGATCCGAGGCGTTGCACAATTCAACCAGTGGTTTCTTTACATTGTGTTGGTTTTTGTTATTGCCACTCTGTTGACAGAAATCATTTATCTCAATGTAAGTCTTGAACAGCGTTGCGGACTTGCTTTGGGCGCGTCGCTAATGTGTGGACAACAGAAAGCTCTCAATATCTATAACGCCGCGCTGGTCACGCCTACATACTACGTTTTCTTCACTAGTGCCACTATTGTTACCTCCTCCATCCTTTTCCAGGGCTTCAATGGCACCGGAACGTCCATTGCCACTGTGGTCATGGGTTTCTTGCAGATTTGCTCCGGCGTGGTCCTCCTCCAACTCTCCAAATCAGCAAAGGACGTGCCGGATGCTGCAGTATTCCAGGGTGATCTTGATCAGGTCCGAACGGTTGCTGAGCAAGAAGAACCTGAATACGAGCCGAGAGCTGACACCATTCGTGGCGGTGCTGCCATCATCCGCACGTTGTCCATGGCAAGACAGAGGAGAGAGGCCGAGGAAGCGAAGACACTCGCTTCTGTGAGTATGGAGCCCATCGGAGAGAATGAATCCATCGAGTGGGATGGCCTGCGCAGACGCAAGACGGTGCTTAGTTCAGGTCAACCGTCAATCCGACGCCAGAAGACAGTGCATCCCCCCCTGGGCATGTCGCATTTCCCCGACTCCGATTCCGAGCACGGGGCCAATAGCGACGATGATATTCATCCTGGATTTCTCTCGCGTCTATCGACCCGCCGGAAGTCCAAGAGACGCCCATCGCACTCTTCGACACACCCAGTTCCCCTTGAGTCGATTTCGGTTCCTAGCAAAACCGCCTCCATGTCTTCATTCAACTCGCGGGGCCTTCCTCCAGCTCCTAGCTCTATCATAGCTCAGGACTTCGCCACAGAAGGCGACCACCCCCACGTATACGGCCTCCCTCCAGGCCTCCGTGGTGGCGATGGTCACAACGACGACACTTCATACCACGGGCCACCTGGCTCGTCATCCAGCGGTGTCCACTGGGCATCGTCTATCGACGAGCGCGTCAGAACCCCAGGGAGCAACACACTCAGTCCCCCACCGCCGCCACCCCACACTTCCAGCGCAAGCAGCGGGTCGAACAAGCGCCAATTCTCCTTCACCAACGTCTTCAACCCCTTCGCGCGCCCCGACTCGGCCGGCAGCAACCGCCCCATGAGCGCGCGCTCGGGCCTCAGCTTCGCCCACCGCAAGCCCGGCCACCACCCGCGCCACAGCAACGGCGGCGGCGGCGACACGGAAGAAGAGCGCCTCGGCCTCGTCAAGGGCGGCGGCCAGTTCGACGACAGCAACGACTCCCCCATCGACGCGCCCGGCAAATCGCCCTACTACCACCACGCGCAACAAGCCGCCGCCGCCGCCCCCGGCTCCAAGCGCCTCTCGGCCGACAGCGACGACGCCTTCTACGGCCGCTACGGCTCGCCGCCCACGTACGGCGACCTCAAGGAATCCGACCTCGAGGACCCGGACCCGGGCGTGCTGAGCGACGAAGAGCGCTGGACCGTGCCCATGCCGTCGGCCGGCGGCGCCGGTGCGCCGACGAGCGCTCCCGGCGGACACAACCGCAACTTGACGGGCGGCGGCTTGTCGTCGGCGCCCATCGACATTCGCGTGCCGGCGCCGGGGGTGCCGCAGGGGGCGGCGGGCGTGGGGAGCAGCAGGGGGGCGTATGCGCATGCGCGGAGCGCGAGCGAGAGTTCGGATGATTTCGAGGCGGCGATACGGAAGTTGTAAAAGACGGTGGTGGCGGCGGTGACTTCTCTTGCTTGTCTTCGTTGTTGTGGGCTTTTTTGAGCGGAAGCGAGCGAGCATTGGTGTTGGGAAGGGAAACAACTAACTGCTGTGATGTGGTTTGAGTTGGGATGTTGGGGGGAATTTTTCTTTTTTTTTTCTTTTTGCCCTTTTTCGAGCAATGCATGAGATGAAACATGATGACCGTCATGAAACAGGGACATGGCCGTATCGTTCTTTCGGGATTAGTTCTGGACGTTTTGGTGCCTTGTAGTAATAGGCTGGTTGTTGATGTCGTCATCAGAGGGGTTCTGGTGGTCCTTGGTTTTTTTTTCCCCTTCTTGTTAACTCCATTTTCTCTCTACATTCTTCTCCCGCTTTTCGTCAGTTACTGTGTACGCTTCTTTTTCTCTTTCTTGGCTAGGGACAAATCGTCGAGTTCGGAATATGGGAATAGCGAACTGGGTCGGAGGCGCGCGTGGGAAATGTGCGCGACTGATCTACTCTCTTGATTTTTGTTTTTTGTTTTTGGGCATGTGTATAGAAACAGCGGGTTGGCAAGCGCTGCGCTTGAGGAAGCAAAAAAAAGAACTCGGTTGGTCCTTGATAGAGAAATACGGATGGACAAGCACCTGTTTTGCGCTGATCCCGCCCGTCTCAAGCGTGACCTCCCATCCTGTTGAAAACAATCAGTCTCACCTCCACGCTCTCGCGCTCCTGCACGTCTTCCTTGGCGGGTGTCCGGTTGAACGCGGCGTGCGCGCAAGCTGAGTACATACGTCCTTCCCGTCAGCCATCAAACTTCTTCCCCTCTTCGCCATATATCGCTTTCGAACTGCAGATCAAGGAGGAGGGAGAGGGAGAGACCGAACGTACCTCCGACAGGGCCTTCCTTCTCCAAAGCGAGCGAGTCGAACTGCACGAACACGGTCGCCTCCCGCGGCGTCTGGTTGCTCAGCCAGTACCATTCCTGCCGCGGGCTGTACGTCGGGTAGTACAGCTCGAGCACAAAGTCCGCCGAGGCGACGCGGTCCGCGGCGAGGCATTCGTCGTCCGAGATGGTGCGGGCGTCGCACAGCGCCAGCGGGCAGTCCTCGACCGCGTGGTTGATGGGCCGCCAGACGCTGGTGGAGGCCATCGAGTCGTCAGCATTCAGCTTGAACGTTGAGGCTTCCCATCCGGGGCCGGTTGGTGTGGGTGCGTATGTATGTACGTACTTTACGATGCGGGCGCGATAGTCCCCGTTGAGGTATTTGTCGGCTTCCGAGGCTGTGAGGTACCGGCGCATGCGGTCGAAGCCGGAGGTTTTGGTGTGGTCTGGAACCGTTCTTTGTGTCAGGAAGATGCTGTGATGTTTCTGTTCGTAATCACTGACCGATGTGGACCGAGTGCACGGGCGGCGCTGCGTTGGACGAGCTTTTGTCGTCACTGTTCCTGTATAGCGATGGGGAAGTTCGGTTACGGCGCAGCTGTGGCTTTTCAGTCATTATTGAGCCCGGATGAAGGAGAGGAACGAAAGTGAATCGACTGACTCGGAAATCATAACAGATGGTCTTGTCGGCGCGAAACTCGTCCGAGATCAAGTCCACGGTTTGCTGACAGTAAGACTCCACTGCAGCTGGGTCGGCACTGAATCTCTTTGCAGAAAACATTGGGTGGCGTATGAACTTGAAGCCTTGCTCTTCATAAGACAGTGATTGCTCGGGCAGACTGCGGGCATCTGTCAGGGGGATATCATCATGCTGAGTGTACCTCAAGTTGGACAGAGCCTCCCTTGGTACATCATCACCGAGAGGTGTTTGAATAGCATAAGGTTTCTCGACATCGTATAGCGGAGATGGCGTGATGAATGAAAGTGAGGCGACTTCCATGGCAAGCAGGGTAGTACCTGTAGAGGGGAGGGACCACGAATGACCCGCTAGGCTGTGGGATATGTTCCACAATGCAGTGGCTTGAGTTGAATTTATACTGCCTCGCGAACCGATCGACATGGGCTCATCAACCAGAATTTGAGTATTTGTGTGATGTATCTCATTATGCGGAGCCTAAAGTCGGGTTGGGCCAGTATTGTAGAAATTCTGCATGCTTTCTCGTGTGCACTCTCAAACCCACAGAACGGTAGATTGAAACACCGTGGAAGCTGGATACATAATCTACTCTTCAGAGCACTGTCTCATTACCCATAAGTTTCATTCATCATCCGAGTCTGGATCCAAACAGTGTGCGTCCTTCTCCGCAACCAGCCGGACGTTGCTCTTTTCCTGGGCTTTCGGGACGCTGTTCCCCCCGTCAAGTCCACCGCCATGCTCACTTCTGCCGGTCACATTCTGGAAACGAACAGATCAATACGATTGATACTTGACACTGCATCTTGATGGGATTCTTACCTTGGATGAATCCCAGGATTGAGCCGCATCTGGCCCCACTTGAACATACTTTTGCCAGGGCTGCGACTTCTGGTTGGTCGAAGCGGTGGAAGACATGGTGTTTACACAGTAAGATGTGACTTCGAAGGGAAAGGTGGTTGTTGGATAACGGGACGACTCTTGATCTGGCACCTCTGCGCGAGGGATAAGGCTTGATGAAGGGGAAATATAAGTGCACGGATACATGGCTCGGAACCCGGTACTATCAGCGATGCTATGGTGTCTGCCTGTGACGGGGCGTATGCAGTTGGACGTTCTCGGTTCGATTATGATATCGATTGCAGGGATTCACGGGGCTGAGTGCATGCATGCTGGGCGTCAATGCATGATGGTGGCGTATTTCTCAGAAACATCGCCCCGCAGCTTCGCCCGGTTACGCTGACAGTGACGTTGCTGTTTCGCGAGGCTGAAGGAGAAGACACAAGTGGGGTCGGACAACAAGCCATTACCCACATCTCCATTGGTGCACAGAACGACCGGGAGAAATAGCGATCTGTCTCAAAAACACAGGACTGGGAAGGAGACAAATGGTAGCTACAGTTTTCCAAGGAATGCTCGGGATACGTAGGAATGAAGGTGTGATCAACGATCCAGTGTGCCCACCAATTTGTCATATGACTCCATGTTATCCTGCTCGTCCGGGGGAATGCCCAGTAGCTCTTGTCGGATATCAGCTGCCAGCTTTTTGCTGTTCTTCGCATCTTCCTCACGCCCCAAGCTCTCGAGGACCATGCTCATCAAATACGTCGAGCGTCCAGTCCCACCTTTGCCTCCATAAGAGCGCTGATAAATCGTTAAGGCTTTCAGAAGCATTTCTCTGGTTGGGATTGGTCAGTCAATGCGTCTGGAGTGTTATAAACGGCCTTACTCTGAGGCAGCCTGTTCATCCCGGCCATGCAAGAACCAGGCGACCTTGTGCAGCGAAGCTGCGGTTCGATAGGTCTCGCCGAGAATGTCTCTGCGGACGGATAGACTGGAGGTATGGAGTTTGAAAGCTTCCACGAGGTCGCCTTTCCGTATATAAATATTCCCAAGGGAAAAGTTGGAGCTGCGGACATCAGCGGGGCGCATCGGCGACGACGTCGACGTCGACGTCGACCGAGAACTTACAAAGCTGTCAAGTAGTTTCCCGCTCCCAAGTCTGCGTCATAGAGCTCGATGGCTGCTTTGAGATGCTGTATCGAACTTTCGTAGTCTCCGCCCAGCCCTTCCAAAAGCCCGATGACGTCGAGTGTCATTCCCTTGTAGCCTTCAGCCTGACCGGGGTATTTGGACCGAATCTCTTGCGCCCTATCCAGGTCCTTCCGGGCTTGTCTGTAGTCCCCGGTGCCCAGCTCGGCAAGGGCCACGTTGGTGTAACCGTGGGCCTGCACAAGGTCATTGGGCGATCCCATTTCCTGCAACACCTTCAGTTGATTCGAAAAGTTGACCAAGGCGTCGCCGGCTCTGTTGACGTCGAGATAGATGCCACCAAATGTCCTGTAGATTGTTGCCAGAGGATATTGCTTTGGCAGAGTCTTCTCGCCCACCTCTCGGGCATTCGGCAGGATCTGCATTGCCTGGGCCGGCAACCCCTGTTCGAAGAGGTACCATGATGCATTCGCGAGGATCACGGCGAATTCCGCCCGAGGGAGTAGAGGTGGGTCCGATTCACGGTAGAATTGCTCGAGTGACATGACTTGTGGAAGGTAAAGCCGACATCGCGGCCATTGGCTGTCCAACGAGGCCTTGTCCGGGGTCAGCTGAGGATAGACTCTGTACAGAAGCTCGACGGCTTCGTCGAACCGCGCTTGGCGGTCTTCCTGTGTCATCTTGTTTAGCGTAATCGCCCCCACCAAGCGATGCATGGAAACGACTCGTCGGCTTTTGTCCTTCGATATCAGAGACTGCTGCAACAGGGGTCGCGTTGTGTCGAGGTAGACCATCTTGTTCTCGAGATACTGCAACCGCGCAAAGGATGATCCAACGCGCTGCCGATCTGATCCGGTCAGGAGGCTCTCCGGAATCCCGTCAGGATCAAGAAGTGCGAGCAGTTGAAGCAGGTGTCGGGAATCTTTGTTTGCGGACTCGACCCGGGACATTGAGATGTCCCAGACAGTGTTGAGCGAATGGGGATAGTCCATGTGTAGATTCCCAGCGTCCTGATCCAGCAGAGATGCTCGGTTGCGGAAGTCCGAGTAGATGTCCCAAATCTCTTCCAAGTCGCACTGGGACTCCAGCATGTAATTCGCAATCTGATTGATGGCCAACGGCAACCCCCCGAGGCTCTTGGTGAGTTGGCGAGCGAGCTCGGTCTCTTCTACGTCTTCATCAACCCCGCAATGATCTGACTGACGGACCAGATCAAGCAGCAGCTCGGCCGCCTTGGACTCGGAGAGAGGAGGAACGTGGATTCCTTTCATATCTTTACTGTTGACAGGAAATCTGGCAGATGCTGGATCACGGCTGTTCAGGAGAATGTGTCCATGCTTTGATTTGGGCCAGTATCCTTGCAGGACTTTCAGGTCATCCGCATTGTCAAAGACCAGGAGCCAGCTCGCATCTGGAAGGTTTGTTAGCAGAAATGGCGTAGCTTCTCCACTTCAACACACCTGTCTCTTGAAGCCAGTTCCAAAAGACTGTTTTACACTGTTGATCGGATGCTTCAGCCTCGTCGGGGACAAGGCCCAACTTGGTGACTGCCACCCTGACGTCTTGGGCCAGCTTGACCAACGAGTCTGCAGAAATCCAGAATGCGGCCTCATATGACGCTACGTGTTTCGATAGGTACTCCAGACACAACTGAGTCTTTCCTACTCCACCAAGCCCGTACAGTGACACTACACGTTGATTGACAGATGGCGCCGACAGGTGGTTGTGCATCTCCTCAAGCTCCTCGTCCCGGCCAACGAATGCCGGATTCTTCGAGTATGGCACTCTGTGACAAGGAAGGCGTGCTCTTGTCCTTATCTCCAGCCTCGACAACATGTCCTTGATTTCCTCATGGTGCATGGCATTCTTCTGCAGGCTCAAAGTCTGAACTTCGAGCTCTATCTGCCGGCTCTTCTTCCGGATTCTTGCGATTGTCTTCTCGAGACTGGGGCGGAATGGCTTCCAGGTCGCGAACAAGATGTTCTCTGGGTGGACATGTCTGTTAATCCTCCTCCACAGGCCATGTTGAAGCACTCACTCAATGGATTTTTCCGAAAGTACGAAATGACCTGGCAAGAGAACTCGGCGATAAGCCAGTAGACTTTTGACCATCAGCTTCGGTCCGAAGGCGAAGTGTGGAATCCCGACGTACGCTCCTGACAAGGCTCTGTAAGGGAAGGACACGGCCCAAGGACCTCGATATAGGTTTCGATACGCGGAAGCGTGTGTTTGATTTCATCGAACATCTCAACGATGAGCTCAAAAACTTCATTTGTTTCATGCACCAGCTGGCGGGCCCATCAACGGCTTCGTTCGGCACTGCAGCATTCGGACCACTTACTTCAACACAGAGCTTGATGCTGCCCCATATGGGCGCGGCAACGGTGGGCTGGACGTGGACGAGCACGTCGAAGCTGCCATGGAATGTTCTCAAGCGCTCGAAGAAGGCGATCAAGCGGGCCAGTTCAAAGGCCTTTGCCCTTCCGCTGTAGCGCGAATGCAAGGCGCTGCCGAACTGGATCAGCTCCTCGATGGAGCCAAAACGGCTCACAATGTCAAAATCCTTGGGATCAAGCTTGGTCCTGCAGAGGTCCAAGACTGCATCCCAGCGGTCTGTGATGACCGGACTGGTCACCAGTAGGCTTTGAGGTGGATTGTGAGCCACAGCCTCGCGACGGGAGTCCACGGAATGCTCACCCATCTACCCTCTTTGGAGTGTCTGGAGCCATGGCGTCAGCATGCGGTAGCCGTAAGAGAGGCCGGCCATTGAATGGAAGGGTAGCCGGGAGCGTTGAGGGAGCCTCGTTGATAAGGCTACCAAATTGGGGCTGAGGGCCGATGCGCGGGTTTTATCGCGACTCGACGGAAAGCGGGGTTGGAGGGGGGGTACTATGGGGCCAGCCTTGCGTTGGTGCAACGCTGGCTGGGCGTCCATGGTCGTTGCCTGAAATGTGGCGGATGTGATTATGCACACCAGGGGCGTCTGGCCGGACAGGGGGCGACAGATTGACCATGCATGAAGGCTGAAGGCTGCAGGACACGCACGTTCTCGTCGACTTCAGCCTGCTCTCGCACGACGAAAGAGCTGCTTATAATGGCGCGATATCCGCGCTTGAGTATCTGGTCACGTTACGCTGTGAAATGGCTCTCAGAAGGATATGGAAGGGTGAGCCTCAAGCGGAAGTTGTGTAAGTGGTAGGGACACAAGGCCAATCCCCCGCTAATCATTGCCCTGCACCGTGTACGTAGCTTCGTCTTGGTGCTGCCCGCCCCCGTCCCGGCCCGCCCGGATCCAACCATCAACCATCAGCAAAGCCTGCAAGCCCTGCATGACCGCTTTGCCGAGGCGCGCATCTTCACTTTCGACCACCATGCAAGCTCATGCAGCGAGATTGTCGATGCTGGACATCGTCTTCTGCAGAACGTGACAGAGACTCGGAACACGTTCAGCCCAAAGGTAGCGTACTACCTTCCCGGACTGTCCAGCTACCGTTTACCAAGTGAGAATGGACGGCCAGCTCCGCATGCTGCCGTGGGTGTTCCTCAGCGAAGGTGTCGGGGGACTGATAGCCAAAGCTGCCATCTCGGGCATCGAATCCGACCGTCTCAACACCAACGAATTCACAGTGGGAATGATTCTGCTAGGTAGTTTTATTCGCATTCGCTCTCCTCGAGTGCCAGTACTAACGATCCCTGGTTCGAAGACGTGCCTAACACCTGTGCCTTTGATGCCGACTTGGAACGGCTGTCTGCAGCTCTGGACCACTTTACTGCTGACAACGCAGCCTTTGCGCAGCTCACTAAAGTTGAGAATGACTTTCTTGACAGAGCTCGTAGCCTTGTGCTGTTCAGCTGTTTCTCGTACAATGCGGTATCGGCCCCGGTCATCTGCATCCATTGTCGACTACTGAACCCCGTAGCAGGCTCTTGAAAGAAGACAGTCCGTCCTGAATGTTGCCAATGAAGCTCAGATCAGCGTCGACATACATTCATTCGGCCACTACCGGCCAGGTGGTGCGAGCATGGCGGAGCTGCACAAAATCATCCAGCGCGCCACAACGTTGTGTACGATGCAACAAACGACGAAATCCCGCACTGGAAATCAGACTGCAGCTCTGGACAAGAAATCCGCCCAGCTACTGGAGGACTTCTTTCCGCTCAACTGGGATTTCTGCATCTGCTCTCATGCAGTCGTATTCTCGAGCCCGAACAACCAGCCACTCATAGAGACACATGTGCGGTCAAAGAAGAAGCTGCTCAAGGATTTCTGCCGCATCACCGAGGAAGCGGACACGCCAATAGATTCCAACGAAGGCAGTCAAACTGTTTGCCTTCGGTGGTACCACGCACCGGCCAACAACGAAGCATGGGCCGAGGTGCGCAACTGATGATCAACACGTGCATGTCGATAGGCTAACGTCGCCGACACAGGGAATCGTGAACAGATTCCTCTCGACGAACCACAGTCTCATATCCAAGGCCGAGTTTGCTGACTTCTGGGCGCACAATCAGCCTCTGGCCGAGGGCGCCTGTCTTGGGTCATGGCGCATCAACCCGGCATGCGCGTCTTTTGGGAGTGACTGTAGGTCCATTTGCCTTGTGGCGCTCAACGTAGACGCTAACAATGGATGAAGCGAGTCGTAGTGAGGATAGCTTTCCGGGGGACAAGGGCGTTGTTCTTGTCGTGGTGTACCCGTCTTTCCCCGCCACTCTTCCCTTCTTGCTAACGCTGCACAGATGCCGTTCCTCCACTGGGAGAGTGTGGACCATCTGGCCCGCCAAGATGAAGCACTGGACATGTTCCGGTCAGACAGAATACCGCCCAGGCTCAGGGAAGATTACGAAAAGGCAGCCTCGGATCCAAACACGCGCTACACCAGCTCTTCGGTCGTGTCTGAGAGTTCGCTGCGTTTACCCGTGCTTCTTGATCAATTCCAGTATCCCACAATGACGTTGCCCATCGATCGTCTTCACAACCAAGTTCTCCCGAAGCAGACGGCGGCTGCTCAGACCGGGGCCAAGTGCCTGGTCGTCCATCAACTATGGCTCGTTATACCACAACAGGGCAAGACATGTCCGACCAGTCACACTTGCGAGAAAGCAGCTGACTCTGCCGCCAGAGACGATGGTTACCTTGTTTCCGAGGAAAAGCCTAGAGAGCGGTCTCGTCGAGGTTGCGCAAATGGCGGATTTGGAGAGTGCCATGCTCGGCGAGCTGTCCCGAATCAACCACCCCTCCCACGTCCTTGCGAACGTTTACGATTTCTGCGCACTCATGCTCCATATCACAACGACCACGCTGCTTTCGCGGCTCAAACACCCCGATTTTCTGTTCACTCACTTCTACCGCAAAGCAATCGGAGAACTGGTATTGCACCGTCAACCCAAACCACCGCACTTGCTCCAGGCTGACGGAAAGCACAGAGGCAAAAGCACGTTGCGTCTCTGACTTCGTTCAAAGACCGAGACCTCCAAGGCATCACCGACGTCTGGAAGGATGTCGAGGAGGAAAACTACGAGCTCTCCCTCGTGTTGGAAGCCAACGCGCTCAAAGACGAACTCCACGTCATCGGCCACATCTTCGACATGCAGGCCGGGGTGGTGAGCAAGTTTGCTGAGATCAAAGCGACATCCGACACGGGCGACACGCATCTGAAAGACACGGCCAGCAAGCTCGAGGCTTTTCGGGTCGAGTTCCAGGGCCTGTGGAAGGACACGGATGCCATCGAGAGAGACCTCCTCCACTTGCTGGACCTGAAGCAGAAGCGCGCAAACCTCCGCGAGGCTCACTCTGCATCGATCCAGGCCCACGAGGCCAGCCAGCAGACGAGACACGTGCTCGAGCTGGCCGAGAGTTCGGCATGGCAAAGCCGCATCGTCATGGTCTTCACCACCCTCAGTGCAATCTACGTAGGAATGCTCCGCTCAGCGCTCGATCGTGTCAGGGCTGACTTTCCAGCTTCCGCTGTCATTCGTCTGCTCGTACTACGGTATGAACATGCATGATCTCACCGGAGACGAGGGGAATGTGTATTCCACGCGAGATTACTGGATCATTGCAGGCAAGCATACCCACCCTTTCTCCAGACTCCCAGCCAGACGCGTTCAATGGCTCGATGCTGATACCACCCAAGGCCCTGTGTCCGGGGGATTCACCCTGCTTGCGCTTTTTATAGGATTCCACAAGTTCATCTTCTCACATATCCGCCGTCTCGTATATAGGGTGTAGCAACGGTAATGAGAGAAGAGGGGGTGTCCCAAGGCAAAGAGTGATAAGACAAACATCCGATATTTCCCATGCAGCAACCGCCCGTTCCCGAGACACCGCGTGTAAACCAACGCCTCAGCTGATCCCCCCCCCCTCCCCCTCCCCAAACCCGCCACCTATTTCCCCCCCTGACCCTCACGCCCCAAGAGCGGCTCAGCCTCCGCCGCCGCCACGCCATCCCCCTCCCCCTCCCCGCCATCCCCGCCATCCCCGCCATCCCCACCCGCCGCCACCCCCCCAAAAGGAGGAGACAGCGGCAGCGGCAGCACCAGCACCAACAGCAGCGCCTCCGCCACCGCCATGGCCGCCGCGACGACGAACCAAGGCAGCCCCATCAACAACACCACGAGCCACCTCGGTCCTCCTCCTCCGCCCGAAGATGAACGTTCACCGGCAGTGGAGAGCGCGACGCTCCACGCCCTCCACACGAGCGGCGAGACGGCCATGTCGACGAGGGCCTCGGCGGCGACGAGGCCGGCGTTGAGGCGGGCGACGGCGGACGGGCCCCGGGCCCGGCCCCGGCCCCGGCCGGGCGCGGTGGTGGTGGTGCTGGTGCTGGTGGTGGCGACGACGACGAGGGCGGTGGCGACGGCGAGGGCGGACATGCGGGCGCAGGCGCCGGTGGAGAAGATGATCCAGCCTGTGAGGTGGGTGGGTGGTTAGGGGAGTGCGTGCTGGGGGGTATATATGTGTGTATGTGTGTATATGAGCGGTTGTTGAGATCCGAAACTGATCAAGCAAGGCTTATGCTCTCTCTCTCTCTCTCTCTCTCTCTCTTTTCCCGGTCTCTCTTTTGTTTTTTTAATTGTTGTTGTTTTTCAGACATACGTACGTACCTGGAATCATAATCCCCACGTTGGGAGCCAAGCCGACGACGACAGCCCCGACGCACAGCGCCCCGACGCTGTAGCGGGCGACGTAGGCGTCGGCGCGCACGGCGGCGAGGTGGTAGGGCGGGCCGGTAAGCGTGCGCATGATGCAGGGCAGAACGAAGATGCCGAGGAGGAGGCTGACGGCGCCGTTGATTGCGTCCATGGCTCCGGCCTGGAAGGTGTTGATCGGGTGAGTAGGTACGCAGGCGAGGGCGGAGGGAAGGAAGGAAGGGTGGCTGATCACGTACCCGGCTCAAGGGCCACGAGTATCGTTTCGACACGTACGGCAGGACGAGCTCGGAGAGGGTGCCGCGGGTGGAGATGAGCGGGATGACGAGGAAGATCAGCACGAGCTGCGGATGCGACTTGAGGCGGCTGATGTGCTGCGAGCATGTGTGGACGAGCGTGCTGAGCTTCCTCCAGAACGTCTGATGCTCGTGCGGCATGGCCCTCCCGGGTCGATCATGGCCCGGGTCGTGTGCCGTCTGCGAGGGCGGCTGCGTGTGGGGCATGAGAGCGGCGATGATGGCTGCGACAGAAGCAGACAGCAGCGCCAGGAAGAAGGGGAGCCAAGCGGTCTGCATCGTCATGGGCGCAAGCCCCGTGCCGGCCACGTAGCCCAGGTAGTAGACGGAAAGCAGCCAGTACAAGACTGTGGATCTGCAGTCCGATGCATCATCCATCAGTACACGGGCAGGGGCCGAGAGCACGGCACTCGATACTTACCTCGTCTGCTCATCTGCGACATCTGTAGCCATGGTCGACGAAATCGCCACCACAACCCACGACCCCCCGCCGATTGTGAGGAAAGCGCTTGAAAAGAGCACGGCGGCCACGGGGAATAGCTCGAAGTGGGAGCCTGGCGCAGTTGCGAGTCAACCGTCGAACCACAAAAGCCGTCGTTCGAACACATACTTACACACCAAGACGAACCACGCGTTGCTCAGGACCAGGCCGAGCAGGCTGCACATGTAAACCAGCTTTCTTCCGTGGCGATCGGCCAAGGCGCCGTAGGGGATGGAGAGAAGCAAAGCTGCCACCATCAGCGGCTGTGACTCTCGGGGAACAGCGACGAAAGGTACTGCAAAGTCCATCGAAAAACACGCCCCACGACCGCAGATTGGAGAGATGCTGTTGGATGCTGCTTTGTTTGCATCTGTCCTCGTCGATGTGGAATCCCGGCCAGGTCGGTACCGCAACGATGGCAGTCGGATCCCGGGCTTCGTAGAAGGAACGGCAGATGGCCAGCTCCAAAAGCTTCAGTTTCGGGGCCATGGCGTGGTAGTAGGCAAACATGGTGAAGAAGTGTAGAGACAGGACACAGACGATAGCCGGCCGCATCACCTGGAATATGCTGCGAGTCGTCCTCCCCATCGACTGAGAGCGTGCCATGGCGAGACGCGGTGACGCGGTGCATATACTCGGCGTGTAGCTGTGTCTGCTCGGCCACCTTTGCTTGTGCGACATCTGCGGATACGATTGGAGGGGCAACTATCACGTGGAATGCAACGACGCCCGATGGACGGAGACGCTCAGCGACAGAGTGCAAGCGTACAGGGTATCGTCCAGGCTGCCGCGCCACCATGCAAGCCCCCCCTGTTCTTTCAACGACGAGCCTCGAAGCCAATGACGCAACTGATAGAACTGGTGGGAATACGCATGATGTACCCTTGTCCCGATTCCAACCAACCGCATCGCATCCTGCTACAAGCACTTAATTCCCTTAAGAGCCGCCGACGCATAGCTGCGCTGGATCAAGCACCCGGCCCCCTCTTCCAATCCCACTTGAACACCACGATCCCCGTCCAAAAGAGTCCTTCCTCCTCCAGGAGAAAAACCCAAAAACAAACCCCAGTAACCCATCCAAGCACCATCAATCCACCATGGACCGCCCCTCCCCCGCTCCCACTCCCGCTCCAGAAAAGAAAGAGAACCAGCAACAACAACAACAACCCCACCGCCCCCGCCAACCCCCCTCCCACGACTACGACTACCCCTCCCTCGACCACTACGCGCACACGCACCTCAACGCCACCAGCCTCCCCGCGGGGCTCGCCAGCGCTCTCGCGCACGCCACGCGCGCGCGCCGCGCGCGCGCCCTGCCCGACTGGAGCGCCGTGCCCTCGCAAGGCAAGTTCCTGCACGTGCAGTGCCGGCTGCTGGGCGTGCGGCGCGTGCTCGAGGTCGGCACCTTCGCGGGCCACGGCGCGCTGTGGTGCGCCGCGGCCCACCCGGCGCTGCGCGTGACGACGGTCGAGGCGCGCGCGGAGCACGCGGCCGTCGCGCGGGAGAGTCTGGATGCTGCTTGTGCTTCTGCTTCCGCTGACGGTGCTGACGGTGCTGCGGGAGACGCCGGTGCCGGCCCGGGCTTGGGCCTGGGAGATCGGGTGGAGCTGATCTGCGGCGATGCGGTGCGCGACGTGTTGCCGCGGCTGGCGGACGAGGTGGCGGCCGGGGCGCGGGAGAGGTACGGCATGGTTGTCGTCGATGTCGAGGACCGGCGCCAGGCGTGGGACTGTCTGGAGCGGTGCGTGGCCGGGGGCTTGTGCGCCGAGCGGGCGTGCGTGGTGGCGCATTTGCAGGTGCGCAAGAGCGATTTGAGCGTCGAGGCGGCGGACGAGAAGGGGGCCAATGCCAGGGGGAGCCGCGAGTTCGTCGAGAAGATGGGGAGGGATCCGCGCATGAGCGGCGTGCTGATTATGAGTATGGGTGAACAGAATTACGATACGGTCATGGCGGTTGTGCAGGGTGGTGATGGCGTTGGAGCATCGTCTCTTGCGTGATCGAGACATGAGCTCTGAGAAAGGATTAATCGTCATGAGAGTACGCCTTTGATCTTGTGTCGCCTACAAAGTTACCACCGTGATGAGAAGGTCATGGAGAATGGTTGTACGAGGCCTAAATACTGTATCATCAAGCAGAGGATGTCGAATGCTAGCCGACCTGAAGAGGACTCAATGATATGCATCACAGGTTTCCACTGCACGGGACTGCGCGCATTTACTTGCCGATGATAGTTTCCAAAGAGCCAAACTCCTTACAATTTGCCTGATATGCCGCCTTTCAACATTAACAAAACGCTTGAATTCTTTTAAAGTTCTACATTCATTCAATGTATTTTCATCCTGCCGTACCCAAAATTTACGCCTTGACCTTCTGCTTGGCACCGATGCTGGTATCGATGCTTCCCAGCACCCAAACGGCGGCAAAGACGGCGAACATGCCCAAAGTGATGGTGATAGGCTTACGGAAGCCCTCGATGAAGGGGTAGTCGTAGGTAATCTACCGAGTGGATTGTTAGCACTGCGCTCAATGGGAGAGGGAACACGATGATTGCTAGACGTACAAGAAGCTCCCGGCCCCTAAACTCATCATTGAGGTTCAGCGCACTGATATGAAGGGTAGTGCGGCCGATCGTATCCATGAAGGTGCGGTGCAGAGATGTCTCGTTGGAGATGATCGGGACATCAGTCTCGAACTTGACGTTCCTAATCGACGGTCAGTAGCCAACACTTGAAGCGCGCAGTTTAGACTTACTTGGCACCCTCAGGAAGGATGACGCGAAGGTCGACACGCTCGTACTCGATACCCTCGGCGTTCTTGGGACCCTCGAGGAAAGGGACCTTGAGGACGTAGCCATCGCCCACCTTCAACTTCCTCAAGTAAGACTTCAGGTCGCCGTTCCATCCCACCTTGAAGCTGTATTTCCATCCACCGAAGACGGGGTAGCGAGGCCGAATCTCAAGGTTGGACTCGCGCGGAGTGGCCCTGAACCGGCTCGTGGAGACGTTGCCGATGTCATCGGTGAAGTAGGCGTCCACGGAACCGGGCTGGAGAGACATCTTCAGGGCGCTGAGAGCCGAGCTAGGGGGGTTGGCGTAGACAGTCATCTGCCACTGGACACGCGAGAAGTGGTTCTTCAGGGAGGCGCCGCGGTTGGTCAGCCAGTAGCGCTCCTCAGTAGCCAAGTTTCCGCCCCAGTGGCTGACTTCTACGTCGCGTTCCAAGCGGGTAACATGGTTCAGCGGCTTGGTGAACTCGTAACGGACGCTGACGGGCTCCTGGGCGCCGGCGGGAATGTCGCTGTAAGGGCCATAGGTGAAGCTGGAGCCCTGCTTGGTCGGGTCGTCGCCATTGTCGGCGTTTTGTGCAGGCAAGACAGTGTAGTCGGGGACGTCGGTACTGGAGAATTTGAGCTTCGTCTTCTGCTTCAGAGTGTCGTAGGCCGAGGGCACATAAGCGCTGAAGCTGTACTCGACGTATTGCTTGTCGCGCTGTTCGATGGTGGCGGGGCGCGGCTTCAATGCAGCGACGACGGAGTAGGAGATGCTGAGGGTCTGCTGCTCAGACGGCTTGAGGGGCTCGGGAAGGCGAACGCGGTAGAATTCAGTCGGGCTGAGGCACCCGTTAGTGGGTATTCAAAGCTGACTGACGCGGGCAGACATACCTATAGGCATCGAACTCGACAACCTCGACCTCGAAGGCAGGCTTTGCGGGGTCCTTCTTGTCCCTGACCTCCAGGCCGCCTATTTGCGAGATCAAGCCGGCCTCGAAGGGCAGGTAGTACTCGTCCTGGGGCTTCTCGTCGACGTTCTCAATGACGACATTGATGGTCTCGCGGGGGTAGGCCTTCTCGAGGTTGACGTTGCGCACAAGGTTGACGTTCTTGAAGACGTGCGGGGGCTTGAAGGCGCCCTGGAGAATCTGCTTGGAGGAGAGCGGGTCCGAGGTGTTGTCGGTAGCTGCGGCGAGCGGGCTTTGGGCCAGCAGGGCGGACAGGCAGCCCAGAACAAACGGAAGCGACCTCATTTTTCACCGCAGCGATAGTATGACCAGCATTGACCGAAGGCGGCGGTTGGGCGATGCTGCGGAAGCTGGAGAAAGGGTTGCGGAGCTCTCAGGCTGTCGCGCGAGGTGATGATGCGTCCCGGAGACGTGTTCGCTACAGCGCCTGAGCTTGGGCCCGGCGATCCCTGCAGCGCCAAGCCGTCGCGCCTGCCCTCCACCAGGGCCATCCCACTCTTCCCTCTCTTGCCCGAAAAAGGCACCGCCCGCGGCTGATCCCTCCGAATCCCTCAGCCCGCTTCGAGCCACCGCCTGGGCCTCTAGTGCTCTGGTCTGGGCACCACTGCCGCCGACGGCCACTTCACTATCTCTCCCACATATATAGCCGGACGGCTTCCGACTAACCGTCGATTTTTTTCGTATTTGCTGTCCTCCCATACCCTTCAATTGGTTTTCTAGTTGGTTGAAAGAGCTTGCATCTTTTACTTTCCACAAACATGTTAGCAATGGCCTCTACCCGCGCCGCCTTTCGGCATCGCGCGCCCAGCCGGAGAGCTGTCAGCATGTTCGTCAAGCCTGCTAAGACGCCCGTCACTTCTGTTCTCCAAGTCTCCGATGAGGTCAGAGAAGCTCTCCATGGTGCCAGAAAGAGACCTGTCGTGGCATTGGAGACTACCATCTACACTCACGGTAAGATTGCTATGTTGCCTTCGTCTGGATTTGAGGTTTGTAACATCCTCAGGCTTTCCTTATCCCGACAACGTGGCTCTGGCTTCTCACCTTGAGAGCATTGTGCGCACTATGGGAGGCGTTCCCGCCACCATCGGTATCCTGGATGGTGTCGCCCGCGTCGGACTAGACCCTGAGGAGCTTATCAGGATAGCTGCTTCGGCTGGCAAAGAGGACACTCTTAAGGTCTCGCGCCGTGATCTGGCTTACGCCTGCGGCCTGGTAACTCTCCTGCACCTTGCACTTTATCTGTGAGCACATAGACCTGATACGCCGCAGAGACTCCTACACCCTGATCAGGGCAAGTTCACCGGTGGTACCACCGTGGCAGGAACTATGATCTTGGCCCATCTTGCCGGAATCAAGGTCTTCGGCACGGGCGGTCTTGGTGGTGTCCACCGCGGCGGCGAGAATACGATGGACATCTCTGCCGATCTGACTGAGCTTGGAAGAACACCAGTTGCTGTTGTTAGCAGTGGATGCAAGAGCTTTTTGGATATTCCCCGCACTCTTGAGTATCTCGAGACCCAAGGTGTTGCTGTTGCTACCTTCGCCGACGGCCGGGCTGGCTCTGTAGACTTCCCCGCCTTTTGGTCAAGGGAAAGCGGTGTCAAGAGTCCGTCTGTCGTGCAGAACGAGAAAGAGGCTGCTGCTATGATCTGTAAATCCATCGTAACCCTGTCCCCTGCCCTGCATATTAACATGAAGCAGATGCCCAACACTCTCTGGGTCTGACCTCCGGTATCAGCTTTGCCAACCCCATCCCCGCTTCTGCGTCGATTGCCAAGGAGGAAATCAACGGGATCATTGAGCAGGCTGTCGCCGAAGCCGAAGCGCTCGGCATCACCGGTGCTCGCAACACTCCTTTCATCTTGAGCAAGATCAAGGAGCTTACCAAGGGCAAGTCCGTGCCGGCTAACAGGGCGCTGATTGCCTCCAACGTGGAGCGTGCCACCAACGTCGCAAAGGAGCTTCTAGCGCTGGAGGAAGAGATGAAGGGCGAAAGCTCGGCGAAGAACTAGTGAGAGGATCACCTTCTGTCGGCTGACATGTGTACATAGGACTGATGGCGTGGACGTACTAGCAATATACCCGCATCGTACACACAGCCCTCATCCTCTGCTCAGGCGAGCAACCCGGCTGCAAAGCCGCAACAGGCTGCTGCGCCAACTGACCAAGAGCAAGTAGACGTTGTCGTGACAGGAGCGGTGGCAGTTGACTTTGCGTGCAACTACATCCCGCCGCCAAACGCCACCTCCGGATCCGTGATATCCCCACAACCCCACACCTCCAACCAAGCCTCGATCCAGCAGACCCTCGGCGGTGTCGCTCACAACATCGCACGCGCAGCCCACCTCGCCGGCAGCTCCGTCCGCCTCTGCAGCGCAGTCGGCGACGACGTAATGGGCCGCGTGGCGCAGGACCTCCTCGAGCGCTCCGGCCTGCCCACCACGAGCATCATCACCCGCCCGGACGCCCGCACCGGCCAGTACGTCGCCGTCAACGACGCCCACAACAACCTCACCCTCGGCATGGCCGACATGGACATCATCCAATCCACCGCGGCCACGCCCTCCACCGTCCAGACCCTCTTCAACGCGCCCCTCCCCGCCCTCCGCCCGCGCTGGCTCGTCGCCGACGCCAACTGGTCCCCCCAGACCCTCCACGCCTGGCTCCGCGCCGCCAAATCCGCCGGCGCCCTCACAGCCTTCGAGCCCGTCTCAGCCGCCAAATCCGCGCGCCTCTTCTCCCCACTCCCCCCGACCACCACCTCCACCTCCACCTTCCCGCTCTTCCCCCACCCCCTCGTCGACCTCACCACCCCCAACGCCCTCGAACTCGACACCATGTGGCGCGCCGCCCGCGCCGCCGAGCTGCTCGCCACGCCCCCCCACTGGGCCGTCGCCAACGCCTTCAACCTGCCCCAGGGCGGCGCGTCGCCGCTCCTCGCGCGCGCCGCCTCGCCCGACCTCGTCCGCCGCGGCGTGCCGCAGCAGGCGCTGCAGCTGCTGCCGCTCGTGCCCGCCATCCTCACCACGCTGGGCGCCGAGGGCGTGCTGCTGACGATGCTACTGCGGCGCGGCGACGCGCGGCTGAGGGACCCCGAGGCCGCGGCGTGGATCTTGTCGCGCGGGGTTGAGGGTGGTGGTGTGGAGGGTGGATCGGAGGCCGAGGATGCGGGGGTGGATGTCGGAGGCGTGTATATGCGGCTGTTTGAGCCGGAGGAGGTGCTGGGCGAGGGGGAGGTGATCAGCGTGAACGGGGTGGGGGATACGTTTACGGGAGTGCTGGTGAGCGGGTTGAGTCGCGGCATGCGGATCGAGGATGTGGTGCCTGTGGCGCAGAGGGCGGCGGGGCTGAGTTTGAGGAGCGAGAAGGCGGTGAGCGACGAGGTGGCGAGGGTGAAGGAGTTGTTGGATTATTAGGCAGTCGCCCGCGCGCACGCGAGAAAATCAAATAGTAAAAAAAGAAATAAAAAAAATAAAAGTTCCATGAGTGCATGCCGTCGTGGGATTCGAACTTGCGACGTGCAAAAAAACTGGTAGCTTCTCTTTGTATAGCGTGTCATCCTTAGTGCAGGGGCCATGCTAATCTTCTCTGTATCGTTTCAAATTGACCAAATGCCCGAAGGCAAGAAAGCAAGTCGCTTTTATGGTATATATATGCACAGTTATTCTTCCACCAACCAATGCATCCCACGACCAGAGCCAACCATCTTGGCCGTACGTCAAAAATGCCCAGTATTCCAAAGGTCTGCTGTCTATCCCGGACAAGACTAGCACAGTTTGAACGAGCGGGAAGCAACGGTTGTTACCACATAGTTCCTACGTGCGTTTCAAACGAGTTTGACAAGCAGATCACCCCGACTTACGAGCATTAGAAGGCTCGTAGGATGACCTAGCAATGTAATCAAGCTCATTTGAGGTTCGCAATGTCTAACTCTACTCCAGCCCGCATGCATCCTCACCTTCATCTACCTTTTCAACCCCCCACAAGCAGTAACGGTACAAACACGGCAACAATCTCCATCAATTTACATGTCCTGTTTGCTTCCCAGGGCAAATTCGTATCATAAGCCATTCGAATCTTTCGCCATTAATAGTAAGTGACAAATCCTTCCTTCCTAAACGCCTCAAAAATTCCCCGCATTCGAGAGTCGCTTTTCAGAAAAGAGCTACTACATCACCAACCAGCCACACATCACATCTACTCAATCTTCGCCGCGACCAGCTTCAACACCTCCTCCACGCCCTTCCCCCAGCTCTTCGGATCCTTCGCGACCGCCTGCCACACCTCCCCATGCTTCGGCTCGCTGAGGACGCACTTGCTGATGACCTCCTCCCTCTTCTCCTCGGTGCCGTGCTGACAGACGAACTTGTAGTACCAAGCCCACGTATCGCCCAGATCGGCGTCGAGCAGGATGGCCTTCTCGAACCAGCTCGCCGCCTTCTCGAGCCGGCGCTCGCCCCAGAAGATGCGCGCGACCGCGACGAACAGCAGCGGGTCGTTGTCGACCTTCTTGATGGCCTCGAGCGAGCGCGGCTTGCGCTGCGTGCGCGGCTCCAGGTGCCAGATCTTCTCCGCCCACAGCAGGCCCGACGCCGGCACCTCCTGCAGCGCCTGCGCCATGATCTGCTGCGCCGCCGAGACGTTGCCCGCGCGCCGCTCGAGCCGGACGGATTCCGTCCAGAGCTCCGGGTTCTTCTTGACCGCGAGGCGCGCGCGGTCCAGCACGGAGCGGGCCTTGACGATGACGCCCGCCTTTTCTTCGAGGCGCGAGAGGAGGAGGTAGAGGGGGACGGAGCGCGGGCACTGGCGCGTGCCTGTCGTGTACGCTTCGCGAGCTTGGGGGACCTTGTTGAGCGACTCGTATATTTGGCCCTTTTGCATGTAGAGCTTGGACTCCTTGGGGAAGAGCTGGAGGCCTTGCGTGACAAGGTCCAAGGCTGCTTCCAGGTTACCAAGTTGCCTCTCGTACGCCACTGATCGGTACCAGACGCGGTTGGTGCCAGCTTCGCGGCGGGCGACCATGAGCAGCTCGCGGGCTTTGTCATGATTTCCGTGGTCGGCTTCCATTTTGACGGCCGCAAGCCAAATGTCCTCGTTGTTGGGGTTTTGGTTGAAGGCACGGCGGATGACATCTCTGGCCTCATCCAGTTCGCCGGCCTGCTCTCTTTCCCTAGCGAACAACAGCCAAAGCTCCTGGGCACCGGGGCAAGCCTCGACAGCCTTCTCGAGCAAATTCCAGAGCGCCTCCTTTGTTCCATGGTTGCGCTCGAGAGCAACGGCAGCCGACCAAAGACTCTTGGAGGTGGGGAAAATGCGAAGAGCGTAGGCATAGATAGCTCTAGCTGTCTCGTACTTCCCTCTACCAATGCTTCCACGAGCGTCCTCCATGAATATTTCCTTCCGGTCGTCGTCCTCATCCAGGGACCAACTGAGCGTCTCCTTGATAATGGCTTGGCAAGAAATAATCATTCCTTCATCTTCGCACTTCTCAGCCTCCGAAATCCACTCTTCGCGCTTGAGCATTGCAGACTCCTTGGCGAGCGACTTGATACCACGTTCCATAACCTTGAACACCATATCCGGTTTTCCCAATTGCTCCTGCAGCGCTGCAGCAGCACGCCAAATTTCGTGGCTCGTAGGAACTGCCTTGCGGGCCTTGTTGAGGACGACTTGGGCGTTCTCTGGGGTCTCCAGCCGAGCCAGAGCGAGCCAAAGCTCAACGGACAATGGGATGATATCCGTTGCTTTCGCCAGCATCAAACGAGCATCTGCTGGGTCTTCTTCCAACGCGATGGCCGACTTCCAAAGGTCTACACTCTGTGGGACAGCGTCCAGAGCATGACGAAGCACGCGTTTCTTTGCTCGCAGGTCGGTCTCCAGATCTGAAGCGGCCTGCCATAACCGAGCCGAGGTATTGTTGTGCTTGATGGCGATGGCGCCAATAATCTTGGCATTGTGGTTATCGTTCAGACGGATGTTTTCCAGCCAGCAGTCGATTGATTTAGGACAGTGTTCGCAGCCTCGGGCGATAACGTTTCTTGCAGCGACGATGCGTCCTGCTACCTCTTCAAGACGTGCAGCAGCAATCCAACCCGGACCATGCTTTGGGTTCGTCTTAATGACGGATTCCAAAAGCTCCCGCACACGCTTGATATCTCCCACCTGAACTTCTCCAGCGCTCAGTTCGGACTTGGACAAACTGGTCAAATATCCCTTGGGGTCGATGCTTGATGCGGTGCCTGCGGTGGTGTCGGTTCCGGAATTTTGCGTGGCCTGGTCCAAGCGAACTTGAAGCACCTTTTCACGGGCAGCTCCAATATCAGCAAAGTTGGTCATGGTGCCATCTGCAGTCTCTCCCCCGGCGTCGGCGGCTATGCTTGTGTCCAGCGAACCTGCGTCGCGTGCGGCCGCTATCACACTGTCGGGAACGGCGTAAAACCTTTGCCTCAGGTTCTGCTTTTGCCTTCTGTTCTTGCCTGTCAGATCTCCAACCTCGGGGAGATTGGCCCACTCGTCCTCGGAAACGCTGCTGAGGGCGCGCTTGAGATCGGCAAACTGCTGTTGGATCTTGGGGTTGTTCCGCTCGTATTCATCACGCTCAGCTTTCTCGCGAGCCTCCCTAGACGGATTCAAGGTGTCGGTAGCCTGTCCATGCAAATGTGATGAATACATGCCTCCTGCAACGGCCAGGGGAGCTAGCGAATGGGGGAACTAACCTGCGTGCTTTCCGGCGGCGATCCATGCGCTCGTCAACCTCTTGGTATATGCGGTCGGCCTCGTCGTCGTCGCGATCGTAGGTGCCGTTGGCGAACAAGCCGACCTCGTTCTCGGGGTCTTGATAGCGGTCGTCATCGTCATCGTCTTCTTTGCCGGTGGCGCCGTAGGCAGTGGGCGGGGCCTGGCCGAGAGCGGCGGCGCGCTTCGCAAGTGCTTCCTTGATCTGCTCCTCGGATGGGCCTTCGCGCGCGGGACCAAGATCGGAACGGGTGGTGAAGCCGGTGGCACCACGGCCAAGACCGGCGACGTAGTTCTCGGGCGCCGGCTGGTTCAGGAAGTCTCTGCGGCCAGACATGGCGGGCAAATGGTGGGCGTGACGAGTGTGGGGTGGGAGTTGGAGCTTTGGTCGCCATCTCGAGGTAAATAATTCACGCCCCAGGCGGCCACTGGCGCTAAACCCGATCGAGCATTAGAGCTCCAAAGCTCCACGCTCTGTCGCTCCAAACATCTACACCTTCCCAAGCACTGCTCACCTCACAGCTGGCCGCAAAAACCAACGCCGTCTGAATACCAACTCACCTTGGCCCAAGCCCACACAATGGGACTGCATTGTCTTCAGGGGCGGTTTGCGAGTTTGCAATCGTCTTCACGAGGCAAGTGCTGCCTGTCACCAGCGCCGCTTGGCACCTGCACTTTGGTTGGCTCGTGACCCACGCGTTCCGACGCGGCAGCAGACGCGGCTTCCAGAATACGCGACGGCTTTTGCAATTGAGCACGACAGCTTTGCTCCACTTCACTACACAACCGCCTCTCTGGCTCGCCGCACTACGTCTCAGGAACTCGATATTCTTTCGGATCGCTGGATTGACTCATCTGGCAACGTTATGCCGGCGCTAGTGGACGAGGGTAAGCTGCTGTGCCACCTCACCTTTGTTTTGCTTTCCACCGCCACGCCTTGTCAAGTCACCGCGTGTCAGACGTGCTGCTTCCCGTTCTGAAATGCGCTTGCACACCGTCATTGACGCCGTCTCTGCTGACACGGTTACTGTGAAAGATGAATTATTAGACGATTTTGCCGACGTCGATTTGATAGCGAAAGATGAGGACGATTGCCCACTTCCACAACCGAAGCGTGTCAGGTTTAACGAGACTGGATCCGAGTCCATACGATCCATCCTCGAAAGCGAAGGAGATCCGATGGTTATTGACCTTACCGGTGATGGCGAAAACGAACCTCTCGACCATCCAAAGCTCACTCGAACACCCGGACCGCAGGCCGGACCGGTTCCATCACCGAATCCCAGGATACAGGTAAAACCATCACTTTCAAACTATCCACGATCTCTCTACGATGGTTGGCAACCCCCTCTTGCGCCAACAGCGGAGCGTATTGCTTTATCTGAGCTTCTAGTAAGTTTTGAATGAATGTCTTCTATCTTAACATAAACTGACATGCAATGACTAGCGAGACTATCATCGTCCTATGGGGGACCGCTACATCATGATACCAATTCGAGAATTCCGCATTTATCGTCCATCTAACGGGAAGCCGATTTTGGGCAACCGCCAACACGAATTGGAACCACTCCATCATCTAAAAATAGATGCTGGGTGCGACTGCCTGCTTGTAGACGGCATCATCTCACTTAATGGCCTGGAGCGATACATTCAAGGCGTTCCTTTCGAAACCCTCGCAATCGATGGATACGGCGATGTTAAGGTCCACACAGTGTCAAAAGGCATTTCTATAATGTCCACACGTGCCAAGGATGTGTGGTACCTCCTTCAAGAACCCGCTTCTGACTACACCGGTTACCATGGACCATTCATATGGATCGCTGATTTTGCCAAATACGTCGTCGAATATTTAGATGAGCACGAAACCGTCTCACTCGACCAGTTCAAGTCCGATTTCTATGATTGGACAAGGCAGCGATATGGCGAAAGCCAGACATTCCAGAAATGGGTACAGCGGTTCGATGGCGAAGCAAAAAATTACGATTTCCGCCAAGCAGCTGTCGCGTACGGGAGCTTTCTATGGAAGGAAGCCTGGTCCATTCTTAAGACTGTTCGCAAGAACCCGTTTTGGGGTGACATCAACTACATTGCAGACAATGAAAGAGAAGGCGAACCGCCCTTGAACACTGCAACCACAAGTACGGAAAAAACGCTTGTGACTCCCTACGTCTTCGAAAACTTCAAACACATCAAACCTCTCATAAGGTTTTTTGAAACCAAGAACTCGATGGGAAGCCAAGTTCAAGCAGCGCATGAGAAGCGAAAGCGTGCCCTTGGCTTCATGGACGGCGCTGAGCGTGCCCAGAAATCAACAAGCTGCTACCCCTTACTCTCAAAGAGCGGGCTTATGGTAGGCGACTATGTCGCCGTGTACCCAGAGGAAGCAACGCTTTGGAGAGATGGTTCTGAGCTATGGTATGCATATATCCAGCACATTCAAAAAGACCGCCATGGACAGCGTTTTAAAGTACTCTGGCTGTATTCCGCATCCGCTACCACGCTGGCTGGTGGTCACTACCCGTTCCCGAACGAACTGTTTCTATCCTCTCATTGCAACTGCAATGAGGCTACTCTAATGTTAAAGGACATCGCCGGAAGAGTCAACGTCTCCCTGGGAAGTCAAATTGCAGACGGCCTCAGTAACAAAGCACCACACTTCTTCATCAGACAAAAGTTTGACCCAGAAAGCCACGCATTTACGACCATCAAAAGCTCGGATTTCCTCTGCCAGTGCCGAACCCAAACTTCCGCTTTCGAAGAAATCCTTGGAAAAGTGCCCATTGGCGATCCCATCCTTGCCCCATTTAATGAATGGGGCGAGCCTTCTTGCAGACCGTTGGATTCGTATGCCTTTTCTGATATGATTTCAGACACCCTGGAACCAGTGGTAGTAGAAAACTACCTTCAACAATCCCGAACGATCTTAGTTCGTCGACTGATTCGACGATACGCGTGCCATGAAGGTCCTGGAGCTGACCCAAACGAGCTGGTCTGGACTGATGACTTCCTTGAGATTGATCCGGTGCTTGTGGGCCCCAAATGCCATATCCGTTTCTTTGAGGAAGGGGAGCAAATCCCTAGTCCGTATAGCCGAGGGGGATCTGGCAACTGCTGGTACATTACACGACGTTTGACTTCAACGGGAGGCTTGGAAGCATTACAACAGCCTTTTCCTATAGGTTTGAATCAAGGCATTGATCCGAACGCCCCACCGCCACGTCCAAAAATGGTTGGCTTAGACGTCTTTGCTGGTGGCGGCAACTTTGGGCGTGGGCTTGAGGACGGCATGGCTGTCGAATTTCTCTACGCTATTGATTGGGCTAAAAATGCTGTGAACACTTACAGAGCCAATCGCAGCGAACGTCCATGCTGGGTCTATTGGGGTTCGGTTAATGACTACCTCAGACAAGTCATGGATGGGAGTACAGTCGAGCATTTCGCAGGGATTGACCAAATCGATTTCATCGCCGCCGGAAGTCCATGCCAGGGCTTTTCTAGACTCCAGAGGAACAAGGCAAGCGACTCGTCCCTGCGCAATATCTCTATGGTTGCTTCAGTGGCAGCCTACGTTGATGTGTATCGACCAAGATACGCAGTACTCGAAAATGTTATACGAATGGCCCATCAAACTGAAGAACTGGGAGTATTTCCGCAGCTCCTTTGCACACTGGTCGGCCTAGGCTATCAAATCTCACAACATCTTTTGGATGCTTGGTCTTGCGGCGATCCCCAAAGAAGATCACGTCTGTTTGTGCAAATCGCGGCACCAGGTTTAGCGCCTATACCTCCAACAACACTGACACATTCCCACCCACCTGGAACGGCAAATATATCGTTAGGTAAAAACCTGGCAAATGGTCAAAGGTTTGGAGAGAGGCGCATTACACCGACGCCGTTTCGGTACGTCTCTGTACAGGAGAGCATGGGCGACTTGCCCGACATACAGGATTCACACAGCCAGACGTGTATCAAAAATCCAGACCACCGAACCGTAAGCACAGAGGCCAGTTGGACCAGAGAAATGATTCGACACATCCCAATCCATCCGCCTTTACAGGGTGTAGTAAACGCCATTCACGCTGGCGTCATGCCACAAGCGCTTGCAGAACGGTTCCTAAAGACAGGTGGGATGAGGGCGCACCGAAACAGCAAATCATGGTCACGAATTTCCCGGGACGGACTGACATCAACCATAACGACAACTCCAGCTGCGGCTTGTGCAATTACTGGCAGGGCGCTACACTGGCAACAGCATAGAGTTCTGAGCATCAGAGAAGCCCGGCGAGCCCAAGGATTCGATGAGAGGGACATCATCACGGGGTCTCCTTCCGAACAGTGGAAGATAATCGGGAACAGCGTCTCTCGTTCAACTGCATTAGCGCTTGGTATGGCGCTTCAAGAGGCGTGGCTGGCGAACCCGTTGGAGCATTGCCCATCAAACAGTTTCGCTCTCCCCATCTCCCCAGACGCCGGAAGCGAAGACCTTACGGCCAACCCGTCCAACGATCCCTCGCCGCCGAACTTGCTCGCTCTGTCATCGAACATGCCTACTCCGATCAGCGTCGATAGTGCTGAACGACCGCAACCTCAGTGCCGTGCTGCTGTAGTAATCGATCTCACACGAGACGATTGAAAGAGCTCGCACGTATAGACAAAGAAAAAGTACGGCCTACCGATAGGATGAATTGGACGACAGGTGCCAGCTGCACTTTCAGGGCTTGGAGACGTGCGGCGGTTCCCCGTAGATGGATAGAGGCGATTTCATTACTTGCGAAGATTTTGGGGTCCTTGGAGTGGAGAGCAGATTACGATGCATTAGAGGGTCACGTTTTTTTTTAGTCTTTCTCGTTCGTTTAGATATTTCATGCAGCTCGAAGTAGGGTCAGCGAGCCCTTGGCGCAGGGACAAATCAAATCCATATTCACGAATGTGTTTGTGTTGAGGTGTAGTATTTGCCGACCAAGATGCTATTACTTACCTTTTACAGGCAGCGCACTTCTGATTAGATGCTTAATCTCTCTGGGATCTTACCGTCATAACAATTCTCAGTGTTATCACGGTGATTCTTCTACGGCGGCACTCACTCATTCCACCACCTGCCAGCAGCGGCAGCGGCCCGACATACCAACCATCCAAAGCGCCCTGTTCCCGTCCCATCAACTCTGTAACAACAGCCGTGACGCCTCGCCGACCATCAGCCTCCGTCGTCGGAGACCAACGTCCGTCAGATACCCCCAATCCAGCCATGATCTACCCATTATAGCTTCTCGCTCGAGTCGTGCGTCACTTACGCCCGAAAGCCCGCGCCCCAACAAGCACCGAGGTCAAGCAACCGACCAGCCCTACCTACAAAACAGCTACTATACATAGAGGCACTAGGTATGTCTACTAGGTATCTCGGAGAAGCACGGGGATCGACAACGACCACTGAGTCGTGCTGTGGGGGGGGGGGGGGGTGGAGGGTTTAGGGGACGGCTCTTCCCTTCAGCTCGCATTACAACCTCATCTCCCAAGCTCTCGCCTTTTCCGACGACGACCCCTACCTACATCTCTCCGATCTGCCGCCCTAAACCTTACCGCCGGTTTACGCACGAAGTTCCCGTGTAGGGTAGAGCATTCCCGACGAAGCGGTCTTTGGGGGGGTTTTCCGACCAGCAGATCGTCGCCGCGCGTTTCAGACGGCCGGCCGGACGTCGTCAACGTCACAGAACGGGGATCGAGAGGTAATCGTCGTGTGTGGCTGTGGCTGTGCTGTGCCGCCCTGTGCTGCGCTGCGCTGCGCTGCGATGCTGGCATGACGGTGAACGTTACGCTTCTTCATTCGTTACCAAAGTGTTCATGCCCGATGGATGATGACGTTCCGTTCATGGAACGCAGCCAGCTTCCCTTTTCTTGGTGACGCACCCGCTCTGCCCCCGCCCCCGCCCCCGCCCCGACGTCTGCGTCGATCAGGTCGGGCAGAGAGAGTGAATACAGTAGCGGGCAGTGTGATCAAACGATTGGTGTGTCTCATACTTAGTTCGGTCCGGAGGGAGAGAGAGAGAAAGAGAGACAATTCAGCCGAAGGGGATCGAGAGGAGTTTGCCGGCCGGCAAGAGCCATAGACCGAGGATCGAGGTGGGGTGGGAGAGCCAAAAAAAAAAAAAAAAAAGCTTAACGGTAGTGAAGCAAGGGCGCGGAGGGGTTGCTGGCCACCTAGTTGGAGGGGTCAAGGGTCTCATCAGGCATCGCATTCCACGCTCCCCCGAAGCCAAGCGGAAAATGGAAGGAGGGGGATGGTCAAAGGTTCCACGAGTCGTGGAGTGTCGGCGGAAGCTACCGATGATGTCAAGAGCAGCGTTGATCTCTCGTTTCGAGAAACGCGGGTTCCGGCGAATCGTCTTCCTTGGAATCCGTGTACACGTACTGTGGGTAGCCGGAGAAGAAACGTCGGGGGAGGAGGAGCAGCTAGTGGCTACTTACGCGTACTGCAGGAGTGGAGTAGTGGGAAGATGGACATGATGCTGCGCAGAGTTTGGTTGTACATACATACGAGGCCCCCGGCCACCTGTTTTTGACGTCACTATACACGCGGCTGGCGGCATCTGCTTGACGGCGCGCGCGTCCTTCTTTTTTTTTTTTTTCTCTGCGAAAAATCGGTGGGCGGTTTGGCCATAGAGAGAGGGAAGGAGAGAAAAGAAAGATGGGCTAAAAATAGACGACATTGGCCAAGGTTGGACGCCCTACTTGGTACGTACTGCTGGAGATGTCTCCGTTTCGATGGGAAGCCGCATGCAACTATCGGCTGTAGCTAGCGAGTACGACGCTCTTTCCTGGACGATCGTCTGCGGCACTCTCCTGAGCGCCTGCAGGCATCTCATCAGTCTTCGAAGATGCTGTGCTGCTGCGTCAGATGGAGACGTCACTGATGTCTCTCTCGCCCTCGATACCGCTGAAGATTGCAGAGTCTGGACCGCAACATGTCAGCCGAGCAAAAAGGGAGCCTGCACTCTTTATACATGACCAATAGTATAGTGCTCTCTCTCTGTCCTAACCCAAAAGTCGGCGGGCAACCGCAAGCGAGGCCTCGGCGGCAGTATGCGCGCCGCAGGGAGGTTCAGATGGAAGGCGCCAGCATCGTACCCGAGCGACTGCGACACCAGCCACAGGGCGGGCGACGGCATATGATTGTTCGGCGCGCGGCGGCGGGTACCTGAGCCAGCACCCACTACCCAGCCTTCATGTTCACAATCGCAAATCTCCGCCGCCCCCTGCGCCGGCCTGCGCCGCAGACGCCCCCCCGACAGCCACACCTGGTCTCTTTGCTTCCTTCGCACCTTCCCGAAGTCCGGTTAGGATGAAGGAGGAGAGGAAGGACCGCCGCGGCGCGCCGAGACGCGTTAAACCGCATCCGGCCAAGGCCGCGCTCACCAATATTCGACATGTTATTATTACTATTATTGCCTTGTGCTCGTACCTGGCAATGCAGTGCTTGGCCCGGTGCTGCCTCTGCCTCTTGTGCACAAGGTACCTAGGCAGGCAGGGCAGAGCAACATGGATCGCACGATCGAAAGACGGCCGGGCGCCCGTGGTGGCGAAGATACCGTCGCAAGAGACAACAAGATAAGACACGGAGCAGCAGTAGGCAGGCAGTCGGACTCGTTCTGGATCGTCGTCCACAACCCCCCGAAGTACCACCACCCTCCGTGCCTTGTCTCGTTCCCTCTTTCCTGCGCTGGCTTTGGCTCCCATCATTGCCGATTGCCGGCATGCGCGCGCGCCCGCAAACAACGCCGCGTATCCCGTGCCGGAAGCCAAAAAAAAAGTCGAAGAATCTATGGATGTAGGTCATAGTATGTTTGTGTGCATGTCGTACCTGCATATACAAGCGAGAGGATGAAGATGATCACCCGAGTTCGGCCGCCCGGTCGGCCACGCCGAACGAACGGTCCCGAAAATCCAACCGCCACACAACTGCCACCACAGAACAAAAGGTCACGCAAGCCTCGCGACGACGAGGGGCTGGCTGGCCGGCCGGTCGCATTATCATTACAGGCCCCAGCCGTTTCTGGCCGGAAGCGCCCCATCTCATTTCAAAGGAATGTGAGAGAGACTCATCATCGAAGGCTCATCGAAGGTGCATCGCAGCGCAAGGGGAAGCAGTGAGCGCGAGCGGGAGCAAATCGACAGGTCCAGACCGCCGTCTGCACGACGTGGGGACGGCGTGCGTCAGCTGCGGCAGGGCTGGGTGCATGCATGCCTGCATCGAGCCTCCCGCGCGCGAGAGCATTCATCCCCCCAGCGCTGCTGCATCCGTCTCCCACGCCCGGAAAACGGGACGAAAAGAGCGAGGAAGAGAGAGAGAAGTGGGAAGAGATCTCCGTGATAATGCCATCGTCGAGCAGTAGTAGGTAATTGAAGGGAGAAGGAGGTCGATGGGAGGGGAACCAAGTCACTAGCGCCCCCGGGGAGCCGCCTTCCCTGCGCTGCTCATCTCCCGCCAAGCAACGAATCACGAACCGTCTGGCCGTATCGCCAGCCGGCCAAGGAAGGAAAAACGAGGACAAAGAAAGAAAGAAAAAAAAAAAGTCCCAGCATGCCTTGCCCCCCCTGGAGTGTGATGACCAAGGACGGCGCGCTATGCTTAGCTGATGCTTGAGCAACAACAGAAGTGATTCGGCCTGGGGCGCCTCATCTCTCACTGCTCTGCTCCGTCGGTGCTCCGCCCACGTCCCACCCACCCCCCATGGCCCGCACGTCCCACCCCGAACTCCCCGCCTCAAAGGGTCTAGCACGCGTAATAAATGAGCGGGTGGGAAATTACGCACCCCAACTGTGGCGTCGAAGCGCCGCGCATTGCGCATCCGCTGTGACCTGGGTGCCTGGGCCGGCGAGAGGAGGGAACAGCCAGGCCGACCGGTGGCATCCGCGCCCGGAGAGAGCTGCACTCCAGAATAGGATGACATGGCAAGGAAGGGAAAGTGGGAAGGGGGTGGGTGGGAGAGCGGCGGATGATTGCGCGCAATATGCGTCCCGTTTCACTTAGAAGAATTGTCATAAAGCAAGAGCCGGTTTCTCCAAGGGAGACCCCAGCCGCCGAAGAAGAACATTTCTTCGACACTCTCATGTACAGAATGTGGCTGACGAACCTCGGCACCACCACCACTGTTAAGCTTTCCGTGTCGCCCGACCCCCTTGCCGCCCGTCGGTGCGTCATGGCGCGTCGTGATGGCGCGTGGCTGGTGGAGATCGACGACTGCTTTTGATTGAATGATTTTGATTGCTTGCCCAAGACTAACATGTTCGTCGACGCCCTGACGATGACTTGTGCCGGTAGGCCCAGGTCATGCGAGCGCCCTGGACCAGTGCTGTGCGTGGCGCTGAGGGGGAATCTAATAGTTTTGCCCGTCTTCTATCAAGTCAATTACAACAAGCACTGCCTGGACCAGCCATGTCCAGCTTAACACACGGAAATTCGGGGTCTCTTTGACTGAAGGGAATGTAAAACAGGAGATCGAGGAAGGAGTGTCGGTGGAGAGAGAGTTGAAGGTGATTTCGATTTTTTTTTTCTGCTCCACAGCTGCCATGCACAGCTGCAGAGCCAGGAAACGTGGGTGCGGGAAAGACGGGGGTACTGGATATCACACATAGGCACCCGCTTACAGCGTGGGTTTCGTCGACAACAAAAGAGCAAATCGAGAACAGACGACTTTCAAATGCGCCCTCCGCCAAACGTTCTCAAAGACAAAAGAAACCTGGGTGCTCAAACAAGTGGAAAAAGAAAATTTGCCTCTGTACAGGTCCGCCGTTAAGTGTTGCGCGCGTAAGTAGGAAATCAAATTTAGTACGCTGCCCCTCTGTAACCACCGTGGCCCGTCTCGACGTCCGGCAGGCGCGGTGCCCTGCCGTCGCGGGATGCGGACCGGTCTCTGTCGTTCTGGCCCATGGTTGCCGCCGAATCGAGCAGGTTCTCGTGCGACGTGCTGTGCTTGTGGTACTTCTTCGAGATTCCTTCCTGCATCGGAACCGGGTCGTAGCCCTTGGCTCCTGCAATGATCGAGTGGCGCTGGCTCTTGTACTCGCCAGGGTCCATAAGCAGAGAGTTGCGCGCGTCCAGAGGGGTAAGGTCGTCGAGATCGCGGTTGAGCTTCTCTGCATCATTGTTAGCACCCCGCATTCCGCAAACTTCCCCGGATTTCAACTTACCCTGCTCCTTTCTCTTCTTGCGGTGAGGGTTCTCCTTGCAGCACACGACGATGGAGTTGACGGCGATCAAGATGGCCAGGACACCGGTCAAAACGGACTGCATGACAATGAGGACAATGCCAGTCACCGTCTTCGTCGTCTGCGAAATGCCGAGCTCTTCGACGAAAACCAGGACGCAGATGACCGAGAGCACGCGAACCGTCTGGATGGTGCAGTTGATGACGTTGCTCGACTTGAGAGTGTAGGGCCTGGACCAAAGGAGAAGGACGAGCATGAGAGCCTCGATGACGAGCTGCGCGCCCGTCTGAGCAAGGCCGTGGCCGTCCAAACCGGCAATGACGCAGCCCTTGGCGAACGAGTACGTGATAACCGGGACGAAAAGCCACCAGTAACCCTTCTTGTAGTTCTCGTAGAACATGCTGTACTTCCTCCACGTCTCCTTGTCCTCGAAAAGACCCGAAACGTCACCCTCGGCCTTCTTGAACTTCTGGGCCATGGAGTAAATGCGCCAAGCAAAGAATCCGAGAACAGCAGTGAAGACAGCGAGCGTGACACCTGCCAGAACGCTGGCGGCCCAGGAGTCTCCGTTAGTGAATTGATAGATGCAATAGAGGACCCAGACACCATAGGCCAGAAGGATCAAGTTGGTAATGGTCTTGGCCAGAATCCACCAGTAACGCTTCCTGAAGTTTGTGAGTTTCGCGGGGAAAGAACCGAAAAGAGCCCAGGTTTCCAGGATGACCTTGAGAAGCAGAATTCCAACGGCAATGGCGCCGATGACGATGGCGAAGATAAGCAGGATGGTCATGAAGGTACTGGCCTGAGGAATAGAGAGTTCCTCAACGTATCCCTTGACACCGTTGACATACTCCATGACCTGGGAGTCGGAAGAACTGCTGTCGTCGCTGTCGTCCGAAGTCGAGTCATCGGTGCCGTTGACGTTGGTCGAAAGCGAGTCACGGGCGTAAAGGCTGACGGCGTCCAGGCCACGCTTGGTCAGATTGCTGGCCTCGACGTGAACAATGGTAGCGTTCCTCAGGTAAGCGTAGCTGGCGTGAGTCAAGTTTCCACCGGTAGCCCTCCTGAAGTCATCGATGCTGTTTTGCATGTCGTCCCAGGGAATCAAGCCGGTGCTGAAGCCGAAGTTCTTGGAAAAGCTGGTGTACACCGAAGGGTACTTCACGCTCATCATTCCGTTCATAGCCATGCCTTGGAACCAGCCCATGACCTCGCCGAAGCTAGGGCTTGGGCTGATGGCGCCTGCACCCGCTCCAGCACCAGCACTCGCAAGTGCCGAAACGCCAGTCATCAGGAGTGCGGCACCGGCAATACCAGCTGCAACATACGAGACGCCTGCCACGGACATACTCTTGCCGTTGGTGACAGTCGACTGGATACAGGCGAGGTCGTCGCCGCCGTCGATCGGGGTGAGCTCTATCTTTGCGGTTCCGTCGAGATCGGGGATGGTGAATGCAATGGACGGGATTTGCGAGGCGTATGAGTCGGGTACTTGCTGCTCGCCGGATGCCGAGAACTTGCCGATGGGTACTGGAGGCTGTCAGCATGATGTGGGAAGAAAGAGGCCAAAGAGTCACCGACCTGGACACAGCTTCTCAACGTAATTGTCCTCGTCGCAAGGGTTGAAGGTCTTGCTGTAGACTTCCTTTCCATATGCAGACACGACCAGGGATGCCATGACCTTCTGTTCTGCAGTACTCTCACCGCCGACATCGAATACAACCTTGTTCGTGGCCCGGTTGTAAGTGACGGCCATCTTAGTGATCTCGATCGAGGCGTTGGTTAAACAAGTGGTGAAGCCAGTGGTGGTGAGCACGTCGCCGGCGAGGGCGACGGCGGGGAGGGCAGCGCCCAGCAGTAGCCTTGGAAGCATCATGGCCGTTGGTGGAGCGCGGTGGTGGTGGTGGGCGACGGTGAGTCCGCCGCGAAGATGGGTGTTGGGACTCCCAGAACGCGCTCACAGGATTGCGCCTGTGGCCGCGCGATGAGCCCGTGGGGGAGAGGCGCGATGAATTAGGCGCGGGAACGCGGGCGACGGGGCGGCGAACAGAACAGAGGGCGAATTAAAGCGGGGGGGGACAGAGCCGGATCAACCTTGGCTTTGTCGGGGCGAAGTACGAGTCGAAGGCGCGGTAAAGGGGCAGCGCAGGTTGCGCGGGTGAGCGAGAGACGTGGAGAAGTAGGTGGTGGTGGTGGGCAACAGGCGGTCAAACGAGGCGACCGTGGAGAGAAAACGACACGAGGGTTCGGCGCTTGCTGGAAGGAACGGAGAGCGGAGAGAGTGGACGGGGAGGGCAGAGAAGAAGCGCGCTGAAGGGGTGGGAGTTTCAGTTTCAAGGCGCCGCTCGGCAAGAGCTGGCGCGCACGCCTGCACCACGCGGCGTCCTTACCGGAACGGGGACCACGCCTGGGACTTAATACGCAGGGGGGCGGCCGCCGACTTTGCTGCAGAGGGGAAGGATGTGCGGTCGCGTTGTCCAGGCCCGGTGAATCCTGAGGTGCAGGGAGAGCGTCGAGATCCGTCCGCCGTTATATTTCGAGCAGATTTGCTGCGCGGGCGCTGCGATCGCTCTCAAGCATCGAGCCAAGCGCGCAGACGGCGGGCTGCGGCCGTTGCCGGTCGCGACCAGCGCCATGCCTGCTGACTGCTGGAGACGCCGCCGCGATACGGGCGCGGCGGGCGCGGCGGGCAGTGCTGCTGCGACTGCGACTGCGACTGCGACCGCGACTTGCGCGACTGCGACTGGCGCGGGCACCGTGGCCATCCCTCGCGCGACGCCGGCGGCGACTGCCACCAGGATGCGACAGCGCCGGCGGTGACTACTGGGCTGGCGCCATCAGCAGCGCGGTCGTTGGCTGTTGTGCGCAGTCGCAACGTGCCAGTGGGCCCTGGCGCCAGGTTCGGCGCCTGGTTCCAGACTCGGGCGGCTCGCTGTCACGCTACGGCAGCTGTGGCTGTGGTGCGCAAAGCCCTAAAAAAAGACAGCTGCTGCCCCTGACGCAGGCCCAATGGAATGCCCCGGCCTGCCTGCACCGCCGACTGGCCCCCCCGGCTGGCCCCTCCGTCCACCACGCGCCCGTCGCCGTGATACCCGCCACCCGCCGCTGCCAGGCGCACGCAACCTCGCGACCGCCGAGTCCGCGCGACCGCGAGCTCGGTGCTGCCGCCCGTGCCTGCCGCTTTTCCGGGGACCGCCGGCGTCGTGCGCCTACCTAGTTCTCCATGCATGAGCTGGCCATTGCTAAGAAGTCCGCCTGCCGCCTGCCGTCTGCCGCCAACCTCCACGATCTGCATCTGTCCCTGCTTACCTCGACACCCGCCGTCGTGCCCTCAGCCCTGTGAGACCCACCATGCAGACATACAGATGCCGGTCCTCACCTCGTCTCGTCTCGTCGCTGCCGATGCTTTGATTGCGTCCGAGATCGCTTCGCTTCGCATCGCGCCACGGTCAAGAGAGTTCGAGTCCAGCTCGACAAGTCGACTAATTAATTCACCCGTAAGGCTGATCATCAGCGTGACTCCCTAGGGCTCTACCGTTGCACGGCTGCGTGAACCAACGTCGGCCGACCGCCGTCAGCAAGCCACCAAGACAGGATCGCGCATGGTTTTCACCGTTGATGTGAGAAATCGGCGCTGCTCAGCCTCTCTGCTAATAGCTGGAGGATTCAACGATGGTTGCGGCAGTTAGGAATCGCTATATCCCGTCATCTCGTAAAGCAGGTGCAGCGAAGCCACGACGCCCTCGTAAAACTTTGGCCTGAATCTCTCATCCTCGAAGTCCGACTCCTTCCCCCCAAAGTCGCATCCCAGGCACTTTCTCACAGCGCTGTTCCATTCTTGGAGGTTGTCGTCTTTCTCCAGCTTCGCGGTCAGCGAGCTCTCCGGGCGCCCGATCCTCATCTGTCTGCTTGGACTGCAGAGGTGCAGATATGAAAAGCTCCAGCAGCATGACTCCTAGCGCAAAAATGGCTTCGTTCCTGACCGCCAAACTTCCGCACTGCGGCTCGGCGGTCGCTGTGACAGGACCCATTATCAGCCCCGGCGCCCGATGTGAAGGAAGCGCAGATCAAGGCGCAGTTTCCCAGTCTCATGTCAGTCGCCCGGTGAGCGACGAGCATGTCCTGCGAAGTCCAACGGGAGCCCAGCGATGTTGCGATGATGCAAGCCAGCCTATTCCTGTCCACGAGTCGTATTCTTGGCGGAGCCAGTGACGATTTGCGGAGACCATCTCGTACAATGAAATTGTCCCCATCGGCATCGAAAGAACTGAACCTACGAGGTGAATGTAGTGCTTCGGCCTCTTCCCGAGAACAAAGCCAAGGCATCCGTCTGTTGGACCGCGGTGCAGAGGTCAGAGGGCCGGGGCTGGAAGTGTTGTCTGTGCGAAGGCGACTTTTGGCCTGCGGGGCGCTAGATAAGGTGCCTTCCGCCTCATCCTCGTCGTCTGGCCCAAACCCTCAGTTTCTTGCCAGCAGACTTCTCCACCCGCGCGATACGAGAAACTGGCGCCGAAGCGGGGCTGCCGAGTCTGAGTTGTCACCCGCTCTTCCAGTCGCAAGCGTGCCGAATGAGCAACCTGAAAGTGGCACTGACAGAGCCAGCCGGTGCAGATTGCGCAATAGAGACTCTTCGCCGACCGCCGCGCTGATTCCCAGCCGCTAATGTCGACTGCTTTGATTTCCGTCGCACCTTCTGCCTCGGCCTCCAGGACCCCAGACATGAGTTGTTCCAGGTATGTGCTGTGTCTGTCGATGTCGGCCAGCAGCTTGACGTGCTTTTGATCTTCCTTCTCCTTCCTCTCCATGCTACTGAAAATGGGCGCGACCACCTCAGACTGTAGGCAGGCAGTCTTGGAGCGCAACAGAAGCCCCACAAGCGCAAGTCTCCGGATTACCGACTTCGAGATTCCAAGCTCTACAAAAGCCAAGTCGTCAATCTCCTGGCTGATCTCGAAGACACTCTGAACAAAGGTGGGGGAGGCTGAAACCTGACATGGTCCAAGTAAGCACATCTTTCGTGACCTTCAGGCTTCCGTCTGTGCCTTCGAGGACTGTCCACAGCCAAGTTGTTTGTATGAGGCTCGAAATGAGTGGTTCGAGCATGAGCTTTAGTTCCATTAACGAGTGTGGCCTTGCAATGTTGCAAGTCATTCCGATCATCACAATCAGGCAGGCTTTGAAGCTGGAGCCCTGTCAGGAAATGAGGTCAAGCTTGGAGATGCCGTGCTCGATCCCACCATAGATAATGATAAGCTCGTCCAGAACATCAAAGGCTGGGTTCAGGACTGCCTGGAATATCGTGCTCTGCGCAAGGAGACGTTCGCAACATTCGCTTCATTACGTCTGACAGAGATCGGGGAGTCGACAGAAAGCTTGCGGCTCGTCGATTTCTCGAAAGGTGAATAACCTGTCTACGCGTGTCTGGCATACCGTTGGGAAAAATTGATTTTTCCTGGAAAGAAGAGACCTTCCTCGGGATCCCATATTGGAAGCTACCGAAAAACCATCCAGGATGCACTTGAACTGACATTCAACTTTGGAAACAGATACCTATGGATGGATTCGGTTTTTGAAGACCAATATCATGGAGAAGGAAACCGGGGACTGTCCGAGGAAGTTACACATTCCCGTAATGCACCAAGCTGGTCCTGGACAAAAGTTACAGGCCCGATCAAGTTCAGACTAGCTCTCACAGAGACAGCGGCACACATACTGGCAGCAAGTGTCGAGCCGCTGGCTGGAGAATAGGGGCATACATGGGGTGGATCTCCTGATTTTGCGAGAACATTGCTCGTTCAATACGTCAAATTTAATGATTCTCTCGGCTTCCTCATAACTCCCAACAACAAGGAAGATACAAATCTTCAAAGTGAGTAAAGACAACCATTTGAGGACGTAGCCAAAGATTTGTCAGGTAGGGTGGAAACATACTACTACCCCACAGGAAAACATGACGTCTTGAAAAGTGAGTATGTTACCATCTCCGAGCTCTGAGTAGATTCATGAGCGTACGTGAGGCAGCAGATAACAGAAGAACATCAATTCATGAGACATCAATCCGCCCAAGCCCTGCGGGTATAACCAAAAAAAAAAACAAAAAACCCTCCCACCCTACATGGTCCATCAAGCCTTCCCAGCCAACCCCTCCCCCACAACCTCAATCTCCTTCGCATCCGCCTTGAGCACGTCGTCGTCGCCGCCCCCGCCCACAGAAGACGCAGCAGCCACACGTGCTTCCTCATCGCCATCCTTCTTGGGGTCGAGACCGATGCTGCTGGCGCCAATCTTGTCGGCCGTGTCGCGGTAGGCGGGGACGAAGTTGACGCAGAGGGCGTACGACCACGCCAGCACGAAGAAGAGAACCGGGACGATCATCGCAAACGCCGTGTCGTTGCGGGCATCCGCGACCGCGCCCATGATTGCGGGGACTGTAGTTTTGGGCACATTCGTTAATCCTTTTTCTTTTTTTTTTTTTGACTCCGCACTCAAGACGTCAAGAATGGTGGCCATGAGTTCATATCATCGAAAGGAGAGGGGATTTAAAAAGAAAAAAAAAAGGAAAGGAAAAAGAAAGAAACCACTCACCAGCAGCACCCCCGCTCACGCCCGCAATGATCAGGCCCGCCCCCCTCTTCGTGTGCCTCCCCAGCCCCCTGATGCCGAGGGCGACGATGGTGGGGAAGCAGACGCTCTCGAAGAAGAGCGTCAGCATCAGCATGGCGAGGCCGACGTCGCCGGCCGTGTCGACGGACGCGGCGTTGAAGGCGACGACGCCGCTGAGGTAGGCGAGGAAGACCCAGCGCGGCTTGACGAAGCGCATCAGGACGGACCCCGTGAAGCGCCCCACGGCGAAGCAGCCCTGGGCGCCGGCGAGGAAGTTGGCGCCGAGGGCGGACGAGGTGCCGGCGCGCTGCTCGGTGATGTAGTTGATGAAGTAGGTTGCTATGGCGACTGGTGTGGTGTGGTGTGGTTAGTTTCTTTTTTCTTTTTTTTAATTGGCGTTGGTGCGGTTGTGTTTTGGGGAAAGGGGAGGAGAGGCTTGGGGAAGGGGGAGATGGGGTAAGTGGTTAAAGGCTGCTTGACGGCATGAAAGAAGAAGAAGAAACCAAAAAGGAGGCTCACCTTGTGCACCGGTGTAGCACCACTGCGCCATGGCGGCGTGGAAGAGACGGTACTGCTTGCGGAAAGGCTTGTCACTGGAGCCCGTATGGGTATCCTCGACCTGGGCCGCCATATCGGCGTCTGTGACCTCGGGGATGTCGGCAAAGAAGAAGACGGCAGCAAGCAAGAAGACGAAGATTCCAATGGCGAGATAGACCCACTGCACGCTCTCGAGCGAGTTGACGTCGTCGCCGGTGTCCTTGAAGAAGACGTAGGAGCCCAGCACGGGGCCGACGACGGTGCCCGTGGCCTGCACCGCCTGGGCCAGGTTGATGCGCAGCTCCGAGTACTTGGGCGGGCCGACGACGGCCATGAACGGGTTCGCCGCCGTCTCCAGCGAGCCCAGGCCGGAGCCGATGACGACGGTCGCGCCGCAGAAGCCGCCGAAGGACCGGTTCAGGCCGGCGGGCCACATGCAGAGCGCGCCGATGCCGTACAGGACCAGGCCGAGCATGAAGGTGGCCTTGTAGCCGTAGTGCCGCAGCGTCCAGTTGGCGAAGCCGAGGGAGGCGAGGGGGTAGGCGCTGCGAGGGGAAAGGCCATGTTAGCGCTGGTTTACACTTTGGATGGCGGCCGAGGCAGAGAGGTGTACCCGAAGTATGCGCCCTGCAGACCGGCCGATTTGGCACGTGTGATGTTGAGCGTGGTTTGGAAGTGCTTGTTCAGCGTGTCGAGGAGGCCGTAGGCAAATCCCTGAGCTGCATGTCAGCCCGCACTTCTTGACTTGCTACTTGCTCACCAACTTACCCAGAGAAAGTAGAGAATGGTGACGAGGAGCAGCGGCACCAACGACTCCCGCACAGTCAGTTCCGACGCCTTCGTCTTCCGATTGCCGACCTTCAGCCCAGACCGGCTGGCCATGAGCTTCTGGAAGAACGAGCCCATGGTGTCAATTGGGAAGACTATCCTCCAAAGTAGTCTCCAGCCCGCAGAAGGATGTTTCGGCAAGGGAGAGAGAGAAAAAGTAGCAGAAGGAGAGCGAAGCCTGGGTCTCTGACAGGCGAGAGGATGCAAAAAAGATGGGCTGTAGGTCCTCTGGGCTTTTATTACATCAGAAGACAGGCCAAGTGCCGCACTGCAGGCCCGCTGCGTCAACCCAGAGGTGCCCCGTGCGACCGGAGCTTCGTACAGGGGGGACGGGACTGGACAGGCAGAGAGGAAAACAAGACTCCCCTCAGTCCCACTCTCGCCTTTGCTTGGCGACCGCGCCAAGCTAATTCTCCCTTGCCCCCAGATCCAAGCATCCCGCCCTAGCATCCGGCGCGCTTCTTCCTCAGCGTCTTCGGTGTCCATAGCACGACGGGGAGCTTCTCCTTGAGAGCGACAGGCATGCTGACCGGTAGCCAGGGCCTGCATTCCGTTGCCCGGGAATTCGTCGCTACGATGCATGTCCCCAGTGGAACAGGTAGTAAGCTCCGCCGGCTGGGCGGAGGGAAGACGCACGCCGAGACTTTGGAGGCAGGGATGGGCACGTCGCCATGGCGCACGCGGGGTAAACCCCATGGGGGAGATAGGTGGGATCCACGTGCATCCTGACACTGGGGCTCGTACTCGGCGAGAGATGAGCCGAAGTGGTTGTGGGGCTTCTGACTACGGGCGATGGCATTAGAGCAAACGAGGGAAGGCATGCCTCGAGATAAGGTCGACATGATGCTCCGCAGCCCAAGGAAAGGAAGCCCAAGATGCTCGGAGAAATATCCCCGCCCATCGACAAGACCTGTTGCGCCGACGCTTGACCAGGGACAGAGAGCCGCGCCGCCATTGTTCCAGGGGGAATCTCCGCGATCATCGCAAGGTCCGGCAAAGCACCCCAGAGTAGGTCGGGTCCATTGTGGAGAGAGATCGGATGGTAGTTCTGACCGTCGCGGCCAAGGCGATAAGATAGACATGCGTAGTAGAGGCAAAAGTGTAACTGTTTCAACCATCTCCCAACAACCGCACTCTCTCGTCTAGTGGGTATCGTGAACAAAGAAAAGAAAAGAAAGAAGAAGAAACGCCAAGGCCAATATCCACGGCCTTTCTCTCCTGAGAAAGCTACACCGTCTGTACATACATTATACAAGTCTTGTGATCATCAAACAAATAAACAACGACTTTTTCTCTCTTCCATCTCTTCTCTCCGCCTTACAACAGAGCGTACAAACTCGCCAGGCAGACAAGGGCCGTCCACCCGGCAAAGACCCCGCTCCTGCCAGCCGCGCTGTCGCCGTCCACGCCCGTGGCGGCCTGGCCCAAGTACCACGCGCCCATATCCGTCAACTTGCCCTTCGAGTTCAGGAAGGCCTCATTCACGCCAACATTACTGACCGAGCTGCGGAAAGACCCGAACCAAGAGTAACGCGTGACGTTCCTGCCGTACTGTCAGCACACGGATACCCTCCAAAAAGAGAGAGAGAGAGAGAGAGAGAGAAAAGAACAACTTACTCCATCTTCACATCCAAATACTCCATGGTCGTATTGAAAAACCACTCGCTATCCTCCTTGTCCGCATCCGCATACGCAAACTCCGTCACCCACACCTCGCTGATATTCGCATACGTCGCCATCACCTGCCCCAGAAAGCTCGCGAAGCCCTCCCAATTCCCATACCAGTGGATGGGAATGAAGTCCGGATTGCAGCCGCCGTCGCACTCGGTGAACCAATTCTGCAGCCACTGCAAGCCGGTGGGGCTGCCGGTGACGGCGGGCGCCCCGAGGCGGACGCCGTCGTCGCGCAGCGGCTCGATCTCGCGGATCCACGTCGAGGCGGCGAGGTCGGCGGGGACGCCGCTGCCGCCCGTGGCGGAGGCGCCGTCGGGCTCGTTGAAGCCGAGCACGTGCGTGATGTTGGTGCCGGCCTTGAGCTGCGCGCGCACCGCGTCGCGGAACGCCGTGCTCTGCGCCGTCTCGTCCGCGTCCGTCGCGCCCCACAGCATGGGCACGAAGTTGAGTCCGCTCTTCTTGAGCGACGCCGTCGGCTGCACCGCGTAGTTGTAGTACCACGTCAGCTGGTCGGCGGCGGCGGCCGACGCCCAGATGCTGTCGTCGGCGGCGTTGTCGGCGGTGGCGACGTAGACGAGGCCGCGTTTGGACGAGACGGTGCCGGCTTGGGCGGCGGCCAGGGGAGCCAGTGCTGCGAGGGCGGCGCAGAGGATGGGCGAGTTGCGCATGGTGGTGGTGGTGGTGGTGGTGGTGGTGATGATGATGATGTTGTTGATAGTGGTGGTGATACAGCGATCAAGCGTGTGTTGATTAATTGCCGGCAAGACGGCTAGCTATGCACGAGCTGCAGGCTATTACTGCCCGGTATATGCGATTGGAAATGGTTGGATCTCGAATGAATCGTGCGATGACGTCTGTCAGGTACGGAATAGCCTCAAGAGGGAGCAGATGTGGCAGCGGCTGCTTCGCTTCCGGATACGACCTGCAGGCAGCAAGAAAAACCGGTTCTTGCTCCGGGCAAATCTGGGCAACGAGGGAAGCAAAGATAGGAGCGGACAGTGAATGAATCTGAAACAGAAAGACGAAGAGACGGGATGGAAAGCTGGGATAGGGTGTACTTGAGATAGACTAGCAACGGGCGAGGGAAGGATGGGTTGAAATACGCCTCCTGCTTTACGGGTGTCGCTTTCATATCCACATTTCCTTTGGCCAGCCAGCCCTCACGGCAGCCATGGTCGATAGCGCGCGGTTCGAAATAGCAAAAGGACCATGCCGGGGCAAGCGCGCGCCATCGGACGAGGCGAGATGCGGCGGGCGTGCCCGTGCCTAGAGCGCTCGCCGAGCCTCAGGGTAGGCGGACCCTTGGCGGCGCCTGCGGATGGTAGAAGATTGAAAAAACCAGCCGCCGCCAGCGAAGCGCTGTTGTGGAGAGACTCTGTTTCGAAGACCCGAAACTGGCGATCTTTCGAACTGGCTGGCGGGCGGTTTCCCGCGCTGCCGATGAGCTGGCGAGCGGGGCGGCCGTGCTTCTGGAAGCCGCTTGTTCTCTGCTGAGCCTACCGGTTGCTTGAGCGCTGCTTGGGGGGCTGCTTGGAGGGCTGCTTGGGGGCTGCTTGCCCAGGCCTTGACACCTGTACCATTGACCAAGACCGAGGCGTGCCGGACGCGGTGGCTTCGACAATGAAAAGGAGTCTTCGGCGTTGCTGAAGGATCCGGTGGGCGTTCGCCACGGCCGGTCGCACCGGAAACGCGTCCCTGTCGCAAACCGCCAGACTCTCTGCCCCTCAACACCGCAGCGTGAACATCGCGACATTGCCCCTCAGCACTCAGCACTCATCATGCATCCGGACAGGATCCAGAGGCGTTTGCGCTCACAAGCTCCAGTTCAAATCGCATCTTCTTCCTCAAGCGCCTGCACAAGGCAAGCGTCTCAACGAAAAAGAGTAGTAGTTCGCGTCAGCCCGAGGCAGTGCAATACGGGCGACACTGTGGGAGGCGACATGAGCAAGCTCAGCGGCCGTCTCCCCAGATCCAAAAACAAGATTAATCACGAATGTCTCCGTAGAGACGTTTCAGAGATTAAACTGAAAAGAACAGATACTACACTTGATCTAAGCCAAAAGGCAAAGAGAGCTGGAGAAGAAAGGTAGGCCGGGAGGGAGGGCGGTTTATATAGCTTTTCGCCTGCCCCGACACCGGACGGAACGCTGGTGGCTCGTGTTGGGAGCTAGTCGCAAGCGGGGACTAGCGTGTGATTTGGGTGGGAACCGGAGGGAAGCAGAGAGAAAGAGCGGCCGAGTGTGGCCAATAGGAACGCGAGAGTAGTCAATGTGACGCAACAGCGGCAAGTACTTTCGAGGCGACAGCGGCAGGCGGCTCAAGAAGTCGGCAGTAGCGACCAGACTTTCGGCGGCTCCTCATTGGCTGTCAGCGTGCCCTTCGGCACGTCATGAATCAGACGGAAAGCACGACGCATACTATGACGAAAGGGCCGCATTAATGAACATGAAGCTGAAGTGTCATTCGAAAAAGTATTGCGAACTCCTTTGGGCCCGATCAGCTGCTGCGACTGTTTTCTCATCGTTGTTTCTTTGCTCTCGTAGAGCCGTAGAGCCCACCACGTTCGACCTGAATTGAGTGAGGTGGCAGGCACAGGTAAACGAGCGCAGTCGACGGTCAATAGGCAGCAGAGCACATATCAGAGTTGAAAGTTTTATTTTTCATCCAACTGTCTAGTCTTTCGACACATACTCCGGGCAATCGCTCCGTTCATTGGTATCATTCATTCCACCTCGTCACACGTCTTCCACGAATCAAGCCGTTGTTGGCTCGATAGTCTTCAACCTCCTGTCTCCACCCAATTTAAGCCTTAAGGTACTGGTCGAACCAAGCAACGGACTGGTAGAAGGCCTGCTCCTTGGACCACTTGACATGCTTCTTGGACAGGTCGCCACGGACGGCGAAGCCGTGCTCGACACCGGAGAAGAGGTTGATCTGGTAGGTAGCCTTGATGTCGACCAGGATGTCCTCGGACTCGCGACGCTTGGGGGCAGGGAAGATGTTGTCGGTCTCTGTAAAAGTACACGACCGTTAGCGCAATCTGCAAAAGTCTGGAATTGCATGGGGGAGGGATAAACCCACCAGCAGCGGAGATGCTGACGGGGCCCTGGATGGCCTTGAGCTCTTCAGCGTCAACGAAGGACGGGTGGGCGAGGTAGGCAACGTCGATCTGGCTGTTCTTGAGGAAGCGCACGACGTATTTGGCGCCGAAGCAGTAGCCGACGCCGCCGAGGCGCTTGACGCCCAGCTTGCCCTTGAGCTCCTTGACGACGGTGTCGACGATGGGGTCGACCTGCGGCACGCCGTGGCCGCCGAGCCACTTCATGAGCTCGAAGTCGGCGGGCATGTCGACGGGGACGGGGTCGCCGTTGAAGAGGTCGGGGATGACGACGAAGTAGCCGTTTGCGGCGAACTGGTCGGCGAGACTGGTGGGGGGAATCCAAGTCAGGATGCCGTTCTCCTCCCGGCTTGCTGGAGCAGGGGGGAACGCTTACAGCTGGACGTTGATGAACTCATGGCCGAAGATGTCGGTCAGGATCAGGATGGCGTTCTCGGTGCTCTTGTTCTCGGGGTAGGCGAGGTAGGTGCTGACTGGGCGCAGTGTGAGCTGGAGGGCGATTGGAGCAGGAGGTAGCTAGGGCGACGTACTGCCAGCAACCTTTTCAATCTTGCCGGCAGAAGCACCCTCGTGCTTGAAGCCGGTGGTGCAGCACTTTCCGGGCGGGTTGGAGGCCATTGCAGCTGACTGGGGACAGAGAGGAATTGAAGATGAGAGAGGTGAGCTGGGAGGTTGCAGACTGAGTCGTGGCAAGGGCAGGCGCGGTTCTTCTTTAACCTCAGCTCTGCCCCTCCACCCCGCCGACCCTTGAGCGTCGGCAGCTGTTCGGACTTGTCGGTGGGGGGCGTGGGGAGCGTGCGCGCAGTTGACGCCATGCGCAATTCGCAGGGCCCTTGGCCCGCCTGCTCTTTGCAGCAACCAAGCTTTCGATGCATCAGTGGATCTGGCCGTGCTGCTGTGCCGCCAGTCAGGCCGTTGCGACCGGACACTGCACGCTGCACGCTGCACTCCCGCCAGGCACAACAGCAGCCAACAGCCGCTATCTCCACCATCTGGGCTACGGCAACGGTGCAACCGGGGCTCCGTTCGCTCCGTTCACTCCGTCCGTTCCGCTTCCCACGGCGATAAGACTCCTCCAGAGGTACGTACCACTACGTACCCCTCGGCCACATGGCTTCAGGCTCGAGCGAAGGGTGCTGGCCAGCAAACTCCACCGCACGTCCCGACCGGAGACACCGCGCAGCCATGTGGCCACGCTCGTTCTTCAGCCGGATGCTCACCGCGCCCGATCGGCCGGACATAAGCCGCGAGCTGGCCTCATTTCCGGCCCGCAATACTCCCAGTCCCCGCTGCCCAGATCACGACTTATCATTGACCGGCCGCCTCAGGAGAGACCGTTGGCCCCGTCGGCGCACAGCGAACCCGGACTTGTCTGATTGCCGTTTCGCATCGAAGCAATCAGGCACTGAAAGCTCAAGGAATCCTGGGACGCCCTATTTTGTCCCTATGGCGTGCTCCTCAGACACGCGGGAGGACGTTCCCCCGTCTCAAGCCGCCGATACTGACCATTAAGGGAAGAGAAGAGCAAAACCATTCACGTGTACAAACAGGGGAGTTCAAAACGTGAGGAGTTGCAAAGCATGTTGCTCCAAAAAGAAAAAGAGAAAGACAAACAACCTTGATAAGAGCTGGAAAAACACGGAACAGCTTCCAAACTGACCTGCCTTTCATCCCAGCCTGACAGAATATTTTTTTTAAAAAAAAAATAAGGAAGAAGGGGGGAGAGAAGGAGAGAGTGAGTAAGAGAGTGAGCGAGAGAGCGAGACAACCAGACCTCCTCTCTCCCATCCATCCAGCCCCCCCCTCCCAATCACACTCCACCGCCCCGTCCTCCCCGTCCTCCCCGTCCTCCCCCCCTCCCCCGGCCGCCCCCACCAAACCTCCTCCCCACATCCGTCATGAAAACCACCTTCACCAACCCCAACACCACCCAAACCACGGGCAACACCGCGACCGCCACGGCCACAGCCACGAGCGACAAGACCGCCATCACCTCGGCCGCCTTCTGGAACGCGGCGCTGCGCTGCAGGCGCGCAGTCGCCAAGCCCACCTGCAATTGCCGACAGCGCGCGACGGTAAAGGACGCGAGCAGCGCGAATCTTGCGCTCGAGTCCCGACCCGGGTATGAGCGCGTAGAGCCGCGGCCAGCCGGAGGGGGGGGGGCAGCGTGAGGCGGTAGATGGCGGCCAGGCGGGAGTGGTGGAGCTCGCCGTAGAGGAAGCGGGGGTTGATGTGCGTGTTGAGGAGGGGCCGTTTCGGGAGTGTACTGGCGTTGGCGTCGTCGTCGAAGTGGTCGAGGAAATCATACACGATGCACGCCCAGGCCGCCCACGCGAGGCCGTTCGGGACCAGGCCGCGCGCTTTTGCGATGCGCATATCGCTCTCGTGGTTGATGAGCCAGGTGTACGGATGCAGCAGGCCGCAGGCGCTCTTGTGCAGCTCGGCGTTGCGGCAGAGCTGCGTCGTCCATACGGCGTGGTCGAGCAGGTAGGAGGGGAGCGGTTTGGTGCATATGGCGCCGGCGTCGAAGAGGAGGTGGGAGTTTGGGTTTTCGACGACGAGGATCGAGCGCTTCAGCAGGAGTTGGACGTGTAGTGGATGGGCTGGTTGGGAGACTCCTGCGAGCCAGAGGTGCTTGTGGATGATGTTGATGCTTGGGGTGAGCAGGTCTGCCTCGAAGAAGCCTTGGAGATCATCTTGAATTCGAGTACGCTTTTCGCCGGTGACGGGGCCGAATGTGGGAGGGTAGAGGGGAAGCCCTGCGGACGGATACGGGCGGAAGCTGCGTTCTTCCAGGAAGGGGGGTGAGTTCATGATTCTGGGAATTGAACTTTGGCCCGTTGACTTGGACGTGGAGATATTAACCTTGCAGTCTGCAGTTGCCTGAAGCTTGATTTCGGCCTTGTAGTCTTATGAGCTCGCTGATTTTGCTGGGTTAGGCTGCTTATGTGCGTCGGTCTACAAGGAAAGCCTTCAGCCCTGCAAGCCACAACAACGGTAAGACCTCAGTGCATCTGCAGGGTAAGCAATAATCGGGGCCCCTAAATGAAACTGGCCTGTGCCCTACCCTGTGCAAAGTCAGCTAAGCCGCGCACAGGCTGGTTTACAGAGGGAAAGTAGGCTGTCATCCATTCCACTTTGTTTCCATCGCCATGTTACAGGATAGTCGGCCGTTAGGCTGTCGTCAATTATGACCTATTTTACCTTCTGCTTCAATCGCCATTTCAGTACTGACCCTCCAGAGTCAAAGTGCCGGTCTTAGTGACCAGGTATTCATTGACAGCAACATCCTTTCCAGACTCCTTTCCGTAGCCCGACTCTTTGATGCCGCCGAATGGCGACTCGGCCGCCGACGAATTACCTGCAAAGAAAGTCAGTGACGTCTGATAATTTCACTCAAGATATTCAGCACTGACCGGTGTTCAATCCTATCATCCCAGCTTCAAGATTCTCTAGCATCCGCCAAATGCGATCCACACTCTTGGTGAAGCAATACGACGCCAGCCCCATGCTCGTGTCGTTTGCAGCCTTCACCGCCTCCTCTTCGGCATCGAAGCGGTATATGGCTGCCACGGGTGCGAAGATTTCCTCACACGAGACCAGCATATTCGGCTTCATATCGGTCAGGATCGTCGGCTCGAAGAAGTATCCGCCCTTGCCCTCGACCCGCTTGCCGCCGGTGATGACCTTCGCCCCCTTGTCCGCCGCATCCTTGACGACCTTCTCCGCCTTGTCGAGCCCGCGAGATGTGGTGACGGGGCCCAAGCTCGTCCCGTCGGCGGCGCCGTGGCCGATGTTGAGCTTCGCGGTCTCGGCGCTGAAGCGCTTGAGGAAGTCGTCATAGATGCCAGACTGGACGTAGATGCGGTTGGCGGTGATGCAGGCCTGGCCGGCGTGGCGCCACTTGAGGGGGCAGAGCTGGGCCATGGTCTGGTCGAGCGAGGCGTCATCGAAGACGAGGACGGGGCAGTTGCCGCCCAGCTCGAGCGTGACCTTCTTGAGGCCGTCGGCGGCGTTGCGGGCGACGATCTTGCCGACGCGCGTGCTCCCCGTGAAGGTGACCTTCTTGACCAGAGGGTGCCGTGTCAGCGCTTCGGACAGCTCGGGCGTTTTGTCGAGATCGGTCGTCAGCACGTTGAAGGCGCCTGGCGGGAAACCGGCTTCGGAGGCCAGGTGGGCAAGCGTCAGTGCTGTGAGCGGCGTCTCGGGAGAAGGTTTGACGATCATGGTGCAGCCGGCAGCCAGGGCCGCGCTGGCCTTCCGCAGCACCATGGCAATGGGAAAGTTCCAGGGGACCAGGGCGGCGGCCACGCCGATGGGCTGCTTGATGGTGAAGACGCGGCGGTTCGGCTGCGCAGGGGTGAAGACGGTGCCTTGGATGCGTTCAGCCTCGCCGGCGAACCACCTGGGAAGCGTTGGGTCAGGAACTTGGACCGGGGATAACAACGAGCCACGACTAACCAGGTGAAGCCGGTCGAATAGTCCAGCTCTCCATACGCCTCGGCCAGCGGCTTGCCCGTCTCGTAGGTCAATAGCGTGGCCAGGTCGTCGCGGTTCTCACGGATCAGCGAGTCCCACTTGAACAGCCACTGGGCACGCTGGCGTGGCGTGACCTTGCGATACGATTCGAAGCATGAGTGCGCACTCTGCACGGCAGCGTCGACGTCGGAAGCATCGTTGATGGGGCAGCTCGTCCAGGGCTTGCCGGTGCCCGGGTCTGTTGTGTTTTTGGCGGAATCAGCAAGACTTCCCCTCAGCCGACCGAGTATGAAGATTTGAATGTGGAGTTTCATCTGAAGCGGAACAGGTTTCTCAAGCTCGTGTCCCAAAAAGACACGGTCAAAGTCTGCTTTGGGAATAATCATTGGGAACGGGCAAGCGAAGTGATTGCGACTCACCCACGACCTCAAAAGTCGCGCCAGACTTTGAATCTGTCCATTGCGCGTTGACGTAGGACTGGTTGCGGAAGAGGCCCGGGTTCTTGAGCTGCAGTGGGCGGCGCGTGTTATTTATTAGCCCTGCGCAACCAAGTGTTGGGAGAGGCGAACCTTGAAGGGAAGCTTGTCGGAGGAGCCCATTCTTATCTCTTTTCCCCACCCTTGCAGCACTTTGTTTTTTCAGTCCTAGTGGCGTGAGAGAGGCAAGCGAGGGAGCGTCGGCGGGGACGAAACGGTGCCAGCACTGCCAGCCATGCTTCTGCCTTATGAAGGGCAAGCTGACGGCCTATCGTCATTGGGGTTGCGTTCCACGGACCCCAACCCTGTGCGGAGAAGGTGGGCGCAAATCGGGACCCACTTCCGCGAAGCCGCTTCGGGTAAGCCAGGGCGGGGATGTCGTTGGGGGAGGCGGGGGTCCGGCGGCCAATTCGACCGTCGTGGCCGCACGCCCGCCCTTCCCCGCACCGCATCGGCAGCCGCTGCTGAATAATCGTGGCCGCAAGCCAGCTGCATGCCCCACGAGGTCGCTCGAGAGCTTGTGGGGAGCTGCCTTGCTCGCCGTCTCGCGGGTGCAGCGACCGAGGTTGTGTTAATATATAAGAGGGCTTGTGGGCACCACAATTCCGGGCGGGCTTCACATTTTCGACATCTCTTTGTCACATTCAAGACCGGAAAAATGGGCAGGCTCGACGGCAAGGTTGCCGTTGTGACAGGTCTGCTGCCTATTTACATGTACCTCTCGTGGATCCCCCACTCTGACAGAAGCTGCAGGTGGCGGCGCTGGGTTTGGCGCTGAGATATCGCGCCGTTTTGCTGCCGAGGGAGCTCATGTGCTTGTCTGCGACATCAACACCGCTGGCGGCCAGGAGGTTGCTGCAGCGAAGCCGTCAAGCATGACCTTCCGCCAAATGGACGTCACCAAAGCCGCCGACTGGAAAGCTGCCATTGACGCCGCAGTGCAGAAGCACGGCCACGTCGACATCCTGGTCAACAACGCGGGCACCACCTACAAGAACAAGCCAACCGTCGACGTCACCGAGGACGAATGGGAGAGGGTTTTCAACGTCAATGTCAAGAGCATCTTCCTCGGCAGCAACGCCTTCATGCCATCCGTCATCGAGCGCGGCCAGGGCGGCGCCATGATCAACATCGCCTCCACCGGCGCCACCCGTCCACGTCCGGGCCTCGTGTAATACCCCTTGGCATACGCTTACAGTGTGCAGAGTGCTAATCAATTTCCATCCATAGCTGGTACAATGCCTCGAAAGGTGCCGTCTGGAATGCCACCAAGGGCCTCGCCGCAGAGTACGGACCCAACGGCATTCGCGTGAACTCGGTATGCCCGCTGCTGAGCGGCACTGCCCTGTTTGAGAGCTTCACCGGGATGCCTCCCACGCCCGAGAACATGCAAAAGTTCCTGTTCAACGTGCCCATGGGGCGACTGTGTGAGCCTCAGGATGTGGCAGGGGCTTGCGTGTTCCTCGCAAGCGACGATGCCAGGTTCATCACCGGGTGAGTCTTCCATGGCCGGTTGGTTGTTTGATGACAGCTGACATGGCCAGGATCAACATGGAAGTTGATGGGGGGAAATGTATATGATTTCACCAATGACTCTGCTCGTTTGCCACTTCTAGGAGCGGTTGTTAGCGGGTTCTCTGGTGAGGTGGTTGGCCGCCAGTATATCGAGTCTTTGCAACCGGAATCGAGGATATGATTTTCGAAGCCTGAGAGGGGGTTGAAGAAGATTCAGGGCTTCCCATGAGAAGAACGGTCACCGGGAAAGGGTAGGGAAGGCAGAGCGCCGCATGCTCTTTTGGCATTTGCGGCTTCCGTCGGCCCCTCCTCATGGTTGGCAGGTACATTTCACCTAGTCAGCAGTTGAAGCATCCGTCCGGACGAGGCTGGCAAAGAGAATGCAATGATCTGGATCTGTGAAACATGGCAAGCGTTTGAAGATATCAGACAGTCTGGGCCCGTAGTCGCCGCATCAAACAGCGTAGCGTAATGAGCAATTAAAGCTCAATATGTCCGCTCGCGGCACAGACAGCCGCAAGCTCGCTTGGGAACAGATCAGCAGCACCGGAGATTGTGGCGGTGCCGGCAGGGAGAAAGGACTCCAACACGCAGCACCAGGCGGTCGTACAGAGGCGACGGCTGATGTGAGCCAAAGAAACGTTGGTGCCTGAAGTATGACGCTGCGGCGGTGGCGCAGGGTGGTTCGCACGGCCGATGCGCGGCACTCGGATGGACGTGGAGACGACGGCCGGCGCGATCGAGAACGAACAGGCGGCGGATGTCGAGGGCGAGGGCGAGGGCGGTCGAGGGAGGCAGATATAGGGCGCGAGCATCTGGCTGCAGTACTTCGTGCTCGCCCGGCGTTGCTCGGAGCGGGTGGCGCGGGCGCGGGCCAGCAGGTTTTTCCCTGGGCTTCCGGGCGCCGCAGCAGCGCTTGGCCGATCCTCATTCTGCCCCGCGATACGTCAGCCCCCAGGCCTCCTGTGAACGCGCGCCCGACTGCCACGCCCGACGTCGACAGACACCACCCCGCGCCCTCTGCCACGCAATTCCACCACCCGCCCGGCAGGCTGCCAATTCATACAATACCCCCGCAGCGTCTGTCTGCTTCTCTCTCACCCTCCATTCCCTCCCCCACTCTGCGCCATGAACGTCATCAAGCTGCAGAGGAAGTATCCTCAGTTCGACCAGTCCGAGATCTTCGGCCTCACCGACGCCTTCCGCAAGCTCGACGTCGACGACAAGGGCTACCTCGAAGAAGCCGCCGTGATCAAGGCGACCCAGACCTCGGAGCGCCAGCCGTACGATGTCGTCAGACAGGCCCTGAAGGAGGTCGAGCTGGACAGCTCGCGGCGCGTTGAGCTCGAGGACTACGTCGATGCAAGTGTGCCCCCAACGCGCCAATGCCCCCAGACCACTGACATGCCCAACAGCTCATCGCCAAGCTGCGCCAATCATCGCCTCTCCAGCAGCGCATGCAGACGGGCCCTACGCGCCCACGAGGTCTCAGCGGCGCCCAGGCCCCGCAATCGCCCGCCTACGGCCACAAGTCGCAGGGCAGCCACGGCGGCGGCAGGATACAGGTCCAGGGCTCGTCTGCTAACGTTACTCACACCGTCAACGAGGATGAGCGCGTTGCCTTCACCAGCCACATCAATGCCGTGCTCGCCGGCGACCCGGACATCGGCGACCGCCTGCCTTTCCCCACAGACACGTTCGAGATGTTCGATCAATGCAGGGATGGTCTTCTGCTGGCCAAGTTGATCAACGACAGCGTCCCGGACACCATTGATGAACGTGTTCTCAACCGCCCAGGCAAGAAGATCTCCAAGCTCAATGCCTTCCACATGACCGAGAACAACAACATTGTCATTGAGTCGGCCAAGGGTATCGGATGCTCTGTCGTCAACATTGGCAGCCAGGATATTGCTGAGGTCCGCGAGCACCTGATCCTCGGTCTGATCTGGCAGGTCATTCGCCGCGGTCTGCTCGGCAAGATCGACATCAAGCTCCACCCCGAGCTCTACAGACTCTTGGAAGACGATGAGACTCTGGAGCAGTTCCTGCGCCTGCCCCCGGAGCAGATTCTGCTCCGCTGGTTCAACTACCACCTGAAGAACGCGAAGTGGCACCGCACGTAAGCTGGCCAGCCCATGTCCCTTGGAATTTGACTGACCCATCGTAGTGTGCACAACTTCTCCTCCGACGTCAAGGACGGCGAGAACTACACGGTCTTGCTGAACCAACTGAAGCCCGACATCTGCTCTCGTGGTCCTCTGCAGACCTCCGACCTCCTCCAGCGTGCCGAGCAGGTTCTCGACAATGCTGACAAGCTCGACTGCCGCAAGTTCCTGACGCCCTCGTCACTCGTCGCCGGAAACTCCAAGCTGAACTTTGCCTTCGTTGCAAACCTCTTCAACACGCACCCCGGTCTTGATGCCATTACCGAGGAGGAGAAGGCTGAGATTGAGGACTTTGATGCTGAAGGCGAGCGCGAAGCCCGCGTCTTCACTCTCTGGCTCAACTCGCTCGACGTCCAGCCGAGCGTCCAAAGCTTCTTTGACGATCTCCGTGATGGCCGCATCATCCTGCAGGCCTACGATAAGGTCATTCCGGGAAGCGTCAATTGGCGCCACGTCAACAAGCTGCCTCCCAGCGGTGGTGAGATGATGCGCTTCAAGGCTGTCGAGAACACCAACTATGCCGTGGAGCTCGGTAAGCAGGTTGGGTTCAGCTTGGTCGGCATCCAGGGTGCAGATCTTACCGATGGCCAGCGCATTCTCACTCTTGGCTTGGTGTGGCAGCTGATGCGCAGAGACATCGTCAACACCATCGGCACCCTGGCGCAGCGCCTGGGCAAGCGTGAGATCACGGATTCCGACATGGTCAAGTGGGCCAACGACATGTCTCGCGCGGGCGGCAAGACCAGTGCCATCCGCTCTTTCAAGGACTCATCGCTATCCAACGCCGTCTTCCTCCTCGATGTCCTCAATGGAATGAAGAGCTCTTACGTCGACTATGACCTCGTCGCTCCCGGCCGCACCGAGGACGAGGCCTACTCCAACGCCAAGCTGGCCATCAGTATTGCGCGTAAGATGGGTGCGACCATTTGGCTTGTTCCTGAAGATATCTGCTCTGTGCGCAGCCGTCTCATCACCACTTTCATCGGTAGCTTGATGGCGACGCATGAGAAGATGCACTAAGCGGTTTTGACCAAAGAGTACCCCCAAAGTTTTACGAATGCGGATTGTTCCTGACGCTGTTTGAGGCAAGCCACGGCTTGAGAGAGACGAAAAGAGACGAAGTTTTCTTTTTATTATCCCCTATGCTGAGCTGCATTTTCCGCTTTGAGTAGCACACAGCGAACTTTCAAAATGAATATATGAATTGGAAAATCGATACCCAGGCTTGACATACTAGATGATGTTGCTTTGAGGGATGGTAGTCCGTTTGATTTGTAGGCCATGTGATAAGTCACCATTCTTACGCCATCACGATGGTGAATAAACAGGCCAATTCTTATAAACTATAGCCTGTATTGAGTATTGGCTGTTGCTCGTACACTATGCACAGTAACTAAGGCTCGGCCTTTCTTTTATATGGGACCAACCAATCACGATAAAAGACATGCATAGGGCTGAACCCGGATCGCTATGGAACAACCAACTCCGGAGTCAACCCAAGTGGTGAAGATAACGCAATTAGCCGGAAAGAAAGGACTGTGGACGGCTTTCGGAGAATGCACAACCTCCCTTACAATCAAAATGGACGAAGGAATAGAGACCTCTCACAAGCATCCTACGACCCCTATACTCAGGCCAATTAGGCACCTATATCACGGCACCAGTCAATAAGAGGCACTCATCACATCCATCCTTGTTATGGGAGTCGGGTCGCAGAACAGGTGAAAAGAGAGCAGCAAGAAATGGACTACATATTAACAAGCTGTTCACCATCTTCCACCAATCTGAGAGAGACACTCGAGTAAAATCGAGTAGATCAACAACCTTCCGTTGTGGTCTAGGGGCTAGGATTTGCCGCTCTCAGTCTTAGAGAGTCTTCTCACTTCACAAGTGCCGGCAAGGCCCGGGTTCGATTCCCGGCGACGGAATATCCTCATTTCTTTTTGTCTTTTTGTTGGCGCGCCATGTGCTTTCATCCTCTGAAGGTAGTTGGCGGTGGTTGTGTTGTCGGAGTGTGTGGTCCTTGACGGCTGCTGAGCCGAGCATGACGGCCCACCTTTCTTTTGTCCCCGTGTGGCTTGGGGGAAAGCGCAGGAACGAAGGAAGGGGAGGAGCGAGGAGGAAGAAGACCGAGGCCGAAGCGGAGGAGTCAGAGTCAAACAGCGAGGCCGAACGAAAGGGACCTTTTGTGCGGTTCCCTTTTGCATAATTTGTGAGCGGGGGCCTTGCATTAGAAGAAAACACCGAGGATCTGATATGCCCAGCACTGGCTAATAAGCCCACGCCCGAATCCCCCGAACAGCCACCGGCATCGGCGATCGGCCGGAGAAGAGCGATTGATAATTGCTGGTCATCAACGGCCCTCTGGTTGGCTCTTTCTCCATCGGAAACTGGGTTGTTCTCCCCTTTGATAAGAGAGTCTGCCCGAGCGGTGAGGGGATGTTATCGCAACAACGAAAAAGAGAACTGCGACGAGGCGGTTGGAAAACGAAAGGAAGAAGCGCAGCAAACGCGCATCAGCCGGCCCTCAACAAACAACGGAGATAAGAGACTGACTGAATAAGCACAAGCGCAGTTTTTTTTTTTTTCTTCTCTCCCTTCTGTCCCCCTGTGCCGCTAGGTAGTATCGGTTCGACAGCACATGCGTGGAGGGTCAGTGCGCGCGTGCGCGCGCGCGCGCGCGGCTCGGCCCAAGGAAAGGGAGGGAGGAGAAGAGAGAAGAACGACGAAGAGTGAAACCGGGACCCCTGCCATCCCCCTCGTGTTCGGAGCTGCTTTTGGGTAAGCAGGATCAGATATCCCACATCTCCCCCTCTTCCTCTCAATATCATATCAGATGGAAGATCCCCGCCCCCCAGGCACTTTTCGCCAGGGCAGCTTGGTGGGTGATAATGAAAATGTGGCGTGACTGTACCATCATGGTGTCAATCTGGGGTTTCTTAAAGCCCAGCCCCCCCGGGTTTTCTCTGCTGCTGTTTAAATAATCCGTCAACGGCCCGTCCACCAGATGCTGATGATTCCTTCCCTCGGTTCCTGCATCGCCCCCAAATGTTGAGTTAACATGACTCCACCCTGGTGTCCTGGCTTGGATTTCAACCACGACATTCACAACACTCATACTAGATTGGCAATGTGGACAACTGTTAATCAAAAGAAACATTTTTACTTTCTTCGTTGCTGGAATACAGTAACTACCAGGACTATCAATCATCGACCGGCTGCGCCTGTTTACACGGAAAAACTCCCCCAACTTCCGTTCACCCGGAGAAGACGGAATACCCAATAAAAGGAGAATCATGCTGTGTACTACATGATGCGGAATCAAAGGAAAAGGGTGCAAAGGGGTAGTGGGGAATGAAAGAGCGTCCGAATCTCATTTCATTCTGGTAATGAAAAGAGCGCGCTCCAAACCGTCGCCTTCAGGTAGGTGACGTACACCTCTCTTTTCAATCACTTCTTTTGAGAAGTAGTAACGAAAGTGCCACCGTCGTGATGGGGAACTTTCAAGTCATGCACTTTTCTCGCATTTCCGTTTTTTCCTTTTCTTTCTTTGGTCGTCATCAGTTCTTCGCTTTTCGTCGGCCTCGCTCCCTTACACAGCAGTGGCCGTGTTAGGAGTCTCGGTGATGGTCTCAACCTCAACCTTGGGAAGCGGGGCGCCGGTGCCGCCGAGGTCCGTCGCGCGTGCCTTGGGGTTTTTCGAGTAATAGTTTTGGATCGCGCTCTTGATGGCATCCTCAGCGAGCATGCTGCAATGAACTACAGCAAGAGAAGTCCTGTTAGAAAGGGGAGAGTCGTGGTGGATGGGTGGGTGAACTCACGCTTCACGGGTGGCAAGCACAGCTCCTTGGCGATCTCGGTGTTCTTGATGCGAGCCGCCTGCTCAAGCGTCATGCCGCGCACCAGCTCCGTCAGGTAGCTGGAGCTGGCGATGGCGGAGCCGCAGCCAAACGTCTTGAACTTGACGTCGCTGATGGTGTTGTTGTTGGCGTCAACGCGGATCTGCAGCTTCATCACGTCGCCGCACGCCGGTGCGCCAACCAGGCCGGTACCCACGTCCGTGTCGCCCTTGGCCATCGATCCGACATTGCGAGGGCTGTTGTAGTGGTCGAGCAGTGCTGAGGATGTTAGCTTGGAGCCGATCATGGGAGGTGGGGGAACACGGGGTGTGTGACGGATGGTGGGGGGGGGGGGGGGGGGGGGGGGGGGGGGGGGGGGGGGGGGGGGGGGGGGGGGGGGGGGGGGGAGGTGCGTCGGCGAGCGGTGCAGCGGCGGGCGCGCTGTGACTGCAACCCTCACCAACGCATGGAGGCGGCGCGTGCAAAATGGCGCGATCGGGGAAACTTATCTTTCTCGTGGTAGCTCCGCCTGGCGTTGACGGCGACTGCAGGGGCTGCTGTCCGGAGCGGCGATGCGATCTGGGGTCTGGCGGCGGAAGTGAGGAGCTTGCTGGCCTGGGCCGGCACAGTGGCGATAGCTCTTCTGAACATGGTGGAGAGTGGTGCGAGGTGTTTGGTAGTGGCGGAGGTCAAAGTCTGTCGCAGTGCAAAGGCGAGTGGTGATGGGAAGTCAATGGGAGGTTGCGGAGGGTTGCGTTGCAGGTGCAGGTTCGAGGCGAAGATGGAGGTGCACGTCTTAGATTATTTGAGAATGACGCCCGGCGGCCGCTCGGCTCGCGGAGAAAGGCGGCCACTGCGGTCTCGGCCAGCGGGATTAAGTCATATCTCGGCTGTGGCGAATTATGCGCGTGCACAACCACGACCCGCCCCCGCGGCCGCGCTGCACGCACACATCGAGCCGCCAAATCGGGTGCTGTCCATTGCCCATGACGTCCCGATCAGCGCACCTATCACAGCCGCACACTTCATATGCTGCTGCACGCCTGTAGATGAGAACACTTGGATTCTACTCTGAGTTCGAGCGCTGAGCTCTGCATGCTGCACGCAACAATGCCGCCGCCCCTCTCAACCATGCACTTCTTTCCATGCCGCCATCTCTCCACCAATCCGTAACCATCATGCGCCGTATCTCATGCAATCGTCACCTTTTTCCTGCTGGCTGTTCACACGCGCCTGAAAAAGTAAACATACGCAAACTTCTTCATCTCGTCGATGTCCCCGGCCTTGGCCACCTTCTCGTCGTTGAACAGCACCCAAGATGGCTTGTCTTCGCCTGGGATTTGCTTCCGAATGAACGCAACATAGTGCCTGTTACACGTCAGTCCTGATAACCGAGCCGCACAACCGCCGCTAACGACTTACCCTGCGTGGATCGAGCTGCCCTTGTGGCAGACAATCGATTGCAACTGGAAGTTGGCAGGCAGCGAGCCCGAGCCAGGTTCCGTCTTCTCCTCCTTCGGGGCCGCGACTGCGGCATCCTCGTCCTCACCGAAGTCACCAGTCGCTTCGGGATGGTTGAAGAGCCAGTCGACCGCCCGCTCCATGTCTCCACCCGTCTCCTTGAGCGCTTGACGTGCCTGTGGGGCCGAAAATCCCATGGCGCCCAATGACTCTATTTTTTCTGGGTCGACCGCTCCCGCTCCGGCTGCGCCACCGCTTCCACCACTCAGGTCCACTGGCGTGTCGATATCCGGATCTTCCATGTGCCCGAACAGCCAGTTCGACGCAGCTTCAGGATCAGCATTGCCCGTGGCGTGCAACGCCTTCTCGCACCGTATCCGAGGGAAGCCCATCGCCTCAAGCATTCCCAAAGCAGCCTCGTTCGGAACAAACTTGCTCGAAGTATCGGCATCCGCATCCTCCGGTAGCTGCTCCTCGTCATCCTGGAGTCCGCGTGACTTATACGCGTCGAAGGGGATAGCCTCATCCCCAATGACTACTGGGACATCCAGCTTCGTCGGAACCCAGTTGACAAGCTCGAAGCGGCGCGCGTTGACTGCAAGCACCGAGGGGAATGTCTTGAACAAGCTCTGCTTCGTAAACCCGTCTTTGCTGCTGCACGCAGCGCACGTAAGCTCAACAACCTCAGAAGCAGTGAAGATGTCCAGGCACTCCTTCAGCGTGACGGGCTCAAACTCTTCCTTCTCAACTTCTTTGCCCTTCGCATCCGTAACTTCCATCTTGTCGTCCTTGGCGATCCTCCTAATAGGAACCGGGATGGAGATGTTTTCCATTTCATCCGTCCTGTAACGCACTTTCTTGCAGTTCAAGCACTGTAACTTTTGCTCCATGACGAAACGGAAGGCATCCACGGGATCCTTGAGGGGCGCAGGGTGAGGGGTGCGGGAGACCAATTTCAAGAGATGGAGCAGCAGCTCGAAGGAGTCCTGTTGCCTCATAGTAGAGAACTCAGCATGGCCCCGTCCGATAAGATGCTTGAACATTGCAGGTGCAAGACCCTTCTGGTGCGGCACTTCCGGAGTGTCTTCTGACGCGATAACATCGCTATCGGGCTTCGAGTAACGACCAGAGAGCAGACCGTCTGCAATCTTGCACAGCTGGGTCTCCAAGTCCTGCGCAGGATCGTTTGCCGGAGCAGGCGTATCCTTGGGATGGTAGTAGCGGTCCTGGAACTCGGGGATTGCGAACAGAGCCTGCAAGACACTAGCAAGGTAGCAGCTGTTTCCGAGATTCTTGAGCCCCGTAAAACCAGGACCGAAAATGGGCTTCAATTCCTTGCCATCCTCGGTGGTCATGGAAAATTCCCACCGAAGATTCTGCTCAATCTGCATCTCCGTCAAGCTCTTTTCCGTCTTCTGCCGATCTGCGATATTGATACCCCAGTGTGACAGGTGGGCAGTCAGCTCCGGGTCGACGCGCTCCTCGTTGCAGGTGTAGCAGTAAATGTCGGCGGTGCCATCGGCCGTCAGAGAGCCAAGCTTGACCGCCACCGGATGGGTGGTGGCGTCGCTGTGTGCCAGACCATGAGAGTTTCCACCAACGCCGCCGTACTGCGCACGCCCACAGCCAAGATTGCCGCAGGTCAAGCACAACCAGAGGTTCTCCTTGAGATCGCACATGGAGCAATGGCCCAAGTCTTGCGACTCGATCTTCTTGGCAGGCTCCTGCTCCAAACATAGAGTATGCTCGCAAGGGATCATCTCCTGCTCCCAAGCCTTGACCTCCTCCTGACGCGCAAAAGTATTCGCCTTCAACACAGCGTCGACCACGTCGAGCAGCTTGCCCGCGGTCTTGTCGATGTCATCCACACCACACTCGAAACACTTGACGCGTGTCGTGGTATCGTAGCGGTCCTCTTCGGTTTCGGCGGCGATGGCGAGCTTCGTCATTTTCTGGGGCGGCTCGTCCCGTTTGACCTTCTTGCGAGTGCGGCGAATGTTGAGCACGAGAGGGTGCTTGCGGGACTCATAGTGGAGGCGGGAATGGTTGCGGTCGCCTGTGCAACCGCCGTTGAAGCAGTAGAGGCAGACATCGAGGCCAGAGGGATTGTCCTAGTGCGCACAGGTCAGCAGGGGCTTGCAGCAGGTAAGTAGCGGCAGCTGCGAACTCACAATGGAGTCAAAGCACTGGGTGCAGTCCTCGCGGTAGACCGACTGGCTAGGGCCCGGGGCGCGAAGCTCTGGCTCGGTCAGTTTGGAGCCGGTTTTTCGAGGCGCGAAGCTTACCAGGAGCGTTGACGTGCAGACAAGCCATGTTGTTCACAGCCTGAGGAGAGGAAGGAGCTGTGGTGAGCTTGGGAGCGAGAAGGTGAGGCGTATGACTGCGGCACGGTGGTGCCTGCCGAAATCGCGGGCCCGGCGTTTGCGCGGGGCGGCAGCCCAAGGGAAGCTTCGCCGCCGATGACCTCACACAGTCCAGGTCCAGCCGTCGCAAAGACCTGACATCTCATCATCACCCTTGGCCCAACGACAACCTCCCATGGATGGACTAGATGCAAACGTCTAAAAGTATCCGCCCCGCCTGCCACGTGCTGCCAGCCGGCGCAGCGGTTCTCCAAGCCGGCCACCGTATTTCCATCACAGTTTTCCCGTGGAGAGCGCTGCCACCTCAGTCATCACACAAGTCCATCTCCACGGGAAGCAAAAACGGATGGCGTCCCGGCTGGCCGGCGGGCAGGTAGGTGGCTCACCGCCCGGCGCCTCCCCAAGCCGCCGGTGCTTCCTCCGGATTAATCCACCTCGAGACTTTTTGTCCAGACTCCCGCCATCATTCACCTGACTCCTTCCTGTAACACCTGGGCGCTGTTTCATTTCTTGCCCGCGAGTTTCTTACTCTTCGCCCCGTATTGCCCTACCTTCCTAACGTTGCCTAAGGCCCGGCGCGGTCCAAGCCTCAACAGTGGCGTCAGTCAGGCCTCCACTGAGTAATAGTTAGGACTGCAGCTCAAGCAACAATAACGCTGCTGCTAAGTTATGCACCGGCGTCGATGGGGCGCACGCGTTTGGCCTCACTATAGTGTTCCCTTGTGATCCGGATGCCTCCTTATTAGTGACGCTAAAAGGAGCCCGGATATCCCACCGGCCTTGGCAGGCGTTGGCGCTGGCTTGCCATGAGTCGCATTGCCGAAACAGATTCGTATTCTGTTGCAAGCGAACCAAACATCTGTTTCTTGAATCGGCGCAGATACCCGCAGTCAAGCTATGTTCTCATGGTAGAGCCCTGAGATTGCCCTCCTTCTTGGCAGGGCGTGGATATATTATACCACCAATCAGCCTTTCACTAGTAAAACGTACTGGCCATCGCCTACTCATGTTAGTAAACTCAAACCGTTGGCTCTCCACGTTAAACCCAGTCTCGTCGGGGCAGGTTCCGGGACGACCGGAAATGGCAAGTCATTGTTTTGATATAAAGAGCGCGTACCAGGCCACCTCTTTCGATAGCTCAGCATCGTCCGCTCCTTGCAGCATTCAGACCCCGCAGCCATGGATTCCCCACTTTCGTTTAAGCGTGTTCTTGTTCAGTCACTCCTTCTCCTAGCCCCTACCCTTGCTGTCGCGCAAGACTCCAAGGCTGCCGACCTTCAGTCATGCCTGGCTGCTGCCGGAGTCGAGAATGCCATTGAAGCCTCTGGGACCTGGGCAAACGCCACTGCTGCGTTCCAGAAGCGTATCAACCCCGCCCCCGCCGCCGTCGCTTTTCCGCAGGATCGGAACCAAGTGGCCGCCTCGCTGAGCTGTGCCAGGAACGCCTCTGTGAAGGTCTCTCAACTGGGCGGCAGCCATTCCTTTGCGGGCTTCGGCTTCGGTGATCCCGGCAACCTTGTTGTCAGCCTAGCTGCTTTCAACCAGGTCAGCTATGACGAGGCCAGCCAGGAACTGACCTTTGGAGGTGGCAGCAGGGTTGGACCTGCTGCAACCTACTTGTGGGAAAACTATGGCAGGCATTTCCCCCACGTCCGCTCCGGCCACGTCGGTCTCGTTGGCTCTTCCATCGGTGGTGGCTTCGGCACCACTTCCCGCTTCCTCGGTACTCCGATGGATAACATCGTTGGTGTGGAATACATGCTCTACAACGGAACCATTGTCAGTGGCCGTGAGGGCTCTGATCTTCTCTGGGCAGCGCACGGAGCTGGCTCGTCGTACGGTGTCATCCTGTCCATGACCACCAAGACTTGGAAGCCGGTTTACGACAAGGCCGTCAACTTCACCCTTTCCCTCGGCAACGTCAGCCTCGATGTCGGCACCAAAGCCCTCATCGCCATCCAGGAATACGCCATCAACGACGCTCCCGACGAGCTTGCCCTCCGCTGGGGCCTGACCGCTCCCCCCTTCGCCGGCACCGGCTACTTCTACGGCAACCCCGCCGAGTTCGACAGCCTGCTGCAGCCCCTCCTCGACCGCCTCCCGGCCAACGCCTCCCTCACAAAGACCGAGCTGGACTTCTGGACCATGGAGCAGCAGACGACGGGCGGCATCGCGGCGCCCAACGGCGGCGCCCTCGGCGGCCGCGCCTTCTACACGCAGGCCCTGACCGTCACGACCGACGCCCCCCTGACGTACGACACGGCCTACACGCTCTACGAGAGCACCACCTACGCCTTCAACCGCACCGACCTGCGCAAGTCGGGCTTCCTCGACCTGTGGGGCGGCGTGTCGCGCGACGTGGCCGACGCCGACACGGCCTACGCGCACGGCGACAACCTGTGGCTCATCCGCTGGGACGCCAACGCCGCCGACGTCAACGCCTGGCCCGCCGACGGCGTCGAGTACCTCAAGAACCAGATGCTGCCCTTCGAGCAGGAGCTGCAGGCCGCCGGCACCGCCCTCCGCGGCTTCGCCAACTACCGTGACACGGCCCTCACCGAGGCCGAGTGGAGCGCCCGCCTGTACCCCGGCGGCAACTACGAGAGGCTCAAGGCCATCAAGGCCGCCGTCGACCCCGAGGCCTTGTTCTCGTCCAACTCGCAGAGCATCCCGCTGCCTTGATGACTGCGGTTGCTTCTGCTGTGGCTGTGTGGGGGCTGATTCTGGACGATGACCGGAAGAGTGAACGCCAGCCTTCCCTTCTTCTGTAGATAGTTCTTCTCGTCCCGTATAGCATATGTGAATATATCACGGAAAATTACATGATTCATGCTTATTGAGGATTATCTGGGTCGCGGTTTCGCTTGAAACTTCCAACCACAGGATGTATTGCGTTGCGTTCATGTGCCCAAAGACCGAAGCACCAGCTGGCCGATGATTTCTGCTCCCTTCCTTCTTTCACGCTGTTTAGTGCCCATTTCATGCGATTGTTAAGCCCACGTGAAATACAACCTTTATGTCAAGTCTCGGTGGGCTCCAAAAGACATGAGCCGACCTCCACAGGCAAAAATAGTAGCAACTGTCGGGACGTAGATATGTATCTTGAGAGCGTAAAGCTACATCTAGACATGCATGAAAAGATATCCCGTGATTGACCTAAACTTGATATGATTACAAGACAGGGAAAGAAATACGTATCTTATACATATGCCCAATATAACCTCCCACTAACGCACGAAATGCCCTTTTTTTTTCTCTCTTTTTTCAAACACAAGTACACGAACAACAACGGAAATGCACATATACAGCATCAACAGCGGCAAACGGCAACGATATCGACGATAAAAACAATACCCACCTACCACACAAAACCACCATCATCTCCTCATCGACCACACTCCATTCCTGATCCTTTCCCCATCAAGCATGCCCCTTCATCCCCCCATCCTTCAAGCCGCCATTCCACCCGGCCGGGTTGGCGATTCTAAAGCCGAAGCTGATGATCACCGCTACCAGCAAGCCTAGACACAGCGCCGTGGGACCGTATTTGTCGTGGTAGCGCACGGCGCGACGGTTGCGGATCTTGTCGACGCGCCACAGGTACAAGCCCATGGAATAGAAGAGCGAGAAGCAAGCGATGATGGTGAAGGCCCAGGCGGAGGCGAGAGCGATGCCGTCACCTAACACACATGTCTATGTTAGTGAAAAGAGACAGATGTGCAAAGAAAACAGACGGTGGAGAGAGAGAGAGAGAGAGAGAGAGAGAATATAAGACCCCTTACCGAAATTGAGCAGCGTAGCCGCGATACTGCCCAGGATGATGGAGAACTCAAGCCAACTCAAGAACGTGCGTTCAGCGGCGAAGAACACCTTCGGCTCCACGCGGACGGGCACGTGGATCCTCTTGCCCTTGGGCGCCTTGAACCGCTTCACCTCACCGGTGGCCTTCGGTATACCCAGGCTGGCTCCGACCTCGGGCATCGGCGTGCTGCGCGGGACGGGTTTGGCGCGCTGCAGGACGGACAGGATCCTCTCGCCAGCCGTGGAGACGGCGTGTTCGAGCTGCTTGCGGCGGTAATGCCAGCCGCCGACGCGGCGAGCCTCCTCGAGATCATCGCCGTCCTCGTCCTCGGAGTCGTACAGTGGATAGTCGTCTTCTGGACGGGGGCGTGCGGCGACGCGCTCCTCGATGTCAAGCTGGTTGCCTGTGGCCCCGTTCTGGTTCCCATTGGCGGCGCTTCCGTAATCGCGCCGCTGATCCAGGTCGTGCTGCTCCATGGCATCGCGCGCTGCACGCAACCGGCGGAAAGCTTCGTCGTCTTCTGGTGTACCTTCGGGCAAGCCAAGGTCGTCCTCCTCATCGCTCTCATCATCGTAGCCACCACCGCTGGTTGAGATGTCCGCACTCTGTCCAGGACGCTCGATTCCAAAGCGATGGCTGATAGGCTTACGGATGTCGACGTCCATCTGTGGCATCCAAAAAGGCAGCAGGTGGATACGTTGCGGCTGTAGTTTCGCAGTTCCGTGAATGAACTTGGAGAACTTGGGGACAGCCTCGACCAAGTGGCTTGAAGTGAGTTCTCGAATCCACTGCGGCGGCTCTTGACCCATTTGCGTTTGCAGCTTGACCTCCAGGACCGCATAGGGGAAGCGTTCCACATCTTCAGGCGGTAGCTGCGAGAAAGGATAGTCGATTCCAATGTCCATTCTGCGCCAGTTCTTGCCCGTACGGTTCCGACCGTCAAGGTTGTCCTCACGGGTCATGGTCAGCTCGGTATCCAGAGAAATGCGTACGCGAGCATCCCCGGGAAGCTGGAATGCTGTCCGGTTGTAGAAAGATCTAGTGACGGGGACCAGCTTGCGGGTAATGGTGCGGTACTGAATCTCCCGTGCCAGCTGCTCCAGGTCGGCAATCTCCTTCTCACTCTTCTTTCCCTCCTTGCGCATCTTTTCAAAGACCTGCTCGACAGTCATCTTTCCGGCCAGGAAAGCGTTGACATTCTTCTCCTTCAAAGCGAAACGCGCCTTCACGGACTTTTCACCAGTCCAATCCTCGCGATGGGTTTTTCTCTCGACGAAAATGGTATCCGTTTCCATGCCGCCATACCAACGGAGACGAATGGCCTCGGCGCCCTCGGTCTTCTTCAGACGGCCGGTGTAAAGCTCCCAGGTATCCGTGTTGTCGTAGTAGATGGAGGAAATAGCCGAGTCCTTGGGCTCAAACTCCTTGCTGGCATTGAAGACCAAAACCGGCAAATGCTTCAGGATGATGAGTTTCAGCTCCGTGATGTTGTCCTGGTGCACCCAGTATTTCGTTGTCTGACGGACGAAGTTCTGCTGGGATCCGCCGGCAGCGGCGTCACCTTTAATCGGGCTTCCGCGAGTGCGGACGAGATCGTAGAGCTTGGAGAGCTTGACGATGAAGTTGTCATAATTGTCTTTGAAAAATGGTTTGGCGCGCAGGCGGGCGGCGAACACGGGCTTGAGGTGCCATGAAGTAAGTTTCTACTAGCTCGTTAGTAGGCTAATCCTGCCGGTGCCTAACTGGCCGTTCCTGGGCAAGCCGCGCACGATTTGTCGGCCACCAATCCACAACCCCATGGCAAGCCTTGACAAGTGAAGGATCCGGCAGCGAGCATTGATCAGATCAGTCAAATGGCGGAGGGTCAACGTACATCATGCTTCTTGATGATCTTCTGGAAGCCGGTGTAGTTCAGCTGGGTGAACTTGGCCAGGTCGTGGACGTCGGCTATGATGTCGCTCAGATCCTCCTCGAGGGCCTCGAAGTCGTCCTCGGAGGGGGCATCGACGTTCTGGTTGCCATTGTTGGCCTGCTCTGCGCGCTGGATCACGTCGTTGACCTCCTTCTCCGACACCTTGATGCGGCGCACAATCTCGCCGCTCTTGACCTGCTGGAAGGTGTGGACCTTGTCGAGCTCCTGCTCCAGCTCGTGCACGAAGCGCTGCTCGTCCTTCTCGGTCCACTCGACGTGTCGCTCGCCGGTCTTGGCGACGGTGGAGCCATCGCTGGCTTTCTTGAGGCTCTCCTTGAGGTCGTCGTAGGAAATGTAGTAGTAGTACCAGTCCTTGATCAAGGAGGTGCGCAGCTGCTGGCCGAATCTGGGGAGCACGGCGTGGTCAGCCAAGAATCGTCAGGCGGCACGGCGATTGGCGAGAGCTGGGATGGTGGTGCAGGGTGGGTGGAGCGCGAACCTCATCCTGACGTGTCGAGGCTCCGGGCGGCGGAAAGCGTCGCAAAAAACGCAGCAATGGACGGCGACAGCGCAGCAGGGCAGCAGGGCAACAGGTCGGAGGCTCGGACGAAGGCAGAGAGTTTTGGCGCAGGTCAAACCGTCGAGCAGCCGCTAAGAAGACTGGGCGAAGGGTGCATCGCTGCGCCAGGCTGGGCCCAAGCTCTTGCGCCAGCACCGGCGAATCAGGCCCGCCGCTCGCGCACGTTTCGCCCTTCGCGTCCACTTTGCTACCCATTATTATTTTCTCGACGACGTCTGCTCCGCCGCACCGAGCCAAGACCGTCTGGCGTCAGCGGCCGGTGATGCACGGATGGCTCGCTCTCCACACCGTTGCCCCGCAGTTGCCCGTCACTCGCTGACGAATAGCACACCACTGCTCGACGCTATTGCGTTTCGAGTAGTTTTTGATTTCTAACAATCCTCCGTTTTGATGCCATTGCTTCAATCGTCTAGCGTGCCTCGCCGCTTTTGCTGTTTCCTACCGCTTACCCCTCTGCTTTGTCCAGGACTGCCGCTGCTTTTCAGGTGCTTACAGCTTGCTCGGTCAGAAGCCGCCGCTGCTTTTAAGTCCGCACCTCATACTATATAATTTCCAATCAGTAGCTCTTCCATTCCCACTTCAGTATCCCTCCCGACCATCGTCCAACTTACCAACTGCTCAATCCCTCGAAACCAAACTACTAATCACCACCACCACCATCAACCCAGCCAACCAATCAACCAACCGAAATGTCCCCCATCCGCGTCGGCTTCATCGGCCTCAGCGCCACAGGCAGCTGGGCCAGCTCCGCGCACCTGCCCTACCTCAAATCCAGCAGCAAATACCGCATCACCGCGCTCCTCAACTCGAGCGTCGACTCAGCCCGCGCCGCCATCGCCGCGCACGGCCTCGACCCCTCGACGACCAAAGCCTACGGCACGGCCGACGACCTCGCCGCGGCCGACGACGTCGACCTGGTCGTGTGCAGCGTGCGCGTCGACAAGCACTTTGCGCTGCTGCGGCCGCTGCTGGAGCGGGAGGGCGGCGCGTCGGCCGTCAAGGCCATCTACTGCGAGTGGCCGCTGGGCGCGAACCTGGCCGAGGCCGAGGAGCTGGCGGAGCTGGCGCGCGCGCGCGGCGTGCGCACCCTGGTCGGCTTGCAGGGCCGCCGCGCGCCCGTCGGGCTGAAGGTCAAGGAGCTGGTCGACGGCGGGAGGATCGGCGAGGTGCTGAGCGTGCATGTGGCGGGGAGCGCGTGGAACTTCGGCGCGGAGGACTGGAAGGAGGTCAAGTACTTGAACGAGAAGGAGACGGGTGGGAATATGGTGACGATTCATTTCTCACACTGTAGGCGCAGCTCTCACCCTTCTGATCCCTTCCCTGTGGTTTGCTGTTTGACGTTTTTTGCTTCTTCTTTCCTCCTAGATTGAGATCTGGTCTGGGAGACGTGCTTACGCTGTGGCCCTAGATTTCGACACGGTGACCCAGGCTGTCGGGCAGCTCTCGTCGTTCTCGTCCATCCTTGCGATCAAGCGGCCGACCATCCATCTACGAGACAAGCCCCTAGCCTACAAGCCCGGTCCTTCGGATCCACCCGTCGAGATCGTCGAAACCATCACTCGCGAGACAGCTGACCAGGTCCTGATCCAAGGTCGCCTGGCTTCTGGTGCGCTGATTTCTTACCACTTGCGCGGCGGACAGGAAGTCCCAGGCACGCCCGGCTCCGTATGGTCCATCTACGGTTCTACCGGCGAAATCAGAGTGACGACAGCGTCAGGATCGATCCACATCGGAGGGCCTGGACAGACACTTCAAGTCCACGACCACAAGACTGGCGAGGTCGAAACGGTCAGCATCGATGTCGGCGATGGATTTGACCAGGACGAGTATCCGTGGCCTTCAAGGAACATCGCGAGGCTGTATGAAGCGTTTGCGGAGGGCAGGGAGCACGAGTACGCTGATTGGGACGAGGCGATTGTCAGGCATCGGTTGATTGACGAGCTCTACTGGCGCGAAAAGAAGGGCAGCGGCCTCCTCCCGGCACAGTACGTCAGCGACACCTACGGCAACTCGCTGGAGCTGTAGTGTATGATGCGCCTGCGCGACAGGCTGACCATTGAAGGGTTACCCAGCTGGGTGGGGTTGGGTTCAAGGACCATCGGCCTGGCCATGGCCAGTGAGGAAGAGAACTTACGATTGCTAGTTAGCGGAGACTATGTCAGACGACAAGCAGCCAATACAATTTGGTTAAGGGAGCGGAGAAAAGACTGGCCCGGGTTTAATCGTGCTCTCAATCTCCAGTGCATGTGGCTCGGGTGATGTGCTCGACAATGATAGGCAAAAGTCGAGGTTGCTCGTGCACGGAGGCATTCCCGCCATTGCTTGGACACGGAGCCCGTCGCAGGTATAAAAGCAGAAGGCTGCCGCAGATGGAGAGGACCCGGGTAATTGGAGGCAGAGACTGGTCCCGGTTGGGAGGTTCTCCCGAAAAAAGAAGGCTGCGCGGGGTCGCACTGAGTAACAGGGAATGCTGAGCACGCTTGGCTTCGCGGACTTCTGGAAAAGCAACATGGCAGGCCAGTTTCAGCCAGCCCAGCCGGCATGGAGAGTCAATGACCTAATGTCTGGGCCTGCCTTTACCGGAGCGCCGGGAATGGATACGGCCTAGCAAGCGATGGAGTGCAGGAAAAGGAAAACGCCAGCAAGCAAGATCTCAATGGTTGACGCATAACAGATCGGATCGAGGCTCTGTCCTGTGGGAAACCGGGGGGTGCTCCGAGAGCGACCAGCACTGCAACCAGCCAGCCAGTCCCTCTGCGCGAGCGTGACCCAGACTGCGGCCAGCTGCGGTGCGGTCGCACAGATCTGACCCCGAACGCCTTCACGGGGCGGAACGATGCTGCACCTGACTGTAAGCGGACGAGGGGCGGGACCGAGGGGCAGGGCGGAGCAGTAGAGGCTCACGCGCACGGCGGCAGTAAGACTTCCCAATATCCTCATCAGGGTGCGGCATGCAAGGCGCGGACGGGCGACCGTTTTGCGGCGGCGCGAGTCGCGGGTTTCAGAGCGTTTCGGCGGCGTGCAGCAGCGGCGGCTGCACAACAATGCACAAAGGGGGGTGGCCTGTACCTGCGTGCACTGAATGGCTCGGTCGAGCAGGCGTGGCTGTCCTCAGAGAGGGCACAAGCAGGGCTCAAGCAGGGCTCAAGCAGGGCACAAGCAGGACACGGAGCCTGAAGCATCGAGTTGTGCATTCGCCGAGCCCGGTTGTGCTGTGTCTGGCGTCGGCCTCGGGCTGCGCAAAATGGCGAGCGCGAGGCTCCAAGCTCGCTCCAAGCTCCAGCAACACCACGCGCCAGCGAGCCAGCGAACGACGGCCTGCCATGGCGCGCCCGGCCCGCAGCCGCGCCCTGTCAGCGCCGCCTATCTCCAGACCCCGACACCGCACCGCATTTCAGCTCCGCGTCCCGCTCGGCCTCGTGACGACCATGCCATCATCGGTGCTGCATAAGCAGGAGCGGGCCGTGGCCGAGGCTGGCGTGGCGTCTTGCTTCTTCCTGTGTCCGCTAGCGCCTGGCTTGCAGCGAGGCCTGTCATTCGGCGTTAGCGGGTCTAGTCTGACGAGCCTCGCCGTTCGGGCGTCGGTTCATGCGAGTGCTGCGAAGACGGCGCCGCTGGCAGGCCGTCGGAGAAGGCGCCACCAGTGCGACGGCCTTGCAACTATATAACCACATGCCCGCCCCGTGCCCTGTCTCCAGGCATCTCTTATCACCACGCGCCACCGGGACGAAGCGCTTTCTTCACCCCGGCATCTGCTCCCTCCCGCCCTGGGCACACAAAGGCCACCCTTGCCTTTGTCCCAGCTTCCCCAATCCGGCCCCACGCGCCCGCTCCCATTCCTCCACCCGCCAGCATGGCTTCGACAACATCCCTCTCCCAGTCCTCCGCCTCGTCGGTCAAGGCAATGGAGCGCGAGTCCCAGCACAGCAATGTCCACGAAAAGCACAACCACCTCCACGACGCCGAGCCCGTGACCGACCACACCGAGGCCAACATCCTGCCCGCCGTCGAGAGCGAGCCCCAGTCCGAGAAGGTGCCCTATGGGGACGCCGAGAAGGGCGGTGCCCCTCCGGCCCCGCCAAACCCCATGGACCCCAAGAACTTCCCCGACGGCGGCCTTGACGCATGGCTGTGCGTGCTGGGCGGCTTCTGTGCCCTCTTCTGCAGCTTCGGCTGGATCAACTGCATCGGCGTCTTCCAGGAATACTACCAGACCCATCAGCTCAGCCAGTACTCTGCAAGCACCATCTCGTGGATCCCGTCGTGTGAAGCCTTCATGATGTTCTTTGGCGTAAGTCATCTCTCACTGCCCCACCTTCTCCGCGACTCCCTTACTGATCTCTGCCCCAGGGTCCCATCATCGGCAAGCTCTACGACAACTACGGTCCGCGCTGGATCCTTCTCGTCGGCAGCTTCCTGCACGTTTTCGGCTTGATGATGGCCAGTCTGTCATCGCAGTACTACCAATTCATCCTGTCTCAGGGAATTGTCTCGGCCATGGGTGCAAGCGCCATCTTTTACCCAGCCATGTCCACCAATGCGACCTGGTTCTTCCGCCGTCGCGCGCTTGCCTTTGGCCTCATGGCTGCCGGCTCGTCCATCGGCGGTGTCTGCTTCCCCATCATGGTCTCGCACCTCATTCCCCAGGTCGGCTTCCCCTGGACCATGCGCATCTGCGCCTTTCTGATCCTCTTCCTTATGATCATTGCGAACTTGACCATAAAATCGCGCATCCCGCCCATGCCCAAGCCGCTGGCCCCCATGGAGTTCGTGCTACCCTTCAAGGAGATGCCCTTCCTCTTCCTGACCATCGGCTCCTTCCTCTTCTTCATGGGCATGTTCCTCCCCATCAACTACCTGATCGTGCAAGCCACCGCCGAAGGCATGTCCGTCCGGCTGGCCGGCTACCTCATCCCCATCCTCAACGCGCTTTCCCTCTTCGGGCGTGTCCTGCCCGGCTACATCGGCGACAAGGTCGGCCGCTACAACGTGATGCTGGTGCTCTGCTCGCTGACGGCCGTGCTCGACCTGGCGCTGTGGATCCCGGCCTCGGGCAACGCCGCGCTCATCGTCTTCGCCGCCGCCTACGGCTTCGGCAGCGGTGCCTTCGTCTCCATGGCGCCCGCCCTCATCGCCCAGATCTCCGACGTGCGCAAGATCGGCGTCCGCTCCGGCGCCATGTTCGCCGTCATCAGCATCGCCGCCCTCGTCTCCAACCCCATCGCCGGCGCCATCGTCCAGGCCGAGAACGGCAGCTTCACCGGCCTCCAGATCTTCTGCGGCGTCATGCAGATTGCCGGCGCCGTCTTCATCTTCTTCAGCAGGACGGCGCTGGTGGGTTTGAAGTTGAACGTCAAGGTCTGAGCTGTCGGGATTTTTCTTCTACTTCGCGAAACCAAAACTACTTACCACTTACATCTATTTAATGCTTTTGATGGGCGGCTGTTTTTGCTTGGCGGCGCCGTTCCCTCGATGGCCTCACACTGACGAGACGATTATAAAAAAGATTGGTAGACGCGGGAGATGGAAGAATGGAAAGGTCCGTCTGGAACGACCTCGTTATTGGTTATGCCTTTCCCTACCGAGATATCCTGTAAATCTTCTCTTTTGAAGTACGACATATATAACGATTTAACTCTGATCATCTATGAGGTGAAGGCCATTTGAGCCTTTGTAGTGAGAAGCACGTTGCCTATCAAAGAATGACTGGAATCGAATGGCTCTCTCGATGTTAAATACTATACGCTCTAAAAATCCATAGTTGCAAGGTCTTACCAAGCCAGCCACCTGCTCGCTCCTCTACCAACTCACCACACACGCACGCACCGTCAAACACCGCCAGCACCCTCATCAAAACCCCTCCCCAAGCATCACCGTCTCCCCGCCACTCCCATACCACAACGCGCCCCTCCTACAATCCAACCCCTTCCCCTCGCCCACCACCCACTCGCCCCCCTCCTTAATCCCCTGCCCGGCCGCCTGATCCTCCCTCGGCCAAAACTCCCTCCTCAACCACCCATTCACCTCCTCAATCCTCTCCACCAACGCCCTCACCTTCCCCGCATCCACCTGCGCCCCCTCCCCCTCCTCGCCCCCGACCGCAAAATCCCCCCCACGAATGAACCGCGCGACCGTCAGATGCGCGCTCGGCACGACGTAGCGGCTGCCGACCTCGACGCCGGCCGCCGTCGCCCGCGCGCACAGGTCGCGGCGCAGGTGGTGGTACGTGTAGGCGTCGGCGTCGGGGGCGCGCTCGCGGCCCCCCGCGTCGCGCCCGTCGACGAGCCCTTCGCCGTGCGCGGCGGGCACGAAGCTGAGGGCGATGGCGGAGGCGTCGAAGCCGAGGAGGGGCCGCACGAGGCGGGCGCGGTGGCGCGGCGGGGAGGAGGAAGGGTGGTTGGCGAGCGAGGAGAGGGCGCCGCCGTGGTGCAGTTGGGCGACGAGGGCGTCGATGGCGGAGGGGGTGCGCGAGTGCGCGATTTCGAGGGCCGTCATGTGGAGGGAGGTTTGGGGCATGAGCCAGAGGTCTGGTTTGGGGGGGGAGGGGTTTGGTTAGAGTCGGGGGTTTGGTGGGTTGAGGCGGGGGGAGAAGATGTTGAGGGAAGGAAAAGAAAATGGGGACTTACTGGGAACGACGTCCTTCAGCTTGTCCTGGCATGCCTTCACCAGCGCTTTGACTTTGGGTGGCGGCCGCGCCCAGAATACGAGGCAGTTCCTCGTGTCGACATAGCCTGGCTCGATGCTTGGATCCTCCAGGCGCAGCAGAATCGGATCGATCATGACGCCGGCAAAGTCGGGGGAGAGGAGCTTCTCTTTCTGCGTAGCATTGCGGGCTTCGCGGTGGGTGGAATAGCGGGTCTGGATCTCCTTCTACAGGGGGTGGTGAGCGGGATACTTCAAGCGCACAGACGGGGTGCGTATGGTAGAAGGTGAAGCATGCTGGTACTGGAGACCTACTGGATCATCTTTCGACATGACTATGAGAGCATCGTAGGGGTTTTCAAAGGCACTCAGGTCGACTCCGCTGAAGTCATCGTAGGCGGGGGTCACCGTCCTGGCAGGGGCGTGTGGTGTTTCCATACTTGTGACCTGTCGTACTGAGCACAATCAGATTACCGTTCAGAGAGGAGACCGAGAGCCAGGACAATAGCGGATCACCTCTTGAGAAGAACCCTAGTCGATTCGTAGAAGTTTGTGAACACCCCTCGAAAAGGGAGGCACGTGTCTGGGCCGCGGATTGGTCTATTTGTGCGTTCTGACGTACTGTGATGGCTTCAGTGAGGTGTTATCATAGGCATGGATACCGGCGCTTACACTCGACGATCACCAACTCCTTAGGCAGGGGCGTGTTTCCGGGATGAGGTTTCGGCGAGGCTGGCTGTGAAGACCGGGGGATCTGTCGCTAGCCCAGGTGCACGAGCCACTATTTTTAGCATGGGGCAGGGGCATGGCACAAGCCTCCCGACACTGTGTATTGCAGAATATGCATTGTATCGCTGAATGAAGACGGAACTACAGCTGCAGGAAGAACTAGAACCCGAGTGAATCTGCTTATAGTCGTTGTTCCTCTAGCAAAGCACATGCCTTAGTATAAGCGCACTGCTAACCCAGCCATACCTGCCTTTTCTAACCATGCACACGACACGGTCTATCTTATGCGACTCTGGAGCGTGTACATGTATCCCTCTAACGCCAGGTCCTATTGGAATTCTCCCGAGAAGAGAAGAAATGCGAATGCCACCAGAAAAAGAAAAGCCTCCAAATGCCACTCCCGAGCAAGAACAGTCGCCCGTTAGTTGACAAACAAGCTGTCGTCATTGATTTGGTATTTCTTGATCGTGTCGATGAGCGCTGCACACTCCCTCTGGAAGTTGAGCTTTGTGGCGCTGCTGACCTGGTAGCGGACCCTGCGCACATGTTAGACACTAATGCGGCAGTGCGCTTATCACAGTTGACATACCTCTGTGTGTCCTGGTAGGTTTCCATCTTCGCCTTGACGTTGAAGATGAAAGTCTGGCACGTCGCATCGAAGAACGTTTGGTCGAATTGGGCTTGAGTATCCTCGTTTTCCCTCAGCTCCCACAACTCATTTGCCGACATGCCCATGAAGACTCTGCCTGAATCGTCGAAACAGCTGAGCCACAGCTGTCCGGTGTGATCGCTAACGTTGCACGACATGATATAACGGTATTCGGGTGCTGGATGCGTCTTGTCACACTTCTCGCACCTCCATTCACCGGGGTTGATCTCAACAACTTTCTTGGAGCAGTTTGGGCTCGCACAGGCCGGGTACGCAAAGTTGTCGTGCTTGACGTACACAATTGTGGCCTTCAGGTCGAAGTACTGTGGTACCTCCGACATGCCAAGCTGCTCGTCCTGCACCTGGGCGATAGTCTTGAGCTTTTTGGCCCTGCCGGCACCACCGGCAGCTTGCTGGTGCGACATGAAGCTATCGTTGCGGCCATTCGCGTCAAACCAGCCCTTCAGTTTGTGTGCCTCATCCATGTCCGGATCAATGGACATGGAGCCAGAGCTCAACAAGCTCAAGCTGCGGCCACCAAAGTCTGACACCTTGGCGCCCTTGAATGCGATGATGGACTCGGGAGGGGCATCAAACTTTTGAGCGGTAGGACCCCAAATAGTCAGGCGCACCGAGTGCATGCTGTCGTCCACAATGGTCAACTCTCTCTTCTGGAACGGCTTGCTGCTGCTCTTTGAGATGACCTCAGAAAGCTCGCCAACATCCTTGAGAACGCCAATCGTGTCGATGGCTGTGTTGGGTTCCACTTCCTGGAGGTCACCAATGCTGGTGAAGTTGTAGCGGGGTTGGGGGACACTGTCGGGATCGTCGGCCTACTAGAGTTAGCATTTCGCCAAAGAAATAGCTTGCTATTGAACATACCGGCTCGACTATGGAGTCGTTGTTGAAGGTGAGCTCGTAGTCGTTGTTGACGTTCGAAAACTGCCTCTTTGCCAGTTGAACTTTGCAATTCGAAATGTAATAGACGCCGCCCTCTCTGAATTGATCATAGAGCAGATCGCACTGTTCCTTGAAGCCAGTGGCCCTGATTTCGCCACTCTCGTCCATCAGACTCACGCTGAAGAGCTTCCCCTCACCATTCTTGTTGTGCCAAGTCTTGATATCACTCTTCTGCACACAGCGCGCCTTCATTGTCCACTTGTGTGTGTATGGGGATATCGCCTCGATTGGGTATAATTGAGCGAGGCCTGCGGGAGGCCCACTGCGGGAGGGAAGCGTTGACAGCTGCTGCTGCGGCTGTTCGCGCTTGACGGGCTTGTTGCCGTAGAAGCCGCCGCCGCCGATTTCCGCGGGCTGTTCAGTTTTTGGTTCAACTTTGGGTGCAGGGTTGCTGTTGGCCTCCAGAGCGACAGGAACGCCCAACTTCTCGAGATCTCCGTACTGGGGAAGGACTTCGAGTTCAATAACGACAAGGATCCTGGACAGAAGTTAGCTAGCGCGCCGTTGTATCACAATAGAGTACTTACTTTCGGTCCTTGATGATCTGCGGTTGAAAACTCTTCAGGCGCACCATATCATTCTTCTTCATTTGACCGCTCGTGATGATGTGATTCATCTCTGGGGAAGCGTATGTCAGCCTGGACTGCCGACACAGCCGAGGAGGAAAACCTACGCTGGGCAAGCATGCTCTGAATGAAGTTGTCCATGTCGCTGAGCACGATGCGGTACCTCTCCTCGCCAGCCTTGTTATCCATGTGCTTGATCTGCACACACTGCAGAATCGGCTCGCCGACAGCTTCAGGGCCCCGCTCGAAGATATCGCGGAGGGACCCGCGGGAAATGTCTGCCTCGGCCGACATGATGCGTTCGCGATGACCAGTGTCCTACTGTAGCGGGAAAACGCTGGCAATTGGAGGGGACAGAGGGTGGAGAGGGCGAAAGGTGTAGGGTGGCGGGGCCAGGTGTAGGTGATGACGGACGGATAAACGAAGCGCGTGGATTAGAGGCAGACGCGTCGAAGGCGCGTCGGCGTGTGCGGACGAAATTAGGGTCCGTGCTTCCAGGCAGCTGCCAAGCCCGGACGTCGACCCCGCTCCGCCCCGCCGCATGGACCCTGACGGGCGCAGTCGTCACTGCCCTTGCCGTCACGGACGTTCATTGTCTCTCGCATCCCATACCTCACAGTCCTTTGAAACCTACCTGAGCCATGGCCGATCAAGACGTTGCAACCAGAGCGCCCGAGAGCGACGCCCAAGAGGACTCTCCGCAACCCACCATGACCGTACGTTTTCCTCACTCTTACCCGCCCCACAGCTAACAGCCTGGTAGGAGCACTGCGCCAGTGATCGACCCACCCGTACGTAGCTCTCCATCGTAGGCCGAGCGCGCAAGCACTGATCGCAAAGCAGCTGCTGGAGAAACTCCGACCGGGGTAAGCCTTTGCAGAGGATCAGAGACCCGGCCTAAGCTCACCAGTCGCAGGAGATTACCAAGCTCAATGGCGTAGACGTATGTCCACAGCCATGTCCAATTTGAGCAAGCCTAAAAAAGTTAGGTCTACATCGCGAAACCCAGCGACTATCCCCATTCGCCCTCGAAGCTTCTCCTGCTTCTTACAGGCGGAACCGGCATCAACTCGACAAACAACCAGCTCCAGGCGGACAAGTATGCGAGAGAGGGGTTCCTCGTGGTAATGCCAGACCAGTACGCCCGCCGCTGTAATCGCAGGTATCAAACAACTCGTGGCTAAACCGATGCTAGGTTCGAGGGCGATCCAGCGCCGAATGCCACCATGCCTGCCAATGAGCAGCCAAGCTTTATTGAACAACTCAAGCTTGGTTTCGCCCAGACAACCAAGACTTTTATGCTGGACATGTGGCTTGCTCGACACACTCCCGAGAAAGTGCTCCCAACTCTACACAAAGTCATCGAGGGTGCCAAGGAGGAGTTCGCTGATGCCATCGCGAATGGCGGAGGCATATACGGCGTTGGGTACTGCTTCGGTGCCAGATACATTCTCATCCTCGCTGGCAAGCACTCTGATACGGTTTCCTGGGGTCAAGAAAGCAAGCCGGAAGACGTGGAAAGTGGCGTGGTGGAGAAAGGCCCTGAAATCAAGGTTGGCGCTATCGCTCACCGTAAGTGCTTGGATTCCTTTCACTCGATTGACGCAATTGCTAAAAACAATTAGCTACTGCAATGACCAAGGAAGAACTAGCAGCTATTACAGTCCCTGTCTCGCTGGCTCTCGTGGACAATGACCCTGTATTCCCAGACGAGCTCGCCACAGCCGGAAAGGAAGCGCTTGAGAAGAACGGTGTTGAGCACGAGATCAAGACCTACTCTGGCGTCCCTCACGGTATGCCTTACCAGCTGGCCCTATACCAGTCCTCTTATATGCTAACCATGATCACTTCAGGCTTCGCTGTGCTTGGAGACTACGAGGACCCTAAAGTCACTTCCGAGCAACAAATCGCCTATGGACAAATGCTTGGCTGGCTTCAGGCGCACTGAGGGCATGGGTATGTGTCATTCTTTCACCGCCATGTCGCGACCCAATCTTTCTTCGATTAGCTTAGTATCCATTAGCTTCCACTGAATCTTTTGTCTGCCGTGCGTGTTCAATTATACGCTTGGGAATCGGACATAAGAAAGTATGAAGAATGGTAAATGGACAGCAGCAAATCGCTGGTCCAAAACCTGATAGCCCATCGCTGATTGCACTGTATCCGTGTCATGTGATGCCTCCTGTGTCTGTACCGTGAACGCCACCCATGCAAAATTTTAACCCTTTTCTTCACCCAAGGCACTGGAAAACACAACCGGGCAAACCTTACTCTTATATCAGTTCCACGTCTCCTGCCAATACACGCTCCCTCACGACCCTCCATCTCACTACTAGTACATCACCCCTCCTCATCTCCTCCTCTCGATCTTCCTCGACCCCGCCAATACTGACTACACCAACATCTCTCAGCACTCTGCAAAACACTGCAGTGTCCAGATCCGGCGCGTCAATCATGCTTATACCGCCAGCCTTGTCGTCCAGACGTTGTAACTGGGACGGAAAGGAGGAGAGGAAAGATGCCGCGTAATGTCGCGAAAGTAGCGCCTGGTGTTGTTCGAGATATTGGCGCTCTGGTAATGACAGATAGGCAAGGGTTTCAGGTGTTGTGAGGATGTGAAGGGGGTACTTGTCGATCTAGTTGAATCATTGAACATCGAGATTATTATTAGCATGTTCATTCATCGACTTCCTGCCCTTTCTTCACATGCCGCCCGCCCCAAGGACGTGGGATCCGTGGGGCCCGTGGCGGAACGCCAAGAAACGTACCTTTGCTATTCTCGCGCGCAAGAATGATCTAATCAGGAATTTGAACCGCTCCAACTCGGTTTGGTAGAGTATGAGTCGGAAGTTCGTTTTCGGGTCCATATTACCCGTCTGCTCCTCGACGAGTTCAATCTGTAGTTTGCCGGCAACGCCGTTTGCAGTTAGCCTCCCGTTTCCAGCCACACCATGAAGTTCTTCATGACTCCTACATCCCTCCCTCGTTCCCCCCCCCCCTCCTTCAACGAAGGGACCTCTCTTCTCTTAACCGTTTACGGACCACAATCCCCACGGCAACGGGACCAACCAAAAAACATCTGAAGCAGAAGATGGCCAGAGCGGTCCAGAAAGCCCGGGAGAAGAGAAAGGGGAGGGAGAGAAAAAAAAAAGTACGTACCTGCCTTCTCACCCTCTCCAGCATGCGCTCCATCAACGCATCCGGGTACGGTAGTATCTCCGGTGCCACGCGCTCCGTGACCCAGAGGCGGGTCAATTCCTGCAGGTCGCGCGCCGCTTGCTCCTGTTGCTGCGCGGGCGAGTCGCGCGACACCTCGGCGAGGATGTCGTCGATGTCCATTGTTTGCTTGGGGAGGGCAGGTATTTTAATTGTCCGAGCGATGACCGTCCTTCCTTCTTTTGTAATCTCTCTGTATGCCACTTGTTTTTGCGCCCTCGGTTGATTTGGGATAGGTTGCGGGGTGTAATTCTTCCTGTGCGATCGTTCTTGGGGTCGGTCTTTGGAAGTGGTATAGTCAAGGTCAAGGTTGCCTTGCCCCGGCTGGCGGAAGGGCGGTGGACGGCGGGGAGCTGTAAAGGTTGGCGTGGCGTAGCCTGGTTGTCGCCCCAATGGAATGTAGTGAATCCGGGTATGATGCTAGCCGCGGGTGAGTGCAGGGTGACCACGCGTGCAAAGGGGAGCGACCAAGGCTAAAAAGGTTCTGAGGGAGATGGGTGCGAATACCAATGACGCGCGCTGGGGCCGACGACGCGATTGGTGCGGTGCGACGCGCGGGCGGAGGTGGGGCGGACGCGTTCCGCTCAACGCAACCAGCAGCATTGAAAAGTCATGCCTCATCCATCAGGCATCAGCCCTCGAGCAACCCTGTCAATGCCATCACGTGCAGAGAGGGTCAGAAGGAATCAGTTTCCAAATGTTTTTGTGCATTTGATCTTTCTAGCGACAACGGGGGACATTTCCTGCCGTAGTAGTAGGTATCCCACAACTTCCACCAAGAAATGGTCGACTTCTCCAAATCCACACCTAATTATGCCGACCGTTGGCGAACGCAAACCACTACTCTGGGTATTGCCTCCTATCCCCTCCTTTACCTTCTCTCTCCGTACCGCTCCATATGCAAAATAGCTCGGTTGCTGGCTCTTCCCATAAAAGCCTTCCTCCGCAAGCGGCAAAAAGGCAAGAGACCATCTTGCTATATGTACAATTTCTGTTGCCTTGTATTTCCCTCTTCGATATCTACAAGCCCAGCCTGATGTTGCCATGCAACAGGTCTTGAGCCGAGCCCGCAGGAAGAAGAAAATGCCAGTCTGGGCCAACCTTCTTCCCCTCGCGCACTGTTAAAAGCAACAATGTGGGATAGTAATAAAGTACAGCAGAATAGAAGTGTTTCCTGGGACCAAAGAATGGGCCGCGAAGAGGATGTTGGACGCATGCACGAAGGTGTGCTGTCGAGACCAATCTGTGGATGAGGTGGTGTGGTGAGAATACGGACTACGCAGACTCCGGCGCTGATTCGATCGATAGGAGAGTCGTTATGGCCTAAAGTGGACGAGGGTGTTCGTGACTCGAACAAGGAAAAGTGAATATGCAAGGAGATGGGGCCGGCGAGCCCCGGTTATTTTGCTGCCGTTCTGTACAGCGCGGTTTGGATCCTGATCTTCGAGGGGAATTCCAATACTGGATCCCGGAATCCGGTAATAAACAAAGGAAATGCATCAAGACAGGAAGGGTATGATCCGCCGGTGCGCCGTGAGACGCCGGTGCAGTGCAAGAAGTCGAAGAAAAGAGGATCATCCCAGAATAAAGGCCGTAAGGGGGAAAAAAGAGTCCTGAATCACCAAGACTTTTAGAAAGTCGTCTCGTCCAGAGAAAGAAAAGAAAAAGGCCGTCTTAGAAGCGAAGCCACAGGAACGCCAAGTGTCGACCAAATGAAAGACCGACTGGCCAGTCGCAATGCGAGAATGGGACGAGAGTGATCCGAGAAAGTTATTGAAACGCCATAAGGAATCCGTTTCGCCGTGACGTCCGAGTATCATCGCAGCCGTATGGGGGTTAGTAGGAGGCCATTCGGTGTGTTCGCACGCGAGTGCCCATGTTCAGGTCATGCATGACTTCCAACGCAGAACCTGTTGATTTCGATCTGCTGGGAGCGGTGGGGCTGTCTTCCATGTCGCAACCCTGGCCAAAGGCAAACGTCTGAGCGCGACCCAACTTGGCACGTTGTTTAAGCTTATGTAACCCTGCCTCGCAGGCCCGCTCATGTTCTTCCGACTCCATGCGCAGGTAGTTCTGGGGGAAGCAGCGTTGTTTGTACGAGTCATAGAAGGAGGAGTAGCCTCCGTGCAGGATGTACACTTCCGGGTAGGTCAGTCTGGGATAATTGTCTTCATTGACAGCACGATCGCGACTCCGGATGAACTCAGCCCTACGGATGACGTCAGTTAAGCGGGTCGAAGCAAACACCGGAGGCAGCCAACTTACATTCGAGGAGCACGCAGCTCCGAGTACTCGCAGTGGAAGACGAGCAGCGTCTTCTTTTGCGAGGAGCGGTCAGTGTAGGGGTCGAACAGCCTATCTGCAAGTGCCTCGCGCTCACAGTGGTTCACCGCGCCATCAATGTGACCACCCTCATACTCGTACTCGAAACGGCAGTCAATGATCATTGTCTCCTCGAAGGAACGACTGTACTTTCCATCGAGCACGTCCGCCAGGGTTTTGCTAGCAATTCTCGGCAAGCTGTTAGGTTCGCCAGTGCTGGGCAATGTCGGCAGGCTCAGTTGCGGTGTTTCATCAACATCCATAATGGGTCCCAGCGCGCTAGACACACGCTCACTCTCATTGTTCATGACATCGCCAGGGCTCTCAAACATGCTCATTGTTCGTCGGAATTGCTTCCTGGGCCGTACCGGAGGGGCTGTCTTCCGAACACCGGGCACCGGAGAACCATTGCAGCGATTGAACATGTTAGAGACGTTAGCGTGGCGGGAGCGAGGCAGTCCCTGCAAGTGAAAGTGGATCTTTCGGTCCTGTACAGGCGAAGCCTTGAAGCACAAGCTCAAGTCCGTCTCAGAGTTGTTGTGGCTGGTGTTGAAATGAAACGGGACAACGTTCTCTTTGGAGTGCTGGGCAGCGGCATTCGAAGACAGGGTCTTGGCACGCGACAAACTCGGACGGAGAGGGAACGAGGGCTTCTTGCGGCTGGGTAAATGTTAGAATGAAAGACGGGGTGCGACAGGAGGATGCTTACTCAGGCGGGGGCATAGGACTGTCCAGCAGAGGGTTAGACGGGGGCGAGCACGAGAGGTCCATGCCATTTTCTGCCACTTCAGGCGTGGGTGATTGCACGGAGCCGCGGTTGATGAAGCCGCAAGGGGCTTTGTGTGGCAGAGGCGAGATGTCCATGCCGTCGTTACCGTACCCTGGGGAAGACGACGGGATCGGGGGAGTGGTCATTCCTTCCCGCCAGATGTCGGGCGTAGTGGCACCTTCTAGTCCGACACAGTTAAGCATGGAACCTCAAGCCCATCAATGGTCGGTCGCCTTACCCTTCTTCTGTTCTGCCCTCTGGAAAATGTTTGTCGTGAACAGCGACCGGCGGGGCGTCGGCAATTGGGGACTGCAGGTGGGCGTTAGCCAAACAGGAAGCATTGGCGGCAATGGGACGAGTGGTTACGCACCTCTGGTCGATGGTAAAATTCTGGGCCAGGTCGGCAGCAAGACTGACGGTCGGCGATGAGGCCCTTGCAGCCTTGGACGCGAAGTAGTCGGACCCGCCCTTCTTCATGCTCAGGTCCTTGAAATTGAAGTTGTTGGCCCCAAGGTTGAAGCGAGGCCGTGTCGACGCAAGGTCGCGTCTGTATCCCCAAGTGCCAGGCGAGGGCGGTGGCTGCATCACAGCGAGCGGTGATGACTCCATGATGGCAGAAGGCGCGGAGGCTCTGGTGGTGTGCCAATTGAGATGTATGTGTGGCTCTCGGGCCGTCTAGCGGTGCTGCAGACCGAGCTGCGGGCGTATGGATGGGTGGGTGGCGGGCGGCTCGGGCGGACGTCGACGCTCGCAAAGCATGCAATCCGATTAAGCAATTGACGCTCTAAGATGTCCCGCTGGAATACGGTCGGGCAGGCGGCGGGCTAGTGGATGCGGGAGGTCGACGGGCGTGCTGACGGGCGGCCGAGCATGGGACTGGGGCGGCGGTTAGGAGGATGGATGGGGGATGGAGAGGCCGGCGCCGAGCAGCTTCGGCGGCTGGGAGAGATGCCTTCTGGGGACGGAGAAGGGCAGGCGCGGTTGGAGAAGAGAAGAGTCGGGGCACGAGAGTTGAAGAGGAGGTTGAAGCCGCACAGCTGTGCAGCTCAGCGTTACCAGGGAGATGCTGCTGCGGGGGCTAATGATCGCTTGCGAGTAGCAGCTCACTGAACACTGGAATTATGCCCTGGCACACCCGCTCGCACGGCGGTTAACACCCTTGGCCGCCGCCCGCACGCCTGCCCGCCCGGGTTGCCTCGCATGCCGATCACGCTATTTACGCCCAAAGCGGCGCGCGCCCTCGGCATTGTTTGCTCGCTGGTGCATCACCGTCCCCGGCGCGGCGTGGAGGCTCTTACATCGCGTGTCAGAGCTCCTTGCAGGCGGCGATGCAGCGCGGAACAAAGAGCTGTGGTTTGCCAAGTCGCGTCAATGTACACAGACGTTGCCCGGGCAGGCGCGCCCTGGCCGCCCGCTGCACGGCAGGCCCTGCTCAAGCTCTCTCGCGCGGAGCAGCAGCAGCCCAGCGCGCGCAGCACAACTCGCTGCTCCATCGCGCGATGCAGTGCGCAAAAGACGCAGCGCCCGTCCCATGCGCCGCCTGTAACACCACCAGCGTCCCCGCATTCCTGCGCCGCCGACACGGCGACTTGATCAGAGATGAGCCCCCCAAGCCCGGCCCTACGACCGATCCGGCGCTGGCTGCTCTGCCCACTGCGGATGGGCGGCCGCGCCGCCAACACCCTCGCCCGCTGATTTGTCGTCATTGCTAGCTCTGCCCGGCCGCCCTCGACGCGAAACAGGGCACCCCCAGTGATGTAAGCCACGGCTGGCTGAATCCTGCTGGTGTTGCTAGGGCCAGCCCAGCGCGGGTGAAACGGCCTCGCACTCGATTGGATCGACCGGGAATTGGCCTGCTCCAAAATCGGCGTGATTTCCCGATTTTCTCACGCGCTGGCTGAAGAAGGGCCCGTCCGAGCAGCAGCGCTTCGAGAAGCCATTGCACAAGCCGGTTTGGAGGCAGGAATGACGGTACGGACGGCCGCTCAGCCTTGTGCCGGGGATCGTATGCACGCCTCGCAATCGAGCGCACAGCTTGTGTGAGACGTCATAAGACGCCCTCCGCTGCACAAGATTTGCGAGATCTCCTCGTGGCCTCCCATCGGTGCGCCGGGGGGGGGTGGCAGTAGTGCTGGGTAGTGCTGGGTTGCTAGTCAGTCACAGCAGCTGCTGTTTCCCCGCTGCTGCTGCTGCTGCTGCCACGTCGGCAGCCTCACGATAGAGCAACCCGCTCAGGCAAGAACACCCGTGTCGTCAACAAACACACAGGGTACAAGGTCACCACAGGGCACCCTCCGGCCGCCCCGGACGCGACGACTGAGGCGAGCTGACCGGTATCTGCGCGAACGATCGAGACCTGCGCAATGGCTGTCCCCCCACGGCCCCACAAACAGACGAAGCCATCCTCTGATGAGCGCTGACACGCTGACAGGCCCCTGTCGCGCCTTTGTCGGAGACGAGGCAGGGATGCGACGGCAGCAGCCAGCCTCGTGTGTGGCCGCTGGTTGCCGGCGCTGATCCATGGGCGACGCGACGACGGCAAAAGGTAAACAATCACAAACTTCCTAAACGGGCGCCCCGGTCCCGTGAGCACGTGCAGGGCGGGTGCAGGCAGCACAACCCGAGACACGTCTGCCGAGCTCTGGCCGGTTCCGCTGCGGGACCACGGACCCAACCTTGCCTTCACGCCTTGGCCATGTCGCTCCTCTCCGCCGCCGCCGCCGCCACCACCGCCCGCCGCACACCACGCCAGCTCGGGCGCCGCTCGCACGTAGTATGTCGCCGTGCCTGCTGGCCGCTCCGGATTACCGTGGAACGGTGCTGCCCCTGGGCGCCGGCCGCGAATGGCGGCGCTCGAATAAATGCCCATCAGAGCCGGGTGCAGCGCCATGCGGTAGCCAGCGCCACGTCGACAGTGGTAAGAAGGAGCCGTGCGATGGTATACCGGGGAATCAGGCGATGACGGAAATTGCTGAGTTTACTTTTTGCTGTTCTAGGCAAGAAGGGTGCCAGTCTGTCCTCTGCTGCGTGCACAGCTGGTTATGCTCGTCGCTCGTCTGTCACAAAACGCGCGGATGGCTCGAAAGGCCTTCTCGTGAGTGGTGGGGTGCCCCCGCCCGCCGGGGCTTTTCTGGAACTTTTGCACAGATTTTGCTGGCCGTGCCCGTCAAGCGGTGATGATGATCTACGGACGGCGTCGCTACAGCAGCGCCAGTCCCACCAGACCCTGTTCCGCGGTTTGTCACACTGGGGATGTTTTATAATTCAATTTTGATTCCTTGCGTCGGCGTTTACGTTTCGCGTGTCGAGGCGTCGTCCGCAACCGGCCCAGCCAGCCTGAGATAGAGAGCTGACGGTGTCACAAGCGAGGGCCAGGGACCCAGCGAAGGTGGAGAGTTCCGGGACGCCCCGGCACAACGTAGGGCCGACGCCTCCGCTGGACGCTGTACCTGGTAGCGCTAGCTGGGAAATTTTGGTCGCGCAGTTGCGCAGCTGCATCGCCGGTTGCACGCCAACCACGCATAAGCATTTGCATCGTTGTGCAGGTTGATAGTGCACGCGCCCGCGCCGTGCCGCTTGCAGCTACCGCAATCATTTCCAGCCAAAAATTTCCCCGGACTTGGAAAGCCTCAACACCTACAAGAGCTCGCACCAATGTCCCGGAAGCGCAATCTCGAGCCCGCCGCGCAGGAGGCGCCTGCAACCGGCCAGAAGCGCCGCAAGCAGTATACCGAGCAGGATGCTGAGCTCGCGCGTCTTCTCGACCGTCTCGCAGACGAGGCCCGCGATGTGCGCCTTGGTGCCGCGAAAGAGCTTGTCCTCAAGCTCTCTTCTGATCCACCAGCGGAACTGGTCAACAAGATCATCGTGCGACTAATCAAGGGACTAAACAGCAGTCGCAAGGCCGCGCGCTTCGGCTTCTTCGTGGCGCTCACCGAGACCTTCCGTCAGCTCTACAGTCCCTCCAGCAAAGAAATCCCCGGTCTAGAGCCCAACATCCACGGTCTCGTCAAACTCATAGCCGAGCTGACGACGGTCGAGGGAAAGGCCACCGGCCAGGTACGAGACCACGCCACAGACAAATCCTAGACCCCGTCCTGACCTCGCGCCCAGGAAAAACGAGATCATCTCCTCGGCCGTGTCTTTGGCTACAAGGCCATTATCCAGTCCTCGATCCTCGTACAACCGAATGCCCCCAAAGAATGCTGGGCGAATGTCTTGGAGCAATTGTTCAAGCTTGCACGCGAGAAGCCGTGGTTGCGTGAAGAATGCGGCCTGATTTTAGGCGAGGCCGTCAAGGCCGTTATTACGCTGGAGAAAGGAGAGCACAAAGCGAAGCGAATCATAGACGGAATCTGTTCTGAGGGCTTGGCGAAGACTCCGGAAGGTGTTGCCGTATGGCTGACCGCGCAGTCTGCGTTCCCGAACATGGAGTTCCCACAAGGAGTCTGGCACAAGGAAGATCCATTGTCAACCAAGGACAGACAATCGTTGGCCAATGTCATGAAGGAAAACTTCGCCAAGACCGCCGATGGTGCGACCGAAAATGGGAAGAAGGTGAAGTCTGGCAGCTCCCAGACAACTCTCAACTTTGCTTGGGACGTTGTTATCTCGTCCTTCCTGCAGAAATACGTCGAGTTTCGGCCAAAGTTCGCCAACTTCTGGATTGACATTGTAGACAGTGAGTTCTGGGCCAGTCCACGGCTGGAGAGACATGTTTCTGACCGATCAAAGATAACCTATTCTCGGCTTCGGCATCTGCCGAGCAGAAATCGAAAGGCTTCCAGCTCTTCTCGAGAATGCTTGGAAGTGCTCCCGGATGGGCAGTTCCAGCCCTGTTCAGTCCAAACCTTATGCGATGCCTCATCAACCAGCGGAATGATTCTGAAAGAATCCTGCACAATGCCGCAAAGCTCCCCCTGGATGACATGCGTGCGAGGGCAAAGAAGGACCCCGAGTCTGCTGCACCCATGATTGAGAATCTGATCACTAAGCATGGCTCGCTCAACTTTGACCAGATAACGAGGAGCAAGACCGTAGAAGGCGTCTTGAGCCACGCTAACGATGTCGCGCTTGGGGAGATCGTGCAGCTGTTCAGGCGACTCATCTACAGCCCCGAGGAGCGCGATGAGAAGGTTGCAGAAACCCAGCGTCGCTCTGTCGCGGACATGTTGGTTACGATTGTCAGATCTCGCAACAAGGAAAACCCTATCGGCAGCGATGACTCGTGGCTGCGGAAGCTGCTGGCTTTCGTTACGGAACTTTCCTACTTCACACCCACTGCTGCGATTTCTCCTGATTTCTTGCCCATTCCCGGCGTTTCTGACGCCTCTCGTAGCATGTTCCAAGGCCGGTTAACATCTTGCCTTGCTCACTTGCTGTCTTCGAAACTCGACGTGGAGATGGACTATCCGTTCGTGGTGGTATCACACATTCACAAACAGAGCAAGAAGAAAGGTTTGGCGCTTGTTTTTGAGGCGGATAAGAAGGTGATGAAGGTCGTTCAGGATGCGCAGGAGAGGACCAAGGAAATTTCAAAAAAGGTGTGGATTGTTGCCAGCCTTGATTGCTTCCAAGTCGCTAACTTCCAACAGCTCTCCAAGGCCAAAGACAAGAAGAAGCCGGCTCTGCGCGCTTTCAAACTCCTTTATTCCTTAACCATCATCCAGGTCTACAACGGAGACCCCGACGCCGTGTCGATCCTAGACGAGCTGACGGACTGCTACGAGTCTGCCTTCAACGATGATGCGGATGCGAACGCCTTCCAGCAACTAACCGAAGTCCTTCTTAGTTTTGCAGCAAAGCCATCAGTACTGTTCAGAAAGCTGTCGGAGCAAGTCTTCACCGTCTTCGCTTCCGAGTTGACCGCAGAAGGTCTCCAATCGATGATCGATATCCTGAGCAAGAAAGAGAGCATGTCTGGCCAACAGGATTTGTTCGATCAGCAGGGTAGCGAGGACGAAGGAGAGGATGACGAGTCGACAACTGAGAATGAAGACGAGGACAGTGATGAGGACATGGACTCGGATGTCGAACTGGTCGAGGCAGACGCATCCGATGTAGAAGAAGTCGATGAAGGATCCGGCGGTGAGGACGACAGTGACGAGGGTGAAGGCAGCGACGAAGAGGATGATGAAGAACTGGTGAAGTTCGACGCTGCGTTGGCCGAGGCCTTGAATACATCAGCGCCTGCGGGCCGGGAAGGTTCGGACGATGACGAGGCGGACATGGATGACGACGACATGATGGCGCTGGAGCCGGCCCTCGTAAAGATCTTCAAGCAACGCCGGGAGGCTGCGAACAAGAGCAAGAAGAAGGACAACAAAGACGCAAAGGCGACCATGGTCAATTTCAAGAACCGTGTGCTTGACTTGCTTCTCATCTACGTCAAGCAGCAGCACGCGAATCCTCTGGCCATGGACACCATAATGCCGCTCCTCCGGCTCATTCGCGAGACGAACACCAAGCAACTGGCTGAGAAGGCCTCGAACTTGCTCAAGCAATACTCGGATGCTGCGAAGAAGGGCATGCCCGTGCTTGGAGACGGGGAGACTGACAGCGCGTGGCAACTGCTCAGTGACATCCATACCGAGGTCGCCAAGGACGCGTCGAAGCTCCACGCCGGCGCCTGCAGCCGCGCGAGTTTGTTCGTCGCAAAGGCCCTGGTTTCGAAGGACGAGAAAGACAAAGTGGAGAACTATGGGAAGGTCGCCGATTTGTACGCACGCACGCAGAAGAATTGGTATGCGGACCCGAAGTCGCAGCTGCACCCCTCGTTCTTCAACGAGTGGATCAACTGGTCGGTCGCGACGAGGCAAAATAAGTAGACTTGAGCTCTATTGTGGACGAGGGTTTTGGCTAGTCGCAGGGATGATAATTTGCTGCTATCTTTTCCGGGTGAATATTCATTAACTCTTACGTCGTTGAGAAGCATAGCATGTTGTAAGCTACATGGTTACGGACTAGGGCCGGGAATAATGACAGAACAAAAGTTCGTGCTTGACCAAGCATTATTGTGGGGCAGCCGGGCGAGTTTTGATTGACCCACACGAACATAGCGTATGGAATACGAAGCACAAAAAAAAGTGCAAAAAGAAACTCTCCCGGACAGGCTTGAACTGTCAACCTCCTGATTGCAGCAGACTTTGTATACCGTGAGGTCCCATTAGCCTTTAACAGTCAGACGCGCTAGCCAATTGCGCCACGGAAGATCAAGTAATACTTGAAACCCATCTTTTAGTGGGCGTGGCATTGTTGAAGAGCGAGTTTGCGCACTGGTTATATATCCGCAATGAATCTTTCTTTGTCTGCCCAGATCAACAGCCCCAAGTGTTCATGCGGTTGAAACACCCACCGAAGAAGTAAAACACTGCAAAGCTAGTGGCTAATGAGCTGTGATGGAATTGGTGGAGTAGTTCCGTGGAGGAGGACGTGTTCAAGGGGTGCAGCATGGTCGCCCAGGAAACCAGGCCTTAAGGACATGCTGTTGACCCTGTGCTGCTCTAGCGCAACGTCGAAAGGGCGGCTCAGCTGTCTCAAACAACTCGACCCGTGCCATGTGATGTCAAGGGATTTTTTGTTTTATTTTTGGTGTGATCAGTGAGGGCAAAGAACCTGGGGGAACGCCGGATCCGCGAATCCTCAAGTAGACGGGAGAGAAAGTAATTGCACACCTACGGTACAAGACTATGTCTTCTGCCACTGTCCTCTGCATACTGCTATCCAAGTTTGTGATCGATCAATGCTCTCATAAAGCCATACTAGCGTATGGACGAGGACAGGGGCAGTCCTTCCGGATAAGAACCGCCTGACATGCTGGTTTGAGCCTGCAACAGTACTGCACTATGAAAACAGTCTTACTGAGGGATTTTCCCACGCACAGATGTCTCACGGAGAACAGCGTTCTCTCTGGATTTCAAACCCTAACGACGTTGTGCAACTTGCTAGGCGGCCCGCCTCTACTCTGCTGTGACACACCAGTATGCTCGTTTCAAACTTCAATCATCTTACCACCATGTATGATTCGAAGGCTCGGGCCACAAACCCTTGCAGTGAGACGCAGAGCACTGTCTGCATAGTTCAGCCTGGACACAAATACCACACCATTGCCTCGCCCTTTCCACATCCAGACAAGTTCACCATCTCCGCACAAAAACCATTCATCCCAGACATGTGCTGGAGGTCATTCGGAAATTTCTGTCATCTTTACGGCGGTAATTTACCTTCGTGCACGTCATGTAGGCGTCAAACACAAGTGCATGCTGTAGCTCTAGAGTCGATGTTGGTCTAAAGTTGATCAGTACAGGGTAGTGACGTGATGACAGGCAAACATTTAGTCTTCTCCATATAGTTCGGCCGAAGAAACGAACCTTGGGAAGAAGTCAATAACCTGTGCATCCGCAGTTCTGCCAGCCTCGTCAAGAGCGTCTACGAAGAGAACGATCGGCCAAGCCTTTGATGCCTCTGGGAGGTAATCCGCGAAAAAGTTCCTCGGCTTGTTTTCTCCCAGCCCCCATGCTCTTGGTGGGTCTTGGTAAACTTTTGAAGGAATTCAGGGAATCCCGGAAGTGTTTGGTTGAGCAGAGATCAGTGCGGAAATTCAAACAAGTAGAGTTCCACATACTAAGCTTTTGCTGAAAAGGCATTTTTTTCATCTGTACTCGCCCACTGGGCTCTGAAACCTCTGCAGCTGCGGCGTGTTATCAGTCATGTATTAGTAGCAAGGTATATTCGAGGCTGAATGCTTTTACAAGCCTGCATCCAAGGTGTAGGGGTTGGTTGGTGCCAAGACGAGTGAGAGGCGCTGCTGACGTAGGCGCAAAATGGCAAGGCTGAACACTTAAACAGCCAAAAGGCCGCGGTTGACAGATAAAATCCCTAGGACCTTCTTCGTTTCCAGTGTCCACTTTCAATCACTGACGCCCCTGATTTCGCCGCACAGGATCCACACGTTGTCGCAATGCCGCCTACTCCACCGCCAGATGAAAGTGCGTCCAACGCACTTGTCCAAGTCAATGCACAATCTCCATTCCAAACGACTTTGGACCTCGCAAGTGCGGGACAACTGGCTTTCAACATATCCCTCTCTTTGATGAGGAACCTTTCTCACAACAGGATTGATACCGAAGCCTTTACCATCAGCCAGTTTGTCGTTGGACGCTCACTCAAGTGGCATGAGAAAGGCCGAGACCGCTTCGCGCAAGCTTTATCGGAGACAGAAAATGGCCTTGTCAACTCTGTGAATCGCTTCCTGAAATTCGGAATCAACGCGACCTCTCTCCAATACGTCCTGCAATTGGAGGAAGGACAATGCTTCGCAGCATTGTGTGCTTCTCTCTGCGAGTGCTACACAGTAGACTGGACCGCCAAGATCATTCTTCAACTGATCAAGAAAATCATCACGGAAAACAGCGGTGATGCACAACTTGGGCAGATGAGCACTCCATCCTTACAGGCCATAAGCACTCTGGTCGACAGGTACTGCGGGCTCTTTGCTACATCCCGTCTTGGCGTCATGATGGAAGAGTACATGACATACGATGGTCACGGCATGGTGACGGGACTGTGTCGTCCCAGGAGCAATTCCAGCAAAATTCCAAAAACCCGTGGTATTTCCAGCCCAGAACACATGGCGGATGCGCTGTACGAGATTATCCAGCTGTCGAGAGGCAAATCCCTGAAGGTGCAGTTTGTGGGTGGCGCGGACGCAGTCGCGATTGCTGCGATAGGGGTTTGGCTGGTCGACTTACCCACTGCCTTCTACACTGCGGAATCCCAAGCCCCAAAATTGGTTGCATCGACTCATGGGCCTTCTCAACCGGCTCGAGTGGTTGTTCTCTTTTCGGAAGAGGCAACCGACCGTAGGTCACTGGTTCAGGGCCGAACCGTTCGGCTTCCAACCATCACCGACGTCCTCAGCCGAGGCAAATCACTCAACCCAGCATACAAGGTATCAGGAAAACTCCATTGGCACACGGCTCTCTCAGTGGCCTTCGGAAGCAGCTTCAAGAGGCTGATCAATATGGAGTCAAACTTCGGGCCCGCCCTTGGAAGCGCTGCACGTGTTTTTCAGGCTTTCGTAGACGGAGACGATAATGTACCCGCCGACTGGCGCACTGCATGCCAAACCTACTATGAGAACAGCTTCGGGATTGACTACGTGCACTTTGCTTTCGGTCAGTTTCAAGAGCTGGCAACTCCAAAGATGAAAGAAGAAGCGCTGGCTTGCGCACGCTTAGAGTCTTACAGCGAAGCAGAGAGCAAGTTCGAAAGCTCGATGTTTACCATTGCAGATATTTGCGGCTGCAAGTATTGTTGCTTTAATGGAACACCTACGGCAAAACGCACTGCCGCCACAGCCACCAACCACGCCGAGCCACACGGGAACTATTGTCTTGTGGCGCTATGCAGCACCGTCATCAGACTCGTCCGGGTCCTGTCTGGTATCGATATGCTTGGCAGAAAGATGTGCCTGAACAGGTCTGGGCTTGAGTGTTTCTACAACCAGCAGCACACCCGATTGGTAGTACAGCGGAAAGGAGCTCGGAACATTGAGAAGGACGAGTTGTTTCTATACCGTATTGTCGAGCACGTAAAGGTCGACAAGGATGCACCCGAGTATTCGCCACTCGCCGTTGCCAACACACTCTTCTCCGGCAACCAAATGAACAAGAACATTCAAATGAGCACATCTGCTTTCGCCGCTCAAGGAATCTGCTGCTTCTTCAACATCCTGCAGCAGAAAGAGCCTCGTGGGGGCTCTGTTGTGTCGAGGGTTTGCGTTGTGCCCGGAACCATCGAGTACCGTGGGCAGACGTATGCTGGACTCGGTGACTTGGGATCCCACCAATATCAGGATGCCGCTCCGCAAAGAAACCCCAAACGGCCCGAATACTGTGTGCCGGAAAAGATCAGGAACCACACAAGAATTTGCTGCAGCACCGATCCACAACTTGCTGTAGACGAGGAACTCGTGGACCAGAGGAGTCCCTGGCTGAACGTTGGGTTCGAGCTGCTTGGCCCGGACGACCGGATCATATCTTTCCTGGGGCCTGCGAGAATTGTGGAAAACGTAAGCCGCGGGATGGGCATAGTGTCCTGCCGCCGTTCTGAGCTATGCACCAGCAACGAGGAGCTTGCGAACGCAATTATGGAAGCGATGCCCCATTATTCTCCAGAGCAACCCTGGGTAGATCTCACATACGGAAACTCCACGATATTCGTCTTCCGAGGAGATACACCAACAGCATTCATCGTTGCACAAGGTTGTTGGCAGCCCTTGTTCCTTACGGACAGAAGCTGTGTGACCTGTGCCATCAGAACCGGGGTCAGGCATTCATGGCCAAATTTCGCTATTGTTTGCTCACCAGAATCCTACACGCAGGTATGTATGCATATAAGCCCATCAAACCGATCAGGTGAACTGACTGTACGTAGAGAACGCCTTCGATGTCAAGGCTGTTGACGGGAACCACTGCCGAGTAGGCCACGGGGTCATGAGTGCATTCTGAGAGATTGAACGAAGTGGATATCTGATCTAGGGTAGAGGACTTCTATTAGCAACAGAGATTGAAGATATTTTCAGATTTTTCCCATCTCAGGGAAAATCCTACCATCAGCATGCTAGTCCAAATGCGCACTCTTCTCCCTCTTCCGTGCCCTCAAGTGATACGGCGTCCTATACAGACAGATGCCTAAAAGTTGGCCGGTAGTCTATGAAGACTGCCATCGAGCGTATTACGAAAAGCATCATACGGCTTGGTCGTCACATCGTGTTCATTGTTCTTGGATCCTCTTTACACTTCACCCGATCTTCACTTTGAACTTCCACGGTCAGCTCAAGCCTCATCGATCTAGAAAGGGCCAGTCGATGACGGAGCTTTCCAGAGATTGCCATACGGGTCTGCAGATTAGACATCCAAGATTCAATAATGGCAGGTTCGGGCGGCGTCGTTTGGGTGGGTTTCGTCCATTCTTGTTCGCCACAGCCCCCTTTTGATAGCAGTTGTAATGGCAACAACCCGGCCGAACTTTCATCAAGCACTAGCTTGCCCGCAAGGCGTTGGTGGTTTAGTGGTAAAATTCATCGTTGCCAGCAGTTGCAGTTCCTCAAGGAGATGGCCCTCAGGGGCCCTCCAGGGAACGCAACACCAGGATCGATGAGCCCCGGGTTCGATTCCCGGCCGACGCATCTCTTTTGCCTCCTTGCGTAGGATGAGGATGCATGGGGGCTTCGTTTTGCGGTGGATGGTAGATGGAGGGAGCCCAGAAGCGGACGCTGAGGGGTCCGACGTTGTGCCGGACCACAGGGCGGAAATTTTTCTGCAGGGGTAGCACCGAAGAGGGTCCAGAACGTCGTCTGTGTGGATGCGAGATGAGATAATGCTCTGGGATTGCAGGGCTGTGGCTTTCGGATGCTTCGTGGTTGGAGTCTTGATTTGACCTCCGCTGCCGCTGGTTCCTGTTGCACATGAGCTTTGCGTGAGTTTGGCGGTGAAACGAGACATTCGTTGTCATTGATAGCTTGGGGAGAAAGCGAAGAAGAGCCATATCAGGCCTGGAAGCAGCCCGGTTGCAGGATAGAGATGGGGAGCATGGACAGTTCTGTCCTTGGACCTTGTGCGAGGAGCATGTGAGGCTTGCCTGCCGGGCTGTTGGATGAAGAGCTGGCTGAGGTCGAGCAGCCCTTGTTCCGGAGACGGACTTGGAGTGCTTCCCATCTGCCTCACCTTGCCCGAAGAAGACGGGGCTTGTCTGGGATAGCCCCAAGGCTGCTTGGCGCGGGCCGTGAGTGCTGACGGAGGAGGGAGGGCGGCAGTCAACTGCGCCAAAGTGTTGTGAACAGCTGGCAGCTTCTCTGGCCAGCAGGAGCAAGCAAGCAAGCAAGCAAGCAAGGCGGGCTGGAGCAACGCGAAGGCGGGGCGCGAGACCGGGGAGATGGCAAGGGAAAAAGGTTGGGGTGGAGGAGATCAGCGCGCACAGGCCCGGGCAGCAGCGTCGATGCACCGCGCGCAGCCAAGCGGAGCCGGGCCGGCGTGCCTTCCTAGGCTTCCTAGGCTTTATCGATCGGAGCTGCGGCCTGGCCGTGCCTCCCTCGCATCGCATCTGGCCCATCCCAGCAACGGCCGGCCCGCTGCCACCACCGCCCTCGTGCCTCAATTCCCTCCCCACGCCCCCGACCACCGCCCCAATCCGCTTCCCGAGCGCTGCGCCCGCCATTTGCGACCTGTCGCGCCCGCCCCCTCCGCTGGACGCGCCATTGCTGGTGGCCGCACTTCCGCTCTGGGAGGCGCCAGTGTCAACCGTACGACCCGAAATGCAGCGCTCCCGCACCTCCATGCGCTGAAGAAGCAGCCGTCTGGTCAATCTGTGCAACCCGCCTCGCGCCTCGCGCCTGCTGGCTGCCCAACGCCTATCGACACCGTTGGAGGAGGAGGGCAGGCCGGCACCGAAGGAAGAGAGGTCGGAAATTGGCACGTCCGCTCGCGTCACGCTGTGCCAAAGGAGACACCAGCGCCAGTATACATCCTCGCAGCCCACTGTCCCCTTCCGGTCGACATCCAATAAGCATCTCCACACTCCCGCTCGCACGCCTATAACGTCGCTTGATAATTGGCGCTCCTCGCCGCTCTCCTCACTCCACCTGCGTCTGCGAACCGCGCCCTCGACCTGCCACCTGCCACCTGCCACCTGCGCCCGCCATCCGCATCTTGACTTGTACCCGTAGCTGCTCACCACTCCCTTCTACAATGCCAACGTATCTTCTGCATGGCTTCCGCTGGCCACGCAACCTGATCCGAATCCACATCATCCTGCAAAACCTCGACGATGCCGCCGCCGAATGGCTCATGGCGCCGGCCACAGTAGCGTGCATCAGGGAGAACTTCAAGCAAAAATATGCGAACGCGATGCAAGGACTGCCGGACCTGCAGTTCATCGAGCAATTCGACGTCGAAACCGCCGACAAGGGAGACAACGTGCAGCCGTATGCCTATGTGGCCGATGTAGTCGAAGAGATCAAGCTCGGCGTCGAGGTCGGCGAAATCATGGGCCGCGGCGTGCCCAACGAGCAGTGGGCCTCAATAACCGAGCTGCGCGACCAGATCGCCCCAGGCGAGAAGGTCGGCTGGTTTGTCGTCGTGTGCCAGGATACCGAACGCCTTCCACCCTCGGTTTCCGAGGACGAAGACGAATATTTCGAGGAAGAGTACGAGGACGAGTCCCTGACCGGCGGCATAGAAGCAGACATGCAGGACATGGCCGTGACGAACGGAAATGGCCACTCCAAGGAGGAACCACCCAGGGAGGACAGCCACCTGAATGGTCAGATTCCCGTCAAGGTGCACAGTCAGGAAAGCCCGAGTGTCGACAAGAGCGCGCAGAGCGCCAGCACAAGCACCGCGACAAAGGAAAAAGAAGAAAGCATCGAGCAGCGCCCCACCACAAGCAGAAGTGTGAAAAAGTGGTTCAGCGGCTTCAGTCCCCTCAAAAAAGCGAAAAGGTAAGGCTCGAATTCCCGGCAGTCCTCGGAACCATGATACTAACCTCTGCAGCCTAAGAGACCTTCGCAGACTAGAGAACGAGAAGGCGAAAGAGATGGCAATGCCGCCACCTCTTCCAGGCACAGCCGCCTAAATGGCTTTCCTGTACTTTACTCGACCTCATTCCCACTAACTGTTCGGAGCGGCATTTGTTCTGGAGTTCGCCTTCGGAGTATGGTGTTCTTGCAATTCTTCCATGGCGGGTATATGCGGTAATGATAAACATGAATCCCCCGCGGTCAGCACAGAGTGCTTGGGCGCATATTCTCAATTAAGTTGAATGTAGTAATACAAGGTTGCGCAGTGGACAGGAACTGGGCAGACCGGGACCAAAAAGAACATAATGTAAGAGGCTCTCTGAGCATCCAAAAACAACCACTTTCATTTCACTGAGAAATAAGAATGTTACCGCACGATGATTTCGCTTCGACGTGAAGTTTGCGCGTGAGATTTCGGAGCGGTTTCGAGATAGGTAGCATGGACTTGGCCCGGAGGACATACGCTGTGTCTCCTTCAAAGCTTTCGATCCCAACACCGACCATCATGATTGATAATCACGCTGGTTTGATCTGGCGTGAGCATGTGACGGCCATCTTTTTGTTCGTATCATTCAAACATTACCCCTTATCTACAAATGCTTCACTGGACACCACAATGCAATATAGGTGGATAAAAGTGTGTAAGGTGCTCAGTACCGTTTGCTCGTTAGCGTACCAAGAACTGTGGCAAACCCTACACCCAGCTATCTTAATAATAAGAAGGGCTCGGTTGTAAGGACACCTAGACCTTCGTTTCGCCGTGAAATCACGTTTGATTTGATTCTGTCCCAACTCGCCAACTCATGATACCTACCACGATTGTGGCTGGATTTTTAGCGTCATGTTCTGGTTTCCTATGGATGAATATATCCTGCAAACGATATCATGCCCCAGTACTCCATTGTTCTCCAAACGTCATCAGCAAGAGCCACAAGCAACAGCAACGCATGTCATCTACTCCGGTTGACTACTACCTCTTCAACGCGGCGAATCTCTTCGCCAACTCATCGACATCGGGTATCTTCCCTCCCGGCCCATCGTCTTTCTTCTTCTTACCCTCTTCCTCCACCTTCTTCAACTTCCCGCCGGGCTTCAATTCCGGTGGCCCCGGAAGCTTGACCTTCGGCGCCACATTTTCCGAGCTCGGACTTGGCGGCGCGATTCTCAACGGGCTTGCGGGCCCCAGCTTCTTTGGTGGCGTGGCCTTTGTCAGATCCTCCGTCTCCAGCGGCGCCTCTAATGCCTTCACCTTTTCACCGTCGCCCGGCTCGTCGTCGTCGTCATCCGCGCCGTCCCCCTCCTCCTCCGCCTCCTCAGGTTCACCCGGCACATGCACGCCGTAGGCACGCGCGATCTCCCGCATGTACGCGTCGACGAGGGCGGCCGCGGGCGTCTCGACTTTGAGCTTGTTCAGGACGCGCTCGGCGACGCCCTCGCCCTCCATGGCGCTGAGCGCAAAGTCCTTGCCGAACTTCTCGACCAGCAGCGCGCGCGCCGCGTGCAGCTCCTTGACCTCGGTGCGCGGCGCGGCGTAGATCAGGCTGCGCACCGCCTCCTCGAGGCCCGGGTCGCATTGCGGAGCGGAGTGTGACGGCGAGTTGGGGCGGAGCAGCGGCGACCCGGAGCCCGGCGGGTCGAGCAGCTGCGACCGCGCGAGCAGCAGCTCGCAGTACAGCTCGAGGATCTCGTGCAGCTCCGTCGTGATGTCTTGGCGGATGATGTTCTCGATGCGGATTTTGGCCGATTCGATCTTGCCTTGCTGTGGGTTGGAAGAGAAGGGTCGCGTCAGTCAATGGTGGAATGCAGGTGGTTGGAGTGGGATGTGTGCCGGTCGGGACAAACTTCGAGTAGCTGTGCCATGGAGCGTCGCGATTGTTTTGCGAGCGCTGTGTCTTTCTGCTGCGTCATGCGCAGACGTGATATCGACAGCTTGAGCTGTACCTTCAATCTAGACTTCGGTGCCGATTAGCTTGCTGTTGCTGGAGATGATGGCGGGCGCCTTACCACTATGGTAGGGGGAGGCATGGTGGTCTATGTTATAGCAAGTAGCGCCTTGGGTGTGAGCGAGTATAAATGTAGGAACGCAGGGCAGAGTGATGGGTAGGGTTGCCTTGGCTCGGCATTCGAGCGGCCTGCTGCTGCTGCCCCACGGGTCCTGGTGGGGTCTGCGGCGTACATCCCTGTTCGACCGAACGTCGATCATCCAAGCTTCAGGACGCGCCTGCCGCGTCTTCTTCACGCGACAATCGCTTGTAGCACTCATTCTCGATCATCACACCAGCTCCGAATCGCCATTTTGCACCCCAGAAACCTGCTTTCTCGGCGTGACCGACGCACTCGAATCACCGCCGCCGCTCCTGGACGAAGTTTCTCGCAATGCCGCTCCATCTGTTAGGGAAGAAGTCATGGAACGTCTACAATCCGGCCAACATCGAGCGCGTCCGCCGTGATGAGGCTGCTGCGCAGGCTCGCGAGGAGGAGGCCGAGCGTCGAATGGACGAATATGATGCGGCACGCCGGCTGGCAATACTACGCGGCGAAAAGCCCCCCTCGCCACCACCAGATCTCGAAGATGGACAGAAACCGCACCGTGAGGGCTCAAGCAAAGGGCCCAAGCGCAGGAAACTGGGAGGGGAAGATGATACGGACCGGGATATACGAGTGGCACGGGAAACAGCGGAGCAAGGCCGAGACGCGCGAGAACAGCTAGTCAAGCGCAATGAAGGCAAAAAGGCCAGTGACGCGCCTCTCATGGACCGTAGCGGGCACATCGATCTATTCCCAGTGGACCACAAGGTTATGCGTAAAGCAGAGAAAAATGCCGACCGCGAGGCAGAAGAGGCAAAGAAGAAACAGGCGTTGGAGGATCAGTACACCATGCGCTTTGCCAATGCTGCTGGCAGGGACGGCCTGAGTAAGCCGTGGTACGCCAATGCCTCGAAAGGCTCCGAGCGAGAACCACGTCCAGGTGCTACGGAAGTGCTCGAAGAGCCAGGTAAAAACGTTTGGGGCAATGAGGATCCGCGCCGTAAAGATCGCGAAAGGACGCGCATGGAGGCTAGTGACCCGCTGGCATTCATGAAGCAAGCGCAAGGGCAACTCAAGGAAGCAGAACGAGATCGGAAGCGCTGGCTAGCTGAGCGGCAACAAGAAATGCTTGCTATGGACGCTGCGGCGCAGAGAGAGCGTCGTTCAGAGCACAAGAGTAAGAACTCGTCCCGAAGAGGTCACGATCCAGATGACATGGATGAGTTAGAAGGATTTAGTCTGGACGCGCCCCGCAAGGAAAAGAAGCCACGGCATGAGAGGTCTCATCAATCCAGATCAGTGAGGCACCACAAGAGCCACAGACATCACCAAAGCAGAAGCAGAAGCAGAAGCAGGAGTCGAGACAGAGATCGACGCAGGCCGCACCGAGGCAGGAGTAGAAGCAGAAGTCCCGATGGGGGGAAGTCCAGGTCACATCACAGCTCGAGAAAGCCTAGCCTCCGTGAGCATCGGCATGACCGGGATCATCGCCATCCAAGCAGACGTAAAGGCACGCGTGATGAGTAGTAGAGCTATGGTGATGGGGTTACCCTTACCGGCGCGTGTCATCATTAGTATCATACCAAGTCCCCAGTTCCTTATTCCCTAAGCCGTTAATATATGCACCATTCGAGAGTGACATGTTGGCGAACAGTGTGTGAGGGGCCGGTGATTCAAAATGATTCAGCATGACGTCCAAGCGTGGAGTGCGGAGTAAGTGATTAGTGCTGGCCGTTCGAAGTGCAGGCTGCGCTGCGGCGGGTTGGCTGCGACAAAAAATTGGTGGGGCCGGGCGGCACGTCCGGTGGTCCTAAAGTTTCGCCGGGGATAATCCGGCGCCAAGCCTGCCGCTTAACGCCCACAGAAGCGTCAAAACTCCTCTCCTCAACCCGACCGTACTAACCACCCAGGACATCGACCAGCCGACGACAATCATCCAAAATGTGAGAGCAGCCCGTCAAATCGATTTCGCGAGCCCGTCCCCACGAATTGCGTCCCTCGAGATGCTCCATCACCGTCGCACACGCGCTGCGGCGCTCTGTCACCCCGTCGCTTCGCCACTACGCCCGCAACATCCAGAACACCTGGCCGCAACGTTCGGTGCATGCGCAGGAACACTGTCGCTGACTTGGTTTCTTCTACAGGGTGGATCTCAAGACGCAGAAGCGCCTAGCCAGTGCCGTGTTCGTAGCCCTTTTTTTTCGCATCCGAGGAGAAAGCGCTGACATGAGGTAGTGTCGGCTGCGGCAAGCGCAAGATTTGGCTCGACCCCAATGAGGTCAACGAGATCTCCAATGCCAACTCCCGTCAGACCATCCGCAAGCTGGTCTCCGATGGCCTCATTATCAAGAAGCCCGTCACCATGCACTCGCGCTCCCGCGCGAGGGAGCTGAACGCCGCTCGCCGCATTGGTCGTCACCGTGGCTATGGTAAGAGGAAGGGTACCAAGGACGCCCGTATGCCTAGGTAGGCACATACTTCCCCGGACAAGACATGCATGACGACATGGCATGCATGGATACCAAGAATGGGGGAAATATTGGAGGAAACCGTTGAACTGGTACTGATGTGGTCGGAATACAGCCAGGTCCTTTGGATGCGCCGTCTCCGTGTCCTTCGCCGTCTTCTCGTCAAGTACCGTGCCAGCGGCAAGATCGACAAGCACCTCTACCACGAGCTCTACCACCTGAGCAAGGGTAACACCTTCAAGCACAAGCGCGCCCTCGTCGAGCACGTACGTTCCCCTCAGACATGATGGTCCCGTTCCTGTCACTTATATTCCTTGCAGATCCACAAGGCCAAGGCCGAGAAGGCCCGCGAGCGGGTCCTCAAGGAGGAGATGGACGCCAAGCGTGCCAAGACCAAGGCCGCTCGCGAGAGGAGGCAGGAGCGTGTCTCGGCCAAGAGGCAGGCTCTGGTGGCCGAGGAGTAAGCGATGACTTTCGGGAAAGTAGAGGTGACGTCTGGCGTGGGTTTCTGAAAAGGGCAAAAACGGGAGTCCCTTTATTCAACTTATTTGCAGGCATCAGAGGTCACGGTTTCTTCATGTACGTCCGGGTCATTACAAATGGAGCTTACGTCTTCGGGCTCTCAGGTGGTCCTGCGACATGGATCGATGGTAATCGTGAAGGGGCTTCTGGGAGGCCGTGGTTGGACGATGAAGAAAAATCGACGGGGTTCTCAAAAAGATTCTGAGGGCTACAATACCATTTCTTTGCTGGTTAGCGTTGAGTTATGACTGAAGTTACGCTTACGACCCGGCTGCTTCTTGAACGCGTCTCAGCATGCAGAACTCAACGCTCGCTTGGAAAAGCGATGAGGAGTCTTTGCAATTAGTCACTCCAGAATCTGAGTTGCTTGAAACCTGTCGATTAGTATCTGACGTCCCCAAATGATCGCCCTGCCATCGACCCTAGTCTGTTTGCGGCAATGCGATTCGTGACGCGAATGCGGAGAAAGCTGACACGACTCATCATCACCGCTTCCTTCCTTTCCGTCGCCATCGCAAGGCTCCTCGTGGATTCGCCAAGGAACCATGGCTTCTCGGTTTGCAGTGAAGTCTCTTGACCACGTTGTCTTAACCGTGCGCTCGATACCTGCAACAGTAGACTTCTACACCAAGATGATGGGCATGAAGCATGAGGTCTTCACGTCAGCCAAGGACCCCGGCGTGGAGCGGTAAGCGCTTTCTTTTCGATAGCTACAATCACTCTCGGTAGAAACGCGCTCGGCAACAACTGTGATATAGCTAACACTTCACGCAGTCATGCTCTCATATTCGGCAGCCAAAAGATCAATTTGCATCAGAGTGGTCGCGAATTTGAGCCCAAGGCCCAGGCCGTACAACCGGGTAGCGGAGACCTTTGCTTTCTGACCGATACCAAGGTTGAGGAGGTTCTGGGGGATCTCAGAGATGGGGGCATCGAGGTTTTGGAGGGCGGCGGGATCGTTGACAGAATAGGCGCAGTAGGCAATCTACGCAGCGTCTACTGTAGAGACCCCGATGGAAATCTCATCGAGTGAGCGCTCCAACCCGTTTGCTGAAGATTGTGGTGGTCTAATCTCCACGATCAACACAGGATATCGAACTACGTTTGAGCGAGGGACGTTTCTCGAAAGTGCAGTGTTGCAGTCTCCCACGACTTGCATACGCAGTGCTCGTCTTCCCGCAAGAGGGCAAGCAACGAGCATACAGGAGTCATAAACTGAGTATCTCAGATAAGAGACTGTTGCCTCATTTTCTGACCGCGCGTAAAATCTCTAGCGAAATGTCACTAATTATTCCTGATTGCGTCACTCCTTAGCGCCTGAACTTCTGCCGGATATGGTTGTAGGGTGTGCTTCTATATCCTGGATGGTGGCTTACATGTGCATGCAGCCAAGACGGACCTATGTTCAGAAAGGCCCTCATGCCCAGCAACGCCTAACGGCAAACGTCTTCGGATCACGATCCAAACTTCAGTACATTTTGCCGATAGCGAACATGATCACTGCGTATGCAAATGCTAACTCACCCCGATGGTAAACGATGGAAGTCACGGCTTCCCTGTATCCGATTCTCGCGTGCCGGACGCTGATCACACCATACTCCAAGATACATGCGCGAAGTTGAGTACTGTCCTTGAACTTCGCCTGCATAACATTCTTGCGTTGTAGAAAAGTCTCATTGATATAAAGAGTTCGGTCTTATCTTTGTTAAACCGGGCTACGTACGGTGCTGGTTGATTGAGGCATTACTTGAGCGGAAAAGAAACCCGAAAAGGATAATGTGTTTTCTGGTCCCCGGTGCAATCCCAATCGGCCCCCCTGTCAAGTTTTAGCCGCTAACGTGAGCTGCCATATGTAAGCATGATCAACCTCAGCACTTTCCCACACTTTGCTACGCTCGCTGCTTGAACTCACTTAATGCGCTGAGCTCAAGACAAGAATTAAGACAAGAAGAATCAGAGTGCGAAAGATTTCGACAAAGCTCAACACTAGGCCGCATCGTTTGCTATCATGTTGACCCAACTCGAGGAAATCGCTCTCGCCACCGGCAGTGTAGCGGGAAAGTCTCTGTACCTCATTCCGTTCACCCTTTTAGTTCTCTTCGCAATCAATCGTGTCAAGGTCTGGTGGCGCCTACGTCATTTCAAGGGGCCATGGCTTGCGTATGTTTCCTCTTTCCCGGCCGCTCAGTACGCCACCTCTGGCAAAATGTGGTGGCATTACACGGAAGTCAACAGGAAGTACGGTACGGCACCCTCTCCGGCTTGCCTTTTAATCGCGTCACACAAGTAGCGCAGCTGATGAAAGTTAAGGTGAACTCGCCCGTATCGGTTCCAACGATCTTGTCTGCAGCGACCCGGAAGTCATCCGATATATGTCATCGGTACGTTCGGGCTGGCATCGTTCGGATTGGTATGACTCGATGTCTTTCGATCCGTACTGCAACAACGTCATCAATACGAAAGATCCAGTCGCACACGACAAGATGAGGGCCAAGTTGGTTCAAGGTGTAAGTGCTGTGCGTTTGCTCCATACTTTTCGGAAGACTGATGACGCTACAGTACGCCGGAAAAGAGAACTCCACCCTGGAAGCCGATATTGACAGACAAGTGGCCTCTTTTGTCTCCCTAATCAAGAGAAAGTACATTTTCTCGCCTTCTTCAAACCCGAGGTATCTTGACTTTGGCATGGCCGCACAGTACTTCACTCTCGACGTCATCACGTCCCTCGGCTTCGGCTTCCCCTTCGGTTACCTCAAGCGCGACGAGGACGTCCACGAGTATGTCAAAACGACGAAAGCCGTCATCCCCGTCCTGGTCCTCTCCTGCTGCTACCCGGTCATGAACAAGATCCTCGGGCACCCGTGGGTGCGCGCAATCACCGGCCCGCACACCGGAGACGAGGTGGGGCTGGGCAAGCTCATGGGCCTGGCGCACGAGGTGGTCGGCAAGCGTTTCGGGCCCGAAGCCGAGGACAAGCAGGACATGCTGGGCTCATTCGTACGCCACGGCCTGCCGCGCCGCGAGGCCGAGTCGGAGGTCCTGCTGCAGCTCTCCGCCGGCAGCGACACCACGGCGACGGCCGTCCGCGCGACAATGCTGCACCTGCTGACGACGCCGGGCGCGCTATTCAAGCTCCGCAGGGAGATCGATAGAGGGACAGAGGGGGGCAGGATCTCAACCCCCATCACCAACGCCGAGGCCAAGGAACTGCCGTACTTGCAGGCGGTGATCAAGGAGGGGTTGCGCATGCAGCCGCCGTTTATCGGACTGCTGGCTAAGGAAGTGCCGCCGCAGGGGGAGGTCATCAATGGCATGTTCGTGCCGGGCGGCACCAAGATCGGGCATAGTATCTATGCTGCGGAGCGGTCGGAGAAGGTCTTCGGGAAGGACGCGGACGCCTTCAGGCCCGAGAGGTGGCTTGAGGAGCCGGATGAGAAGAAGCTGAAGCTGATGGAGGATACTCAGCAACTCGTGTTTGGCTATGGCCGTTGGGGCTGCTTGGGCAAGAGCATTGCATTGCTCGAATTGAACAAGGTGTTTGTTGAGGTATGTGTCCCTGATATCTTGCTGGGGGAGATGCTTGCTGATGCTACAACAGCTACTCCGTGTCTTTGATTTTGCCCTTGTCAACCCGGGGAAGCCGTGGAAAGCAGACAACTACAACCTTTGGATGATCGACGAGATGTGGCTTCGTGTGTCATACCGGGAGGATATCAATTTCGAGAAGACATGAGGCGGAGAATGGGAACAGCAATGAGCAAGAGGGATACGGCGTGCCCAGGACCGACCAAACACTTAGTTTCCTGGGTGCCTGTATTATGCATGCGCCGTCACCTTGCATTAGGCAATTAATGACGCATCCAAGCGCGATATACATATCTTTCATAGTAGGTAGGTAGCTAGCAAGTTGTATCTGGAGATGAAGAGTGAGGAGCAGTAAATTACGATGTGAAATCTGTCCGAGAGCGGCGACCTGGGAAGGGCATTAAAAGCGGTAGTGAGATTGACTCTCTCTGGATTAAATGCGCCTTCCCGCCGCGGCGGGTGGCCACGACTTTTCCGCGGGCGGACGTCATCGTGCTGCCCACCCCACGACGCGTCAAACTCCGACACAGCAACGCGCTCGTGGGCGCCACACTCGCCGACATGCACGAGGCCATCATCCTAGCCAATTGGCCCTCGTGCCTCAACAGCCTCGTCTGGTCGCATGATTGCATCCTCGCACTCGCGGCAGGCGAGACGGTCGAACTGCTGGTCAGCTCCAGATCCCGCCTTCGGCGCCGGCTGTGGAAATTTGCTGACAGCCTCCCAGATCCCGGTCCTAAGCGCCGACAGCAATGATGTAGATACCGGTCTCCAGGGCACTCAGCATTGGATCAACGTCCACATTCGCACAAATCTATTCTCCTCAACCGAAGTCCCACCCATCGATCCCCTCCCCCTCCGCGCAAACTCCATCGGCGAAGAGATATCCACAAGCGATACAGCCTGCATAGAATGGTCTCCACCGGGTCTTGCCAAACACGCGAGGTGTGCTCTGGCCGTGCTCACGACGAACCTCAATCTATCTCTCTGGGTGTCGGACTCGGACCCCAAGGTTACCCGAGGCTGGAGGCGCGCGTTGGTCTTGAATCATGAGCTGGACAGATATTTCCAGCAGGTGTATGCTCAAGAGGAAATTCGAGTTGAGCTGGAGTGGGAGACTCAACGTAGACTGCGGAGGCGCATAAGATCATTTGCTTGGAGCCCCCAACCACGCCCGTCTCAGCCAGCTGAATACTCTGTCCAAGAAGCCCAGTTCCCCATAAACGGTAGCTTCATTGCAGTATCAAACGACGACAATGATGTCGTCATCCTGCGCGTCGACTCTCCTTACAGTTTCTACAGCCCTCCCTCAGCCCAGTGGTCTGCTCGTGCAGAGGCTCACTTTTCATTTGAACCCAAGATCGACTTGCGCCGGACCCCGCGCCCCTTCTTGCTGATTGAGGCAATGGGTGAGCAGCGGTATATTGGCAATCTCGCGTGGAGCCCTTGGACTACAAACTCACACGGTGTGCCAGAAGCTATCTTGGCTTACACGACTAACCATAGCGTACATCTGCGGCGTATTCGCATCTCGCCTTTCTCTTCTGACGTGTCACTGGACCAGACCGACATATTCTCGGATGCGACCGTTGGAACGAGAGAAGTGCACTTGCTGCGTTGGATGCCTAGAGCTCACGGTGATGTTTTCTACCTGGTGGCCTTCTCTCAAGCCGGGGCTTTCTGCTTTGAAGTCCCGTGTCGAGATCCATCAAAGACCACGGTTTCAACCCATGACCTTGACAAGAGATGGGACACAGTTGCTGGTGAGTATGCTGGCTCTGCTGCAAAACGAGCATCCAGTCAGCTATCTGGCCACTAAATTTGCTACAACAGGTTGCGCATTCAATGGCCTCTCCAAAACCGAACCGAGGGTGCAATTCCTCTCACAGCTTAGTGCCCCTGTGGTAGCAACTTCGGAGTTGAAATTGCCCATTCCGCCAACAACTGAGTCACGGACACCCCCTTTCCAACAAAGCATTCGTGATAGCGAGAAGCTTTTTAGTGCTGAGAATGAACTCGCAGGCCACACTCACACCAAAGCATGGGCCATGTGTTCCTCACCAATGGGTGACCTGGTAGCGTCCGGAGTGTCCTTCCATCCCGGAGATATGGTTGAGTACACGATCGCTGCAACATCACGTACCCATATTGGAATACAGCCCTTTGAAGACACGGCTGGCGCCTTCATACTGCCTGCCAGTGGTGGCTTGTGCCCGGTTGAAGGTAATTCCGCCTCATGCTTGTTGGATGTTCACTTACTAACACACCTATAGACCTGAGTGCGGAGACTTTGATCTACTGCGCTCAAACTTGGCTGGAAGAGCTGCCTGAAGAAAGTAGAGCCGAGCGTTCTGTGCGTAATACAATATTGGAGCAGTTCTGGAGAGCTTTGGGTCTTTCCAACCATCACGATGATAGCCTTGTCGACAAGTAAGCCGCCTAAAGCGTAACAAGTGGCTGTAGCATATTGACTGAGAATGTCCAGGTACCCTGAAACACATGCGGATGGGCTCGACCTTGGGGAGCGAACGTTACTGGCCCAAACTCTACGAAGAGCAGTATATTCCAACGACAAGGGCATCCTGAAACAGCGATATGGCCGGCTTTTAACCTTGTTCTTCGACCCCAAAGGAACGACGCAATCAGACGATGCCCCGGCGATTCAGAAGCTGGTCACAGAAGTCCTCAAAGTACCAAGATGGTCCTACCACGATAGCGAAGCAAGCCAAAAGATCAGAACAGTCTATTCGTCTATGCTTCCTTGGCTTTCGGATGCCGAGGCTAGCGGCATGTATGACGGTGCTGGGGAAACCTTGATAGACAAGCACGTGGAAAGATGCGAGATCTGCGATGATAGCATTGGCTTCGAGAGCTTTGCATGGGCGCGGTGTGGCCAAGGCCATGAGTTCGGTGAGTTCACCAGGGAACAGGGTATCTTTCTATCTTGGCTCATTCAGGCTAATGCGGGTACCTGCAGTGCGCTGTTCTCTCACATTCCTCGCTATCCAGGCACCCGGCATTTCCAAGCTGTGCGGAATTTGTGGCAAGCGTTATTTGAACGAGGAGTCTGTCGTTCGGACAGACAAGTTGGCAGGAGCCGACAAAAGTCAGCAGGACCTCGCCATGCCAAACGTTGATGGCGGCCAACAAGGCGATATCCTCCCTTCGGCTGAAACCAACGTGACCGCCGGTGAGGGATCAGCCAAGCAAGGAGACGGTACCGGTCAAGGCAAAGCAGCCACAGCTGATTGCGAACGGTGGCCGATCACGTTGGCACGCATAGTTTTTGCAGCTTGCGATGTGTGCATCTATTGCGGGGGCAAGTTCGTGGGATGATTTCGAGGCTGCGCTCGGAAACGCACATTGGTTGGACCAGATGGAAAGCTGTCTGCCATGTGTCACGTATCCTTATCCTTTCTCACCTCGTCCCGGGAGCGGCTGAGATGGAAAGGAATGCAGCCCTCCATTCCGCCAAGGCTTCTTTTTCAAATGCGAAAAGACCAACTCCAACATCCCTTGCAGCTCGTTTTCCTGGAGATTGACTCGTTGCTGCAACCATTATGTTTGCTGCTGCAGTTGGTTGGATTGACAAACTACATTTATTTTTAAATTCAAGACGGGAGATTGCGTTTGCCCGGCCGGCTCGCACCCAATCCTCGATCTTTGCTGCCTTATTTGACTCCCCGTCCTCCCTTTTGTTCTTGGTATCCTACTGGTTTCAGATGAGAGACAAAAACAGAGGCCGACGTTGAATGACCGTTGCGAAAGGAAAGCTTGACACTTGTTCTTCTTCCGGCTTACTTACACATGACCATTTTGCCATCTTCCATTGTCTGCCCTGTCCACCCTGATCCATGAGCTAGCTTTTCCGACGGTCGGAGAAGCTCACAGGGTGCCTGCGAGCAAAGAGAATCACGGCCACCACTCGTTGACTCACGCCCTCGTTCATGTCTGCAAGTCGCCACATATTTGATACTACTATCACCGCCGCTCTTTCCACGTAGGACCTGTTCAGTCCTACGCTTCCTGTCCAATCTTCCTCTAGAAACACGACGTTCATTTCCTCCGGCCCGGAGAGAGCAAAGGAGAAAGTAGAGACATCTCAGCACAAGCACATATCCCTCACACAGATGGACTTCACCCGCCTCCGCCTGTCCGGTCCGCCCGCCACGTCTCCCCGTGTCGTCGACGCGCCCTCCAGTCCCACCAAATCCGTTTACCTCGACATGGACGAGACGACGCCCACGTCCCCGCAGATGCTGTTTTCTGATTTCCACCACACAGACGAGGACGGCACCAACAACAAGGACGACACCACCATACAAGCCACCCCGACAAGCACGGTCAAGGCGGTCGCCCGCCGCACCAACTTCTTCGACCCTGACAGCAGCGACGACGACGACGAAGAGGACGAGGAGGAGCTAACGACGGCGGACGAGCTCGGCTTCTCGCAGCGCCACAGCCTGGCATCATCCGTCGCCAACGAGGGCATGAACAGAGATGGCGAGTACGGTCGTCGTGGCCGATCGCTTACCCGTTATTCCCCGGCGACGTCGGCGAGTCCGACCACGACTGCCACGACGACAACGACGCATGCTGCTGCTGCTGCTGCCGCCGACGGTGGCGATGCCCATCACCATCACCGCAAGGACGCGTTTTACCTCGGCGTGCGGCCGGAGGAGTACGCGTTTGTGTGCGGCGAGCGGCCGGCGTCGTCTACGATTCCTGATGACGACGATGACGACGATGATTATCATCACGCTGACCGTCGAGGGCCTCATCGTCCGGTAAGCCCGTCGCCGCAGCCGCCGCCGCCGCCTCTTCAGAGCCATGAAGGAGGGTTGTTTCTCGACCACGGATACAGCAGGTACGACGTGCCGGATGTGGTGGTGGAGTCGCCGCGGGCACAGCAGCAGAGGCAGACGTTGAGGGGCGAGGGCGTCAGCCCGAAGCACGTGCCGTTCGGGGCGCCGGACTTGGCGGTTGCGGCGAGGAGGGTGTTGAGCGAGCAGAGGAGGAAGAAGGCGGCGAGGGAGAGGGAGCGGGATAGGTTTGTGAAAGTGAAGGCCAGCAGCAGTGTGTTGCCGTACTCGGCGAGCGAGTACGAGGATGGATCGATGATGGAGGGGAGTGGAGGGAATGGGAATCTGCAGGGTGCGGCGCCGTCGTATGGGTTGGGAGTGAGCGGCACCGCTCTTGGAGACGGTGTGGGCTCGGAGATTGTTGGAGGGAAGGACGTCGTCGAGAGAGTGCCGGATGGCTTCGAGAAGGCCGGCAACGAGGAGGCTGCCGAGACGCAGTCACTGCAGGACAAGACCGATAACAACATCCTAGGGGTGCACGCGATCACCTTACAGGCGTTGTTGCGGAACGAGGAAGGGTTGCAGGCGAACGCTTCTTCGGTGAGACGGAAGAGCGCATCATCCGAGTTCAGCCGGAGGGAGTTTCTGAAGTCGCAGAGCAAGTCGCAGCTGCTGCAGGACTCTGCGATGTCTCTTCCACCGCCCGTCCCTCAGATACCGCCCATGGCCCAGATCCAGCAACCGAAGAGAGTTTCACTCGTACCACCTCCAATCGATACAAGCAGGTCGCCTGGAGGCAAAAGCGAGGGCAAGGTCAAGACGCCGTATCCGTTCCACCATCACAGAAGATTCCCAAAGACACTTGGAAGTCCTGGTCTACCGCCACCGGCACAAGACAACATACTCACACTAAGCATACGTCGGCGCACGGGCGTACTGTCGTCTCGTGTGGCGCGAGTAACACTTCCAGCCGAGCTCCTGGGAGGGAGTGCGGCAGGCGGTTTCAGAAACGATGACATCGCCCCGGAAGAGCTACCTCCGCCTCTATTCGACGACGCGGCCTTCTTCAAGCAGCTCCGCATCGAGTACGCCCGCCTCGCCGGCCGCTGGTGGCGTTTCTTCAGCGCTCGCTCCCTACGCCGCATCACCGTCGGCCACACCAGCGCCTGGTCCGCCACCGAGAGCTGCCCCAGCCCGGCTTTCTGCGGCGGGGGCCGCTGCTGTCCCGCCGCGGGAGCAGCACACGGTGGCAACAGCTTTCACCAGCAGCAGCAGCGGCAACATGGCTGCTCAGCAGCAACGCCCAGCGGCATCTACCACGTCCGCAGCCCGCGATACCTGGCCAGCCAGGGGCTTAAGGACACGTTCTCGGAGGAAAACCTGCTCGCGCATTTCCGCAAGCCGCGGCTGGGCCGCTACAGGTTCGCGTGGGTGCTGTGGGCGAGCCGGATGGCCGGCTTGCACGAGCAGCAGCAGCATACGGCCCACCTCTCGGGTTGGAGGGGGGCGGCGGCGGCGGCGGCGGCGGCGGCGCCGCCGCAACGGCGAGAGAAGGACGCCGTCTCTTCCTGGCGCGACAGGGAGCTGCCGCCGACGCCCGCGGGTGCTGCCGGTGCTCACGGGCGCACACCGAGCACTGCCAGCACCGCGTTTGCGGCCGCGAGCAGCGATGACGATGATGCCAAAGACGGCTTCTTCCTCGCTCAGGCGGAACTCGGGGTGGCTGGCGGTGCTGCGGGCATAGGCCCCGGTCACAGCGTCGCGACGCTCGAATTCGTCGAGGGCTGGAGCGTGGCGAGGATCTTGGCGGCGGTGCTGCTCGTGTTGCTGCTGGCGGCGGCGGGCATCGTGCTGTGGACTCTGTTCGGCACCGGCACTCTGGTCAACGGGTTCAGAGGGAGTGGCGCGAGAGTGGGCACTGCCGTTCTAATCGGGACGGGGGTGCTGTTCTTTGGCTGGACGCTGGTGCTCGCGTGGATGGGGGTTAGTTGGTGCGTTGTGTGATATAGCGAGGTGGTTGTGAGCTGAGATGTCAGTTGATGGTGTAGTAGTGTTGCTAATAAGGATGTAATCAGAAGTTCAATTCATCATGATTGAGAGACCGTCGTCGGTTCGGCAGCAGGGGCAGCAGGGGCTCAGGGCCTAGCGGGGCCGCAGCTCCCTTTCGCGGCGCGCTAAAGCGCGCATGCCCGTGATCCTCGCTATGCATTGGACAGCTAAGCCATAAACTTGCCCGCAACCGCGCTCCCACTCCCGTCCCAAACTGCGATTCCCTGCGCCAACAAGACTATGCTCTTTCTCCTCACGCTCGCTTGATCCTCGAATCCTCCGCCTGCCCTGCCCCCCCGGCGCCCGCCAACAGAGGCCACATTGCTCTCCGGACCGCCTTAGCCCGTCGAATCCACCGTCGTGCCAGACATGGCCGACTTCACCATGTACCACGCCCTCGGCGCAAACTCGCCCGCCGCAAATGGCCAGCAGCCGTCCCCGCAGCAGAATCAGCACCGCCCGCCCGTCGCTCCGAGCCCCTCTGGCTACCAGCAATCCGGCTCGGCGTACGGCAATGCCCCTCCGAATCAATATGGCACACCGCAACAACCCTACGCTGGCACGCCGCAGCAGGACCAGGGCTACTTCCCTGCGCAGCCTTCCCCAGCCCAAGGGGATGTGTCAGGGTTGACCCAGCAGATGGGAGGCATGGGACTCGGTGTGGACACTCAAGGCCAGGCGCAAGTTTACAGGCCGCACAAGAAGAAGGACAGGCATGCCTACCACCAGCTGGATGCCGCTGGGAGCTCGCAGGCCTACAGCGGAATCCCTCAAGGAGGCGCAACCACCCCGTCGCAGTTCCTCAACCAGCCCGTGACCCCTGCCATGAACCAGTTCCCTGCCGCTGCTGGCAATTTTGTCCCGGCGAACCCTGCCACCCCCATGCAGTATGCTGCGCGCGGCGGCTCGTTCAATGGCTCCGTTGCGTCTTCTACTCAGGGAAAAGTAGATCCCGAGCAGGTTCCAAGTATCCCTCGAGCTCGCGATATCCCGGCACAGTTCTACCAAGAGAACGTATACCCGACCATGGATCAGCATCTGCCTCCGCCTGCCGTCGTTCCTTTCGTCGCTTTCGATCAGGGCAACTCGGCACCGCGATTCGCCAGGCTTACCTTGAACAGCATACCCCAGTCTGCCGATGCGCTCGCCTCGACCGCTCTTCCTCTTGGTCTCGTGCTACAACCGCTTGCCGCGCCGTCAGAAGGAGAACAACCCGTTCCAGTGTTGGACTTTGGAGAGGCAGGACCACCCAGGTGTAGAAGATGCCGGGCATACATCAATCCCTTCATGGCCTTCAGGTCCGGGGGCAACAAGTTCGTTTGCAACATGTGTACCTTCCCCAACGACGTGGCCCCCGAGTACTTCGCCCCGACAGATCCCTCTGGTACCCGTGTAGATAGAGCGCAAAGGCCGGAGCTTACGTTGGGGACCGTGGATTTTATGGTCCCGAAGGAATACTGGTCGAAGGAGCCCGTGGGCCTGCGCTGGTTGTTCCTGGTTGACGTCAGCGCCGAGGCTGTGAACAAGGGTTTCCTAGACGGCTTCTGCGAGGGCATCATGAGCGCGCTTTACGGAAGTGAAAGCGAGGGCGAAGAGCAGGCTGGAGCAGGCACGAAGAAACTGCCCAAGGGTGCCAAGGTGGGAATTGTGACTTACGACAAGGAAATTCACTTCTACAACCTTAGCCCGAACCTGGACAAGGCGCAGATGATGGTCATGCCGGATATCGAAGATCCCTTCGTCCCCCTCAGCGAAGGCCTGTTCGTCGATCCGGAAGAGTCCAAGTCCGTTATCACTGCGTTGTTGACGCAACTGCCTACCATGTTCTCGCAAATCAAGAACCCGGAGCCTGCGTTGCTTTCGACTCTCCACTCGGCCTTGGATGCGTTGCAGGCGACTGGCGGCAAGATCGTCTGCTCGCTCGCAACTCTGCCCACATGGGGTCCTGGGCGTCTGTTCCTCCGTGACGATGGAAAGGGCCTCGGCACCGATGCGGAGAAGAAGCTACTCACCACGGAGCATCCTGGCTACAAGAAGATTGGAGGGAAGCTTTGCGAGGCTGGCATTGGTATCGACTTCTTCTTGGCTGCACCTAGCGGTGGCTATCTCGACGTTGCTACCATTGGCCACGTCGCCGAAGTTACCGGCGGCGAGACCTTTTACTTCCCCAACTTCCACAGTCCTCGGGACACTCTCAAGCTCTCTCAAGAGATCAGGCATACCGTCACACGTGAGACCGGATACCAGGCTCTCATGAAGGTTCGCTGCTCGAACGGCCTGCAAGTCTCTGCTTACCACGGCAACTTCTACCACCACACTTTTGGCGCTGATCTCGAGTTCGGTGTCATTGACGCAGACAAGTCAATCGGTGTCATGTTCAGCTATGACGGAAAGCTGGATCCCAAGCTCGATGCCCACTTCCAGAGCGCACTGCTGTACACAACCGCAAGCGGCGAAAGGAGAGTAAGATGCTGCAACCTCGTTGCTAGCGTCAATGACAACCCTGTCGAGACGATGAAGTGCGTCGATCAAGATGCTGTTGTCAACATCATCGCCAAGGAAGCTGCATCGCGTATGGCTGAGCGCTCGCTCAAGGACATCAGACATGCCATCACGGAGAAAACAGTCGACATTCTCGCCGCCTACCGTAAGAACTTCTCGCACGGCCATCCTCCGGGTCAGCTTGTTCTGCCCGAACACCTCAAGGAGTTCAGTATGTACATGCTCGGCCTGATCAAGTCCCGCGCTTTCAAGGGTGGCAAGGAGCCGACAGATCGCCGTGTGTATGATGCGCGCATGCTCAAGTCCATGGGTGCCACTGAGCTCTCGCTCTATCTTTACCCCCGCATCTACTCTCTCCATAACCTTGAGCCTACCGAAGGCTTTGCCAACGAGCATGGTCGCCTGCAAATGCCGCCAGCTGTGCGCGCCACCTTCTCCAAGATGGAAGAGGGCGGCGCCTACCTCGTCGACAATGGCCAACAAGTCATCCTCTGGATCCACGCCGCCGTTTCGCCCAACTTGCTCGAGGACCTGTTTGGCCCTGGCGTCAACGACTTGCGCGCCCTCAATCCCTTCCTCAACGCCTTCCCTGTGCTTGAGACTCACCTCAACGCCCAAGTTCGCAACATCATGCAGTACCTCGAGCAGACTCGCGGTAGCAAGGCCGTAACCATCCAGCTCGCAAGGCAAGGACTTGATGGCGCCGAATTCGAGTTCGCCAGACTGCTGTACGAGGATAGAAACGGCGAGGCACAGAGCTACGTCGATTGGCTGGTCCATGTACACCGGAACATTCAACTCGAGGTAAGTTCATAACCCCACCCCTAGCTTCCACATCCCCCCGACAACCATCCCCTCTTCCCATCGCTTGTGCCATTATTTTGCACCTATAACTTTTTTTTTTATCATTTTCTCATTTCCCTTTCCTTTGAACATAAAGCTCGACCCGCATTCGCACAAGACTTCATTCTAGACGAAGAAGGATGGCACCCTGCCTACTATACCACTGCCCACGCGGCGCGTGTTCCTAGAAACCTTTAATAACGGGCTTGCGCGCGGTTGAAACAGCTCTCCGGCCACCGGACCAAGGAATCGGACCCGACCGACTCGTCGTCGATGGAGTCGACCTTCGCTGGCTTGCGAACAGCTTATTGGGGGTGATTGTGAAAGAAGCCACGTAACGAGGCAAAAGGGTCGGATAAAGACAGAGAAGGAGAATTCCATCGTGGGGAAAAGTCGAGCGTACGGTTTAAAAGAATATAGTTGCTTTTTTGATTTTCTTCTTCTTTTTCTTCTTCTTCTTCTTCTTATCCTTGTCTTCTGGTTTATGTAAAGCATGAGAGCTGGAAGGATGGAACGATGAGGGCTTTGCGCACGTTGTTGGGTCGTTTGGGTTTTTGTGAGGAAAGGAGATTGTTGGTCGTTCTCCTACTCACTACTACTCAGGGTAAGTGAAAAACGAAAAACCATTTGCACAAAAACAGGAAATAAAGAGAGGTAAAGCAGGGTGGTCGAGTATAGCGAGTGTTTCTTTTTGCAGCAGCGTCGAGATGGTACATGCATGGCCATGGATAGCTAAGGGGGCCCTCGAGGAGCGATTTGAATCTTTTTTTTTCTCTTTTTCTTTTCCCCCTCCACTTTTTGTTTTTTTTATACGCTGTTTCCACGTCAGTAATTAGGTCAAGTACTCGAAGGGCAGTTAGTCGGTTAGTGTATGTGTGGGATTTAGATGGGTAGGGAATCCAGATGTTATTGTGTTGAATCTTTTTTTCTTTTTTAGGGGGGGTCGCTCGCTCTCGCTTAGTGTCAGCCACCGTTTCTGAGGGGTTTGAATAAGGGCAGCGAAGTGGACACACGTTGTGGTGAATGATCGGGTTTAAAATGCTGAACATGGTAAGGTTGTGAATGTGATTCTTTTCATGTGGGGACTGTATGTTGGGTGAGCAAGAGTAAGATAGTACGGTATCATGCGAATTTATGACGATGCGAAAATGGCCTTCGAAACGTCGATACTAGAGTTAAGTTGGGCTGAGTTCTGTAGAAAGACGGGTGCTGTGAAAAGTTCATCTCTTGCTGCAATTAGTCGTTGTCAAGGTAGGGGTTACGTGGGTGGCAGCCGTGGGTGCCCATACGCATCGAAAGACTGTGGTGAAAGCAAAAGCGAAATCGTGAAATTGTCTCCCTTGTCCCCAATAGGATATAAACTTTTGGCTCGATCGTCTTCCTGGTGCTTTTTTTTTTCTCTGGGGTAGAGGTGGCGAAAACGGCATGGACTTAACATTTTTTGTATTCCCTTAGCCAGATGCAAATAACCGTAAAGGAAGCAGGCAGTAGTATCGTTTGGATTTCGCCAGCCAGCATAAAAGGAGCCCAGTAACCATGCACCACGCAGGATGATCGCCAGAATTTTCGGAGCCCCCCCGATAAGACGAGAGAAACGGAAGGCCTTTCCTCCTCCCATAAACCCCCATCGTTGTTGTTTCCCCACATCTGCTACTACCTCCAGAGTCCGAAGAGGACGCTGGTAGCGATAGCGACCAGTACACCGACGACCGCTTACACCTTGAAACCCCTGGACCTTCTGCGACCACGAGCACGCTCGAACTTCCTGCCCTTGGACTCGACATAAGGCTTCTGTAGTACGAGTCAGCGACCGATCGATCCAGAAGAAAATCTTCTCTCGGGTGGAATCCCAAGCCTTTGCTGCCTACCTTGTGCGAGTGGGGGCCGAAGCCGAAGTGCTTGACGGCCTCACGGGCGTTCTTGGGTCCACGGAGGAGGAGGGTGTTGGCGCCAGTGGGAGCACGGAGGGCGAGCTCGTCGAGAGTCAGGCACTCGCCGCCAGCCTTGAGGATCCTAGCACGGGCAGTGGCGGTGAAGCGCAGAGCAGCGATGGAGAGCTTGGGGACCTCAAGCAGGCGGTTGTCATCGGTGACGGTGCCAATGATGACGATGGTCTTGCCCTCGTGAGCCTTGCCGGTGTTCTTGTTGGCGGCGGTCGCGACGACGCGGGAGATGGACATCGGGGGGCGGTTGATGCGCGACATGAACAGGCGGCGGAGGACGACCTTGTTGAAGTCCGAATCCGTGCGGCCTGCGTGAAAATGTCATGTTAGGAGCGTTGTTCCAGTCGGTCCCGTCTGCCACGGTCGCAGTGCGGTTGTTTCGCCCGCTCGAAGCCCGGCTTTTCATCTCTCGCCATCGGGGGTTCACGTACGGGCAAGGAAGCGGTACAGCTTCACCAGGAGCTTGAGGTAGACATTGTCGCTCTTGGGAGCCTTGCGGTGGGTGTTCCGCACGTGGTGCTTGTCCAAATCGATACCTGCAGAGCGGACGGTCAGCCAGGCCGCTTTCGTTGGTGCCAGTGTCGAGTGTCGTGCGGTAGCAGCATGGGAATGCTCCTCAGAGTATGAAGGGGGCTTCACATACCCATTGTGGCGGCGGCGGTTGTCGGTTGTCGAGGTGGTCGTCCGTCGTCGTTGGTGTCGCAGTCGCGGTTTTCCGGTACTTCGATTTTCAGGTTGGGGCCGTGTGGCCTCGCTTGGAGTCTTGGCACGCCTCGCGTCTCCGCAACGGGCAACCGTGACGCCAACCTCAACATGCCGCATCAACCATATTGCAGCCACGCAGGCCCTGCAAATTCAGAATGCGCAGAATGACAGCGTCATATCGAAGAAAATCCTTGTGCTCCAACGGTACCACGTCGGCAGATTCTATAAGCGCTACAAGAACAGATTTCGCTCGCCTACGTCACGCCCTCCGCTCCGTAGTCGCTCGCTGGCCTTCAAGAATCCAACGATACTGTGCCGACAGTGCAATAGAATGTGCATAGTGGTTTATAATAAATTTGGACATAATTAGAAGCATGCGCTTGTCACTTCTCACCGCTTGATGTGTGTACTCGGGAAGCCTGGATTCCGGCCTCTGGCGGTCTCGATTCGCACTGCAGCACCCGCACCAGTTCACTTTGGTAAGGACAAAGCACTTTCTTTATTGTAGGCTGCGATCTATCCGCTGTACCTTGGTCGATTCGCTGTAATCCCAGAACGCCCGCTTCCGTGTCCCGTTGATGCAGACAGTCCTGCCCCTCCTGCCTAATGCTAATGACCATTGCTCCTGTACATTCCTCTCCACCGGCTGTAGTTTTTCTCTGTAGCGACTAATTGCTGTCTTGAAGTCTCCCATTGAGGACGCCTGGTAAGTAGTAAATCGTTGTGACAAAAAAAAATGGTGTAAAGAAGGATCCAATTAGATGGCTCACCCAACTCCGTTATGGACGCGTTGTGATGATCGAATGCTTTCACTCTTCCGCCTCCGGCCTGAAAGAGACCAGAAGGTCTCTCGTCAGTTCGAAGCTGAGCCAACTGCTCGCCATGCTGGGTGCGACCTTGAGGAGGTTTGGCGCAATTCCCTTGTACAGTCCCCTGAAACCCTCGTGCCTGACTATGGTCGTCAAGGCATCCCAAATCGACTTGTACTGGTAGCCCATTCCGCTCATGGTGTTGATCTGGAATCGGCGGCGCAGGACATCGCTGTGACGTATTAATGCCAGATGTTGTGCACAAGAGAACGACAAACTTACAATGGATATGTGAATGTCTGCGCGACAGCGCCAGAAACAGCGCCAGCACCAAGTTTTCCGAGAACTCCGGGGTTCTGATCGCCCTCTGGTGTGAAGATGTTGCGCATGGTCTCGTAGACCATGAAGTTCAAACCAACCTTGTGCGCAAGTTAGCATGCGCGGAATATTCCTTTGTTGATCACCACTCACGTATGGCGCGACTCCGGCGATTGTAGGTATTATGCCGCGGTACAGAGCAAAGAAGCCTCCCTCGTTCTTGTACATGGTTACCAGGAGGCCCCACATCCCTGGAAGCTCTTTCTTCGCCTTGTGTGACAGGCCTTCGAAGGATGCGCTCTGAATGGAAAGGCGGGTGCGGACAATGTCCAAGGGATATGTGAAGGTGACAGAAGTGATACCCGCGAAGCCACCGCAAATGAGGCGCTGGTAGGGATTCAACGGGGCTCCTGGTGTGCTTTCGAAGAACTGCTCTCAACGTGTCAGCGCTTGCTCTTTGGCGCCCGGCCTCGCTCCTGGGATCTCTCCAGCCTGGAGTCGTTCAAACCACTCACCCGCTTGTAGAAGTTGAAGGCACCAAACTGTATGGCCGAGTAAGGCACGATGCGGATGCAATTGGTGCCATTGCCAGCCATGAAGCCCCGCCAGCCCTCTTCGCGCCACATTTTGGCCAAAGCCTTGCCTATCGACATCTTGTACTCGTTGCGTCCATGGCTCTGGATCTGGAACAGGATTTTCAATCGCTCAAGCGGCGACACGACTGTCCTGGAAACGGCACCGGCGACGCCTCCGGCGATGAACGAGGCGGCAACGGGCTGTGTGAAGAATTCGCGCATGCGCGAGGGCGGGGCGGGTGAGGACATGATCGCCGGTGTCTGCGGTGGAGGGGCGGCGGTCAGCGGGGGAGGGCGATGCGCGGCGCGAGTCGGGTCAGACTCACCTTGGTTGATGACCCTGTCGCCGAGAGATTCGACATCTGGGGCAGTGCAGGCGGCGATTCGGCTGGGCGAGAAGCAGTGCGAGAAGCAGTGCGCTCCGCGTCGCCCTGACACCAGGCAAGCGGCTCGGGGGCGTGGCTATGCGCGCGGACGGCAAGCCTGGGGACGACGTCTACCGGAGCAGGATTCGAGACTCGACAGCAGGCGGAACAGCGATCATCAATCGAGGAAGCGCGGCGCGGCGCGTCCGAGGAGCGCGGAGCGAAGGGGAGGGCGAGGGGAGCGAGGCAGGAGGATCAACGAGTGCGGAGGCCATGCAAAGACAGTAGTTCGTGGCAGTCGTGGGGAAGCTCGCACCCTGACGTCTGGATCGCGGCGGTGCGTGGACCTTGTCGGCCTTGTGGAGATTAGATGGAGGCGGTTGTTTTCGGCCTAGCCTGGGCGAGGGCTCGTTTTCTAGATCTCCGGTCGTTTGCGGGACGCGCTCTGGCTGGTTCAACGCCCGGGCGAGCGATCCACAGCATCGCAATTACTCACCGCGCGCGCCCAGCCTGGTTAAATACGCTCCTTAAGTGCATGTCTCGAGTGCTCGCCAATCACCCGCCGGCCCTTGCACCGCCTTGCGCAGCCTTGCGCAGCCGCCTCCTGTCGCATGCTCCTGCGTTGTAGGTAGTGGCTGTCGCGCGCCCGACTCTCAACAATCAGCTGGCGCTGTCGCGTGCGCCACTAATGCTCGCCGTCGTGCTGTTGCCGGGCGACGATGGCCGACGTGCGCGACCACGTCACGCTTCGGCTTGTTGAATGCGGCTCCGTTAGTCATCGATCTGGCAAAAGCACAGCATGATACGCGAGAAGGCGGGATCACTGCCTCTCGGGACAACTTCGTACGTCATCCGCCGAGATACCCCGCCGCCAAACGCCGCAAGACTCGACGTGCTTGGCGGGCGGCTGTCGGCAGTGGGGAAGGGCACTTGGTGGAGCCGCTTCGAAGGGAGAAGTCGGAAGGACATGCATGCATTGCCTCGGTGTCCGTCCCGGTAACTTACGACTACGGATCCGTACTGCTGCCGCCAAACTTGGAGATAAGGAACGCGACCCATGTTGCGATCTGGACGAATTGGCATTTTTGGACGTCTGACGCCGAGAGTATCAGAAGGTAGACGGCGCAACCAGCATGAACAGCATGCAGGGGCAGCAGCAACGCCGCAGCTCAAGACGCGCAATACAAATGAAGGATGGAGACATTTCTGAGACTGTACATCAGTGGCCTGTGTTGGACACGATGCGTGGATGGTGTTGAGTTTGGCGAGTCGGAGTGGCAGCGATGATGCGGGCGGACTGACTCGTGCCGATCTCGGACCAAAATCTGGGGCGGCTTGCGTGGCTGCCAAAAAATCTCGACCGCGACAACAGCCCGTCCACCCGCCGTGCTCCCTTGTGCTCCTGCCCGCTTCTCTCTGTTTCTCCGCCCCGCAATCTCCGGCACGAAACGTAAGTGGCTCCCTTGTGCTCGCCCATGCTGCCGCCTTCCTCTCTACCCCATTGCGTATCTCCAGCCTGCGACTACGGCCATGACCATTTGTCTTTTGTCTTTTGCATTCGTGCTTGAATCATCAGTTCTTCGCCAGTCCTGTTGCACAACATTCCGCCTCCCATGATGTGTGGGTGCTTGTGCCCAAACAGCAAACGTCGTCGACGGACTCAGAAACAAGACCAGCCTTCAATAGCTCACATCACGTGTATTTGGCCAAGCTCGACTCCAGATGCTGACTTGCACTGCATTTTCTTCATCTCCTTGCCGCGCAGCCTCGTGCACCTTTCCATTCTTCATTGCTTGCACTCACTGACGTCGACATCAGTCTCAACATGACAAAAACGGTTGGTGTCTTGGGCGGCGGCCAGCTGGGCCGCATGATGGTCGAGCCGGCCAACAGGATGAAGATTCCCATCAATATCCTCGATGCACCCGGTGCGCCGGCAAAGCAAATCAGCGCCCACGACAGCCACGTCGACGGCTCGTTCAAGGATCCCGAGTCCATCAAGAAGCTGGCCAAGGCGTGCGACGTCATCACCTTCGAGATCGAGCACATCAACACCTCTACGCTTGAGGAGATCGAGGGCACTGTCGAAGTCGAACCTCACTGGAGTACTGTCCGGACCATCCAAGACAAATTCGCCCAGAAGCTTCACCTGAGCTCGCACGGTGTCGATGTCGCCGAGTCAAGAAGCATTGATGACGCATCCGCAGAAAAGCTGAAGTCTGTTGGCACTTCCTTTGGGTATCCCTTCATGCTCAAGTCCAAGACCGAAGCGTACGATGGCAAAGGCAACTTCCCCGTGAAGTCTGAAGCTGATATCCCCGACGCCCTGAAGCAGCTCGGCAACAGACCACTCTATGCGGAGAAGTGGGCCGAGTTCAAGATGGAGCTTGCCGTCATGGCTGTAAAGACCAAGGACGGCACCATTGCTTATCCCACGACCGAGACTATCCACGAGAACAGCATCTGCAAGCTGACCTACACGCCCGCCCGCGGTGTCTCGCGAGAAATCAGGCAGAAGGCAGAGGCATTGGCCAGGAAAGCCGTGGCAACTTTCAAGGGCAAGGGCATCTTCGGCGTGGAAATGTTCCTCCTCAAGGACGATTCCTTGCTCGTCAATGAGATCGCCCCTCGGCCTCACAACAGCGGCCACTACACCATCGAGGGCTGCTCGATTTCTCAATTCGAAGCACACCTGCGTGCCATCACCGAGGAGCCCCTTTCGCAGGACGACATCCACCTCATGCAGCCAGCTGCAATCATGCTCAACGTCCTCGGCGGCAAGACGCCTGATTCTCACATCAAGATATACGACCTGGCCAAGAAATCGCCTCGGATCCGCATCCACGACTACGGCAAGGCAGAAGCCCGGCCGGGCCGCAAGATGGGCCACCTGACGGTGACGGCGCGCACCATGGAGGAGGCCTCAACCCTTATCCAGCCGCTCATCGACGCCGTCGACAAGCAGTCGGGCATGCTCGCCGAGGACGCCGCGCCGACGCCCGCGCCCGCGCGCAAGCCGCTGGTGGCCGTCATCATGGGGTCGGACTCGGACATGCCGGTGCTGAAGGCGGGCTTCGACATCCTCACAAAGTTCGACATCCCGTTCGAGACGCGCATCACGTCGGCGCACCGCACGCCCGAGTGGATGGTCGAGTTCGTCAAGGGCGCCGAGGGCCGCGGCTTCAAGACCATCATCGCGGCGGCGGGCGGCGCGGCGCACCTGCCCGGCATGGCGGCCGCGCTCACGGTGCTGCCCGTCATCGGCATCCCCGTCAAGGCCAGCGTGCTCGACGGCGTCGACAGCCTGTACAGCATTGTGCAGATGCCGCGCGGCGAGCCCGTCGCCACCGTCGGAATCAACAACTCGACCAACGCCGCGCTGCTGGCGGCGAGGATCCTGAGCGTCGAGGACCCGAGCGTCGGCGAGAAGTTGCACGCCTACTTTGAGGCCAGCGAGAAGGAGGTCATGGAGAAGGACGCTAAGCTGCTGCAGCTGGGCCCCCAGGCGTACTTGGCGCAGATGCCGGCCAAGAAGTAAAAGCGACACTAGGTACATTGCTATGACATCAGCATCTCCGATTGTTTGCTTCTTGAACTACGGGTATCAAAACGCGACTAGAGGATACCGGCAAGACACGATACTTGAATCAATATTCTCATGTGAAGTCACTTCTCATCAAGTTATCAGTCGCGAGGGGTGCCACTACATGTCTGCATGCCGCACGTTTTTTTTCTGCAGACGGGAGCACAACGAGCGCAGCAGCGAAGTAAGCAGGCACCGCGACGATTCTAGACTGGTCTACAGAGGTCGAAAGAATAATGCATCGGCAGCAACTGCCCCCCAGATCAGGAGTTGAAGAGCCACATCTGCGGGGATGCCAGAACCCGCAAGCCGCCGTCTTGTCACCCACATATAGACTTGGCGAGACCCTTCCTCCCGCATAGATAAGCACCCGCACCAGACCTCATCAGCCATCTCCGCCCCTGCCACCCCACCCCCTCTCATCATCCTCTCCCCCCTCGTAATCCCACAACGGCATGACGCGTCCCCGGGTTTTTTTCAAAGAGAAAGATTGGGCAATCAACGCCGGGCGCGCAACAATCAAAAGGGATGAAAAAAAAAAGCATGCAGTAATCTGCTGGCACTAGTTACAAGATGTATGGGACCCGGTCGTGAATGCAGTATTTGCGGGGTGATGCTACCGGCACGCGATGCCGGCGATCAGTATGTAGCAAAGTATATTCCAACGTATTTCGTTTGTTCGTCCACGAATTCTTTTTTTCACTTTGTTTTTTTTTTCGTGTGGGTGACAATGTAGGCTGTTGGAGAGGTGGGGGTTTTTCTTTGCGGCAGGGGGCGTTGCGTGCTGGATGCATGCAGCCTATGTACATACATTACATATACGCTGGCTTATCGACGTCTGATTCGTGGCTGACGGTAGGCAGGGGACGACGGAACGACCGTTGTTGACAAAATGAGGAAGGTGCGAGACGCGTATCAAGAGTATCGGATGATGCTTGGACGGACTTCTCTGGCTCCACTGTCCAGCGCGGGGAACAGGGTCGATTGAGAGGTGACCTGGTTGGAATGGCTGTGAGGTGGATATTAACGAAGCGCCGAGGCACGGGTGAGTGCGTACGCTCGATATGCGAGTTGATGTCAGAACAGGGAGAAAAGACGAAGGCAGGATCCGAGCTTGTTCACCTCGTTTTATTTCCTGTCGTTACAGATTGAGAAGCAAACCGTCACGCAACAAGGGCGCTTGCTTTGCATGCAAACCGGTTTCGTAAGGTCGGCAGCGCAGGTATTAACACGCGCAGCGATGACTGCATTGAGTAAATCGATCATCAGAAAGGAAAAGGAAAAGTAATGCGGCCGAATGGTACATAAAACAGCATGCATACGGCAGTAAGACAAGCAGGAATTAGAGCGGAGCGATGTTTCAGGTACCCTGCATGACACAGCGGCTCCAAGTGATTGCCGCCTGCTGACGCGTGTTGGGTAGGAATTCGGCGTGGGGAATGGTATTATTTCTTTTGCCAAAACGTCGTGGATAGACGGGTCGAAAGGTGAACGACAAGTGCCCGGAAATTGGGTAAAAACAAAAAACAAGAACAGCGTGGCGTGCGCGCCGGATAGGGGCATGAGAAGGTCGTAGTAACATCCGTCAGCGCATGCTGCATGAGGGAAAATGCAGGGGAAAAGAGAGGCGGCTGCCCGTTCTTGCACTACCATAGACTACCGCTGCCTGCGCTTCCCGAGGCGGCCCGGGCGAAGAAGCAAGATCTTTATTTGAGATGCGTCCCTTTTTGAAAAGAAATATGAGGAAGAGGCCAGCAAGATGACCAAGTTAAGCGCCTCTACCTGTCGCATTTCCTCAGCCTTCTGGGCTCCCACGATCAAAATGTGAGCCATCTTTCGTTGCGGCGCAGATGCATCTTCATCGGTGCGGGCTGAGATCGATAGATCGGATATCGCGGTGTGTGTGTGGCGCATCAATCCAAACCACGACAGGAAAGGAAACACCAAGGATCCCGCAAAGGCAAGATGCGTTAAATCGAGATAGACGGGGGTACTTCCACTCATCCTACAGGAACCGAAGACCAAGCGTTGGTCTCGACAAGGTGCCATGTACTCAAAACACACAATACTCAACGCAGATTGGCAACTGAGCCACGCCCGTCCTCTGCTTTACCTTGCACCTTTTAGCTCTTTCCCGGTTTACTGAAGCGTCGCTGTTTCGCGGCTGGAACCGTCGGCCTCTTTTGTCATTTGAGCAGTGTCCTTTCCTAACCTGATTCCAGATTTTGTGGTTCTTTTTTGCAATGCAGGCGGGCAGTGCACTGCGGGCTGCCGAATCAGAGGGCGAGAGGAAAGATGCTATTGTCATGGAATCAGCGGTAAAAGGAGACGGCGGGGGTAAAGTCAACGTTTATGCAAGAGTGCTGCTATCCTGGGGTGTTTTGGCACCCACACAGGCCGGTTGCAGAATGAAAAAGCAAAAGGCGTACCGGCCTTGCAGGCTGGGCGGACAGGGGGTGCCGCTCTCCACTGCGCGTTGGCGATCTGCAGGCCCATTTGGCCCGCTGTGAGAGCGCCACCGGAATGCAGTGGTCCTTGATACTGGCCGCTGGACAAGTGGGCTTGCCAGATGGCGAGCTGGTGGATGCTGTGTGAGTGAGACATGCATGCAGCACGCATACGAGATGTGTAGTGTATGTGTGGGGGTGTGGGCGGCATCGTCGCGCGGTTGTGTAGCCGGGTAATCTTTAATGAAGAAGAGCGTCATGCAGCAGGCGGCGTCCATACGCGCTGCCCCCGCTGCTCTGCGGCATGAGATCGGCACAGAGCATCCCGAGAAGATCACCGCGCTTGCTACACCAAGGAACAAGGAGGACAACGGCAGCGTCAGCAGAAAAAGCAAATCGACGGCGCTGCAGGGGAAGCACGATGCAGTCCAGCTTTTCCGCACCGTGTGTCATGGCACGGCATGCCGACGCCCGAAAAGAGACACAGCAGACGCAGAGAGCAGGCCACGACGCAAAGCAAGGCCGTTGGCGAGCGGTGCCAGCGTAATGCGCGAACGCTGGCTCCGCATTCTCGTCCGTCCACGACACCTTACCTAAAAGTTGGCCGCAAAGAGAAAAGGCTGGAGGCGAAATATTGGACATGACTTCACCGCTTCTCCATGCTCTGACCTCCTTCCCGCCAGCCCGGATTATCCACAGCGAGATCGGGAAATGGCGCTGTCGACTGTCGCCCTGGACGGATCCCCCCATTACTCGTACACTTTGCGAGGCCGCGTGCGGTCCCGTCCGTGGAGCCAGTCACCACCACGGCTCAGCCCTTATTTCGGCTGATTGTCACGGCTCAGTCAACAGATCCACTCAATAGGGTTTTTAGGTTATCGGAGGGTCCCACTGCTGCAGGTGTCGGCTGTTCAGACGGCGATACATACCCGGAGGCGATCACCTCAAGCAGCAGCTAGCGGGAGAGCTACGCGGCAGCAACACGCGGGTTTAAGAATCCGCGCCGCTGTCGGAGGCTCGTCGGCATCGGCCAGTGGCGGCGAACGGACGGCGCGTGGGATGCGCAGAGGGCGTGTCTCTACCGGTCTGACGGACTCGGCAAGTGCGAGGCAAGCATGGAGAGGCCATCTGCTGGGCGGGAGAGGCAGAAGGCCTGGCCTGGAAGCGCCGCAGGAGGCAAAGGCAGCGAGGACCCGGCAGCTGGGAGGGCGAGGAGGGAGTCCAGTTACACGGAAATATGGGGAAGCTCGCCGATGGGCTGGGCTGGGATTCGTGGATAGCGTGCATAGGCGACATGCGGGGGGCCGGGGGGTGCACAGCCTTGCGTTTGGCGGTCTGGGTTATGCTGTGCTGGCAGGCGAGACCAGACGGCCGTATGTGATCGGCGACGACAGTCAGCGCCGTGTGGTGTCGAGAGGCTCTGGCCAGCAGCCGCTAGAGGCCGGTGGAATGAGGCGGCGGCGCGGCTGTTGGGGGGAGCGAAAGTCGTGGCCCGGAGCGCAAGCCACCCATCTCACCACCCGCGACCATGCCTGGCCGCGTTTCAGCCGGCCGCGCTGGACGGGAGCCGGGGCAGCCGGGGCAGCCGGGGCGGGCGGCGGATGCGGATGGCCGAGCAGGCAGAAGGGCGCAGTTGGCTGGCAGTCGTTGCATGACATGAGTCTCGATGCACAAGTCTAGTGCTCGGCCGGGTTGGTCTCGGAGACGGCGGCGCGGCCAACACCGTCCGCAGCGCACGACTCGGAGGGTTGGCATGCCTAATCCGTGTGGTGGTGAGGCAAACGCCGGCCGGCCGGCCTGTCTGTACTGTGTATCAGTCAGGCAGCTTGGCGTGGGCGGCGTGGGCGGCTGCAGGGACAGGGCGGCCGCGGAAGGGCGGAGGCCGGTGGGAGAAGGGCCGGCCGGGCTGCTGCGTTTCAGGTGTCAGTCTCGCGTGATTTGGCTTGGGAGGTTGGAGCGGTGCGCAGGCGGCGGCGGCGGCTTCTGGAAGACGAGTGGAATTGGAAGGCGAGCTCGGGGCGCTTGCAGGAGGATTATCTCGGGGAAGCGTTCCCTTGGCCAGCCCGCCCAGCCAGCCCGCCCAGCCAGCCCTTCGCAGCCCTGCCGTCCCCCGGCCAAGCGCGCACCGCGCACGCACGCATCCACGCATCCAACCCCTGCCCTTGGCCCTTCCCCCACAGATTGCAGCGCAAGCACATCGCGGCTTGCCGTTTCCGCGCGCCTCGCATGCGAGCCCGCTGCGAGCCCGGATGGCGGTGTAGCAACACCTGGATCGGGGTATAAATCATCGGCGCGCCTTCGGGAGCGCACGCTGCACACGCTGCACACGCTGGAGCCTGCGCCCACGACTGCCTCAAGGCACGCTGAAATTTGGAGACACGCCCGCACACGCCCGCACTGTCCTCAAGCCACCTCCGCATACGTGTTCAGCCGTCAATCACTCTGCCCGTGTCTTGCCTCGCCTCGTCGCCCAGCTTGTTCTTTTTTGGTCCGCCAGCATTTCATCATCCGCCGCCCCTTACTTGGCCCGCCGCCGTGCCTATATTACCACGCCCGCTGCAGCGCCCTCCCCCGTCCTCGAAATCCTCGCCATCCACTCCGGCTCCGAGCACCTCGCCCCGGCACGCCATCTGAGACCCTCATTCTTCAGGCCCGCCGCCGTCCGCCCGCCTCCGCATCCGGCCATTCCCCACGGACTTGCCTCTTTGGGACAGGTACCCCGGACAACCCCCATAGTCCAACACCCCGGCCTCCAGCTGGTAAGCTTATTGCGCAACCAACGCTCCCTATCCGCCCCCTTCGCATCCGGGAGAAATGTGAACTGACCGTCTCCGCCGTAGCCCCCCCGACCTGCGCCTCTGTACAACGCAGTCGCAACCCATAAATAACAGCCCCACCGCGATCCACCCCCAGACTCTTCCTCCGCCGGGCTCCACACCAACATCATCATCCACATCGCTTGCATTGCATATCCCTGCGCCCCCCACCCAACCAGACCACCGACCAACAACAACAACAACAAAAATAAAAAAAATGTCTCTCCTCTCCCAGCCCCGCCCCGTGCACCCGCGCGAGCGCCTCGCCCTCTTCACGCACAGCAGCAGCAGCAGCCTGTCGGCCGCGCTCGAGGCGTCGTCGCCGCTCGACATCACGCGCACCAAGGCCATCCAGGAGACGCTCGAGGCCCCGCCGCCGTCGCCCGTCGACTTTGGCCGCAACGGCTTCCACCAGCCGCACCAGCAGTCGGCCGAGGAGCTGTGGGCCGCCGCGAGAAGGCGGCTCGACGAGGAGGTCGGCGTCGTTGGCGCGTGAATGGCTCTTTCTCTCTCTCTTCTCTCTCTCTCTCTCTCGCGCGCCTCGCTCTCCATTGTGTTATGTGTTGAGGTTGTACAGCCGGTGTTTTTTTTTTTTTTGGTTGGTTGCTTAGGTCCGGATGACTAGTTACTGTGTACGTCTTCGGTTTTGTTTTTTTGGGAACTCAGGGTTGGTTAAAGCGGGGAACGGGAAAATCACTGGAGTCTGTGCTGCCGTTTGCATTCTCACGGGTTCTTACTCTTCACAAAGGCGGCCATCAAGGTTTAGGTCTTTTTTTTTTTTTCGCTCATGTTTTTTGATAAATCCTACGAGCTCGGCGTGCAGAGGAATGGGAATGGGGCAAAGATTTTGATGGATCCATGCTATTCACCAAATTTTGAAGCTTGCAATCGTTCATCGCAAAAGGCTAAGTGCATCATGTTGTGCCCAAGAGGGACACGTGGCGGATTGCTCGATCTGCTCCCCCCTCTCCGCTCCTTTGATCTTGCGAGTTGCGCAATTGCCACTCCTCCGCACGGCCCGTGTTGATTGCAGATCAATGACGCTGATGGGTTCGCCATCGCACCGACGCATTGCGCGTTTTGTTTCTATCTTCGTTCCGTCTTCATTTTTGCCTGCACCCGACGAGCACGCAACGCAGGTCATCACAATTTAAAAAGAATAATGGGAATTCTGGAAGAGCGGCGATCGAGTCCTTTCCCCCCCCTCATACAATCTTCCTGATAACCCTTCAAGCACCAATCAGCATGCCTACTTCGCATCAGGGGTCTATTGCGAAGTGTGGGTGATCCTGAAGCGCCCTCAGCCGGCGTATCTTCTGTCTCACAGGCCCAAGCTCATCAGCACCAGCTCCACCATGGCCGGCATCGTGTCGAGCCGTGTCGTCCTCAACGAGAGTTTTATCCTGATCCCGTAAAGTTCTATGTGGTGAGAGCCTAGAGCGCGGAAAGTTTCGGGCGGTCGCTTCCAATCTCGATGAACCCTGGGTTTTGAGAGCCTTGTTCGTCCTCCGCTCACGCTCTTGTTCGCGTGCTTCAGCGTCGAGAAGAAGCTCGTTGATGGATACCCAGTTTGCGTACCGCAAGGCGTCCAGGGGGTAGCCAGAAGCAGTCTTCGTCACTGGTTGAGGTGGCTGATCCGTCGTAGGAAGACGAGGGTCTGTCGTGAGTTCATCGTATACCGTGTGCAACGCCATGTTTGATCCTATTGCTGGTCTAGCAACCAATGACGTAGGAAGATCATGTTCGTAGAAATTGAGGAACTTGCCCGAGGTTATGAGCGCAGAAATTGACTCAACCTGAGACTTGATTTCTGCTATCGCGGCGGCAACGAGAGCATAGTCGGCTTCCGTGAACCCCTGTCCACGCGTGGCTGTTGGTTGTTCCTTGGCTACTTCGTGCTCGATCAAATGTTTTATCTCATCTGTTATAGCGTGGCTGAGCGATAAAGTCTGCTCTCGCAAGAAGTTGATGTGACCAGCGTTGATGCTTGCGCGCCCCAACGCTTGCCAGTCTCGCAGGTCCAGCTGTCTCCCAGATGTCTCGGCTGATTCCACAAGCCTCTTCCAGCTCAGCTCAAGTAACTCAAGATGCTTGATCTGACCAGCCGCTAGGACCAAAGATCTATGCGTTACTTCGTTTGGTTCCAGGCCCGAGGCGGAAATGTCCTGGATTGTTTGGCCGAGGAGCTCAGGCAGTCGCGCTTTCCCTGCAAGGCCCGCCAGGCTAGAAGCAGTCGACAAGGTGAACGGGACACCGGCTTGCGACATGGTCAGCACGGTTTCGCGTGCAGTGTTACCAACGAGCTGGCTGCCGGTTTGGCTGGCTACATTTTCCTGCGGGAAAACTCCTGGAAGCAGGCCTTCAAAGCCTTTAACAAGCGTACTGAGATAGTGCCCTCCAATGGAGCCGCCAACACCGGCGTAAGCGTGTATAGCGTTCAACATTCCCTTGACGGCCAAAATCTTGTCCTTTAGAGAAGCACGAAACTGGCTGTCGACCAACTTGCTCAAGACAACAGTCAAATGTTCTGGCCTCAGGACAACGCCAGACCGACAGGCCATCATGAAAACCGTGTATGACTCGGCGAGTGGCCTCTCGTGTATGAAAATCTCGAAAAAGCGCTCTGGGACCTGGGTTGGAAATAGGCGCAATGCTGTATCGAATCCAAGGTATGCATTTCGCCAATCCCCCCAGGTTATTCTCGCGAATGAGATGCCCTGCAGCAATGAAGTGGGGAGTCCTTTGATCGTGACGGGCTGGCCGCGGTCCGGCACTATAGCTTCCGGTGAAAGATGGTACTCGGCGAAATTTCCTGGGAAGCGACGGAGAGCTTCAACGTACATAGCCTCCAGTTCAGCCAGCCCGACTTTGCCCTGTGCCGCCAGCAGCTCGATTGCAGCTCCGTAGACAGCAGCATCCACAAAATCGTTGCCCTTTCGCTTGAGCCAATCCCAAAACTCGGCCCCCCGCTCAAACCGTCCAGCTTCTTTGAGAAAAGACAGCAAATGTAGGCTTGCGACAGTATGTGGCGGAACGGCACCGCTCCGGATATCTTCGATGACCCGGTCGGCGAACTCAAGCAGGGCTGGCAAGGCTTGCGATTTGCTTTTCTTTGGCAAGCGGCGGAAGTAACTGTGGATCAACTTGGCGACGTGGAGGGTGCCATTGTGTGTGAGGAGAGCCTTCTCGAGCATGGTTGGATAGAGACGAATGACACCTTCGAGGTTTTCGCTGTTACATTGTTCACGAAAGAGCGAGAATAGCTGTTAAGTTGTAAGTTTGTGTGAATCGTTGAGCGGGTATTTTGCGCATACTTCTCCGGATTGCTCGTCCAAGCTTGGAGGCGGGGCAACGAATCTTCCTTGCTTGAATTTCACTTTTCTGAGGAAAGAAGACTGCGGCTGCGGGCGGCGACCTTGAGGATGGGCTGCATCATGCTTGGCCGCAACGGAGCCTGCATTGAAGTGAACATGTCGGAGGACTGCACATGCTCTGCGCGGAACGAGAAACGGGGCAGACGGGCAGACGGCGGCAGCAATGCTGCGGGAGCTCGACATGAAGAGCGCGAGAGACGTGGACTGGGCTCGCGGACGGGTGCGCAGAAAGTTTTCGGAAACGCGCATTGGGTCCGGAAGACGGGCATTATCTCGTCGGACCACGCGGCGAAAAGTCGTGGCCGTATCTTTTTTTTGCGACACAGGCGCTTCAGAGATCATGATGTTTATTTGTCCCTGAAATCATTTGTGTTGCTGTTCTGACACTCTAGAAAGAGGCAATCAGAGAAAGACTGTACTTGCAGCCTGGGACGTGGTCGAGGTAGCTGACCCAAATAAATGCATTCATCGCTTGCTGGGGCGAAGGCGGTGAGGCTTCGAAAAGGCCACCGAGCTCAGGCGCCATCCATAGCAAGGGGAATCACCGTCGCAACTCCGGCGCGCTGCTCAACCTGCAACCACCCTCGCGCCGCATAGCAACTCGGACTCGCGGCCACATTGCCCACCATGGCCCTCTCGCTCTTCTCCGTCAACGCAATCCTGATCCTCTCCACCGACGACTCGTCGCGCATCCTCGCCAAGTACTACAATGCTCCCCACCCTCCGGCTGGCACTCCGGCCAATTCCACGAGCTATCCCGGCGCAAACCCCTACCCGAACCTGAAGGACCAGAAGGCCTTCGAGAAGGGCCTTCTCGAGAAGACTGCCAAGCAGACCAGCGATGTCATCCTCTACGACAACCGCGTGGTTGTGTTCAAGATGGAGTCGGACGTCATGCTGTACGTCGTGGGCGGTGCCGATGAGAACGAGATTCTGCTCTACAACGTCATCCTCGCCCTCCGTGACTCTCTAAACATCCTGCTCAAGTAAGTTGCGCCGGGATCTGCACCATTGAAGCCGGAACTGACCAGAGTGCAGGAACTCGACGGACAAGCGCACCATCATCGAGAACTACGACCTTGTTTCCCTCGCAATAGACGAGATTGTCGACGACGGCATCATCCTCGAGACGGATCCGGTCATCGTTGCATCGCGTGTCAGCAGGCCGCCCCAGCAAGACTTCAATCCCAAGAACATCGACCTCTCGGAGCAGGGTCTGCTCAATGCATGGGAGTTTGGAAAGCGCACGCTGGGCGAGCGGTTGAGGCAGGGTCTCTGAGCTACATTGGCATGTTTGGCGTTATGATCTGGGCAAATCCGTGGCCTGCGGCATGGGCTCGGTCACAGTAACAGTTGCGGAGGGCACGTTGGGGCGAATCGAAAGGCCGTCATCATGGTTTTATTGAACATGGCTCGCACTGAGGGTTTTCGGAGTAGTGGCAGCAAGTTGGCTGTAAAATGAGTCACAGCTGGTGGAGGGCACAGGCTGGACAGAGATTATACGGATGCTTGCTGAGGAGCACAGTTTCCTTTTGAGCTTAGATACAACGATTTATGTTCGCGGTTGAGGCCGCTTTACTGGTTACGGAGAGATGGACAGCTGTGACCACGGGAGCCGCAAGCTCAGCCGCTCAGCCCTACGGCCAGCCCCGCGATCGGCTGCTCCTTGGCGCGCGCGTTTCGGGCAATGACGCACATTGAAAACGTCCGCCGCCCACCTTCGCCAGACACCAAAACGGCTTCCACACCCACCTCTGCCGCCCAGGATGAAGCAGCGGTACTCATCTCTAGACGTCAAGGTACCGCTCAGGCGACCCCGTTTCCCGCGCTGTCCCGGCTAACGGCTCCCAGGTCATCGCGCATGAGCTCTCGAGTAGCCTTTGCTCGTTGCGCGTCGCCAACATCTACGACCTGTCCACTGTATGTTCCTCACACGCCCTGCGGACTCATGGAACTCAGCGCTAAACGTTGAACCCAGCGCATCTTTCTCTTCAAGTTCCAAAAGCCAAACCACAAGGAACAGCTCCTCGTCGACTCGGGCTTCCGATGCCACCTTACGAGCTTCGCCCGCGCAACTGCCACCGCGCCCTCGCCCTTCGTCGTGAGACTGCGCAAGTTCCTCAAGACTAGGCGCGTTACCTCCATCAAGCAAATCGGCACCGACCGTATAATCGAGTTCCAGTTCTCCGACGGCCTGTACCGCCTCTACCTCGAGTTCTACGCCGGCGGCAATGTCATTCTCACCGACGGCGAGCTCAACATTCTGTCGCTTCTGCGCTCGGTCGATGAGGGCGCCGAACATGAGAGGGTGAAAATGGGCAGCAAGTACAACCTGACGGAGAGGCAGAACTATGGCGGGGTCCCAGAGTTGACCAAGGAGCGTGTGCGGGAGGGCTTGCAAAAGGTGATTGAAAAACAGCAAGAAGTGCCGGACAAGAAGGCAAAGAAGAAGGCCAAGGATGCACTGCGGAGGGCTTTGGCCGTGTCCATCACAGAATTGCCACCGATGCTGGTTGACCATGCCTTCCACGCCTCCGGCTTCGACACGTCCGTCAAGCCGGAACAGGTTCTCGAAGACGAGTCGTTGTTGGACGGCGTCATGGCGGCGCTTGCTGAGGCCAAAAGAGTTGACGCCGAAATTACAAGCGCAGACGTCGCAAAGGGATACATCGTCGCCAAGAAGCTCGGTCAACCTGCAGCCAAGGAGTCAACGGAAGACGGCCTGGAAGAAAATGCGCCCGCAGAAAAGCTTCTCTACGAGGATTTCCATCCTTTCAAGCCAAAGCAGTTCGAGGCTGACGAATCTCTAACTTTTCTCGAGTTCGAGGGCTTCAACAAAACGGTCGATGAGTTCTTCTCTTCGATCGAAGGCCAGAAGTTGGAGTCTCGTGTGCAGGAACGGGAGGAGAATGCCAAGCGAAAGATTGAACAGGCCAAACAGGAGCATTTGAAGCGTCTTGGAGGCTTGCAGAAAACCCAGGAGCTCAACATTCGCAAAGCGGAAGCGATTCAAGCAAACGTCGACCGAGTCCAGGAGGGGACTCTGGCAGTCAACGGACTCATCGAAAAGGGTATGGACTGGGTTGAGATCGAACGTCTCATCGAACGTGAACGTAAACACGGCAACCCCGTTGCTGAGATGATCAAATCGCTCAACCTTCGCGAGAATACCGTCACTTTGCTTCTTGCTGAGCCAGGGTTTGAGGACGATGACGAAGATTTCGAGGGTAGCGAGACCGAGACCGAGTCTTCAGACGAAGAGGAGGATCAGAAACACCACAAGAAACCTGCTCCAAAGCCGGAGGAAAAACGACTTTCTATCGACATCGACTTGAGTCTTACACCTTGGGCTAACGCAAAAACGTACTTCGATCAGAAGAAGTCGGCAGCAGCGAAGGAGGAAAGAACTTTAGAAGCATCACAGAAGGCTCTAAAGAGCACACAGAAGAAGATCGAGGCCGACTTGAAGAAGGGCTTGAAGCAAGAGAAGGAACTGCTTCGGCCAGTGAGGAAGCAATTCTGGTTCGAGAAGTTCATGTACTTCATCTCCTCCGATGGCTATCTCGTTCTCGGGTAAGTCCTCCTTGACAAACACCATGAACGACAGCCTGCTAACGACAGCTCGTTAATCGTGCTCCCAACAGAGGCAAGGATGCCCAGCAGAACGAAATACTGTACAGACGTTATTTGAAGAAGGGAGACATCTACGTTCATGCTGATCTTAACGGAGCGGCAAGCGTCATTATTAAGAATAATCCCGCAACTCCCGATGACCCGATTCCCCCATCAACTTTGTCGCAAGCCGGGAATCTGTGTGTCTCGACCTCTTCGGCCTGGGACTCGAAGGCAGTGATGTCAGCTTGGTGGGTGAACGCCGATCAAGTCTCGAAGACGACTTCAACTGGTGACTACCTTCAACCCGGCAGCTTCATCATCAGTGGCAAGAAAAACTTTCTCCCACCTGCTCAACTACTTCTTGGCTTCGCAGTCATCTTCCAGATTACCGAGGAAAGCAAGAAGAACCACAACAAGCATCGGTTGACTGAAGGAAATGTTCCACCTAAACCCGCCGCGCCACAACCTAAACTGGAAGAAGAGGAGTCTAAGCAAGCGGTGGAAGAGGATGAGGATAGCGACAGTGACGAGGATTTTCCGGACGCAAAGCTCGGCTCCGCCTCAGATGAGAGCGATGACGAGCCGCAAGTGCACAGCAATCCGTTGCAATCAGGTGGTGCAGCTGCAACAGATGGAGGAAGCGACTCTGAGTCGGAAGGGGAGGAAGCTAAGCAAGAGCAGTCACCAAGCGCAGCGCAGGATGAAGAATCCAAGAACGGGGGAGAAGCAGCCCAGCTGAGCGAGACTGAAACCCAAGATGGACCAGAGAACAAGCAGGGAAAGCAGGAGAAAGCAGGCGGGAAGCGTCACCTCTCCGCACGTGAACGCCGACTGCTCCGCAAGGGCATCAACCCTTCGGAGCTCACCACGCCTGCTGCTGGCTCTACCAACGACAGCGACGACGAAGGCGACGCTGTCTCGATAGCCCCCACCGAAACCACCACGCAGACCTCCGGGCAAAAGCAGAAGCAAGCCCCTCTGCCCCGTGGAAAGCGCGCCAAGGCAAAGAAGATGGCGCAAAAGTACGCCGAGCAAGACGAGGAAGAGCGCGAGCTCGCCCTCCGGCTCCTCGGCGCCAAGGCCACGGGCACCACGGATCAGCCCGGCGAGGCGGAGAAGCAGCAGCCTAAGGCCAGCAAGGAAGAAGAGCTGCAGGCGCAGAAGCAGCGGCGGCGGGAGCAGCACCAGCGCGCGCAGGAAAAGGGCCGGGCGGACGAGGAGCGGCGGCGGGCGGCGCTCGAGGGCGCGCTGGGCGAGGAGCACCACGACGACCCGGCCGTCGACGACGAGGCCAAGCAGCTGTTGGAGCACGTCGGCATCGACGCCTTCACGGGCCGCCCGCTCGCCGGCGACGAGCTCGTCGCCGCCATCCCCGTGTGCGCGCCGTGGTCGGCCCTCGCGGCGTACAAGTACAAGGTCAAGCTGCAGCCCGGCGCGCAGAAAAAGGGCAAGGCCGTCAAGGAGATCTTGGGCAGGTGGGACGCCGCGTTCAAGGAGCCGCGGGCGTTCGACAAGGAGAGCAGGGATGTCGAGCGCATCTGGCCGAAGGAGGCGGAGCTCGTGAAGGCGTGGAAGGAGACGGAGGTTTACGGCGTGGTGCCGGTGGGGAAGGTGAGGGTGATGCTGAGCGGCGGGGGAGGTGGTGGCGGCGGCGGTGGTGGGGATAAGGGGAAGGGGAAGAAGAGCGCGAGGGGTGGGAGGGGATCGAAGAGGAAGTAAGTGAGATGGTGGTGGTGGTGGTGTGCGTAGTGTAGATGCCATAAACTGGCAGAACGTTGGGAATCTCTTACTGACAGATTTGAAATCTCTTCACTAGCTATTGAAAATATGGATGCGAGGAATACCACGGCGAAATTTGTGAATTGGTGAGCGAACGTGTAACGACTGAGATTTTGGCGATATCGATGTTCTTTTGTGGAGGGTGGGCGCGAGACTTGACATAAGTTAAAGGGCAGGACCTACGTTTTCAATGCTCTATATAAAGGTCAAAGGATGGTCTGACATAGCGAAAGGCGCTGGGGTTCGTCGAAAAGAGCAATTGTGGGAAATGGCATCTTGAGGGTGGGCGAGACAGCAGAGGTTGGCGGCACGGTTCATGTGTAAGCGTCAATTTTGTTGTGTGCAGTAACATTCATTCAACGGCCTTCAGGATAGAAATATGCACAGAAGAAGGGAATTGAGGCGTCAAGGCTGGCCCCGTCCTCTACACATCCCCCTGAGTCGTCGCACCGATGGCGTCGCCAGAAGTGGGCAGCAAGAAGTCGCTCGCCTTCACCCTGCCGCTCGAATCCCTCGCGCCCTGCAGGGGTGACGGGTCAACGCTCTTGAAGGTGCTGTTGGACCACGTGCCGCCGATGTCCCACGAGTTGCCGCTGGCGTCGACGCTGTCGGCCATGGTGGCCTGGCCGGCGGAGCCTCCGTTGACGGCGGCGATGTTGTCGGTGACGGAGCTGGGGGAGGAGCGGAAGACGAAGCCGGTGTCGCCGTTGTTCCAGGCGGTGTTGCGCTCGATGGTCATGCCGCCGGGGTTGCCGTTGTCGATGAAGCCCTTGGCCGAGTTGGAGAAGGCGATGCTGTTGCGGACGACGTGGCCGGCGGGCACGATGGTGCTCTCGTCGTTGCTGCCGCCGAGCTTGAAGCCGTTGCCGTCGCCCTCAAAGTCGGCGAAGCCCCAGCGGTCGAAGCCGTTGCCCCACGAGTACACCTCCTCGATCGTCACCGGCGACTCGAACAGCCACAGGTCCAGCCCGTCGTCGACGTTGTTCCACAGCCGCGCGTTGCGCAGCACGTTGCCCTCGCCCGAGCCCTCCTTGCACGCGAAGCCGTCGGCCGACTCGCCGTTCTTGCGCGGGTCGCGGTTGAGGTACGAGTCGAGGTAGATGACGGTGTTGTTGGATGCCTCGCCTTGCAGCTGGAACCCTGTGGAATGAATCATCAGTCGATGCATGGTTTCCTAAATTGCAAAGGCAAATGCTTACCAGACTCGTAATTGTCGTGAGTCGAGAGCTTCTCATAGTAGTTGTGGGACGAGTCGCGGGAGTAGACGCCATACGGGCCGTTAATCAATCTAGTCCAATCTGAGTGAAAGGTTGCATGGATGTTGTTTAGGGAGATGACCATACTCCAGGTTGTAAAATTTCCAGTAGTTGCCTCCCTCGATATGCAGAATGCCTCTCTCGTCGTTTGGGAGAGATTCGTCCAGTCCATAAGGAGTGCTGATGAGGAGGAATTAGCCTCGTACGTGCTTTGGTATCTGAAGGTTTCAAATTCTCAACGAACCCAGGCAGCTCTTCACCATCCAAGATCACCTCCTCCTCTTCGTATGACCTGAGGGTGATGGGAGACGTGGCAGTGCCGCTCTTTGTGATCTGAATGTTGCTGGTTGGCGAGTAGGTGCCGGCACGAAGGTAAATCGTGTCGCCGGCAGCCGCCGCATCGACAGCAGACTGGATGGAGCCATAGGGCGCAGTGATTGAGCCAGTACCGGTACCACTTGGGGAGACGTAGATATCGGCAGCTTGTGTGTTGCCGAGTAGGACTGTCAGAAGAGCAGCGGTGCTGATACAAGATCTTGCAGACATGGTTCCGGCGTCACTTGTGCTGAAGTTCGGGAAAAGAGTTGTTGGACAGTTTGTCTACTGTGAAGAGTGATGGTAGTCCTTGTAGCTTCTGTGGAAACCCCGGCCTTTGAGCACGCGAGATTCAAGGGAATCCTTCTATTGGTCTCGCTCACCCCTACCCAGCCCTACAAAACCATTTGTCTGCCCCGCAGTTTGTCTGGTGGAGACAGTGTCCTCGAACTTCCTTCCTTCTCGCATGAAGACACTCCTGGTCTACATGGAGTAATTGTAGCGGGGATGTTGTTTGACTTGGCGTCTTGGCGTGCTGCAGTTGGGCGTGTTCACCAATCTACTTCCACCAATTGCGACTACTGCCGGTGGTTGATCTTATCCCTGATGGTCCGGCGGCATTTAGGACAATCGTTCCGACGTAAACACTTGGTCACCATAACTTTGCATGTTAAGTGCTGCCACTCATGACCAGCGCACACGAGTGCACGTCCAGCGGCGATGGCAATATTCTCGGCCGCTCAAGGCTGGGGGGTTGACCCACACATTTCCAGAATCCTAACCAATTGATGTATTCTTAGGTCTCAAGCTTTTTTTTGAAGTTCTCGAGTTTGTTGTAGTGGTTTGTTGTAGTGCAAGCGAAAGTCGTGGGGCTGAATTCCAGGATGGTCCCATGGAGCTGGATGCTGTGGATGAGAGGTTGGCTCCCCTGTTACCCGAACCCTTAGTGGAGGCTTGACCGTGCGCTGCAGCCCAGGACGTTCAGAGCGGCCCACATAATAACACGAACATTCGTCCGATGGTTTAAGCGATGGGGTGACACATGACGCCTGCAGACACTCCAATGAGCGAGAGCCGAGAGCGCGCAACCCCGGGCTCGAGAATGCCATGACAGGGCGCCGACAAGGGACAATCCAGGTGATTGGCCGCTAGCTCTGCTTAGAAGGAGGTGGAATTGAAAAACATTGCCTATGCCGTGGGAAACCTTTTGTGGATCTACGTTTCGAGGAATGACTCGCTCCGCATGTAATGGACTTGTCGCAACCCTTACCCAGTGGATCAATGTCACACCTGGAGGATCTCCCGAAGTGACCCGCATAAATCTGCATGCCATGTCTCCAATCAAGAGAGCTGAAACATGAGGGCACCACTTACTGGACCAGACAGGCCATTGCCTCGGACGGGAATAGAACAATACTTCAGACCGAATCCTTTGGAATCGAAGCCATGCGCCGTTTGATCGTGTCGACTCGAAAGGCGCTCATTCAGTTTGAGATTTGCGCTCTAGACCGGGCGGACAGAAGGAAAGGCCCGGTGCTTATAGCTCGATTCTACCGTTGTCGTTAATTCACGCAAATATCTTTCCTGCCTTTGCCTCCCACTCATCGTCCCATCTCCTGTCGCATTCCTTCAATGCACCTGCTCTCAGTCTCGCGAGCTCGTCGTCCTTTGTGAACAAGTCCAATAAGAGCTCTCTCAGCTCGGTGGAGCTGCCAAAGCCTTTACCGTTGATTCCTTCCTTTACGAGCTCCGACCAAGCTTCAAACTGGCTCCACCCCACCACCGGCAGGCCGGCACCAAACATATCGACGACCTTCATCGGCAAATCAACTCCGGAAGAAGACATGTGCAGGGATACGCCCAGGTCCGCAAAGCTGAGCATTGCAGCATAATCCTCCATGGTGAGCCAAGCAGTGCGTATGCGGACGCGATCAAGCTTATTCTCGCGTTCCATGGCGGCGATCCGCGATAGGTAGTATTCCTTTTGCGGGCCCTTGCCGGTGATCACCGCAAGGATCATTGGCAGGTCTTGCGCAGTCGCAACGGCCGAATACCCTGCCAATGCGTCCAGCAAGATTGAGAAATCTTCGTCTGCGGTCCAGGAAGTGGAACTGACAAGGAGCCTGGTTGGTCCGCCGTCCACTGGCCAACCCAGGCGCTTCGCAAGCTCCTGATAGCCTTCCTTGCGAGCTTCATCCGAGGGACAAGGCTGGAAATGCGCTGGGGGTCGATCGTACAGAGGCACGACGTACTTTCTCCCATGTTGCTCGCGAAGGATGCGAGCCATGGCGTCGGTCACTGTGAAGTTGACGGGAGCACTGCGGGAGACAGCATACTCGTACCTCTCAGAGATCTGAACCAAGGGATGCTTAGCACCAAGCTTCAGAGCCAGGATCGAGTGCCCGAAGTTGTGCCAATCTATGCACAGGGTGGTATTGCGCAAAAGACAGACGATGTGGGCAACGAGCAGTGTTGGTATGGACGGAGGGTTCTGGAGACGCGTGGTCAGAGTGATTCCTCAGTTTTCAACACGGCGTTAAAGTGTCACGTAACCATGCCCAGGGCAGATGGCTCGCGAGAACGGCAGGGACGGTATCAATCCAGATTGACATACCTGTACCAGGGTGAACTTTGCGGGGGCGGTGCGGTAGGCTAATGCAGAAAAGAGGCCCCAGGTCTGCCAGAGGACCTTCAAAGGGGCCATGCCCAGGAACAACAGCTTGTTGTCCGTCTGGTAGCGTTTTGGCCATGGTGGAATTCCGACTACGTTTACTGTCGAGCTGGATTCCAGGAAAGCGTGCAAGTCGGATTCTGCAGCGAATCTTAGCACAGACGTCACAGCACAAGGATAGCTCGACCTTGAAACCTTTGTATCCTATTATGTCGACAGTGTATCCGAGCTTGGCGAGGCTGATGGCGTGGTACTGCATGCGCGGGCTTCGACCAATGTCGCCCAGCACAACAACCTGCACCGTGGAGGCGGCGGCATTGGACGCGGCCGAAGAACGCCGGGAGGGGGCGAGCAACACGACGCAGATGCCTAAGAAGGCAAGGGCGCCAAGAACGAGCCAGAGGGCAATCATGGCCAGGCTGGGGCCGCGGAGGAGCGGAGGAAGGTGGTAACGTGGTCTGAAGAGAGCGGCCGGCACGTGCGTCGATTGAGCGATGGCTTGGCGCTCAGCTATCGCGAGGACGTGGGCGGCGATTGAGAGATATTGGCTGGATGTGGTGGCGGGGCGATACTGGGGACTCGGGAGGGCGGGCGAAGACGGCGCTGATAGGCGGCGAGCAAGCGGCCCACCAGGGCAGTGACGGGCAGTGACAGGGACGGGCGGCGGCAGGCGCGTGTTTCGCAGCTCGTCTGGCCCCGCGCGCGCCACAAGTGGAGGGTCTAGCGGCGCGCGCCAGCGCCCGGCCCTGAGATGGGACACCCCTGAAGCGCAGCGTCCAAATCCGGCGCCCGACGGAGCGCTGCATCGCCCGGGCGCCTTTCCGCCCTGAGTCTTTCACGAACTGCGCAGCATTCGGTCCTTGCCCTGCGACTGTCGCCTCGGTGCAGCTTCTCCGCAGAGGCAGCTGCGACCTCGCATTCCGATAACGACCAACCCAACACCATCGACGCCTGAATGGCATCCGCCAGCGCCACCTACGCGCTCCCCATCGACTCCTCCCTCCACATCCACCCCAAGCATGGACGTGGCCACCACCACCACTATAGCAACTCGCTGCTGCCCGACCGCTCGCCAAGCTGGTCTCCAGCCCACACCGGTGCTGCCCTGAAGAAAGCGCACTCGCACGGCAGCCTCCAAGCTCCCGCGCCTGCGCCTGCGTCCGCGCCCGCGCCACCAGTCCAGTCCTCCAACACTCTTCTCGCAGTCCCGGGCAGCCTCGGCGCCACCGATTTTGGCTTCATGAACGGCCGTCCGAGCCTGCGCCCGCGCGGCGAGTCTGACCTTGGCCGCCCCGCCTCAGTTGGCCCGGTAGAGACGTCGCCCGGCTACGGATTTCCGCCCGTGGGCAAGCACACCGAAGACACTGTGTATGCGACAGCTCTATTCCTCAATTGCGGTTTCGCGCTTGCTAATATATACTGTTAGGCCAGCTAGCAAGGCCATTGCCATCCTTACTGGTGTACTAGTCCCTCTCCCCTACGTTCTTGCCTCATTGGCCTTCGCCACGCGCCCTCAGTCCTCAACCCCAGACGCACAGCTCGATTCTGCTCTCGACAGGTTGCGCGCTTCAGTGTCAGAGGAGACACCGCCCGCGCTTCTCGTCCAGCCACAGACCCGCTCGCCACTGCTCGAAACATGCATTCTCGCCTCCGGGACGCTCCTGCTCACCGCGCTTTGGGCCACAATCAATCCGCATGCTCGACCTCTTGACCGGAGAAGAGCAAAGTACGTGGGGAAGGGGGAGTCAGCGCGTGCTCTGGGACAAATCAAGCAGTTGGCCAAGACCACTCTCAGCGTTGGATTGCCCTTCTATGCGGCCGCGCAACTCGGCGGTGTTCGCGCAGGTGTGGTCATCTTAGCTGCCATTGCCTATGGCCTGTGTGGCACGAATGCCTCGCATGCTGCGCCTCGACCTCTTTTGGCCGTTCGGCGCCTCTTTCAGGATAAGCGCGTACTCTGCGCTTACTTTGGCCTTGGCCTTATCTGCGATATGATGGGGTTCTCGGCTTCAATGAGCGCATGGCAGCTTGTGACCGGTTACCTGGCACTTGCGACGGCGATCTTTGTCCTTCCACCGCCAATGCCGATCTCCGTTCATACCGTTCCACCGCCTCCACAAGCCAATGGAATCAACGGTGGTCTTTCACCGCTGATTGAAAGTCCGGAGAAGGTGCCCGTAGCACTGAGCTCTGCTTCAGTCACAACTTCCCCACTCGTCTTGTCTCAAGACGACGTAACTACGACTTTGGTTTCAGGTGTTCTTCTCAGCGTTTTCACCATCCTCTTTCTTTCAACCTTTCAAACAACGCCGCTTTTCACTACTTCGACGGTGTTTATTTCCTTGCTTTCCTCGGCCGCTGCCGCGAGCTTCTACGTCTTTGCGAAACCTGCGGCTTTGCGGTCATCGGACAAGTCAGCTCTCATTGCTGGCTGCACCTCTACAGTGGTGACCGCGCTAATCCATCCATCGGATTCCTGGACATCTTCCCTGGTTGATATTATTTTTCCAGGTCTTACATACTTTGCAGTCTCCAAAGAGGCTGTGTTAGCTTCTGTGCTTCACAAACATGACCATGACCATGATCACAAGGCTCATCATCACCACCATGCACACGGCCCACACGCCCACGACAAGCACTCAAGGCTCACCGGTCTTCTTCTGAGAAATGTCGAGGCCGGAGGCCTCCTACACAGCATCATTGTGGAGAAAGACTCCCGCCGCATTGCCTATTTTGGATGGTAAGTAATGAGCATTTTGTTTTCAATGCTTTGATGAAGTTGGACATCCTCTAACACAAACACAGCCTAAACCTCGCCTTTATGGCAGTCCAATTCTTCTACGGCTTCGTCACCGGCTCGCTGGGGTTGCTCACCGACAGCATCCACATGTTCTTTGACTGTGCTGGGTTGGCTGTCGGTCTCATTGCTGCTGTTATGAGCAAGTGGCCGTCGAACGCTCGATTCCCGTACGGCTACGGCAAGGTTGACACTCTATCGGGCTTCGCCAACGGCATATTCCTGGTGTAAGAACACCGTTACTCCGTGGGATCATCCGCTAACGCCTGTGCCAGTCTCGTGAGTTTCGAAATCATTCTGGACGCCTTCGAACGCATTTGGGAAGGCCATGAGCTTCACCGCCTGGATGAACTTCTCATCGTGAGCGTGCTTGGCCTGGTAGTCAACATTGTCGGCTTGACGGCCATGGGTCATGCACATGCGCATGCACATGGCGGCCATGACCATCACCATGGTGACGAGAATATGCACGGCATTTTCCTACACATTATGGCAGATGCCCTTGGTTCCGTCGCCGTCATTGTTTCCACGCTCCTCACGAAATGGAACGGCTGGAACGGCTGGGACCCTCTTGCATCGTCGATCATTGCGTTGTTGATTTTCTTCTCTGCGCTTCCACTCACCCTGGGATCTGGCATGCGGTTACTGCTCTGCAACAACCAGCAGGTTGAAGATGCACTAAAGGACGTCCTTCGCGATCTCAATTCCATCCGCGGCGTTGTCAGTTACAGTGCTCCCCGTTTTTGGATCGAAGACATAGGCGCCGCACATGAGAGAGGTCACGGACACTCGCACGCCCACGACCACACAGAGGGGCATGAATGCGGACAGGTCCACGACCATTTGCACGAGCATAGCAACAGCCACGATCATCACCATGATCAGCATCACTCTCATTCGCACGATCACGATCACGATCACGATCACGGTCACGATCACGGTCACGGTCATTCGCATTTGCACGGCCATGATCACGACCATTCCCACTCGCACAGCCATGGCCATGACCATAGCCATGACCACGACCATGACCACGACCATGACCACGACCACACGGAGCAGCAGATCTTGGGCGTTATCCACGTGATCGCATCGAAGGCGGCGGATCTTGAGGATGTCCGTCAGCGGACAGTCTCGTTCCTTGCGGAGAAGAAACTAGATGTATTCGTACACGTCGAAAGAGAAGGCGACAGATGCTGGTGCGGCGGCGGGCAAAACTTCTAGAGTTGCGGGTGTTTGAAAAGTTCGATTTGAAAGAGTTCTCTTGCTACGATTGTGAGGGTAAATTTAACTGTATCATAATTTTTTGCTGCTGAAAATGGAGTCTCGTGTCGCCAGCGGAGTCTTGTTTTTTTGTACCAGCGGGCTTCTCTTGCGCGAATGATGTATTGCAAACGCAAGCAAATGTCAGATCAGGGCGACGCGTTGTATCATAGCCTCGAGAAACGAAGAGACGCATCTGTTCAGATACTCAGGCGGTCGATAAGGAATGTGAAGGTGAGATGCCTGGCCGAATAGATTTACTATCTACTCTTGCTTGACTCGCAATTGATATTTTAGTTTATTTCATCAAGTATCCCTTTGGTAATCTGTTGGTCCGCGTTAGGTTATGTAATGGAGTGTGGCTGAACAGCGGATACTCCCGTCGTGCCGTGCAATTATGCCTACTAGTAAGTATCTGCCCATAATTGGGGGCTGTGCCTGGCCGCACAGCCACAGTCCCTTTCCAATTCTTTGCCTTTGCAAATTGAGTTGACTGACACCAGTCAGTAAAGGTAGCCGGATACAGCAGTCTGACGTTGTCATCATGTGGCTAGATCTCGGACGGAATGAAGCCAGAGAGAGCAGCGGTGCAAGGGCAGGTTTCGCATGCGCTGTACTTCTCTCTGGAAATATGGTGGAATGTGCGGTTGTATTCAACGTGCCCCGCAGCCTCAGGACACGAGCGTACGTCATACATAAGCGACGGGCTGAATCGCGGCAGCTCAGAGCTGAGCACCGTGATCACCTTTCCCCTCCAACACCCCCGCCTCTCGCCCGTCCGCCGAGAAGGCTTCCACCATGTCCAACTTCGAGCCCAATGCCATCATTCGGGGCGCCCAGTTGACCGTGGTCGGCGGTATGTCCTCTCACACTCTCGGCTGCAGCTCTGCCATCAGCTAACGTCGGACCGTACGCGCAGCCAACCGCGCCCTCCAGAACCCTGCGCTGTTCACCTCAGACCACTATCGTCAGGCTGCCCTCGCAGTTCTCGCCGGAATCCTGATCCGCCTTCTCATCGCCATTCCTGTAGGCTTCTTCAGCTCACGTTCCACAACACCCAGCTAACGGCTTCTACCTACAGACGCTTGGTGTGAGAGCGATCGTATGGTTCATTTCGCTGTTCGCCGAGGCCGAGGGGTCTACATGGGATACAGATGTCGTCGAGGGCCTGGAGTTCATTGAGAACTCGGTGTTGCAGGTGCCTTTCTTCCTGATGTCGCTGATGCGCTATGTCACGCCAACCTTGGACGACATGTAGGCTCCCCGATCAGCCGAAATGAGCAAGGCATGGGCTGACCATGACCCTATCTAGGTTCATGAACTCCCTGCAGTGGGTTGATCAGACGTACATCCAGAAGCACAAGACCGACGACCCACGTAATCTCCGAGCCATGTACTACCCCACGATGCGCATGTACTCCAAGCATGGTGATACGAGCGAGAAGAAGAAACCGATGGATGCAATTGTTGCCTTCCTCACGCGATATGGCAGGAGGGCCGGTATTTCGCTGGCGGTCTATTTTGCCTCGGGCCTGCCGTATGTCGGCCGCTTCGTTTTGCCTGCTGCCAGTTTCTACACGTTCAAAAGAGGTGTTGGACTTGAGCCGGCCCTGGTTATATTTGGGACCTCCATCTTCTTGCCAAAGCGGTACCTGGTGCGCTTCTTGCAGTCGTACTTCTCTTCGAGGAGTCTGATGAGAGAGCTGGTAAGACTAGCTTTGAGCTGGGACATGGCTACGGTGCTGACTGATGAATAGCTTGAGCCGTATTTCGCCCGCATCAAGTACAACAAGGAGCAGAAGAAGGCGTGGTTCAGAGAGCGCGAGGGGGTGCTTTTCGGATTCGGCGTCGGTTTCTTCGTCTTTCTCAAGATCCCGCTCCTCGGCGTCTTGATCTACGGCATTGCGGAAGCGTCGACGGCATATCTGGTTACGAAGATCACGGACCCGCCGCCAGCGCCTGCCGAGGCCGAGGCCACCAAGTTTGTCGAGAGCCAGATCAAGTGGCACAACAAGTACGAGTTCCTGAACCTGCCTCTGGCCAATCTCGACGCGCACAACGTGCAGACGGAAGCCCCGAAGCAGGAGACGATCAACCCGGAGACTCCCAGCAAGAGGTTTTCGTAAAGCAGCCCCGGGCGGGGGGCATGTGCGATCAATCCGGCCGCCGGCAAGCAATACCGATGCTAAGCGGAGATAGTGTTTTGGCATCTGTCAACAGCGTTACCAAGACACGAGCGGGGCAGGGTTGCCGGGTTGTTTCGGCGCTAGGCAACGGAATGTCCAGGCGGTGGAGCTTGGGGCACGATGACGCGCACAGGCTGAGCTACCCCACTCCAAGCTCTCTTGACTAACAACACTGGGCTTTATCTCCGCCTTATCGTCCGCCTCCGCCTGCCAATCGCCTGGGTGTAGGGCCTTCCGTCTGTCCATTGTTGTCCATCCGCTGCTCCATGGCACTAGAGCTATCGGATAGCCCAGCGTTTTATGACCTGCCTCCGACCCCGCAGATATAAACATAATTCAATGCTTACTCCCCCTCGCGCCCTCATCTGTCGTCTCCACTGTGACTCTGCAATCATTGCACTTCTCTCTCTCGCTTGCAAGCCTCCACACCCACAATGGCGAAGCACGTCCGGTACGCGGCGAAGGTTGACTTGAACAAAGATGCCGCTGAGCAGCCGCATCTACACGTATGGCCGAAAATCGCCTGATGTCCATTGCCACCGCTGACTAGAGGCAGAACCGCTGGCACCCCGACAGTTCGTTCTCCGTCACGGCATATATGTGCCAGCGCTTACGCTTCCGCAGTTCCGTTTGCCGGCAAGATTAAGAATGGCGAGGTGGTGAAGATCGAATGTTTAGACTGGACCGGAGGGCAAATCAAGAACAACGACAGCGCAGACGACGTGAGGAATGTCGACCTGACCAAAATCCACTACTTGACCGGACCCTTTGAGGTCGAAACCGCCGAGCCCGGCGATGTGCTCCTCGTCGAGATCCAGGACGTGCAGCCATTGGAGGAGCAACCCTGGGGTTTCACCGGCGTCTTCCACAAGGACAATGGCGGCGGCTTTCTGGACGACATTTACCCCGAGGCGTAAGCATAAACCAAGCCCCGCATGGAGGAGAAGGTTGACATGTGTGTGTATTGACAAATTACAACAGCGCCAAAGCCATCTGGGACTTCGAAGGCATCTTCTGCTCGTCGCGGCACATCCCGGGCGTGCGCTTCGCGGGGCTCATCCACCCGGGCATCCTGGGCTGCGCGCCGTCGGCCGAGGTGCTGGCCGAGTGGAACCGGCGCGAGGGCGAGCTCATCCAGACCATGGACGGCTGCGGCCGCATCGTCGCCCAGCCGCCGCAGCCGCAGAACGTGCACGCGGGCTCGGCGGACGCGGCGCTGGCGGCGAAGGTCGGCAAGGAGGGCGCCCGCACGATTCCCGGCCGCCCCGAGCACGGCGGCAATTGCGACATCAAGAACTTGTCGAGGGGGAGCAAGGTCTTTCTTCCGGTGCATGTCGAGGGTGCGAAGTTCAGCGTGGGCGATTTGCACTTTTCTCGTGAGTGAACGTAATGGTTTTCTTCTTCTTACCTCTTTCTTTCCTCTCCCCCCCTTACCGTCGTCGCCAACTGTCTAATTCCTTGCGAAAATAGAGGGCGATGGCGAAATCTCCTTCTGCGGCGCCATCGAGATGCCGGGCGTCATCACACTCAAGCTTTCGGTGATGAAGGGCGGCATGGCGCAGCTGGGCATGAAGTCGCCCATCTACCAGCCGGGCCCCGTCGAGCCGCAGTTCGGGCCGGGACGCTACATCTACTTCGAGGGCTTCAGCGTCGACGAGCACGGCAAGCAGCACTACATGGACGCCACCGTCGCGTACCGCCAGACGGTCCTCCGCTGCGTCGAGTACCTGCGTCGGTACGGGTACAGCGACTATCAGATCTATTTGCTGCTGAGCTGCGCGCCTGTACAGGGTCATGTTGCGGGCATCGTAGACGTAGGCGTTACCCTTCCTCTCTTGAGTCGTCTTATTCCTCCCCCCCGAGGCCGCTAACGTGGTTGGTGTCGTAGATTCCGAACGCTTGCACGACCATGGGATTGCCCATGGATATCTTCGACTTTGACATTTCGCCCGAGAAGCCCGCGGAGAAGAGAGATTTGGGAGCTTGCGCTTTTGCTAGCGGCAAGTAGTTGCGGATTTGGGGAGTTCTTGGGGGTCATGCGCTTTCTATCGGATGATTTCCTCGCGTCAAAGTGAAGCGATTGCGGCTAGTTGAATGAGTAGCAAGGCGTAGGAGGGTGTGGAGGTTTAATTCGAATGCCTTTTCGTATGCCATGGATTAGAAAGCGTGATCTGATGTCGGGAACTTGAGTCAAGCATTCGTCTCAAGGGTTTCCATAGAAGAGCAGTGGGCCTCGTGATAGCCATATTTTGAACTGACTTTAAAAGGACTTCGAGACACGGCAAGGACTCTTCTACTTCGGCGAGGCGCTTCCGCTCATGCTCAACAAATAAGCATGGAGATTGTACCACTTCTCTCATTAATGCATGAGGTAGGGGTGGTAAAGGGTATCACGCAAATATTGCGTCCTTCGAGCATTTATCCTTCCTCGAGAGACAGCACTTTGTGTAATGTTTCATGATCTTTTGCGCTATGACCGCATGCGTGGATGACTGCTATGCCTACTGACCACTGAATATGATTGCCATCATTTCTAGAATGCTGACTGTGGACTGCCATCTATTACTGGTGTGGAATCATGACTTTTTCGTCTCGAGCTCAACGAAGAGTGTCCCTCAACGAGGGACATCGGATGCACGCTGAAAGCTTTGGATGCATCACAAGCGCGCTATTAAGACGTCGACATTTGTAGCGAGTGAGTGCTGGAAGTCATCATCTCCTAATTCTATCGTACACAATTCACCATCCAGTCAGCAAACAAGGGCTCGATTTATTTTTCCGTCCGCTCTTACTGCTTGAAGCCGCTCTCGCCCTGCTTGAGGTCGATCTCGGATTGCTCGACGCCAGAGACCTTGGCTGCCGACGGGCCCTTGTTGAGCCACTTGGTGAATTGCTGGATCTGGCTGTCGTCGCCCTGCACCTCGCCAGTCACCTGCAGGCCGATCGACATTAGCGAGCGGCGTCGACACGCGAGGCGGTAGGGTTGTGCTTACAGTTCCGTCCGAGGCATTCTTCACAAAGCCCGTGACGCCGATCTTGTTGGCCTCTTCGACGGTGTAAGCTCTAAAGCAGACGCCTGCATACGGCAGTTAGACGTGGGGTGAGGCGAGGGTCCGTGTGCGGTGAGGCTGACCCTGCACTTGGCCGTCGACCTTGTACTGAATCTATTGGACGCGTTAGCCGTGTGATCAGCGCGTGGATGGAACAGCAGCCGTACTCGCTTGGACATTGTGGCGGCTGAATTCGTGAACAATCTCCGCATAAAAGTCACTGGATGCTGTGGAGGAACGGCGAGGGTTTGATGAGCGGAGGGCAGGTCGCACCCGCCCGCTCGGGCGACTTCAGATTGCCGTCACGCATGACGTAGTTCTTGGCGCATGGGTGACAGGCACGCGGTCGAGCCCGCGCCCGCCTTGGGTGCGGGCTAACAGTTACACTGCAGGGCGTGTGGATGCTCGTCCAGCGCGAGGCCCAACACCAGAGACAGACGCACCTCGACCCGACCGCGCCGGAGACACTTGCGCCGCGCCAACTCAGCAGCGCCGTCGGGCCGAGTTGTGCGATGCTCACGAGGGAGGCTTGCCAACGCGACTCTCGCACATGGGCGCCGGACGCGCCAACGGCGGGCGGCGTGCTGGGCCGTGAGTTGCGCTCGAATCCAGCAAGGGTCCGCCCTCTCCGCTCCCGCCCGGCCGCAGTCGGCGCCAGTTCAGGGATGCAGCTTGCGGACTGCTGCGTGGCTCTGCTCTGTCTGGCCATCTCTGATCCAAAGCAGCTGCTTCTCGCGTCCTCCCGGTGCTCGAAATAACCCAGGCTTGGCCTGACGGGGCGTAGCAGCCGAGCACGACTGGGCCGCGGGGGGGCCTGTCACCGCTCTGCGCAGTAAATTGTTTACGACGCGACGGCACTTGACGACACGTTCGTGAGGCAACGACTAATTTCCTTCCGCCGGGATCAGTGCACCCGCCGCGGCCGTTGGCTTCCAGAAACATTCTTGTGCGTCCTTCGTCACCACCATCAGAACACCCTCCGGCCAACTGTTCACCTAGGCGTCTGCGATAAGAGAGCTCGCCACCGTCTCGTCCAGCACCCCACGCCCAGTCCAAGCAGACCGCCGCCTCGCCGCATCCGCACCCCACCTTCCTCGTCCGTCCCACCACGTTACCAGACGGTCTCGACGAACATGGCGGAAGAAGCTACACAACCCGAGCGTGCTGCCTCGCCCCAGGAATGGGCGTCGCCCACCCCGCCTGTCAGCCAGGTCCCGGGGCTCGACAACTCGTCGACCTCTTCATCCTCGGTATCCGGCATGTCGGCGGGGTCGCGGCGCTCGTGGGGTGGCTTGCCCAACAGCCGAAGAGGATACCTGCGCCCCGAGGGCACTTCGTTTGCGGACTCGGCGAAGAACAGAGAGAGCGTCATGAGCCTGGGCACCATTGCCCACTTGCAGTACTACTTCGCAAGGACCGGCTTGCTGGACTCCAAGGGCGGCCGTGTTGCCAAAGAGACCAAACGCAAGAAGAGCAACAACGCAATTGAGGGCGTCCACACCACCGCCGACCGCGCTTACGAAGCCTTCCTGTCCTCGCAAGACGACAACAAGCGCTCGTCGTGCGCCATCTCCGACGATGGTTACCTGAGTGAATCTGCCACCGATGTGCCCTTTGTGGAAAGCCCCGTAGGCGAAGACTTCGAGACTCACGTCGAATATGAGCCCGCCCCCATGCTCCCCCCAACCGTCAGCACATATAAAAACAAAGTCCTGTACACGCCGCCGCCGCCAGACATTATTGTTCTGCGGAGAGAGCTTAGAGAAGCCCTCGACGATGCTAAGCAGGTGCTTGCCGGCACCGAGCGCCCCGACACCATTGCGAGGTACAAACGCAAGGCAGCACAGACTGAGAAATTTGCGGCCGAAGCGGCCGAAAAGAGGAAGCAAGAAGATGCAGCCGGTAATGCGTCGCCGGAGGCTGAGCAAGACCCGCTGCCGCTCCCGCAGGGCTGGACGGAGATCCAGGGTCTCCACGTTCTTGACAGCGTTACCCTTGCAATCCGGGCCGCGAAGAACTACTACACCACCCATGAACAGCCCGAACGCCTGTACTCGATCAAGCCTGAGAAAACCATCAGGAAAGAGCTGTACCAGACCCTGGAGGTGCTGAAGCGGATGGCAGGGCGTGATTTCGAGGGTGGCATCCGGGACGACGAGCGGCATAGCATCAACGGATGGATCAACGACATCGAGCAACTGTTGGACGCCGAGCAAAGGAAGGAAGAACAAGAGCAGCTGGATCGCGAGAAGTGGAGCTGGATCTCAGGTGATTGGACGGGCAAGGAGCGTGAGAGAGAGTGGCTCTTCCTCAAGTCGTTCGATCCCCACCCGGAAGACGAACTGCCGTCGTGGACGGCTCCGGAAGAAGCGAGCGAGCTGCCGACGCCGTTTCTCAAAGCACTGAGCGACGGCCTTAAGCTTGTCCGCCTGCACAACAATCTTGTCCGGAAGTCGAAACGCCAGTTCGAGGAGATCAAGTCTTACCACCGAGACACGTCGCTGCCCTACCGGTGCGCGGAGAACCTGCGCTATTGGGTCAAGGCGGCAGAGCTACGGTGGGAGGTTAAGCTCAAGCTGGACGTGATGGAGGTGGTGCACGGGGAGAGTGGCGAGGCGTGGAAGAGCTTCGACCAGGCCATCATGAAGTGGTGCAAGGGGGTGCGGGAGGAGATTACTATGGAGTGGAAGCAGGCGCGGCTCAAGACGATGACGCTGCCGCCGATGCTGAAGATTGACGCGGAGACGATGGCGTAGGGCGGACGGCTTGGCGGCCTTTCCAGGCGTTTCTTTGGATGGACAAGCATTTAATGGTTCTGTTGGCATGTGCTCTGTGGCCGTGGCCGAGTTCAAGACAGCTCGTTTCAAGAGATACCCGAATTTGTAAAGACAGTCTTTTAATAACAGCGCGGGCTCGGGACGAGCGAGAAGCAAGGGCGGGCAGTGCGGGCAGTGCAGGCAGTGCAGTAGGGGTTAATGCGCGGCCTGGCGTGCCTGGCCCCTGGCGCGGTAGCAGCTTGAGGGCAGCGCAGCGGCCAATTGCAATCTCGCCGCCCGGAACAGCGCGCAGGACAATAACTTAATCAAACGGACTCTGCCCTCGCGGCCACTTCTCCAGCCCACTGCTGAACGCGTGCCGCCTGCCCTACGTGCCTACCAACCCAGCACCGCCCTCACACTCGCCGCCGCCGCTCCGCCGCTCATTCCGACCCAAGGCCCCCGTTGCGATTCGCGCTACGCAGCCACAGCCGCGCCGGGCCCAGCCAGAACCCAGCCAGAACCCTGAGCTCGGATCCCAGTCCCAGCCCAGTCCCCGTCCCAGGTCAGCGGCATCGTGTTCATTCGCCGTCAGCTGCCAGCAGCCAGACTGCTCCTGAGCCCGTCTCCTCCGTTGCCGGCGGGCATGCACGCTCACCCGTTGTAGCGCGTGTGCAGTCTCGAGCAACAGTGGGTAAGTCTGTCACATGCGTGGTTTTGACTCATCCCGCGCCGTGGGCGGGCGGCGGAGACAGCCAGTGGCCGTCTTTGCCAGCCGCATCCACCCCCCGGCCGACGAACGCGCTAACCAGCGACGTTGCAGGCGGAGCTGCAGCCCGGCATCGACAACTCAGTATCGCGTCTACAGCCCAGCCTATCCGACCAAAAACAATCGAAATAATAACACAGCACCCGCGCGCCCCCAGCGCTGACCGTGCACAGCAGCTTCGCCTCACCCCACGCCCTCCTACCCGCCGCCTCCCATGTCCCCTCCTTCCTCGCCCGACACCAGACCACTGCCACCCGTTCCGGCCTTCTCGACACCTGAGCTCAGCACAGAATCGTCCGACACTGCCGCCGCTGCCGCTGCCAGGCGCGCCCTGAGAAAACCCTCCCCGGGGCTGCTGGAGCGCATGAAACTGCTGGACCTGCACCACCGGAGCAGACAGTCTGGCGGCAAGAACGACGTTGAGATCGGCCGCATACCTGAGGACCAGCTGCGTCAGCTTGACCTTCTACACCAGCGGGAACGCGCCATCCAGATTGAGCGGCGTGGTCAGACCTGGAGTGGGCCGCGTGCGCCGCGGCTCACTGCGCAATCCACAGGCGGCAGCGAGAGGACTCCGGTCGAAAGCTTTCCCTCCGAAAGCTTTCCGGCGCCTCAAGAGAGCGATCGATATAGCGCCACTAGCGCTAGCGAACGCATGCCTCACTCCGACAACAACGACGACGACGACGACGACAGCGAGTTCTTCGATGCGGAAGAGGAAGAGACACTGAGGTACGCGGAGCCTGTGCTCGGGAAGTCGCGGGAGAGCTCAGTGTCCATGTCGAGGGACCCGACGGAAGGCGCCCCTTCGCCAGACGACTCTGGTCCCCCAACGCCGCCCCCGAAGGACCCACCCGTGGACAATACACCGGACTTGCCACCCGAGCCTGTTGAGGAGCCGGAATCGCTGGACGAAATCCAAGAAGAGCAGGAAGAGCAGGATGAACAAGAAACTACTTCATATTTCAATCCGGGGCATCTGTCACGAGCGGCCTCCATATACACCCTTTCGCGCGTATCCTTCACCAACCAAATCCAGCAGCTTACTTCCATCAAACTCCCCGAAGCCTCGTCCTTGCAAGCAAGCATCTCGGCAATACCCACCTCCAAGGCCGCCTCTAGTGCTCTCAACGATGCGGCCGGCCAAATCCGGGTGTGGATGTCCAAAGCGTCCGACGTACTGAATGGCTTGGACGCGGAGGATGATGTTGACTGGGCCTCCGCAGCTGGCAGAGAAGGGTTGGACGAGGTCGACGCGGCAATCAACACATTTGAAACATTGATCAAGGTGTTCGTCAACGCCATCGAAGAGCTCCAGAGCCGCCCGGACATCGGATATCTGTCAATGGCGGACCTCTCCCGGTTGCTGGATCAAATGGAAAATATCCTGAACGATTGGGCAGGTATCAAGAACAAGCTGCGAGCAGTAAAGGAGCAGGTTGAGATAGGAATGGAGTGGGAAGAATTGTGGAACACCGTTCTGGGTGATATTAGCCTGGAGGTGGAAGCTCTTGGGAGGCTGGTGTTTGAGATGGAAGAACGCCGCCACCGCAGCGTAATGGCTGAGAGCCTTACCGAGAATGGCAACGGGCTCGATATCGGATCCTTGGAAGCGATCGTTGAGGAAACACCGCCAAACACCAAGCGAATCTCTCACAGTCGTTTTAGCCTTCCGCAAGCCTTCAACGCAAACGCATCACCACTTGCGGCTCCCGACACTGCCCAGGAAGAGTCAAACCTTTTGGCGCTTTTTGCCCGCATGCAACCACTTCGCGCTTCTCTGGACTTTTTGCCGATGAGGCTCGCTCAGTTTCAGATGCGTGCCTTGGAGGTCTTTCCGACTGCATGCTCAGAGCTAGAACACCGGCGTAACTCTCTGGAAGACAAGTGGCGGAGGTTGGAGCGTGATGCGGAGTCTTTAAGGCGGGAGCTTGGTGAAGACAAATGGGTGTTAGTTTTTCGGAACGCCGGCGGGCAAGCAGCAAAAATGTGCGAATCGGTCAAGAGGAGCTTGATAAAACTGCGCGAGGCCTTGGACGAGGGTCAGCACATTACCAACTTACCGGCCACAGCGAAGAAGATTGAGAACTTTGAGGCTAAGAGGATGCACTATGGTCCGGCCATTGAGCGTGTTCTCATGATCATCGACAAGGGAGTGAAGGATCGGTTGACGGTAAATGGTGAAATCCTGAGGCTGCAGTCCGATATGAGGGGCGAGTGGGCTGCACTGCAAGATCAAATCGCGGACATGAAGCAGTGCGTCGAGGGGCTCGACATGAAAGACGGCGACCAGCTCCGGGACTCCATCTCGACGATTTTGTCCACTGAGCGTTCCTTTGCGAGCAGCATCGATACGCCTGGGAGCTCACCGGCTTCATCTGTGGTGATGCTGAGTCGCAAGGACAATGACAGGTTCAAGTCCCGCCAAAGCAGCTTCAACAGCAACACGTCAGCCCCGTCGGCCAAGAACGCCAAACGCTTTTCCAGCATTCCTGCTCCGTCTTCAACCCCTCGCAGCAAACCACCGCTTTCGTTCGCCCGCTACCAAGAAGAGAAGACGCCTACAAGCAATCGTTACTCGATGTCCACTCCTACTCCACCGATGCCTCGCCGTGCGGCACCTACGCCACCCCCATCTAATAAACCCCGTTGGAACGTGTCTACAAACGCGGAAGGTGTTAGTGGCCATCATATCAAGTCTTCAGCCGGAACTCCCGCTGATACTCCCCGCAAGCCTCGTGGCCTCCATCGTGTCTCTTCGCACTCGAATCTGCCACGACCCACGCCTTCACGTCAGGCCGCACCAACACCTCCTCCGGGGGGTCATTACTACCAGCGGCCCGCGTCCACCACGCCTGCACCTAATAAGAGAGCGTCTTTGATGGCGCCTCGCACGCCTTCTCGCAACGCCCTTTCACGGCTGGACACGCGTGCTGTGTCAGGGTCAGCCGTGACGACGAGTACGGCGGCGAGCCGGCGTCGTAGCGGTTTCCTTGAGCCAACGACGCCAAATGCGGATGACGCTCTCACCGATGCCGGCTACTCGGATGCCAGCAGCCCAGTGTCGACGCGCAAGAGCCCGCGGGCGGCCAGCGCAATGGCGCTCCGCCGCACCAGCATGCTCCCGCAGCCATCGACGCCCCAGTCCAGGAAGGAGCGGCCAAGTCTCGACGTCCCCCGTCCCAGCATGGATGGCGGACGGAGCTCCAGAGCGGACAGCCGGGCTGGCAGCCGGGCTGGCGGCAGAATCAGCAGCTTCGGGATGAGGGGAGCGTCCCGGCAGGGCAACAGGGCTGACGATAACAAGCCCAGGTTCAGGTTCTGAGCCTGACGGCCAGGTAAGTTTTTGCTGCCGGATGAATCTTCTTCTTCTACTCTTCACACTTGATCCGCGAGATTACATAGTGTAATTGCCAGCCAGTTGTCGTGGTGCGTGCCTGGTGCATGTGACAGTCCGACATTTGCGGCATGGCAAAAGGAGGCTTGGATGGCTCAAAGGCGTTCTTCTTGGCAAGATCACCAACCCGAAGAGGAACGTGCGGCTTTGGGAGTCCACGCTGGCCTTCCGTTTGACCCTTTGATTGAGGAAGAAATTAACTTCGTTTTTGGTACAAAGTTTGGTTTAATATGGAAGACAGGTGTTGGCGACATGGGGGAATATGCAGGCGCTCTTTGTTTTGTTTTGGGAAGTTAGCTATATTTGCAAGGCATATTGTATACCCCCTGGAGATTCGATTCGAAACTGGGTTGCTTTTTTTTTAAACAAGATCTGGATCGGGTGGTGGCTCTGTGCGAGTCGGTACTATGATAGCCAGCATCAGATGCTCCTCGCCGGGATACGTGTAGACGACGAGAGAAGATATCGTTCATACAGTGTGAAGGAATTCGATTGCAGCCGCGCATGGTGACGGCAGGTGCCCTTTCCCTCAGGATTTGTGATGGGCGTGTGATGGCGAAGAGGTCGATCGGAGCACGCCAAGGAAGGCCCAGCGCGGACAATTGCTCACACGATCTGGAATAGCGGTGCACATGGGACCGGTAGCTCGCGCCAAATATAGGGCGCATGTCTCAGCCATGTTGCAGGAGGTGAAGGAGATTGTCCAGTGCTAGCGGGCGATTGGGCGCCAAGGCGGCGGGCGATAAGCTTCAACGGTGCGTCCGGGGCTTCACGATCCACGCCAGCTGGGACGTCGCACACCAGCGCACCCGCACACCAGCTCGCACACCAGCACACAACCACATGCACGACTGACTGCGCACTGCGCGCCCCGCCCGGCCTTGCCCCTGGCACCGCCCCAAGGCCTCGGTCGACACGGCGTCACGCAACGAGCGGGAAGTGCGCGATCCGACGCGAGGAATGCAGCTCCGTTTCCGATCTGCGAGCGCAAGCGCACCGGCGGGCTGGGACCGCTCAGCTAGCCCAGCTCGCGGTGGCCACCGCCACAGGCAAACAGCCCGAGGCCGGGCAGTGCGATTGGCGCGGGCGGGGACGGACGCTGCGTGGCTGCGTGGCTGCAGCAGAGACGCGACGACACGGGCGGGCGCCACAGTAGTCGCAGGTGCAGCGGGAACGCTTCTCGCCGTCCGGGGCTCGGTTCCATGGCGGTTCGCTGATGGCGGTTGGCGGAGTTGCCCAGCGGGGAGTTGCGCTGCGCCCATCACTTACTGCAACGGGCAGGCTGGGCAGACGGATGACGTCCACGCGACATGTACCGCTGCCAACACCGCAGCTGGGCGGAACGCAATCGAGATGTAAGCTTGAGCCGTCGCGGCTGTATTTCCTCACTGCCTTGCCTGCCCTGCCCGCCCTGCCCGCCCTGCCCGCCGCCGGCCTGCTTTCGCTCTCGCTGCTCTCGCTGTCTCGCTGCTCTGCCCCGCTCCCTCTCTGCTTGCCCTCTGCTTGCCCTCTGCTTGCTCTCCACCTGCCAGCGCTGCCGCCCTCACCGCTCACGCTGCTTGTCGCTGCTGCCGCCCCGTCCATCTGCTCCATTTCGTGCTGCTGCTGCTGCTGCTGCTGCTGCTCCTCGTGGTCTCGTATCCGTGTTCACGTTGCATGCCGTTGCGCCGTTGCGCCGCCACACGCTGTGCCCTGCAATTGCTCACCTCATGCTCTTTTGACCGCGGACCCTGAGAATTGAATCCCCACTGCTCCTGTCGTTTCTGCGCTGCGTGTCGCCGCCAGTCGCTCCCGTCCTGCGCCATAGAGCTCCTTCTCCAACCCCGTTGGTGCCAACAATCCCAGTCGCCTGCATCTAATTTCCAGTCGACCCCAGCGACGTCATACGCTGTCACCCTCTGCCCGGGATCAACAACTGGGCCTGGATACAATAACCACCAGTGCACCACTCCCGGATTTACACTGCCAAACCCAGCCGGGCTGGTCCACCATCTAATTCTTACATCGCCACCTGCTCGGCTCCACATCTCACCTCACAGCCACGCGCCTGCAGCGAACTTGCCTCCCCGCCGTTGTCCATTCTCCACAAAAAGAGGAATACTATATAGCTCTAGCTTGGAACGGAAGGCCTATCGGCGCCCTAGCTGACGCGGTCCCCCAAAAACGAAAGGTTTCAACGCCGCTTTCCTCCTCACTCCCCCAATTCCGAGGGCGCGTTGTTGAACTCGCACTTTTCGCGCCCGCCCGCCCCTGGAACATTCAGGCCAATTCGTCCTCGCGTCAAGGATCGCGATGATGCCATCGGCGACCTCGAACCCGCGGCGCAAGTCCGTCTTCCGTGAGGTTGGACTCGTGGACGACGACAGGGAAAAGTTCGCGCCGGTGCCCATGAGGGTGCCGATTCTTTCTACGCCATCGCTCCCGTCCCGAGGCAGCAGGAAGCCCGCCGTTTCGCCCAATGTCGCCCGTTTACCCTCTTCACCTACCGATTACTGGCCATCACCCTCGCCGCTGGAGGATGTGAGGGAGGAGGATTTGGGAGACGACGAGGACTCGGATTGCGAAATTGACGGTAAGGGTGGACTGACGGAGAAGCGGCAACCGTCGGTGAAGAAGCGCGAAGCTGTGTTTGTGCCTGAAGGAGGAGGAGGAAGAGGAGGACTCGTTCAGGCGAAGGCAGATGTGGATGCCGTTGCAGCCGCCGCCGCCGCCGCGGGTGGTGTGACCAAGTTGTATCGGCTATGCGTGCTCGCGTTGCTTGTTTTCCTGGTCATCCCCGTGACCAACAGGCTGCCGCTCTTTGACTCCAAGGTTGCAGGGCCCATGTATGGCGTCAGTGCGGGACTCATTCCGTCGAGAGGGACGCTGGAAAAGAGAGCGGATAGCCCGACGGACGTGTGCACGAGGTGGAGCCATGCCAGTAAGACTTCCAAGATTTGGACACAATAGTGTTCACGATTGACGATAGCCCAGCTGCAATTGTCAATGGCACCCTATACATCTACGGCGGTCGTGCGACAACCGACGCGGATCAGTCGAGCAACACTTGGAGTAAGCATCTGCTCCCAGGCTGTTGACGAGCTCCGTCGAGCTGACTATTTCAGACAACGACTTCTTGACTATGGATCTCACCGAGTCATGGCAAATCTCCTCCCCATCGTTCACGGGTCTGCCGCAGCCCTCCGGACCGCCCTCCGTCTCGCTAGCCTACCTATGGAACTCGCGCACCTCGCTATTCCTCTACGGCGGCGAGTTCCAAGACGGCAATTCGGGAAACACTCCCGACTACCCGACCGCCTTCTCGCTCTGGGAGTACGACATTCCTTCGTCTTCATGGTCTCAGCACAAAGACCCCAAAACTTCTGCAGGGACAAACGCGGAGGCCAGCAACGAGGCGGTACAACGTGCAGCCGAAGGCGCAGGTGCAAACGTGGCCAGCCTTGGCCGCGGATTCTACTTCGGCGGTCACCTTGACACATGGACTACCGAGGATTGGTCTAGCTCGATCGCGCGCATCTACCTAAAGTCCATGGTTGAGTATACTTTCCCGGGTTCTTCCAACAACGGCGTGGATTCTCTCGGGGATGACAAATCAGCGGGCTCGGATGGCGTTTGGCGCAACATCACTGAAGGAGGCCTCCAAGAGACGAGCGGCTTCCCGGAACGCGCTGATGGCATCCTGGTGTATGTGCCTGGGTTTGGCGACGAGGGGATTTTGCTTGGCCTCGCAGGTGGCACCAACTCTACTTTCGTAAGTTCCAATGACTCGGTGCACCATGCAATCCGGTGGAAGCTGACGATCCCTTCAGACGCAGATGAACATCATAGACATATACGACATCGCCACGTCCACGTGGTTCAAGCAGCCCACCAGCGGCACGTCACCGAAGATCCGCGTCAACCCTTGCGCAGTGGTCGCGGCGGCAGCAGAGTAAGTTGCCCAATGGAGCTAGAGGTCCTCGTATTGGACACGGACGTTAACCATGCTCCGCTTTGTTTTACAGTGGCTCGAGCTACAACATGTACATGTTCGGCGGCCAAGACCTGGGCGACGACCAGACGCAGTACGACGACATGTGGATCCTGACCATCCCGTCCTTCACCTGGATCAAAGTCGACCAGGGCTCGCAATCGGTGCCCCCGGCCCGCGCCGGCCACACGTGCAACATCTGGGACGGCCAGATGATCGTCGTGGGCGGCTACGTCGGCGACCAGCTCTCGTGCGACTCGCCGGGCGTCTACGTCTTCAACACGTCCTCGCTCACCTGGGGCACCCAGTTCACCGCCCTCTCCGGCAGCTCGGCCCAGGACGCGTCCGGCGCCGGCGTCTTCGCCGAGGGCTCCAATCCCTTCTCCCAGCAGCTCGCCCAGCGCGGCGCCAACTCGTCGTCGGGCCTCGAGGGCTCCTACGGCTACACGGTCCCCGAAGACGTCATCTCGGCCGTCGGCGGCGACACCGTCGGCGGCGCCACCGTCACCGCCCCCGTCCAGACCGTCACCGCCGGGCCCATGGCCACGGGCAAACCCATCACCTACACCGTCACCAACGGCGACGGCTCCACGACGACGACGACGTCGGTCGTCGGCGCCGGGTCGAACTCGGGGTCCTCGGGGGGCACCAACGTCGGCGCCATCGTCGGCGGCGTCCTGGCCGGCGTCTTCTTCGTCATCGCCGCGTACCTCGCCTTTTGCGCGTGGGTCTACCGCCGCCAGCTGCTGCTGTACAAGAACCACGTCGCCATGGCGCAGGCCCACGCCGCGGACCCGGCCCGTGCCCAGGAGAAGACGGGCTTCGTCATGCCGCCCGGCGCCGTCGTGGGCGGGTCGTTGGCCACGTCATCGGAAGGCGGCGGTCATCCGGGAAGCGGCATCAGAAACAATAGCTATGCGGCCGGCAGCAGCGGCGGGCCGACGAGCGGGTCCGGAAGCAATGCCGAGTACGCTGCCGCCGCCGGCGGCGGCAGTGCAGCTGCGGGGAGGAGAAGCGGAAGCGTGAGCAGCACGGATGATTTGCTGGCCGGGTCGGAGCCGAGCTTTTGGGGGACGAGGGGCGTGTTGTTGAATCCGAGGAGGAGTTTGAGGGTTATCAATAGGGATTGATTGAGGTGGGCCTGGCGGGCCCTGGATGAGGAAGAGAGAGAGGGGAAGATTTTTTTTTTGGGGGGGGGGGGGGGGGGGGGG